AGTATAGGTCCTTATAGGTCTAGTCGATTAATACTTTATCCTTCTAGCTAAGCGGGTAAGCCTTAAACGCTAGTTTATATAGGTACTAATTTTCTATTAGTAGAATATATATATAGTAGTCTAGGTAGACCTTAATAGTACCTTAGTCCTTTTATAAGGTTAGGAAGGAGGCGACTATACGTTAGATCTTTTTTATAAATATAGGGTCCTAATTATAGATTTTAACGTCCTTTAAAGTAGTTATTTTTAAGAGGCTATAGTCTTATAAAATCCTAATCTTATAGTTTAGAGTCTATTTATATATTTATAAAGGGAGTTCCCCTTTAATAGACTTAGGGCTTTCTTCCTTTAGGGTTTCTACTAATAGGTTAGTATCTTAGTATAAGTTACTATATTCTATAGTCTTTTATATAGCTAGCTCTTTAGTTAGAGTTACCCTAGCTAGGGTTTCCCTAGGTAGGTCGATCTATAAAAACTATATTTTATCGCTAAGGTCTATTAGTATTCTTAAGTACTATCCTTTTTTAAATCTAATACGGTAAGCGGTAGTATTAACCGCTATAACTAAAGTTATACCTTAGATTAAGTTATAGGCTAATAATAGGTCTCTTAGAAAAAATACTAGGTTACGATCCCTTAGTATATCCTTAATCTATACTAGTAAGCGTTCTGTCTCCACAGTCCGACAGCTTCCTCAGCTACGGTCTCGACCGCCCCCTCGGCTACGGCCTTTTGCAAGCTCTTTCTGCAGCAGTCTTCTTAGCAGTCTTTATCTTCTATAGTCTCTTTCCTTCGACTTTCTTCGATAATTTCTTTAGCAGCGCCTCTAGCACGGCAGCTTCCTTTTATTTTATTCCTTCCCGCACGATTAGATGGTCCTAACGGCTCCTTCGGCACCAATGGCCCAGACTAACGGCTCCTTTGGCACTAACGGCCCGGACCAACGGCTCCCTTTGGCACCTATTCTAACCATCCGATTACGCACTAAGAGACCGCAGGCACCTCTCTTTTGCCTTGTTCCCCCTCTTTTTAGCAGGTTTCCCGGCAGACGTTCCGGCAGACAACTTCTTCCGTCCCGGGAGGCGATTTCCTTTCTTTGGCAGACGTCCTAACAGACAGTCTTTCCCGGCAGACAGATTCTTCTTAGCGGACGATTTCTTCGGCAGACGAATTCCTCTACAGCAGACCTTCCCTAGCGAACGGATTCTTCTTCGGCAGACTTCTTCCTTTGCAATAGACGACTTTTCGGCAGACTTCCTTTGCAGCAGACGGGCCTTTCCCCGGCAGACGGCTTCTTTAGCAGACGAATTCCTCGAAAGACGAATTCCTCTTCTAGCAGACAGCTTCTTCCTCGATAGACCTTTTCCTTAGCAGACGACTTCCGCGATAGACGACCTTTCCGACAGCAATAATAGCACGCAAGAGATCCTTCCTTCCGCCCTTCCCGGCACGGTCCGCAGCAGCCGACAAGGCAGGCACCTTTAAGCAATCTTAACGAATAAGTACGAGAATAGGCCTATTTAAAATACCCGAAGTTAAGTATAGAGATAAAGAAAGATCCGTTTTCCTCCCGAATAAGTAGATTCTAGTAAAGCTAGGTATAGAATAGATACCTAGGGGAAAAGGGGCAAGATTTGATTTAAGATTTGATTTTTCCGGGTATTTCTTTAGGGACTTTCCCCCCATTTTTCTCTAAGATTTCTTTCCTCTGCCTTCCTCACTAGCTTCTTCTTTCCTTTGCCTATAAAGATCTCCTTTTCTTCCTCTATTGCTATTTCTTACCGCTGGCCTGCTCTTTAGCCTATTGCTTAGTCTATCCCTTGGTCTCCCATTGGCCTACTCTTTGGCCTATTGCTTGGTCTGTCCCTTGGTATCTCGTTGGCCTGTTCCTTGGCCCGTTGCTTGGTCTATTCCTTGGTCTCCCGTTGAGCTGTTTCTTGGCTGTTAGTCTGTTCCTTGCCCGCTTGCCCGCTTGCCTGTTTGCCTGCTTATCTGTTTCTTTATTCCTTGGCTGCTGCCTGCCTGCTTGCTTGCCTAGCAGACGAGGGCGTCCTTTCTTTGTTGTGGAGGGGTTTGACGGGGGCATCTGTACCCCAAGGAACACACAGCCCGCGCAGCAGAGTCTTTAGCAGGGTCCCTAGCAGGATCCTTGGCAGGATCCTTAGCAGAGTCTCTGGTTAGCCCTCTTCTTAATCAGATGATCCCTTGGCCCCTATTCGTCTAGGGAAGGAGGGAAAATTCGGTCTATAAAAGAGGTCTCTTTTCCACCTTAGCTAGCAGACAGCATCTTCTTCCTAATCCCTTTTACTAATATACCTTTTTAGCCCTCTTTGCCTTGGCCTTGCCCTGCCTAGTGCTTTCTCTTTTCCTTCGTCTCCCCTAGACCCCCTCGTCCTTCGGTATCTAGCTGCTGCTATTGCCGTTGGCGTGGGTGTGTCTTTGGGTGTGTGCCGCAGTCACCGTCAAAGTAAGCTATAGTTATAAGGTCGAGCATAGAGGCAGAGCTCTTAGCTCTTTTAGAAGCCTTAAAGGAAACAATCTTCTTAAGCCGGTCGTTAACGTCTTTACGGATTCAGGTCCCCTTACCGTTGCTAGTAGAGTATAATAACTTATAGACAATTAGGTTCCTCGAAGAAGGAAGCGCGAAGCTATCTATACGGCTAAGGCATTCGATATACATTAACACTAGCTACGTTAGGAATACTAGGAATGCCGAACTAGGGTCCGTCGGGTCCCCACCGTATGTATGAGAGCCGATGGGTTGACTAAAGCTTTGCTAAAGCAGGAACTCTTTGAGTTCTAAAGAATGATCGGGCTCGAAGATCTCACGGAGCGACTACGCCTAGCGGCCCGGTTAAAAGATATCCGAGACTAGATCAAGGACTATAGGAAGCCTATGCCACCGGGAAGGTAAAGCATTCGTATCTCCTATTTATACTAGTCGATCGGCCCTTCGATCGTTGCCCTTGAAGGCTGTTTAGCTATGCCCGATCGGGATAGGCTATAGCTAAGGGGGTGTATCGTGAAAACGGGTTAACGATCTAGGTCCGAAGGTTACCTAGTCGGGCTAACTCTAGCAAAGGTAATAGGATAAATAATATTATTATTAAGCGGTAGTAACGAACCCCCTAGATAATAACGTTATCTAGACGGCCTAGGTAGCGATATCGCTACTATCCCTTTGAGTGCCCGAAGGGGTCACGGGCCCCACAATACGTAGCCACATGTCAGATACGCTTTCAGGGGCTAGCAGCATCAGCAAAACCTTCAACAGTCATTTTTGCTAGCAATGCGTTTAAATTCAACTCTATGGCTTCGCAATAAGATCCATTAGCTTCGCAGGCAGCTATTCCAGCTGTATATAGCTTCGAACATACCCTCTATGTACCGCAAGCCGTTGGGCACAGCTAGCAGCAACAAGAAGCCGCCTACGAAGACTCGTAGGGGATGTGACCAGTGTGATGTAGCTATTTATACCCGGCCTAACTTCTGGGACTTCTACTATAGCCTAATTTGCTAGTTAAATTATGTACCCCTAATTATCTAGTGTCCTTATTGGCTAGTATCCCTGTCCGTGACCCCCTTGCTCCCTTCGGGCACTCAAAGGGATAAGGCAGCTATAGGTAATAGAACTATAAGAAGTTCATTTTTATTAGAGAGGAGGAAGAATCTTAGGACAAAAAACTTATTTGATTTATTAATTGAATCCTCTCTTTGCGAGACCCTTAATCGTGTAGAACGTACACTAAGAATCCGCCGCCGCCGCCACAATTGACTTGCTTATTACCAGTGCATCTAGATGGGCATCCTTTTCCCTGGTCGAGTTTCTTTACACCAGACTTATCTAAATTAGACTTAGAACCGCAATAACACTCAGCGCCAGACCTTAAGCCAGCATATTTATAACCAGCTCGCTGACACATATTGACGCATTTATCCGGTGTTAAAGTTTTATAATGGAACCCATACTTAAGGTAAGGGAGCCCCACCTTCTTGCCGTTGTTGACCTGGTAGCAGCCGTAATATTTCCATTTACCAATTTGGCGTATGACTTTAGGAGGAGGGGGAGGGTGTTGAGCGGGAGGGTGATGAGCGGGAGGGTGATGAGCGGGAGGGTGATGAGCCCGAGGAGTAACAGCAGCTACAATAGTAAAAAAAAGTGTTAAAATCCCAGGTAGCATTATGAAGTTAATATAGAAGAAAAATAATAACTTAGAGGGAGAGGGAATTTAAAACCGTTAAAGAAAGAAAATCACCTAGTTAAAGGAGAACGTTTTATAGGAGTAAGATGTTTATATTAGATAAAGCTATCGGTATATCTTATATACTTCTCTACGATTCTATTATATAATAAATATATATTAATTATATACTTAGTTCCGACCTATAATATTCCTCGGGCTAACTTCAAAGTATATACTTATATAGGTTTAGCTAGTAATTATACGTTAACTGTTTAGAAACTAGAATACTGTTTATGACTAAGACAGTTATTAGCGGCCTGCTGCTAAGCAAGCAGATTTTAGCTGATATTACATTCCTTGGCAAATCACATTCCTCTCATAGCTGCGACAAGAATTATACCAGATTCCACGGAAGACTCCTATATCCCTTTAACTGCGGTCAGACCGGTCTCCGGTCACGGGCCCCATAGTATATAAATATAAAGAAGATACGGGCGGCATAGACGATAGCAATAGGGAAACCTTACACAGCCAATTTTCGACTATAACGCTTTACGCAATTCTATAGAGCCGCAATAAGACCTTCCCGCATCAACGCATTCCTCAGTCGTTATAAATAGCTTCGACGAAGCTCTCTTTATACGAGCTAGCGGCAATAAGCAGCCGAAGTTGATTGACGATATGTGTATGCGTTAAAAGAACTGCTAGGTAGGCGCGGGGAATGTGCGCACCTAATTTTGCGATATCGGCGCTGCGCCTTGACAGGCCACCCTACCCCATTTTTCTGTATGCCGTCTATCCAAACCTATATGCTGGCTAACACAACCCCATGTTTCCACCGTCATTGCCGGTGCCTGCATCTGGGTCCCCGAATCTACCCTCGTCGGCTGGAGGCTGCGGCTCGACCGGCCGCGCTCCAGCCGAGTTGCTCGACAGAGGCACAGCCGGAGGGATCGGGCGTTGAGGAATAGGACGCTTCGAGCGGTCATTGCCAGACGCTTTGCTCCATCTGGAGCCATCCCTCACATCAGGCGGGTCATTCCACGCAGTCCCATCCATGAGGCCCTTACTAGGTTTCCAGGAGTTGACGTTCCATTGGGCTCCGGACATGACTTTCGGGGGGCTATCCCAGGCGGTCCCGCCCAGTTCGCCCTGTGAGGGCTTCCAACGCTTCTCATGGTTGCGTTTGAGCGTCGCCTCGTGCAGAGGGAAGGCCGCAATGAGCGGCAGGGCCAGAGTAAGGAGAGTAGTGGAGCGCATCTTGTGCGTAATGAAATATGTCGGTCAAAGAAAAGAATGAGTGAAGATAACACAAAGCGGTAGTAGTTCGACAACCGAGGAATGTAATTCAGCGCCGTGCCTGTTGTAGAATCAGACAAATCCCCCAATGGAAAGACGACCGAGTTGCTTTTATCTCAATCGGGTCCGTCTAGTGATTGCTTGTCAGTGGGACTCAGGGCCGTGGGCAACGTACGGCTCCCCACGACTCGTTTCAGGTCTCATGCCAAGATGCGCCTTCCGGGTCCTGTATGTTCCAGAAGCTCTCGTCTTCCATTTAACTATTGGTAGCAGATTGGACGTCACGGGAGCAGATAGTTGGCTGGCCTAACAAGTGCCATGGTCCGCGTGGGCGGACGGGATGGGCCTGCATGAAAGGTGAGAATTTTATGCCTCAGCAGCCTCACCATGTATAACGTAGGTGTTGAAGCATGGTGTTGAGGCGAAAGCAGCTATCTCTTTGAATGTGGAGGAGCAGCCCTCTGGTCACAGTCTCCACAATATGAGACAGCAAACCATCCCACGTCTACCTTTATTATCATGGCAGGTTGCGCGGTGAATAGTGTACTGCTAAGCTCATAACGATCTAATTCGTTGAAATCCCTGTGAGTGACTTGAGAGCTGCTCCTCCACATTCAAAGGGATACGCAGACCGGCGTTATGGATCGGTTCATTGAATTTAACTGGCTATTACGCCTGCTTCGGTCAGTAGCGCTGACGAAAAGTACTGACAGGTGACTTTTTGGCAGCCCGGACGAGCCATTAAGAAGAGCAAAAGGCATGGTAGTAAAGGCATCTTGCCGTAAAAACAGCAGGTAAAGGCAGTAGATAGTAGATATATCAGGCAGTAAAAGTAGTAGGCGGTAGAGATATACTACCTAGGCGGCAGAGGCGTTAACTATAGCACACGATAGAGGACTTATAATGCAACTCCGCGATAAATACTAGGGGAGCGTAGTAAAGGGCGAATCCCCACTCGCATGGATATCCCCGGTGCCTATGTGGTCTCGTCATGGCCTATGACTTCGGTTGCTAATACGTACTCACGAAGTGTTATAACACCTACGTATGGATGCCCGTTACATGTAGAGCCTGGAAAATCTGTGATTAGAGCATCGATCTAAAGCACTTGGCTTTAAATCGCTGTTTGCAGCGCTACGCTGTGCTGGCTGGAACATCTTCTCCTTCTAATGAATCAGGCGGGTAGAGACTTCAAGGGCTATTAGGTCGACAGAAAATCGCTCGGTGAAATGGCAGATGCAAGAATCAGAGAAATTTTTTGGGAAGCCACGGCTCACCGAAAACCGTGGTTTCCCACTGCGGACTGAGAATCCAAAGCCCGCAGAGTGAAGACAATTCGCCACGTCGACTTGTGGTGTGACATTATTACCGCGTAAATGCGAGTTTATATACATGGTACAATGTGCGAAATATTGAGAGAAGATACCGTAGACTGCTTTGTTCCCAGTACGCAATTTGAGATGGCGCCACACGTAGTGCGTCCACATAATTTGACTACCAACACCGGTCCAATTTGGCAAGTTTCTACGATAGTAGGCAAAGCGTTAGTGTCACGTCATTTTGCTAGGCAAAAGTAGAGTGCACACTCTAGCAGATGGTACTGCAAGTAACGGTTATATAAAGCGGGCTTACAGGCTTAAGGGCTAAGGGTGTGCTTATATATATTTGCTAACTCTGGCTGGAAAGCGTTAATATCACTAGTTGTAGGCACCTTCCATTGTGCAGCCGTGGTCTCGGCATACATCTGTCCCATGGCGTAGAAACGGAGCAACAGTTCCGTGTTCATTTAAGCGGGGTTCTATTTGAACGCCATGGGCTCGGTATATACAGAAGCAGCCAATCTACCCCATTATACGCCTTACGTGGTGTAAACAAAGGCTCCAGCGGCCGTCATCCTCAAGGTACAATGGAGATTTTGGGAATCGTGTGCCATGCGAAACCCGGGCTCGATGCATTGGACTTTGAAAGCTCGATTACTGTCGTCTTGGGGCAGTTAGTGGAGAACGAATATTGTCACTGTTGCTGTCAAGCTGGTAAAATACCGCTACACCATGCAAAATGAGGGCACCCCCAATAGAGGTGTTACTAACGCGTATTTCAAGCCCTTTCTTGTCCTGACAGTTGCTTAGTATGATACGGCCAAGCTAGCCGTTCATCGACAGCCGCGAGAGATAGCAAATGAGTTGGCAAAGGAAAATTTGATCAAGATTCCCCCAAAAAAAGTTAAGCACAATCTTGATCGAGAAAGGCAAGGCTGAACAGGCCGTCAAGATGGCTCCCTCATCGGCCTAGTGCGTTCTGTACTCGTCCCCGCGGCTATGATAATCCTTCATTCCTATGAAATACTTTTCACCTCAAGCGGACTCTGGCACTATCTGGGTAACAGAACCCCCGATACCTAGGTAGTTTACTGCACAGAGGCAGAAGGCTTCAACTGCGAAGTAAAAGGGGGGCACAATTTATGCGACCACACTACATGTACGGGCCAAGCAGGTATAGGAAGAAAGAGACGTGCAGAATATCAACGGAAGCTGTTTAGAGAAGCTGGAGGAGGAGTTTGTAAAGGGTCACGAAGACGTAACTAAATGAAGAAGCCACAGAATGTGTGCACCTAACGGCCATTGAAGCCTTATGGCTGACAGAAGAGCCGTCGGGCAGACCAGGACTTGTAGACCGCACCAGCGTGAAGTTATGTGCTCAAATGTTGGTTCCCTAGCACAAAATCAGCCTGAAATTGTCACCTTCAGCTTCTGGTACTCAACTTCTATCTAACTTACTTCGAGAAACTATTGCAATGCAATAGTCGAATGCAAAACACCGCGCTTCGAAGTGCGTCGTGTACTGACGAGAAGCATCACCGTGACGTCGGGACAATTATCTACGCTTTCCAGAGCGAATATAAGATTATATTGTGTGAACTCAGGAAGGTAAAGAAAACTGAGTCAACTAAAACTATATATTATGACGCGTATGACCGGCTTGCCTCTATGTAACAAGCAGACAGACCGAATCAACTAGAGCTAGCATTTAGAACTCGTAAGCGCACGTACCGATTTCGTTTATGAACGGACCACTTGCTTGGGCGTCCCTAGAATACTTGGATCGTTGCCTCCAGGTCGGTCCGTATCGGATGACCAAAATCGGGACGGGGGCGAGGCAGAGACAGACTGCACTCAGGATGGCAAAGCCCCGTGCATAGCCAAAATTTCCAATCAAGGGCCCTACCAACAGTGGGAGGAAAGTGCCGGCAAGGCTGCGAATAAGAATAAGCCCTGTCAAAGCCGACGCCGGGTAGCTGCCAAAGGCATCTACAACGTATGCCAATATGGGCAGGATGGCGAGCATCACTGTTGCTCCAATGAAAGTGACCGAAAGCAGCAGGAAGGGGAGTGGAAGGCGTAACTGGGCAACGCAGCCATAGAGCATAACGGAGGGGGGTAGTAATAGAGCACCAACGACTGCTAAAGGCAGTCGGAACTCAGGCTGGCCCACGCCGTTATTAGACTTGCGGAGCTTGATATAAACTCTATCCAGAAACCGATTGCAGAGGATGACACTGAAGCCTAATCCGACAGCTGCGAGCTGTTAGCCCAAGACGTACGGTATCATGGCAGGTACATGACGGGACCAACTGTAGCTCAGGAAAGCAGGTCCCTGCACGGCCAAGGGCTGCCTATAAACGGCTTCGAGGATGTCTGGCAAGGTCACACATAAGACATAGGCGAAGGCAAAGGCGACGCCACTGAATAAACATAGGATCATCAGGACGCCGGAGCCAGAGAGGATCGCGACAGGCCTCAGGGCAGATTCCCAGATACTGTTGAGCCCTTCATTGTTCTCGCATGTGGGCAGTGCTGCAGTGGGAGAGGCATTGGCGAATTCTCTCTGCAGTTTCTTGGCTTTTCGCCGCAAGATGACCATATGGCACGTCTCCCTAAAGCAGGTCAGGAACATGACCTCGCATATGCCAGCCAGGGCGACGCTCGTCCAAATGACTTGCCGCCAGCCCAGGCTCCCTGCGACCACGCTGCCAATGATCGGCCCAGCGGCACCCCCGAGCAGCGGCGCCATCATAACCACGCTCATGGCGAATCCACGCTGATCGGGCACCATTAAATCACCCACGATGGCGGGATTGAGCACGTTGGCCGCAACGGCCAGGCCGGTCAGCGCCCGCGCGCTAATGAAGACAGAGGCGCTCTGGCACAGTGCCGCTAGTATTGTAGCAGAGATGAAGAGGACGTTGGCCGTGTTAACAACGGGGTAGCGGCCGAAGACCTCGGACAGGGGCGCGAGGAAGAGTGGACCGGCGGCCTCGCCTAGCTCCCATATCGTAACCAGCAGAACGCTTGCCGACTTGCTCGAATTGTCCTTGTCGAGGTCTCGGATGATATGGTTTGCCAACGGAACGACCGAGGTGCAGGTGAATGTGCTTTAAGAGAGCAAATATTAGCGACTATGCCTTCCTTTTATGTGCAGCTAGACGTACACAACAAAGCCCATGGAGGCGAGGAGAGCGATGACGGCCCATTTGTAAGTAGCCGGCCATAACCTTGGGTTGTCGGGATCCGAATTCGGATCGAGGTCGTGGCCGTCCTGTCCTTCGTCGCTCGACTCAAGCAGGGGCCGTCTCTCGTCGATAGACATATTTGGCCGCCTATTATGAGCCAAGCGCCCAATGCCCCGCGTGGGATAAGTGGAGGTGGGAGGAAGCAGCACAGACAATAGTCGAAAAATGATGTCGGTTGCTTCAGGAGAATGTTGAGGAACAAGGATCGACCTTCCGGGCGGGGTACAAAATAGCTTACTGTATGCGTCTGACGGTTATGCAAGCTTGCTCCCGCGTGTTGGTACTTGTGCGGGTGTTGCCGTTATACGACAAGGTCTTGACCCTTGTCCCAGGAGACGTACATAACTACCTCGACCATGCTCACCTCGACAATGCTGACGCGCGTCGGTGTACGACCTTGAACAAGACATCAACTGTGGGCGTATTGGGCGTTAAGAAACTACACGCATAAACGCCCCTTGGAAAAGGGGCAAGCCGGAAACACGTCCCGACGATCCGCAACCGTTGCAAGGCCGCTTGTATGGCTATCAAGTCGTATGCTATTAACCAAGTTCCAACAGAAATAATACCTGCAATGATGCAACATGAGATGATCCCGCAGTCTCTTTAAGCAAGGATTACATAAAGGTTCCAAACGGTTCGTCCCAGAGCTTCCGTAGTGCCGCACATAAACCCCTGTAGTACGCATGTTCTCCACCGGTTTGATTTGACGGGCAATCTCGACGCGGGCTTGTGTGACAGATATTGCAGGCGACTGATGCTGCCAACACCATCGTAGTGCGCCAGAGCGCACCTCGTTCTAGGATTGGTACTTTACTTTATAAACATGGGAAGTCTACCTCGCTTGTGTCTCTCGGACGAAATCAACCGTGACGCAATAGAACGAACCGCCGAGACTGTTGACATGCTAAAAAGGGCACATGATTGGCTCCATGTCAAACCTGTTCTTGACCCAACGAGCGAATTGGGTGTCGTTCTCCTCGACGAAGATCCATCGCTCGTCGAGGCTTAGTGCATTAAGCACCCGCCATAGCGAGCACATTTACATGGGTTGGCGGCCTCTCTCACGGCATCGTAGCACGAAGGGATCAGCGCGCAGTTCCCAGCCCTCAACAGCGAAAAACGCGTGCCGCAGGAGCTCCTCCCCGATGATGCGCTCGGTATTATATACCAACACACCTTTCCGGAGCGGCAATATGATGGCGTCAATATGCGTCGCGCGTGTGTCAGCTAGCTGTGCGAAGAATCTCAACTGTATAGCTCTCGGGCACAATAGTCCGGAGATACTGCACACCTCTGTAGTTGGTTACGTTGCTAAGGTGTTCGATGATTGTTTTTCCGAAACGGAGGAAGTCGGCCGTGTCAAAGGCTGGCCTGCTGTCATTGATGGCCCAGTTGTTATCGATGTCGATGCCGTTGCCATTGCAGCTGCCGGATCTAACCCATTACCTAGTCCTTGCACGTCGTCATATACAGTGTCGCGACCTACATTAATGGGAGCTCGATAGATCCTACCGAAGCCGTTGTCGTTGCTTAGTTGGTCCAGGATATCTAAGTAAGCCGGCTTGATCTTATATCGGCGGCATCGCCAGGCGAAATAAGCTTCGATCAACGTGTGACCAGTTGTCATCAGCCCGTGGCGCGGCATGGCACCCGTGTAGCCGCCAACTTTGACTCAGTCGACTTCTTTTGGACGATAGACACGGACTCCATGCTTCTCCAAGAGGGAGGCAAAGTTGTCGAGTTCCCACTGCGCTTTGGCTACAATTTCGGCTAGGAAAGGGTTAGACGGCCAAAACTCGGCAAAGTGCTCCTCGGGCATGGTCGTTGCTATCATATAAGGCGGCTCCGGCGGGAAGGCCGAGTGCTCTGCGCGACCAACGATGACAGCCTTCAAGGGCGACCACCCGTTGCTTGCCGAGAAAAGGGGGGTTCCTGCCGTCATCGTGGGAAAGTTTCCAGATACCTGAGAGGCCGAGATGATGCTTATTAGCATCGTGTTGGTTTAGATGGCGGTTGACATCCACGCTGAAACTCTTGGTGAAATCCAGATCAAATGTACCCCTAGGGTGTCACAGCCGATGGCATTGGGGCCTTCCATGTTGGAAGGGTAAATTGGGGTGTGTGATGGTGAGGTGATCGCTTGGGTTGAGGAGTGCCGTTTGCTCGATGCAGACACTCGCTGAGGCTCCCACCACAACAATGACATCGTTCATTTTGAGGCCCGGTGTCTCGGCCACCAATACGCATAGACAACCCCGGCCCCTGTGTCGGCCATGTTCAAGAGGGAGCTTGGTTGCCACTGACAGCCCCAGGTCGTCGAAGCTTCGCGAAGTGATACCACTACCTACCTCGTATAAGCGTATTAATCAACACGCCAGGCTACTTCCTATTCTGTTTCTTTCACGTATCCAGGTTACTCTCCAGCGTGATGGCCTTGCGGCTACCATCGGCTCTTCTCCACGGCATTAGCCATCTTCCCCAGGCGTACCATCTACTCAAATTGCAATGACACCGCCACGTTCAAGCGCCACCCACGTTCAAGTGGTGATTCACCCGGCCCGAATCGGCGGGCCACACAAAGGGTTTCTAAAGCTAAATGTGTTCGCTGCCGGGCACGTGGCGCAAGTTTTGGCGTCTTGCTTACTCACAAGATTAGGCACCTAACAAGCCATGAAAGGCTATGGATTACGCTCTCAAGACAACAGATGGATAGACTCGAAGGCGCTTGGAGTTCAAGTAAAGTTTGTGTAGGCACGTGTTGAAAAACTGGCTTGTAGAATCATTATAATTTTGTCGAAAACTTCTGCTTCCACGATGGCCAAACCTCCAGCCGTGAAAGACCTTTGCGATCTCCAAACAACCCGTCTTGTCAACGTTGCTATTCACTCGACCGGTCTCCAAGGACGCACGCGGCAGGATGAAGAGTTATGCACTCGCGCAGTTTATCTCCATCGCTACTGCAGGCTGCAGCCTTGACACCTTTTCCAGCCCTCGTTCCGATCTTACACTTCGTTCTGCGGGGGGGTATGGCTATGACGGGCTCAATGAGCCCCTGGCTTGGCACAAGCTGAGTGCCAACAACTCCCTCTGTGCCACTGGGAAGAATCAGTCGCCCATAAACCTCGTTCCAAGCAAGGAGCTCACCATTGATGGCTCCTCTTTGGCCTTTCAGCTCTACAGCTACCCCGAGGGAGGCGAGCTGGAGAATCTCGGAAACACGGTTCAGGTCCAAGTAAACGGATCGATAATGCTGGACAACTGGGTGTATAACCTCGTTCAGTTCCATTTTCACACGCCGAGCGAACACCACCTCATGGGAGAGCACTTTCCTCTCGAAGTCCACTTCGTGGCACAGAATGACGGTAAGACACTGAAACACAGTCGTGCAGAGTTTCGGGACTAAATGAACAGCTGGCTCCCTCGCGATCATTGCATTCTTTGTCGAAATCGCTATCGGCGACGATCGCATCTCCAGTTTCCTCACGGCGGTCCTCAGCAGAGTCAAAGAGGTTCCTCAATCCGGACAAATCTTTTTGACAGGCGCCCTCAACCATACCGATCTGCAGTACCATCTTTCTCAATCCGACGTATATCAATACAACGGCTCCCTAACCACACCGCCCTGCAGCGAGCATGTGTTCTTCAATGTTGTCGCCAGCCCTCTTTATCTCCACCCTCGCGAATATCGGGCCCTGAAGAAAATCATGAAGTACAACTCACGTTACACACAAAATCGGCCTGGGCAAGATAACCTCTTGAGCCGGAGAATATAGGGAGATGCTTGCGGCGGAACGCGCGTGTCATATACACTCGTACGAGAAAACGGCCAGACATATGCAGTCAAAAAGTCGCAGATTTCCGAGTAGATTCGCTCATTGACAGGCGCAGCAGGACAATCAATGTATGTGGAGGTGCCGAGAGAAGGGACTGTGGATGTGGTGATACATGTATGATTACTGGCACAAGGCCTCTTGAAAGAGCAAAAACTGTTTAGAGGGCAATAGAGAGAGGCCGATATTAGGGGCGTTGGATAAAGGCCATGAGTTTGCCTTCGCTCTATCTCCAGTCATCTACTGCGATCGGCTCTGACGTTGAGGAAACAGTGTTCATTCTTTGGTGCTACTCTATAAATATGCTAAAGATCGTTTGCTGCAAATAATCTCAATTGAAAACACCCAAGTAGATTCAGAGAGAAGGAAGGAGCGTCATATCGAAACATCATTCATACATGTAACCAAAACCGTATCAAGGGCAGAAAGAAAGGAGTGTTGTCGTGAAATTTCGTTCCGGTCGTCAGCCACCCAGTCCAGTCGTATACTCATGAGTGCATGTTCCATGTCGTAAGGCGTAATGAGATCGTCCTGCGATCCCAATTGAAGAAGTAAAGTCAAACGCGGCATCACCCAAGTAGAAATCGTAAATGATCGCAGGAGAGAGAAGATGAAGAGGAAATGAGGAAGGGAAAAGACAATAGTCTGCTCTCGAAAACAAAAAAAGAAAGACTTGGAGTGAAGTAGTCGTTAGAAATTCCCCAGAATGATCGCGGCCTGCGTGACACCCCAAGCTATACGCCAGAGTCCTCTTGCTCAATATTGAATGCATCTTGAAAGTCATTCCAGGCGCGACATTGCGAATCTAGAGTCTTTCCATTCGTCAAACCTGCAATTTCGTCCTCTCGCTCGACGAACTGTAAGGCAAAGCCTTCGCTGGTGTGCCACCCAATGTGGCAATGCATCAGCCAAGCGCCTGGGTTGTCGGTCTCAAACGCAATCACCAGAAACCCGTTTCCTGGGAGCATGGCAGTATCTCGCCTGGGCGGGTTTCTCCATGTCAGGGGCGTCTCAGCCGAATAGTTACCGGTTCCTTGAGAAAGAACGAAGAAGTCGTGGCCGTGCAGATGAATTGGATGCGGTATAGCCAAGGTCGTCTCAATTACCATGGAGAAGAGTTGATTGGCCGCGGGAAGACGAATGACTGCGTTGGACTGGCTGAAAGAGTTGACACCGCTCTGAATTTGTTGCAAAGTTGGGTTCCGCCAGTCCACAACCATGGAGGTAGAGTTCAACGACCATTTGAAGAGGCCTTCAACGGTTGTGAGATTGACAAACTCTGAAGTCGTAATTTGGGTGGGGGTCAGGTCTTTGGTGATATGAGGGGATAGGTTTTTTTCGTCATCGCAAGAGTCGGTAAAGCTGTAGCCCAGTGTAGACGGCGTTGAGGGACGTTCTCCGTAATGCACGACGGCGCGCACATTGTCCGAGTTATTGACATTGGAACAAGAAGACTGAGGGATGGCCCGCATCCAAAAGTTCTCAGCCACGTGAGCCTGGTCTGCCGAGACGATGACATCGTAGCGCTGCCCTATTCCAATGTTGAGAACGTTTGTTGTGTAAGGCCGAATAGGGACTAGGTCGGTAGCAATGACGGTCATCCGGTGATTGTCGATTGTGAACTTGAAATGAGTATCAACTGCAGCATTGACGAGTCGCAATCGATGCGACTTCCCACGAGTAAAAGGAATGTTAAGGTGTTGGCCGCTGTCGTTGAAAACGTTGGTACCATTGATGAGAGCATTTGCGAGAGGAGGCGGACCCTGTGTCTCAGCGGTGCTGTAGAGTTCATCTACAGTTTGATGGTCCCAGTCGTTTAGAAAGACGACACCAAGGTCCTCGTCGTAGTTGGACGTGGCTGGGCCGTTGATGACGATACCGCCAAAGACGCCCTGCCACGCCTGAAGTGCAAAATGAGAGTGGTACCATGTAGAGCCGTATTGAAGGGCCCTCCAGGTATATGTGGTCGATTTCCCGACTGCAGTAGGGCACTCGGTAATGGACGGAACACCATCGTTCTGGTTGGTAAAGAGTTGTCGTATGCCGTGGAAGTGAATGCTGGTTCCATTCTTGGAAGTGTAAAGAGAGTTGGTAACGTGAACAATGACCGTATCACCCCAGTCGGCAAAGATGGTTGGACCAGGCATGCTACCGTTGACCGCTGCGAAAAGCTAATGTTAGTCATTCCCTCGCTCAAAACGACTTTTCCGGAGATGAGACAAACCCATCGCGGTTCGTGGCACGCCATCGGGAGCAATAATCACATCCGAAATGTCCAGCCAGTATTCTCTCGTCACCCCCGTATCGGGTGCCTGAGAGGTGTAATCGGTGTCAATGGAGAAGGAGCCGCACCATTCCGAGCGCGTTGTAGCCGTATTGCCCGAGCAAGCGTGATTTCCGCCGTGGCGAAAGCCACCCCTGTCCTCAGGAGGATAGCGTAGCCCAGGCATATCCTCGGGAGGGTGGCCGGGCGCGGCTAGTTTCCCTGGTCTATGTCCTGGTTTTGGTCAGCCTGCCCGTTGAGGAAGGATCCTGGCCCAGGCAGACCTTCACCGAAACCGGGTCCGTCCAGGCCGCCGAGGGGGAAGCCGGGTCCGTTCAGGCCGCCACCGAGATTGGAGCCGGGTTCGCCGCCGAGGGGAGAGCCGACTCCGCTGCCGAGGGGGGAGCCGACTCCGTTCAGGCCGCCACCGAGATGGGACCCGGGTCTGCCGCCGATGGGAGAGCCGAATTCACCGCTGAGGGGAGAGCCGAATCCACTGCCGAGGGGAGAGCCGAATCCGCTGCCGAGAGGGGAGCCGAGTCCATTCAGGCCGCCACCGAGAGGGGACCCGGGTTCGCCGCCGAGGGGAGAGCCGAATTCACCGCTGAGGGGAGAGCCGAATCCACTGCCGAGGGGGGAGCCGACTCCGCCGCCGATGGGAGAGCCGAATTCGCCGCCGAGGGGAGAGCCGAGTTCGCCGTCGAGGGGGGAGCCGAGTCCGTTCAGGCCGCCACCGAGAGGGGAGCCGAGTCCGTTCAGGCCGCCACCGAGAGGGGAGCCGAGTCCGTTCAGGCCGCCACCGAGAGGGGAGCCGAGTCCGTTCAGGCCGCCACCGAGAGGGGAGCCGGGTCCGTTCAGGCCGCCACCGAGAGGGGAGCCGGGTCCGCTCAGACCGCCAAAGAGGGAGCCGGGCCCAGCGAGATCCTGAAGACGAGTGGGAGGGTAGCGTTGCTGAACAAGGTACTGGATAACCTCGTGGTGGTAGCCCTGCTCGACTAGATACTCGAAATTCTGGGGACGATAACCCATCTCAGCCAAGAAGCGGAAATCCTCAGCACCGCAGCTGAGATCCATCAGATATTGCAGGCCATTGGGGAGATAGTCGAATTCGGTCAAGTACTGGATATCCTGAGGGAAATAGCCCATCTCGGCCAAATAGCGAATATCCTGGGGAGGACAGCCGAGCTCGGCGAAGCGGCGCAGATCCTGAAGAGGGCAGCCTCGCTGCGACAGGAACAGAAGATCATCAGGAACAAACCCTTGCCCAGTGAGGAAGCGGAGGTCATCGGGGAAGTAGCCTTGGTTCGCCAAGTATCGAAGGTTGGTGGGAGGATAACCCAGCTCCCCGATATACCCGAAGTCCTGGGGGCGATAGCCGATCTCGATAAAATACTGAAGATCCTGGAATGAATAGCCGAGCTGATGAAGGGGGGGCAGACCCTCCGGAGGACAGCCAAGCCCGGTCAGGTACTGCGTTTCCTCATAATCGTAGCTATAGCTATAGCCGCCGGAATAGCCCTTGCCACCGGGATAGCCAATGCCACCGCCGGGGTAGCCAATATTGCCGCCAGTGAAACTACTGCCAGGGTAGCCAATGTCGCCGCCGGGGAAGCCGCCGCCGGGGTAGCCAGTGTTGCCTCCAGGGAAGCTACCACCAGGGTAGCCGGTGTTGCCACCAGGGAAACCACCGCCAGGGTAGCCAATGTCGCCGCCGGGGAAGCCGCCGCCAGGGTAGCCAGTGTTGCCACCAGGGAAACCACCGCCAGGGTAGCCAATGTCGCCGCCGGGGAAGCCGCCGCCGGGGTAGCCAATGTCGCCGCCAGGGAAGCCGCCGCCAGGGTAGCCAGTGTTGCCTCCAGAGAATATACCACCAGGGTAGCCAGTGTTGCCGCCAGGGAAACTACCGCCAGTGTAGCCAGTGCCCGACCCGGGGAAGCTCGAGCAAGCGCCTGAGCCGCACTGGGCGTCGCTTGTCTGCTCCTCGGGGATACTGGTAGGTAAGGCGGCGGCCAGCGGGGCCAGGAGGCCGGGGACGATGACGCTTCGCGGATGCATACTTGTTGGTGAGTTTGACGATGAGATGATTTGCGTGAAGCTCTGCCGGGGAATCGGTGACTTGGGGGAGAGCGGGCTAAGGGGCTGTTGGGAAAGGAGGAGGAAGTGGTTACTGAAGAGTGGTTGTGCTGAGGAGAGTCGAATGATGGTTCTTGGGACAAGAGGGTGTATTTATATGCAGGATACCAGCCATCGCAATCGGGTTCAAGATGCCCGTAGGTGGTCTATAAGCCTTGTGGTATTAAGAGACCCCCTTGGGGGCTGGTCACGGCCAAGTTGCTCCGAGGCGTACATCTTCTTCAGGCTTCAGCCTCGCCTAAAGCATTGAGCAGACATGGGAACCCGTGGCAATGCAAAGAGCAGGGCTCATTGTGCTTCGAGGAGATGGGGCGCCGTGATACCCGCCCCCCATTCATCCCGTAGACAGTTAATGAATGTTGATCGGCCACGTGGCCGCAGCATGGTCTTGCAAGAAGTCTTAGTTAGAGATGCCACGCTGAGCCATCAAGTTGAAGAAAAAAACACCAGCCATAAATAGGCGGTGATGGGATGGTGATTGCTGAATAGGCAGGGCAGACTCAACGCAGGCGTGGAAGTTGGGTCGACGGCTCCGGCTCCCACCGAGCGGCGAATTTCAGCCAGCCATTCGGGCTGGGCCTTTCTCCGGTGGGCAAATCTGACCCGGAAGGGCCGGAAGTCTGGTTGAGATTACCGGATCGAGAATGGCAGACGGCGGTGGCTGCAGCGAGACGCGAACCCCTTTGCTTGGAAGAGTCGAGAGCGGCTGGTGGCGAATGGGCAGTTAGCATGGACCAGGGTGACCAGTGGCCCCTGGCTCACCCGGAGCGTCGGCGGCGCCCGAGACGGGAGCACCGTGGCCCTTGTCTCTTTGACCAGGTGTCCAGGCATCATGGCGGTTGTCCTCGTGCGAACCAACCCCCGATGTGAAAGCACATTGGGAGAGGCGGGGATAAACAAAGAGCCGAAGTGGGCCGCGATTTCGTTTCCCCGGTACCGTCCCTGCCTCTCCGAACGGTGCAGGCCGAGACCAGCCCCCATGGCGTGAAATGCAGCAGGCGGCCTCTTGTCGTCTGATGGCATTGAATTATGCTGTTTCGAAATGCTGCATGCTCCTGATGAAGCACGCACACAATGGATAGGAGCAGGCCGTTCAACTGATCGAGTTGTGATTGGGTCAGAGGATGCTCCACTTGCCGAGCTTGGTAATCCTGAGCTCGGTCACGTGCCATCGAAGTAGTCTTCTCTCCGCTCCAGTCACGTGCTGTCTTTGGCTCGAGAACTCGAGAACTCGAGAACTCGAGTCCACTTTGCAGGCGGCCGGGACTCGTGACACGACATTGCAAATCCGAGTTAAAGCAGGCGACACGACAAACGCCTCCTGTTAATGCCGACGTGTTGGGCCGTCGCGCAGTAAACGCCTAAAATCCCCCACCCAGCCACGCCACGGCTTCATGCTGCCGAGAGTCGCGAGTGGGGCTGCGTAATGCTCACACCTGACTTACTCCGTACTTGATGTCAAGCTGCGTCGAGATCGAGATGTTCCGGACAGCTGACAAATATTCTAGCTCCCCACTGAGATAATCTGATATAGGAAGAGGTATCTCTTTATTAACCGGCTATATCCAGAGACATGCCGGGCCAATATCACCCTTGCCACGGTTTGCCTGAGTATGCATAACACATCCGAGCAAGCAGTTGGCTTTGCTAGTTGGTCTCAATATTACCTCCAAAGTCTGCTTGTTACATCTTTTATTTCTTTAATAAAACCCAGCCTTTCATTAGCTTCTATCATAAGATCAGGACATCTTTCGTGCGTTTATACTCTGACCCCTGTACGGTAGGCGGTTGGCGTCCTATATATAGACTTCATCACACAACGATCCCCGCCTCCTCGCCTGTAAGTTAATGGTTTGACTCCAAACAATCTGTCCCCACAATCCCCACCCCACCTTCATCCCCTTCCGGGTCTCACATGCTGGGCCCGGAGCGTATCTATGCTTGCTCTTTGATGGCGCTGGATCGTCCCTGCCTTCAATGCTCCCCAGCCCCGATATAGAGAATAACATCTCGACAAGATACTGGCGATAACCAACTCTCGTCTGCAGGCTTTAGATATTGTTGCAGCCCCAGTGCACAGTATCATCATCAGCGAAGGGCGGCTCACAATCTTCATCATGGATGCGCAGGACGTCTCCGATACCCGGATGCGAAAGCGGCTCGTACTGCCACGTCGCAAGCAAGTCTGGCCGCCGTAACTCATGCCATGGGCCAAGTCCTGTATGCTTGGGCAGCGCTTGTCAGGTAACCACGACAAAGGATACAAGGTAAATGATGCCAAGGGAGAAAGATACAATTTCTCAGTAGAGACAATTTCTAAGTTTGACAAGCCTGACGATCGACGTGGCGGCAGGTCGATTTTCATGCGTTGGCAATTAGTTAGTTAAATGAGACCACAAAAGAAAAAGCCCTAATTTTTACGGGACAGCAAGCAGGCACATTCATTAGCCGTACGATAATACGTTCAAGGTGCCTCGGGGCTTGCACAGGTCGTATCTTAGTCGAGAGATGGGTGCAATCAGTTAAGAATGCATCCAGGACTGGGCCCTCGTTGATTGGCCACTCAAGCGCTTCATTCGCCAATTCTTGAGCTTGAGTGAAGTACATCTCGCGCGTCATCTTCAGGGTCAAGGGTTTCCCTTGTCCTTCACTACACGCAGAAATTTCAAGGGGTTCAATTCCGCGTTACTGACTCTGAATATAGATTTCTAGCTCATCATATCGTACAGCCTGGTCAAGCAACCATGTTAGCATGACAGCGACTTCCGCCACACCTATCGATCAATAGCAATTCGATTTCTTCTCGTGAAACTCGTTGATCCCGCTTGTTCAGGATGCTAACGACTCGCAAAGCCAAGATATCCCCGACACCTAATAAAGTCTGCAAACCTCTCATATAAGCGATCAAAGCAAGACGGCACCGGTCCTTTGCAATCAGTTCAGAGTAGTATGTGACCATAGGCCTAAATAAATCTTGGTAAGAAGCGGCGTTCGTCATTGGACCGCGGCCTTAAGCCCCGGCTCGCGCGAGATGGGAATATCACGTCAGAGGTAAAACGGGACAAGAACCGCGATATTGCAGACAGCATCGAATCTCGTAGCCGAGTATTCCCGGGATCAAATATCAAGGCCTTGAGAAAGGCCGTCTCCTCGTCCGCCTGGTTGGCCGGAAGAGATACCGGCCCAATATCGACGAAGCCGAGGCCGGAGAACAATATGTAAGCCCGCGAAGCAGCCTGAACAAACAAGGGCCTGTGTGTCTTTCTGGCGAGGTCCTTCCCCCACAAAGTGAGGACCTTGGCGTAACCCCGCCCCTGATACTCTGGTGCCGTAGCCAGGATGTCAAGATGGAGGAACGGGCCGCGGCCGGCAAAGCACTTTTGTTTCCCCACGAAACTGGCCCGAGCAAGAGCTGCAAGCTTATCTGGGATCTTGGCAAAGGCCGCCACTTGCGAATCGGGACCTTTGCCGTCGGCTGCAGAGGCCATCCGATTAGGCAAGCCTGTACGAAGTAGGCACGGCGATGACCGCTTTCAACATACCACTCTCATGCAGTCCGTCTGCAGGGCCGTCTTGTTTGGTCGCATCGGCAGCAGGGGCGTCCCACTCTGCGGCCGACACAATGAGTGGACCGGAGCGCATGCCGCTCTCAGACGCTGAAATCTCTAGCACTAGGATGCGGTGACGATCGCTGGCGAGATAGCTTCGCAACATATCTTCGGCGAACCTAACGCAGCCGGAGTCTCTGGCAGACTCCCTGAGCGAGCAGAACAAGTTCCATGGCGTCTCGTCCGCCAGAGCCGCTAGCACGAGGGATGCGATAGCGGGCCCATCGGCCAAAGTTGCTTGCCTGATCTTCGTCTTTGTACGGCCACCGCGGGGGCCTAGACTGTGGATGGAAGCCAGATTTGACAGCTGACGGGAGGGCTCTCCCGTGGAGTCGGTTCAATGAAGTCGGATGCGGCAGAACACCACCTAAAGCTACCCCCCCCTTTCCGCGTTGCTGAGAGGGGAAACGGGCAGCCTTTTCAATGACCAGCGGCCTGACATTACATGGCTTGCCTCTTTGTCGTGTCCATGGGGGTGATATTGACGGATGCAGCCCACATGTCACGTCGGAGGAGGGAGAGGCAGCCGCCCGTACATATAGCGGCTCGGGATGGATGCATGTCATACAGGCATACTGTACACTCGCTTTATCACCCTGGCTGCAGGGTAAGGCCGAGTCTCTTCATGCGGGACAAATGGTCCCTATGCGCTTATTTCAACCGTCATGCTCGCTCATGTCCGCATTGCCCCTTACCGCTTGGTACCTATGTAGTTGTCAGAGGGAGCAGACTGACGGTCTAATCCGCACACGTATAAACTCCGGTGAAAGAGGCAGGTCAGACACAAGGACTTGAGTCAGGTATCGATACAGTAGAGGAACATTGCCCTAATCGGGATACACGGGAATTGGCACTGATTCAGGGCCACCACGGGTCCCAGATTGGTATCTATTCGTATAAATACCCCTCAATGTCGCACAGATAGATAAAAACATGCATCATCGTTTGGACTCAATTGTGCCTGCCCTTATCCTTCCGCCCGCGCTCTCAGCTTGCTGAGAGTTATGAGCCCGGTTTGCGGTGCTCTTTATCCTTCGCATTCCTCTACCAACTGTGAGGCTATCACGAATCTCAACGCACCATATATCCTTCACCCTTGGGGTTGACGCGAGGAAGAGAGCAAAATTCAGGGCAACACCCACAACTACGCAGAGTCAACGTGACGCGTGCATCCCTCGCAGGAGGTAAAACACACGATGACACTAGGCCCCAATATCAGAAGGGGAGGTGTACATCACCACACTCAAGGAAAGCCTTGACTGGACCCCATGGATTAGGGTATCAAATCATGGGCTCAAACGCACCACATCTGGGAGTACGTTAACCCAGAAGGGACCGTGGTGCTCGAGGAGCCCTGAGGCCTAGCTGGGAAGAGCTACTCGAGAAGGTAGGGCAGAGGCCCCACCGAGGAAGCTTTCCCAACGAAGAAAATAAGTATAAGGCAGCAAGGAAGACTTCAATGAGAAGCTTCAAGATGCCAAGGACCTCTTTAGGTACAAAGAGAAGACCTTCCAGGATCAATTGGACCGCTTCAAGGCTAGAGAAAAGCCATGATGCAGATCGAGGAGGTGATCAAGAAGTCCATCAGTGAGGGCTCCAGGGCGAGACCCTGATACAGCTGACGCCCGGGACAAGATCAAAGAACTCAAACAGAAGGTTCTCCCTCAGCGGAGGAAGAAAAGAACCTTATCGATGAAAGGTATCATCAAATCATCAACAAGAAAGGAACCCGGGACTGGAAGGCCTGGGCAGAGCAGCTGGACCAAGTCATCCTGGATTCAAGAGACCTAGCGGTCTCGACTATTAATGACACAAAGATTCGTCAGGACTTCCTCAAAGGGACCGAAGAATGGGACCCTAGCTGGCCCATGACGATTAGGCTGCTGGACGCACTCCTGGAGAGAACAGGACTCCCAGCAACCCCTTTGCGCACCCTGATTGCCGACTTTAAAAGGGAGGTTGGATTCAGGAAGAAAGGAAACCTCAGAAGACCCCAGGGTCAACAACGCAAACAACGCTCCAAGATCATCTGATCAGAGGACTAGGAATGGCCCAGAGGGTCACACAAGTGCCCGGCATGTAAGCAACACTGGGTCAAAAGGATGAGTGGTGGGAAAGCTGCTGGACCTTTAGAGCGATGTTCCAGAAAGACCCCGAAGGATGGATTCCCAGGGACCACCTTAAGGAGGCCATCAACCAGCACCTTAAGGAGAACCCTTGGACAAGACCAAAGCCATGGAGTGGAAGCCAAAGCCAAAGACATCACAGTCCCGCAGAATAACAACAACTCGAGCAAACAGGCTAATACAGTGTCGCACGTGCATAGCACTAATACGAGTGAAGACTCTCTCGAGGACAAGGCCATCTATGATTCAGGGGCTAGCGTACATGTCTTTAACGACCTACGATGGTTCGATGAGGATACCTTCACCTGGGGATCGTCAGAAGAAGTCCGGGCAGGAGAAAACTCCCTCCAAGTCAAGGGGGTAGGCATGGCCGTTATCCCAGTGAAAAACGGGATCAATTTGAAGCTTGAGAGCAGCTACTACATCCCAGAGATGCCAACAAGTGTGTTCTCAGCTCGTCAGGGGATTGTTGCGAAGATCTATTGGAACCAGGTTAACGGCACACTCTACCATGAGCCCACAGGGCGCACTCTGGTCAGTCTGCAAGAAATTGAAGACCAATACGTTATTGCAAGCCTCTCAAAGCGGCCCCAACACAGCGTCTTTGTCACAAGCAGGGCTCCTAAGCCACCAATGGGTGGGCAAGCAGACCTTTGGCACAGACAGCTAGGACATCCGGGGCCAGAACCCCAGCCACCTAACCAAGATGGGGGGACCGGCCACGTGTGAATGCGAGGTCTGCGCAACAGGCAAGGCAAAGAGGCAGGTCTCCCGTGAGGAGCCCACTTTACGACCCAGAGGGGCCGGAGCTCAATTTAGCTTCGACTTACACCCAGGCCCGGTGGCCGGATTCGGGGGTGAAAAGTACTTTGCGCTCTTCACATGCATAACGACCAGGATGAGGTTTTATTACGCGTTGAAGAGCAAAACCGAGGTCCGAGATGCCTTCAAGAAGCTAACATCAATGCTAGAAACTCAGTACGGGATAAAACTGATCAACCTGGCTTCTGACGGAGAAAAAGCCCTTCTAACAAAGGAGCTAGTCAAATTCATCGAAGGATTGGGCATTCGGGTCTTCCAGTCAGCTCCATCCACGCCCACGCAGAATGGGCATGCAGAAAGGTCCGGGGCCGTGGTCAAAGAAAGGGCCCGGCTTATGAACCTGGACTCCCGCATCCCGGAGGAGCTCTGGACCGAGACCTACCGCACAGCAGTGTATTTGCTCAACCGTACGCCACTTAAAGGATCTGATCATAGCTGGAGAAGCCCACACGAACGATGGTGGACCTATATGAGGACCACAACCCTCTATACGGCCACATCAAGCGAGTCCAGCCGAGCATAAATCACCTGCGTGTCTTCGGCTGTGTGGCCTACCCAATGACAATCACTGCGTTGGAGCATGTAAAGTCACATAAGACGCAGTCCCCGCTTGAGCAGAGCTCATATCGGTTACCTGGTGGGCTACAGATCGACCCATCAATATGTCGTGTGGATACCCTCGATCCGCCAGACCAAACTGATGGTCTCGGCGAATGTACAATTTGATGAGTCAACAATGTACGATCCGAAGAGGGAAGAAGACGCGGAAGCCTTCCAGGTCTATACATACGATGTTCTTCGTCAAATGGTGGCGATAGACGTCCCTGACGACGAAGACATAGAGGAAGCAGGAGTGCAATTACTCCGATGATGAGACAGATGACGGAATGACGCCGTACACCTCGAGTCAATTGCGGCACCCTCTGCAGACGAGGCGACACAAGAAGCACCGAATTTGAAGACTTCGATGAGGGCTACAACGGACAGTGCCTATATTTCGCCTCCAAGCACTTCAAACAGTAGGGTGGAGGAAGAAACCTCGCCCTCCCCACCAAGCTCTGTCACCACTAGCGTGACCCAGCAGGAGGTCACACACCACGGGAGTCAGGACCCGGAGGTGGAAAACTCAAGCATTATCTCGAGCCCTACGCGGACCGACCCGGAGCCTCAGGTATCATTAGGCACGCCGATCCTAGACGTATTGAATGAGCGATTGAATGAGCCGCCTGTCGATCCGGGGTGGTGCGCTCGAAGAGCCACAATGGTCAGAATTCGAGGAGCTGTCTCTGGGGGTGGGAGAGCCTGACCCCAGAGTCACAATCACAACCCGAAAACGACCCGCAAGGCGAGGACAAGTCTCAGGGATAAACCCCCAATGTGCTTGAGGGCAAGAGACAGAGGAAGCCGAAGAAGGCCTTCATCAATAACATCATTGCTAATGCCTCGAAGCACAGGCTTCACGTTGAGGATATGCCTCCTGTGCCAACCTCCTTTAAAGCCGCGATGGCTTCGGAATACGCCTCCCAATGGATAATGGGGATGGGGCGTGAAATTGAGGACCAGATGAAGCTCGAAACGTGGACCAAGGTGGCCAGAAAGATGGTTGAAGAAGCCGGCCACTTCATAATCCCGTTGCGATGGGTATATGCATATAAACTGGATGAGCAGGGCTACGTCACTCGCTTTAAAGCCCGACTTGTGGTCCGTGGAGACCAGCAGCCGGAAGACAACGAGGACACATACGCGGCCACACTACGAGCAAGAACCTTCAGAGTGTTAATGGCCCTCTGCTGTCTTGAAGACCTTGAAACAGAACAGTACGATGTGAAAACAGCGTTTCTGTATAATAAGCTCAAGCATGCCATCTATTGTCAGATGCCACCAGGCTACCTTGAGCCTGGGCTATGCTTGAAGCTTCTCAAGGGACTATACGGGCTTCGAATCGCTCCAAGGCTGTGGTTTGAGGAGCTCTGGCTTCTTCAAGAAGCTGGGCGCTCAACAACTCGTCGAAGATGCCTGCGTGATGACTTATAAAGGAGTCATCATCTTCTTCTTTGTGGATGACATCGTGATGATGTATCCAAAAGAAAAGAAGGCCGAATGGGAAGAACTTCACGCTGCCATTATGAAGGAATATACCATCAACCACATGGGGGAACTTCGCTGGTTCCTAGGGATTGAAGTCATCAGGATAGGGCCCAGAAGAAGCTTTGGCTCGCTCAAGCCTCGTATCTCTCGAAGATGGCCAAGAAATTCCACATTGAGGACGATGATCAGATCCTTGGCGTGCCCCAGATCCCGATAACGACCGAAGAGCTCAAGCCATACGAGAAGACGGCTACTAGGGACGAGGTTCATCAATATCTCTCTCTAATTGGCTCAATTCTTCACCCAGCGATTCACACCAGACCCGACGGTGCGTTCCCGGTTGGAAAACTGGCACAATTCAGCCATAACCCGGGCCCGAAGCATAGGAGAGAGGCCAGGAGATGCCTGGCATACCTCTATCACACGAGAGATCGCTGCATCTGCTTCTCAGTCAAAGAAGCTGAACGCAGGTTCCTCTGCGCTTCTGATTCATCCTTTGCAGACAACCCGGAGACTCGAAAATCCTCACAGGGATATGTCTTCTTGTTTCTAGGCGGACCCGTTGACTGGAAGGCTACGAAACAAGCGACTGTGACGACGTCGTCCACAGAGGCCGAATTGCTGGCCCTGTCAAGCGCGGCGAAGGAGCAAATGCAATTTTCCCGGCTAATTAAAGAGCTTGACATCAAGGTAGAAGGCACCAATGAGCTATGGTGCGATAACCTGCAGACCATCAGGCTCCTGACTGAACTAAGCGCAAAGCTCAAGACGAACCTTAAGCACATCGATATCCATCGTCACTGGCTTCGACAGGAGGTTCAGGAAGAAAGACTCCAGATCACATGGATCAAGTCTACGGAGAATCCCGCTGATGGAATGACAAAGCCCTTCCCAGCAAAAGCACGAAGCTTTTGTCAAGCAGCTAGGGATGCAAGAGACCGGTGGCACCAATTGAAGCCGATGCGCCGGAGGACAGTTTCGACAGTATCACCACCCAGAGAGATATAGATGCTCTCGAGCATCACCCAGGCACAGGATGGACCCATCATTTTGCTGGTATTGACTTGTTAAAATGCTCCTGGTCACAACACCAAGGAAGACATCATGAAGAGCATCTCCTCAACGGTAGTAGCCTCACTCGCTGGATATTTGATAAGATTGGATGATTCGTCTGTCTCTTTTGCTTGTTTGCCTCACTCACCCAGTGAGACCGAGGCAAAGGGGTGTGTCAGAGGAGCAGACTGACGGTCTAATCCGCACACGTATAAACTCCGGTGAAAGAGGCAGGTCAGACACAAGGACTTGAGTCAGGTATCGATACAGTAGAGGAACATTGCCTAATCGGGATACACGGAATTGGCACTGATTCAGGGCCACCACGGGTCCCAGATTGGTATCTATTCGTATAAATACCCCCTCAATGTCGCACAGATAGATAAAAAACATGCATCATCGTTTGGACTCAATTGTGCCTGCCCTTATCCTTCCGCCCGCGCTCTCAGCTTGCTGAGAGTAGTCAATACATACTGGCGGTCCTCCCCCTTCGAGATGGAGGGCTCCAGGGATATCTTGAAAATGCCTCATAACAGCGGCCGACAATTTATGTTGCCAAGAAAGCAAAAGCAAGCCTCTTCGCGTTTTGGTCAGTGCGGACAGACAGTCCCCCATGCCGTCATTTTGTTGACTGCATGAGCCGAGCACTCCTCGTCCCGCCATCCCTCGGCGAAGAGCGGAGAATTAGTGCTGCAATGCAGATAAAGACGGCCTTTGTCTTGTTTGAGCCCCCTTGCTGTGTTCCCAACCGACTTCTTGTTGCCCTGCGCCTGGTGCGTTGTTTTGCTCTTTCCAGACTTTACCTCAATTGTCGGCGCACCTTGTGGGCTTCAACAAACTCGTTTCTCCTACATACATGGAAGCACCCATATCGTCAAGCGTTCGGCGCCATTTATCCAATGACGACTACACACAACCAGCTGTCGGCAGCGATGACGACGAAGGCGCGAGCGCTCTCAAGCTGCCCACCGGCCCTACCCATGCATCCGAAGGCAATGGCTCCCAGGACAAGCTCAAGACTGGTCTCCCCAAATTCATAGAATTCGTTTGGCGAGGTAAGCCATCCAGGCCGTGACACCTGGCCATGATTGCTCGACTTCGAGCCAAGATCGGCTCCTGACGTAGATAACGCTTATCCCATTAGATGGACTTGAACGCACTCTCTCGCTGGTCGGTAGACTAAGTCACCGGCTGTATCCACGTTTTCCTGGTGACGGTGCCTTCCATCAGTTCGACGTCTCGGCCAACGAGGTCGAGCAGCAAGCACAAGGCTCGGTTGCCGGCTCTCTCTGCGATATTCTGTTCTCGTCCTGGCTAAACGCCCTTTTGATATTCGTGCCCATCAGCGTGGGAACCCATATCGCAGGAATGAGCTCGTCGACGATCTTCGCCTCCAACGCTGTTGCCATTGTTCCTCTGTCTGCTCTTCTGACGAATGCGACGGAGAGGGTCGCCGAGCATGTAAGCAACACGGTTGGAGCCTTTTTAAACATCAGCTTGGGAAACCTTGTCGAGCTGATTTTATTGTAAGAGCGCACCTTAGTATCCCCTTGACGACGTTTCGCTAACGCCCCGGGCCAGCATGTAAGTCTCATGGCAATGTCGTCATATTATGACGCGCGAAATGTTGCTCATTAAATCAGCGCTGCGCTAGCCCACGGTCATGTGCGCATAGTCGAGGCCTCTATTCTTGGCTCCGTGCTCGTCAACTTGCTCCTGATCCTCGGCTCGGCCCTCTTAGTCGAAAACACGGTCAACAGCGAGCCCACGTACAACGCGGCACAGGCTCAGCTTCTAGCGTGTCTGCTCTTTGTCTCCATGTTCACCTTCTTGATGCCGGTATGAGACGAGACAATAGAGCCATGTGTTGATGCATTGGTCGGCTCAACTTGCTGATCCGCTGCAGACCGCCTTTGAGTCTACTTTTCATGAGGAGAGCGCTGCGAGTTCAGCCAGCCTACAAATGAGTAGAATATCTTCTCTGGTTATCTTGGCGATTTACATCGTTTACTTGGTGTACGAGATACGACTACGACCTCGTGCTGGAGAAGATCTCCTTGCAAGCCTTGAGGTTGGCCTAGAGAGCAGTCTCTCCACGACAGACCATCGTCAGCTGCGTGTATCTTCGTCGCTCCCGCCTCCGGTTCACGTTCACCATTCTCAGACCTTGTTGCCTCAGACCATTCGATTTGCCGATGAAGAAACAACCCGGCCTGTGGTACAACTCACCTATATGGGCAGCAGCCCGATAATACTGGAACCCGTGTTGCCGATTAGCTCCGAGGACAAAGACGATCACGCCCCCGACTCTCGCGGACGTCAACGCAGCAGCGGTTGCTGTACGTTAGCTCGTGCAAACTCGCGACAACCGCTACTTCAGCCTCGAAAACTCTCGCCCTCGCTATCTATCGGTTCAAATAGGAGCCGTACAAGCCGCGATTCTTCTGTCGTCCGGGAGATGAGGAAAGGATTCTCCCGATCGAGCTTGACGACCATGCAGTACGTGCAAGGGATGCACTTGGACCAAGTCTTGAATGCGCCGGAGACTCAGACCGGTCTAGACCCGAGCGGAGAAGTAATGGCGTCGACTCTCCTGCTCGTCTTGACTTCTCTGTTCCTGTCAATACATGCCGAGCTCCTCGTTGGTACTATCGATGATGTAACGAGTCAAACCCAGCTCTCGGAATCATTCATCGGCATCATTGTACTTCCAATCGTAGGCAACATCGCCGAGTATGTGACAGTCGTCGCTGTTGCCGCTAGGAACAAGCTGGATTTGGCCATTCATGTCTCGATTGGTTCATCCATACAAATCGCGCTGTGCGTCACACCCTTGACCGTCATCGCTGGCTGGATTCTGCATCGAGACCTGGCCTTGACCTTTAGCTTTTTCGAGATGGCCTCGCTCCTGGGGGCCGTCTTGCTCGTCAATATACTCGTACTAAGCGAGTCGGGTTCAAGCATCAAGACCGGAGGGCTGAAGGGCGCCTTGCTGTGCGCCTGCTATTTTATCATAGGGTAAGTACCAGAGAATCGTCCTCGGAACGAAACGTGGCATGACTGAGACTCATTCTCTAGACTTGGGGCTTACTTTGCTCCCGAGACCGTTGTGTGACCGATCTTGGGCAAGCTGAAGCTGCCCCGGGTGAACGGGAGACGGGTTTACCACGAAAACACAAGCCCGTTCCGACAGCAACGTGAGTAGTGAGATTGTGGTCGATGATAGATGGACCTGAACGGGGAATCTGCAGTTTTTTTCGTCATTAATTCACCATATTTTCAGAGTTCTACCACTATGCATCGAAAAGTCCCTGCGTGCAAATCTTGTTCTCACCACTGGACCTTGAGTTTTGGGGCAAACTGCTGCACATCTCTTTGTCCACTACACAAATATACTCTTTAAAGCAACTCTCGGCTCCCCTGAGCTTTGAAACTCGACAGGTGTCTTTTTCTAGGAGACAATAATGCACTTTTCTTTAGTGCCTGCACTTAGAAAAGATGCTGGTGTCAGAGAACCCTTTGCGACGGTCAAAGTACCCACCCGCGCATGCCGGAAAGGTGGCCTTGACCTGCTTTCTGGGAAGCAGTCGTTATACTTTCGACTCACGACATCTTGCAAGCTGATGACGTCCCCTTTCGGAAATACTGTCCCACGGGCGGCGACATGCCCGACCCTTGTAGCTCTTAAGCATCAACAAAAGACTGTCAAGACGTCCCGTCAGGACTGGGGTGTCAAAGCCTGCAGCAGCCGAGCAGCAGCCGTACAGATTTCTCATCTGTGACAGATCGGACTGCATGCACGTTTAATCATCTCGTATGGGAGAGAATACGGTCTGGATCTCACCTCTATGTCGTAAAGCTCATTCTCGTTGCTACAACAGACGGTATAAGAGAAGTCGTAGGCGTTTCCAACTACTCTGACCGTTTATACGTATTTGGTCGCATATTGCTTGCTTCTCAATGTGCCAGTAATGAGTGGCATATCCCAAGGCAGGGAACTGCACCCTGTTTCATAGACTTACAAAGATGAGCAAACTCGGGACCCGCAGTAGGACTTCATCCCTAGGACAAGGGACTCGACGAGTTTGTCGACCGTTTGCAACACCTGAGGTCGAAGTCAGTGTACCTCATCTTGCCATATGTTCCTGTCCGCGTCGAGCGGTTCCATTGCTAGCGCGAGCTCGAATATTGTTCTCAGCGCCTGCTTGTTCGGCGATGGGCCTCAGTTTACTTTTTGGTGCATTTATCGTTATGGATCACGACCAATCCACAGCAGTACCTCGACCTTCCGTAAAATATCGGAATCCACAACCACTCCGGCCTGCAGCGTGAAGATATCGCCCCGCACGCGTTCATCGATCGACATCCCTGATAATGGAAACCAGCGAGAATGGTTACACAAAAGGGGGAGTGGGAAAAGCTTAGGTAACACAGCAGCCCAACGACATCTCGCGTCCCGTGTTACACACCTAAGCGATGCAACATAACCTAATCTTAGTTTCAATCTTGAGGTTTATCCTCTCTTCTATATAAAACCATGTAGTTTCCAAGTCTGTAGTCCATCTCATGGCCATGATCGCTTTAGAAGAGGCTTGGCTCTCCGCAATTCCGCCTTTCTAACGCCCTGGCGGACACCGTATGCTACTCGGGAGGTATGGCGAGAATCTCTCCGAGTCTCTTTTATACCAGTCATTGGGCTTTCCAAGGCTTCCTGCACGTCGGTACCACCGTGATCTCGGATCGTAGATCTCATTGGAGCTAAGAATGACCTGTGCTGAATTGCGGTAGCAACCTATGACCCGAGGCCTCGTAGACCAGGGCTGGAAACTGGGTCTCTTTGGCACGGGATCAGGTCTCTTCGGCACCGGGTTAGGACTTTTTGGCAATGTGGGGGGGCTTTCGGTGGTGCGTCTGATGGGCTTGAAGTTTTGTCTGATCCTAGTGACTGGGCGTGATCTTCCAGACTCGGTGACATGGAATAGTGGCACCGTAACGTTGCAAGGTATCTTTGGCTCAATAGAAAGTCTTTCGTCACATTCTTCGTCGAAAAAGGTCTGGTATGCCGAGCAGGTAAGTGTATCCCTCGACCAACACACCTGAACCTCTCTGCCGCAATGATACCTTGGCAGCCTGCTACACTTTCCAGAAACTTTGACGTGCCAGGTCCAGGTTTCGAGGTAACAACGATGCCAGGGAGGACAAGTGAATTTTCTTCTCATTCTTCTTATGAGTGTCCTGCCGGGGGTTGACTGTTTGTTCTTCTCGTACCGTGCCGAGCCGCTGACATTTCCTAGTCCATTAAGGGCACCTTGGAGGACAATATTCCAGCCATATGGGATGGGGGCCAGGATTTCAGCGGACCTTGTTAAAACCATTTCCTGTGCCTTTTCTCCTGTCTGCACCTGCTCGGCAATGTTGACTTCAGGCCACCCGGTGATGCTAAGCTTATGAGAGTTGAGCATGTTTCTTATGTAGAAATGAACCTCGCGGCATCCATTTCCTTCGTACCCCTCGTCGTCAATGTTGTCCTTCTCGCAAGGCTTTGCTGATTTCTCCCCTGTCACCACATACGCCTTGCTCATGTCGTCGACTGTAACGTTTCTTTCGATGTTAGACTTTAGTTTCAACATCCTGTGGATACTTTCTCCCCGGAAATACGGGGCTCCATGCAGTATACCGTCGGCACAGCCGGTTTGGGCACATACAGTTAGGATTAAAAGAACGACGATCATTATGGGATTGAGAAGACAAGAGCGATGTGGAGATGCACATAAATATTTTATTCACTGCGAAATCGTAGGATTCTACTCGTCTATATACACGATTTAGATATTGTCTGTAACGTCTTAAAGCTCATGTACTGACTCGCAGTCGTAGGTAGGTATCCATTATACGATATATGGAATGCTCATCATGTCAAGGCAGGTTACCGAATCCTTCTCGATCCCTACAGGGTCGCTGTCAGGCCACAGCAGCGGGGCGCCAAGACTTCTGACCATAGTTATTCGAAAACCTTGAGCTCCAAAGCGGTATGTGTATGTGTCTACTTTTTCCGCGGGATGCGATCGACACGCCCTGCATAACGCCGTCGGATGCTCAGCGATAATATTTCTTCCATCTTAGCATAACCTGCGTTGCTCTGCTATGTAATTAGATATTGACTTGATATGTCCACCGAAGCTTATAAAGGCGTGTTTGTCGAGCTTTTCCCTTTGGCATTCCCTTCATAAACCCGAAGTCCTTCACCTTGGCCATGTACGTCGCTTATACGACCAAGTTCTTTTTGGCTTTCGTCGCGATTCCTCTTGCAGCGGCAGGGACTTGCGATCCAAGCGTCCGTTACTGTTATAGTAGTCTTGTCGGACGGCAAGGTAATTCCTCAACTCAAGGCGCATAGGATAACGAGCTCATACTTGCATTAGGCTACCAGGCCAAGGACATCCACAAGGTCACCACAGTTATGGGGAAACGAGACATTTCAAAGCATGCACTTTTTGTCTGCGCTGATGGTCAGCCTATACTCGACGAGCCTTGTATGACTGGTTGCATAGCTGGTGATTCGAGGCAGCAAGATCGGTGTGCGGATCATTAGATTTTGGAAATGAATCATTCAAGCTGTAGAGGGCCAATGCCTATGCACGGTGTAGATGTTGAAGATTTTCGCGATCCCGAGTCCTTGTCTTTGAGTTAATAGAGACATTTACACTCGTCTACAATCTATTCTCCTCAATGCTCTCATATCGCTCGTATTGGCTCCCGTTTCAGACGAGCTGATACAACCAAGTCGAACTTGCCAGTCTTGGTCGATTCGTTGCGAAATTACATGCGCTTAAAGTAGAGTCAAGTTTGGTTTCATGTTTGCAAGACACGGCGTTGAATATATCAATCGACTTAGCTGCCGATCGTTTGAGCTTAACGGAGCACCATGCGGGAAGGCTCAGTTTGCCTGTTCTTCTTGAGCACGATAGATACAGTCAAGCCGGCATCTGTTACAATCCCTTGAGTTCATCGTATACAAAGTTCTTCCGCAAGCCCACACTTACCTGGTGTCACGGGCTGTGCCCGGCTGGTGGACCCGGTTGTACCGGGTCCGGTGGGTCGTGCTCCGGTGGCAACACCGGCCCCGCTCCGCGGACCCAGAAGCTGCGAGAACATTCCGAGAAGGGTAATATAAGCTCGCACTCGAGGCTACGCCTCGAGTTCAGCTTCTTTCCTCCTTAGCTCTAGATAGACAACACCTAGGCACCTGCTTGTTGAATAAACTCCGGGCCAGCCTTTCACATATCTAGAGCTCCTTCTAAATACCGCAAGCTGCAGACTGCTCGTCAGGATGGACCAGCAGAGTGAGAGCCCAAGTCTCCAGCAGCAATGGATTGACCAACGCATTCAAGAAGCGGTCAATGCGACTCTCAGCCCTCTACAGGACCAACTTTCCTTGCTGATGGAGCAACTCGGGCGAGCGCAGCCGCAGGCGCCGACTTGCAATCGCCGCCAGTGGCACGAGGATTGGGCGAGAGCACGCCTGGCTTGGGCACGCCCCTCCCCAAAACCTGCGGTACTGGAATGCGGAAACCGTTGCCCAACCCACCCAAGTATGACGGCTCACGGAAGAGCTACTCCGCCTGGGCCAGGCAGATGCGAGACAAGCTGGACCTTGATGCACACTACTACAGTGGAAATCGCGAACTTTGGTACCTCATCAACTCATGTTTGGACGAGCGACCACAGCAAGTGGTCGCTACCTTTACGCCGCGGAGGCCCTGGGGTAGCTACGACCCCAAGAGTTCATGCGATACCTCGACCGAACCTACCAGGACAGCAACATCCAATCCCGCGCTGCTGCCACGCTGAGAACTATGCGGCAGCGCGAGACCAACCTCTCGCGTCCTTCCTTCCCCGATTCGAACAGGCATTAGCTGAAGCCGGGGAGCAGACTGGCCGGACAGTGCAAAGATCGTATTTCTAGAGAACGCAATAAATGCACGCCTCCAAGAGAGTTTGGTCACAGCCGTCCTACCGACGACTACCAGGGATGGCTTGCGAGAGTTCAGGAAATTGCGGGCAGATTGGAGAGACTGAAACCCGGTAGGCAGCCGACGTCGACTGAGCGGACGCCTCAACAGCTACCAAGGCAACGACCCAGGAGGAACCGGAGGACCCCGACGGAGATGTTAAGATGACGGACATCAACCGTATTGGCCACGAGTCGAAGGGTCGTCGACATGTCGATAAGAAGCCGAAGGATGAGCGCCGCTGCTATCGCTGTGGTCGGACGGATCATCTTATCGTGGACTGCCCAGCCCAGGTGGTCTTTCCTGGCGAAGGGAAGCAACAGCGACCTAAAGCTGCGCGCATGAAGAAGCCCGATGCCGCAGATGATTCGGAATCAACCGCAGCATCCAGTGAGGACGAGTCGGCGGGAAAGACTAGCCCGGGGCGAAAGCGGGCGCCGGGGCCTGCAAAGGCAGACATCCGGGACTGGGAAGCGTTCAAGCCACGAATGAATAGTCGGACTGTATTAGTCAACGCGCGGGTAAACCGAGGCTATCGAATACGCGCCCTTGTCGACTGTGGATGTGACTGCTATGCCGTGATCGACGAAGCCCTTGTTCGGAAGCTGCGGATACCCTTCGTCGACTCGAAACCACGAGAAATTGGGGATTCTCAGAGTCAGCGAAGAGTGTCATATCCCCAGGGTCGTGGCTGTTGTGGTCGAGACAGCTGGATTTGACGAACGTGTCTTTGCATACGTGATCCCAAGCCTGGGCCAGGACATGTTCCTCGGCCGGCCTTGGATGGAGAGAAATCACGTCGTGTACGATGCTGCCAAGCAGCGAATGTACCATGGGAGGGCAGGTGTGACGATACGCCTCATTGGGCAGGAAGAGCCCGCCAAGATACGCGCGATTCGAAGCGCAAGACTCGTGTCGGCAGCCGTATTCACGGCGGAATGTCGACGCGCAAAGAGACGCAAGAAGTGCAACGCGATCTCGATTCATGCAATCAGTTTGTCGGATATAGAGGGCGCTTCAGCCGAAGCCGCCAGTCGATCCGAGCGAGAAGGTCCCGGCAGAAGTGCTGAAAGAATTCCGCGACCTATTCTCACCAGGAGAGGCAATGAAGCTGCCGCCACATCGACCGGGTGTGGATCATGAAGTCAACCTGCAGCCTGACAAGAACGGCAACGAGCCACCCCTTCCGTGGGGCCCACTCTACAACATGTCACGAGAAGAGCTGTTGGTCTTGCGAAAGACCCTGAAAGACCTGCTGGACAGAGGATTCATCCGAGCGAGTAGCTCAGCGGCTGCCGCGCCGGTGCTGTTCGTGCGGAAGCCGAATGGAGGGCTGCGATTTTGTTGCGACTACCGAGCGCTGAATGCAATCACCAAGCGCGACCGATACCCACTGCCCCTCATCGCGGAGACCCTGCAGAATCTGGCCAAGGCTAAGTGGTTCACCAAGTTGGACGTGGTGGCCGCTTTCCATAAGATCCGCATGGCTCCGGGACATGAGGAAAGACTGCATTTCGCACGAGGTTTGGGCTCTACGAGTGGCTCGTGTGCCCTTTCGGCCTGAGCGGCGCCCCGGCATCATTCCAACGATACATGAACAGTGTATTGCGCGAATGGCTGGACGACTTTGTCACAGCGTACCTGGATGATGTACTGATCTACTCGAGCGGTTCGAAGGCGGATCATGAGGCTAAGGTGCGACGAGTTCTCCAAGCACTCGCCGACGCTGGGCTGCACCTAGACCCAGCGAAGTGCGAGTTTTCGGTACAAGAGGTCAAATACCTTGGGTTCATCGTCAACGCAGGAAAGGAATCGCCTGCGACCCCGAAAAGCAGCGCGCCATCCGCGAATGGGAGGCCCCGACCACGGTGAAGGGTGTCAGAAGCTTTCTGGGCTTCGCCAACTATTACCGGATCTTCATCCCCGACTATGCCAAGATCACGCAGTCTCTGGATGCCCTGCTTAAGAAAGGAACTGCCTTTCATTGGGGACGAGCGGAGAACGAGGCGTTTCAGGAGCTGAAGCGACGATTTTGCGAGTCACCGGTGCTCAAGCAGTGGGACCCGAGCCTCCCGACCTTTTTGGAGACGGATTGCTCAGGCTACGCATTGGGAGGCGTCCTGTCGCAGGAAGGCCCAGATGGACGTCGACACGCATGCGCCTTCTTCTCGAAGCGACTTTCGCCAGCGGAGTACAACTATCCCATTCACGACAAGGAGATGCTTGCCATCATGAGATGTCTCGACAACTGGAACGCCGAACTTAGGAGCTGCGGCCCATTTACAATCCTTACCGATCACCGCAACCTGGGTATTTCGCGACCCGCCAGAAGCTCAGGGACCGGCAGAGCCGTGGGGCAGCCAATTTGCCCCAGTTCGACTTCAAGCTCGAGTATCGCCGGGGAAGCGGGGCTGTCGTGCCTGATGCGTTGTCCCGCCGTGAACAAGACAAGCCACAGGGCATTGACGACGAGCGGGAACAAGGAAGAATGATACAGTTGATACCGGATAGTGCCATTCCATCATCGACAAGAGCATGTATCAACGCGATGAGTTCTGACTGTTCAGAGGCATCCACCCTGCCGAAGATGAAGGTCTTCGAGGTAGCGGACCTGCAGCAACTCTGGGACGAAACGGTGGCGAAGGACTCGATATTCCGGGCAGCCTATAAGGCAGTCCGCGATCGCGAGCGTGCCTTCCCGCCCTCGCTGGGCCTGAAGATCCAGATTTCAGAATGTGCGATCGACGCAGGCAAAGGCTGACATTCAGAGACCGTATTTGGGTGCCGGGTGGATCCGGAGAGGAGGGTAACCAGGAGGAAGCTGAGAAAGACCAGTTGAGAACCCGCATTGTGCAGCAGTCGCATGACTCTGTTGCGACCGGTCATCCCGGCAGGAAGGTACGCTGGCTATTGTGGCTCGGCGATTCTACTGGCCTGGGCAGTCCCAGCTGGTTCGCCGGTACGTAGCCAATTGCGACACCTGCGGCAGAGCACACATCTGGCGCCAGTCGAAAGGGATTTCTCAAGCCTCTGCCGATTCCAGATCGACCCCGAAGCCATTTGTCCATGGACTTCATCACAGATCTGCCGCCTACTGGACCGAGCAAGGCAAGGTACCTGTGGGTGATTGTGGACAGACTGACAAAGGCTGTGACCCTCGAGGTGATGGACAACATGGAAGCTGAGCAGTGTGCAAACCGTTTTCTCCAGTGTCATTACCGATTTCACGGAATGCCACGGTCCATCGTCAGCGACCGCGGGAGCAACTGGCTAAGTAGGTTCTGGAAGAGGTTCTGCCGTCTTGCAGGTGTCACGCAGAAATTGAGCACGGCCTATCATCCTCAGACGGACGGAGGGCCAGAGAGAATGAACCAGGAGATCGAGGCCTACCTGAGAGCCTACGTGTCGTACGTGCAGGACGACTGAGAGAACTGCTCCCTGCCGCGCAGCTGGCACTCAACAATCGTGAATCCGCAGCGACCAAGATCAGCCCCTTTTCGCTGAGCATGGTTACCACGTCGATCCCATCAGCGTCGAGGAATCGGAAGAGCCACCGAGGCATAGAGAGGAAAGCAGAGCTGATAGCCTACTCAGTCGCCTGCAGGAGGTCAATGAGTACATGCAAGCAGTGATGGCCTCCTCACAGCAACAACAAGAAGAGGCTGCCAACGCAAAGCGACAGCCTGCGGAGCGATTTGAAGTTGGTGACAAGGTGTGGCTCTCGATGGCAAACTACAGATCGCCACGACCGTGCAAGAAGCTCGACTGGCTGCATCACAAGTACACAGTCACGAAGGTAATTAGTTCGCACGTTGTTGAGCTCGATGTTCGTGGCTCAATTTACCCGCGATTTCATGTTGACCTTTGCGGCGGGCGCATCAAGATCCGGCTCCTGGCCAAAGGTAGATGACGCACAGCCACCACCGGTACAAGATGAGTCCGGCACGAATCTGTGGGATGTCGACGAGATTCTCTGCGCGAGATGGAAGAAGCGGGGACGAGGGGAATTCAGGCAAGCACTAGTGCGATGGACGGGCTACGCAGAGCCGACTTGGGAGCCAGTTGAGTGGTTGCAAGGAACAATTGCGATGAAGGCATTCGAGGACAAGTACGGGCCAATCAAGACCAATGATGGCCCTAGGGAGAGGTACGAGACGCTGGCAGGAACGCAAGAACCCGCAGACGCCGACCTGGTCGGAGGGGACAAGGGGTAATGTCACGGGCTGTGCCGGCTGGTGGACCCGGTTGTACCGGGTCCGGTGGGTCGTGCTCCGGTGGCAACACCGGCCGCTCCGCGGACCCAGAAGCTGCGAGAACATTCCGAGAAGGGTAATATAAGCTCGCACTCGAGGCTACGCCTCGAGTTCAGCTTCTTTTCCTCCTTAGCTCTAGATAGACAACACCTAGGCACCTGCTTGTTGAATAAACTCCGGGCCAGCCTTTCACACCTGGAAAATCTCACTCCCATGAGTTTACTGCGCGATTTTATCCGCGATGAGCTGTCCTTAGGACCCTTTGGGTCTCGGTAGGCTGACACGCACGTCCGTCTTCTGACGTCGATTGGGCGTCTGCCGTACTGATCTTGACTTCGCTCCTTATGTTCTTCGATCTATCTCACGCCAACTGAAAGACGTCTCTGCCAAGTCTGACGGCGTTCGTAGGAGTTGGGCTAGTATTATCGTCCAATCTATGTATCTCGATTGACCCAAACAGCGAGCAGTATATCTAGTCCCTCCTCCACGTGAGCGTGAGCACAAGAATCCCCCAGTCGAGTGCAAATTGCATTCGCAGCCTCGGACCTGACTTGAGCGACCTCAACGACGCGCCGCCCCCTGGTTCTGGCGACCGCGGGCTTGGCAGGCAGAGCATTTAGATGGCTCGCCTATGAGATAATTGGTGATGCGTCCTTGCTTGCAATTGCCGATATGCGGAAAAGGGGCAGTATGCCAGGAAGGTTCGGCACCCGAGCATGGTTTATAGTCAGTCTCAATTGAGGAAATGCAGGCGTTGCACTGGCTGCAGTAGGTGGTGATTTCGTCTCTGGTGCACATGATTGCGTGGTTTGCTTTTCTCTCTTTTCCCCTCGGTTGGTAATTCGTCTCCTCTCGTGATTTATGCACGGCGATGATATCGTTCTCGGAGTGCTGGCTTGCTGCAATGATTGACTGGTAAGGGTGAAGGATTTAGTGATTGAGTCGAATAGAGTGCAGAAGTGGGTGGTGAAAAGAAGGAGAGCTCTCAACACAGCGAGGGAGGAGTCCAATTTATTCTACAACTTACAATACTAGAGATTGAGTAACCCTTCATCTCTCCTGTGCGAGTCATTCTGATTCGGTCCCTCGCGTGTATGAAAGAACAAGAAAAGTTCCACGTCAGTTATGAACATATGGCGAACGTTGACACTGAAAGGAGCTGTGACTGCGGGTTCAGGCCGTGCTTACCGTCCTGTTCGAGGAGATCTGCTATGATCAAAAGCTGCTCGAGGGCTGTATTTGAGCAGTTACTTTGTACGCTTCACAATTAATGACCTGAAACTGATTACATGGCTACACGGCGACATGAAAAGCGGCTTTGTCGTTGTGGCCTCCAGCGTTCACTCCTAGGTGCGGAAAGGTATGCATGTGGAAAGCCCGAACAAAGAGCTCAGCGTGATTGTGGACCGGAGGTTGCAAAGAGCACTGAATTCAAGGAACAACTAGGTAACAAAGACCGAACGAGTTAATGAAAAAGCGAGGCAGAGTTTGTCTGTGGATGGGGCGCTGCTTTAGTGAAACAGCCTTCGGACTGGGCCATACTTTTGGATTAAACGCCTTATCTTGCAACGTTCAACGAGCATCTTCACTGCGTGTGCGGATCATGGTGGCCCCGCCAGTGGCATTGCCGTGCCACGCGTATGTGAGTACGTGTGGTTGGGCAGCGTTTCTCACCGGAACACGACTCAAACGTGAACGAGTTCATCATGAACTCGCTCTTGAAATAGGGGACGAACGATGCCGCCCACCTGTGAATGTAAACCGCGAAGAGGGGACAGAGCTGCGCTCAGGAATTAGGCGCAAGTGAAGAGATGAGAATACTAGAATGCATTGAACTCATATTGATTCCGCCTATTTTCATAAATGCAGTACGTGTAGTAGGTCTGCGATGACCCGTCCGCAACAGTCATTCAAGCCTGTGCAGCCGCTCTGTAGCTTCTGAGTTTCTCGACCACTCATTCTTACTGTCATGAAATTTCAAATGGTTGCACCAAAGGTCTTGCTTCAATGGTGCCGCCATGTCATCAGGCCCTCGGAGGGTTGCGATGCAGGTTGGTGAGAAAAGGATAGCCTTCACCTATGGCGGCGACAAATGCTTCACCTCGTCTCCTAGTCCCAGCAACTCTCAACCAAGCGCGGTGACCCTGCAAAGCCAAGCTACCCTCTTTCCGATACACGTGATAAAAACAGGGCAAGGTTCGTGGTCCCGATGCCGGCACGAGGCCCGCCCCAGCCACCCAGCTCTTGAGCCTCTGCCATGCCAGAAAATGCGACCATTTCTCACCACCCCACCACATCTGCAAATACCACCACCTGCAAATACCACCCACACCTGCAAATACCTTTACTTGTCATAAGACAATTCGCGTTAAACCGCCCATCGAAATAGAGGGAGAAACTGTATAGAAAACCAGGAGAAAATCGCAAAAAAGAAAAAGATTTAAAGACATACAGCAGCCGGATTAGCCCGTAACTGCCCCCCACCGGTTCCTGACCACTTACGCGAGAGAGGCAAAAATGCCGGTAACCGCTATGGCATACTTATTGAGTTACCGGTAACCCATTTACGCTATTTGCGAAGCCTATATGGCCACCCCTAACATATACCGTTGCCAGTGGCGCTTGGCGATATTCCCCGGATGATTTGCAGTTGCCGGTACTACCTGTTGGAAGGGGAAATCTCGTACTGCAGTGATCCGTCCGAAAGCCAAAGTACTCGGCCCCCCTCTCCGGCTCCCCTGCTAGTCAACCCCGAGTAACATGAACGCGTGGAGGATCAAGGAGTGGTGATTAATGTTTCTGGGGATCTAGCTGGCGGGTAAGATTTGACACTGATTGGGCATGTTTCACCGCCAATCAGCCCTTGCCATCCAACCCAGAACTCCCTATCCCCTCAGTTGATACTGACCATCCAACTTAGCGGACCTCCGCTCTAGTCTTCCTATATCCTCCGATTATGGGTTTAATTGGTCAAAAAGTCATTTCGACACCACCGAAGGACCTCTATCGGTGGCCCGCTAAAGTCATTTCTATACTGACTGGCGGCGATGTTGACAATAATAGCACGATCTCTGTAAGGTATAATGGCCGATGTTTCTGCATTTATATGTCGCCGCGTTTCCTGCGGAACTCACTAAAAGCAACGACCCTATATCTCAAATACCTGCAAGTGATTTAACTGGAGGGTCCTAGAAAGTTTGAAGGAGTCCGCGAGGAAAACGCCTACGAATAGATTATTGGGTTATTCCTGCCAATTTTCATGCGATTGGCGCCCGAGCCGCTTCCTTCATTCGACGCCGATAAAATCAGATCTGGCAAAGCTAAGCCCGTACTTTTAGAGTACCTCTTCCCGGAAACATTCGGCTATAGACTTAAAGCTGTGGATTAGACGTTTTCCCTACTGTATACCGACGACAATGGTAACCTTGCCGCCCCTTAAACGTGGCTGAACGATGAGACGCTGGACGAACTCGAGACATGGGCGCGATTTTTTGAAATTTCGGAGATAGAGGTTTGTTTCGCAGATCTAGAGCATGCACTGGATAGAATGCCCATAAGAGTGAAAGTTAGGTTAGATAGGCTCGAATAGGCGATAACCGATTTCGAGGGCGGCTACACCCATGGTTGGGTTGATCCTGATAAGGCGGGAACAGTGGAAGGAGATCTGCAAGGACTGCAGCGAATCATCAGATTCATCTTGGAGGAGGCTCAGGACGATTCTTGCGACAACCATGAGAACTGGCCGAGGGAAGCCAGTTGATGTACATAGTATGTATATCCGATGAAACAGATTCTCGGACTTGCGCTTCGCCATTCAATCGACAGTATTCGTGAGTGATTTCGGTAAAGTGTCACTTTCATATCAGGACCTATTACAATAAATCGGAAGTCACGGGGACAGGTATTGTCATGTATACGCTGCGGGAGCACAGACTTGACCTCCCCGCCTTCTTCTCGCACACCGAATGATGGTGATTTTTGCTTTCTCCCTGAGATGGTACCTTTTTTCTAACGAATGGTTTCTTAGAGGAAAAGCCGTTGAGGATCAAGACGAAGTGAAGAGAAGAGAAGAGTCCTCTGGACGACCTGCTCGGAGCAGTAGGCGAGCGGTGGGACTAAACGACCCTAAATATCAACTACCTTCACAGAAGATCGCCAATAATCCAAATCGTGAGGTCCTTAACTCATCCGCTGAAGCTGCACGTAAACTACGGGTTAAAGAAGAATATCAAGAAGAGAAGGCCAGCTAGTATAAGGACAGATTATATATGCTAAATACTACTAGTTACTAATCCGGCTCCGTAAGGTTTGTTGAGAGCTGTGCTGACGCTGAGTTCGTCTACTGTCTCTCTTTCGCTTTCTAACAGCTTTTCCTGCCGACCTTGTTATCCTCTTGCTTGGGAAGGCGGATCGGTCCGGTGCTGGAGACTGGCTATCGGAGTCGTCATCGCTATGTCGATTTGAGTGACTGTCGCCTAGACCCAAGCAGTGGTGATGGGAACGGGTTCGAATCCGCGAGCGCGTGAAGCCTTTCCAGCGCTGCGGTTTATACGACAATGTGCGGGGTGACTTGCGCATAGTTTCCGGAATATTGCGCATCACGTCCTCATACTCCATAGCCCAAGTGTTAAGACGCTGAGCAGCATTAAACCACTTTTGGGGGGGGCAGATCTTCTCGAATTGTTCGAAGGATGAAGGCAAGAACTTGTGCGACAGCCGTGCGATGAAGTCTTGTATCATCATCGTCCACCACGTCCAGGTTCGGAATAAGTACAGAGTAGTACACCTTCGCAGGGTCCGATGGGATGTATAAGACAATGAATGCTTCCCCCGTGCACATATAGCCGTACTGGGTGCCTATCCGTCTCATATAGGAGAAGAGTTGGGTGATGACGGCTGCATAGAGCGATGGTTCATTAACCTCCAATTTTAAAGTATGTTGGCTCAAGGTCTGGAGGCACATATGGCCAGAAAGATCGGACAGTCAACTCTATGGAGGAGCCTGACGGGATCCGGTGTATTCTTACAGATGTGGCCGTGCTCGCGTGTGCTTGTACGAGCCCTCAGGAAATGACCAAGCCGGGTTAAAGAGGCCGGCGCAATTATCCAGCGACAAAGGCGACATAATAAGCCAGTAGACCATGCGTCCGTCTGGCAGGGTTTCGCTTGAAGGGTAAAGGGCGTGTCGGGCCGTTTTCCAGGGGCACATCGACATGTGCTACACCCCCGTATAAAGTCAGACGCTGGCTGGCCACCTGCATTGCCCGCGAGAACTGCGAGCAGCGCTCGGTCGACATGAATTCGGGGTGGTAGTCGTGGTGATGGACTTGAGCCGACACGCCGGGCTCGACGTTGTCGACCCAGGGGGTGATTCGGTAGCTGGGGCCAAGCAAGGACGAAGAGATAAGGCCAAGTACGGGTTGAGAAGTAGTTTACGGCAAAGGACGAGAACGGGTCAGTGGCTCCCTGCATGCAAACACTTTTCACATGCCGCCTCTCAAATATACAAGGGATCCTTGACGGCTCAATTCACTTCTGGCTCTCTGATACGGGCCAACTGGCGAAAGGGACGAGTTATCTGAGACTACACACGCCTCTTCTACGCTCTAATCAGCTGCGTTGCAGCCCAAACCATCCTACTACGAATTGGAAGATGGCTTTTGCAATTACGAGTTGATAGACACTCTTTTATTTATGTAGTCCAACATATCCTCAACCGCCGTTTACCCCGACTTATCCTCGTGTCCCACAGGGCCTTGTGCACGCGGTGGAGCATCTCCTGGCTAACAAACGACTTTTCCCCATCGTAACCGATGATTAACAACTTGCCTTGGCCCTCTGCCTTGGCCATGCTGCCGGGCACGTTGACGTCGCCGACAGGGAGCAGGCCACAACGCTGGCAGCTAAGTGTGACCTTTAGCCGCTACTCGTCGAACCCGCGCCCTCGTTCCAAGATAGCAACGACGACATCATTTTCCTGGCCAACGAAGGAATCGGCGGTGACGGCCTGGGGCATTTTGGCGAGTGCGGCGTGCTCTCCGCTGCCATCCTTTTGTGGCTCCAATCATCCTTCCGAGTTCCGACACACCGACATCGTGGCCGCCTTGCCCACACTCAGTGTCGCGCGCAAGGCCGATTTCCTCTCTCCATATTCCGGGACTTCAGCTTACCTCGGGCAATGAGGCCATGTGAGACGAACGCCTCGGGATCTCCAAGGTAGCTACCCTTTTCGAAGGATGGTTGAAGCGGCCGCTCTTTCACGAAACCAGCTGGTTGAATGTACATCGAGAGCGTGGCGGACGCCCGAGACCGGCCTTTACAGTGCCATTGTATCGATAACTCGAAAAGGGACATCACAGATACAGATTCCGATATTCTAACGAGCATCTGACGCTGGCATCGGTATTGACATGGCTGGAGAAGAGAGCACTGGAATGTTCAGTCGACACCATGCGCCTGCTTGTGCCCTTGACTTGAAATATTGAGAGCATAGGTTAATGGCTCGATGGCACAATATACGGCTGTCATGACCAAATTGCTTGAAAAAATGGTAATAGCTTGGTGCCAAGATCCACAAGTGTCATGACCAAAATCCGGATCCATCCATAGACAGGCTTTTCGTGCGAGCTATAACATACATCACGTCATATAGTCCTTTACATCCACCCGATTTTTCTCCAGAGAAACGTGATTCCGCTCATAGCGGCCGTGGCCCCTGTGAATGCAATCAGGGGACCGTAGCCACTCCCGTAAGCCCCGAACGCCTTGCCCTGCCAGGGCATATCCTTGATGAGCACCTGACTTAATGGACCTGATACCACGCTGCCAATCCCACGCCCTGTTGCTAATATTCCCAGTACCATGGTACAATCAAAGGTAGCTCCGCTGGACCCTCTGCCGCTCTTGCCAGGTTCAGAAGTAATCTGGCGCATGATTCCTGTCCAGGCCGAGGTGTAGGAGCCGGCGAACAGACCGTAGATGACGCAGAAGAAAAAGAGGACGGGCAGGCTGGTGGCGAGGCCCCAGAGCACAAGGGTGCCCAGTGCGGCGCCGATGGCCGAGATGAGGAGGCAGTTGGTGACGTGGAAGTGGTCGGTGAGGGAGCCCATGGCGGCACAGCCAAAGACGGAGGCAACGTTGATGAGTAGGATGGTGAGCGCCGAGGCCAGAGGGCTAGCGCCGATTGTGCGGGCATACGTGGGGAGGTAGATGCTGGGGAGGAAGAAGCCCAGGGCCTGGCAGATGTTGGCGGCCTGATGCAGGAGGAAGGTTCGCCGGATGGCAAAACCCATCTTGAAGGGCTTGATGTGCGCCGTGGCCGTGGGCGGCAGCCGGGGCTTGATGAAGTAGGCCAGGGGCATGGTGAGGATGAGCAGGGCGACGGCCCAGATGCGGAGGGTCGTGCGGAATCCGTAGCGGCCGAGGAAGTGCTCGAACAGCAGCGGGAGGGCGAACCCAGCCAAGCCCGTACCCGACCACATCACTCCATAGGCGAAGCCCTTGCGCTTGACGAACCATTCGTCCATGTACAGGATGCAGGGGCAGTAGGAGATGGAGCCGCCGATGGCGTAGAAGACGCCCTGGGTGATGATGAGATGGACCGGGGTCGTGGAGAAGGAGCTCGCGGCGAGGGAGATGCACATGATGAGCAAGCCGATGACGGGGGACCACCTGCTGAAGGCCGGGTAGAGACGCTGAATACCAATGATGAGAGGGATATCTAGATACATTATTCCCTGTAAAGAGTGAGCCGGACGCAGTTCGAAGCAACTTTCTGAAGAGCCAAGCAAGAGGGCTGGGGTGATGCATACCAAGGCGCAGGTTCCTATCAGGGGGACCTGGGAAGACTGAGTAAAGATCTCGTGGGAGGTGTAGTAGTCCTGGAACACGCCAAAGGCAAAGGGAAAGCCTGCGCGGCAAGCAACGCGAAGCCCGTCAGCAAACTCCAGTCCATCACCACCACATACCACAGCACCACCCTCTCTGCGAAACAAGACGCAACATACCCCAGGTCAAGGCCTCGACAAAGAAGCTGGCGGCCAGGAAGAACCACGCGTGCTTGCCGCAGTCGGCCGGCGCCAGCGAGAACTCGTGCCGCGCCGCCGCCGCCGCGCGCAGCCCCTGGCCCGGGTCATCGTCCTGCAACAGCGAGGGCGCCGAGGTGCCGGGGGCGGACACGTACGGCGTCGAGGCTGCCGCCGGCGACTCGCCGAGCTCGATGGAGTCTGGCCGCGCCATCAGCAATGCTTCGCTTTTCGTGAGCGGGCTGCTATGTCTTGTATTGATGTCGTGGTCCTGGCCGTCGTCGAGTCGCGAAAGCTTATACCCGCTCCTGGACCAGTTTCCGCGCTCGGATAGAAAGAGCAATCGTCAAGGCGGCAGGATGAAGACAGGCCAGGAAGGGAAGAAAGCTTATTAGTTACATGTTTATCATTTATACTCCCATGTGAGCGCCGACTCGCCGTCTCCACCAGGGCGCCCCGTTGAGTTGTGGAACCGCGTGAGGAAAAAAGAAAACAGACTAGTCAGTCCCTCGAAGAACCGACGCTTTCCGTGGCCGTAGGCCCTGGTGAGGATAATTGTGGTGATAAAGAGGGTCCAGGTCAGTGGAAGGCCCGGCGTCTGGCCGGTGCCGGCGGCGGTGTCGGAGGCTCCACCGTGCTCTGTACCTGTACACGTTATCGCCAGGTCAAGTGCCGGGCGGCCCTGTAACTTATTAAATTACAGTATAGTAGTATGTTTCTTCTCTGCTTGTTCGTGAAAATGAGTCTATTGTGGGCAGCACACTCACCCTGACGACGTAATTCTGCCCAGCTCCTCTCGTTCTCTCCTCCCCTTCAACATCGGCTCCGGTCATCTTCCGTGTCCCATAATCTCGTCTGCTTGCTTTGTCAAGTGCCAGCCTCGGCCAAACCCTGGCACGCCTCATCTCCACTTGTCATCCATCGTCAATCGTCAAAAGGCGCGTTTGACACGCTGCCCCCTGACGCCCTATGCGGATCCACCAGACCGCACGCAAGACACAGCAACGCCCTTCACTCACCGCCCCTCTCCTTCACAGTCTACCTACATATCACCGCCTTGTTCGCTTCCGGGTTCTCCCAGGGTATGCACAAGCTCGAGTTACCCCTGAATGACACGAAGCAAAGCCGTCAACCAACACAAGCCGTCACTCCGGACTCCGGACGGCTGCGGCCGAGACGTCACGCCGCATGAAGTGCCTTCATTTCAAAATGCGCTTCCAATATGTACAGGTAGTTGATGCAACAATAGCAACTGGATTGGTCCGCGCTGCACTCCCCTACGAGTAGACGGGCCATCGACTGCGTCTGATCCCTACTTCTTGTGACTCTGTTCCTTTTTCACACGCTGCGCCATGTTTTCCGCTTTTTCTCCTCCTGCTTCTCGAGAAGCATCATGGTCACGACGGCCGATCGGTGCGCCCCTTCCCGGGCTTTCCGGGGAGACAAGAACAAAAAGGGACAATGAAAGAATCGAACCAAGGGTGATGCGTTTGGCAAAGGAAGGGATGGGAGGCAGCCGAAGTTGTGACGGGGTGGCCTGAAACAGAAAGACGCAAGAGAACATCGGAAAACAGGAGAACGAATCCTTGAGGCTCTTTGCCGCAAGAGCATAGACGCCTCCGAAGCCAAGGGCGTGATCCCTTGCATCCATTCATACCGCGTCATCATTAATTTGTGTCCCGTCCGTCCGCCAACGCCGGGCGGACACGCATTGGTCGTGCCACTCCGTTTTCCATCATGCGCAAACCGTACCGGCGAAAGCATTTGGAGCCTCATCACCAGACATTGCGATCCCAGTTAGGGTCTGCATTTCGCTCGTCAGTCGCCTCGTCTCTTCCCGTCATGACGCGGGGACCTACCCTGCACAAATGCCGCGAGGACCTTGCTCCCCGTCTGGAGCAGCGGGTGTCCCACGACAATCTTGAGGAACTTCTCGAGGCCGGCACGCCTGTTCTCGATGACGTCGTCGCTGAAGCGGTTGGTAAAGACCTTGCCCGGCAGCGGCGGGATGGTGACGCGCGCGCTCTCGCGCTCGAGGATGTCGCGGAAGTACTCAAAGTCGGAGTAGCGTCGCCGCACGCTGCTCTGCCGCAGTTTGAAGGCGGGGATGTTGGTGCGGCAGAGGATCTCGTAGTCGGTGTACATGTGGCGCCCTATGCCGTGCGTTCGCGGGTTCCGGACCTGCCAAGGGCGCGGGAGCACGTCAGAAATGGCCCTCTACCGTTGTCGCCGTGCCTTATGCTCCGCGCCACGGTGTCGCGACCTCAAACAAGCTGGGCGAATAGAGCGGCGTGCTCACCTCAATCTCGAGAAAGTTCTCGGGCGGCCCGTAGATCTCGTCGAAGCTCTGCTGGCGAGTATCGGGCATGGCCTGCATGATGGGCCGGTGGAGGTTGGGAGGGCTCTTGGGCGCGGCTCTGGGCGGCGATGCGGGCTCGTCGCCGGCGGCAGCCCGCCCCGTGTCCTGGTGGTCAGACAGCTTGGCGGTGGTGATGATTTATTCGGGGCGTTTCTCGAGCGCAGAGTCGTCGGCCGACAAGAGGGGGCCTCGATGGCAACGGCGGGCGGCGCAAAATGGCTGGCGGGGGGGCGCCAGGGTCCGATGGCCTGCCTGTGGGAGAGCTGCTGGCCGCGGCGGCGAGTGAGGGAGTGCTTGGACGGCGGCTGGGCGGGATGACGCGACCGAGGATGGCAAAGTCGGCTCCTGGTGGCTGGTGGGCGGTGGGCGGCGGGCGGCGGGCGGTGGAGGAGGTTTTTGCGGGTTTGCGCATCGGCGAGTGGGGTTGGTTGAAGCCTCTTGTCCTCCAACCGGGCTACTCTTGACTGCGTCACGGCACAGAGGGCCATCAGATGAACGTGCTCGACAACGTACAGTCAAACGAACCCACAACTCCCCATGTATCGTGGGCCGCGACTCTAGAGTGCGCCCTTTATATGGCTACGGCGCATCGCCGACAGCTACGACTCGATCCTGTTGTTCTCGTTTGCCCCATTTCTCGGTGAGGCGCGCCCTGATACCTCGCGTGCGCCTTGCTATTGTACATGTTTCAACCGCTACATCGTAAGGAGGCCGTCACCCAATCCCCACGTCTGCGCCAAGGTTGCCAGAATGACGAAAAGGGCCGTCCGAGGCGTGCGTCGTTGATGCCGTCGCTTACCACAGTTCCTGCCCAAATCGCCTCCTTGCGAATCCCGGCCTTCTCCCACCCTGATTTCGCACCTGTCCCTGGTTGCATCCCCGCGGGCCCGACACGTCAGGCATCGAGAAAAACAGACAAGGCGGCTGAGGCGTGCTGAGCGACATGAGTTTCCCGAAGCCAAAGAGGCAAGCCAAGTCTTCTCACCTTTCTGCTGCCCTGCCATCAAGCTTGCAGCACATGGGCATGCACAATGCATGCTCCTCAAGGAAATAATCTCAAGACGATCCGGAAAGTCAAGACGGCGCGGGCCGGCCGATTTTCACCTCATCATCCCCTGCGACTGCCACTACCCAGGGCTACAAGCCGGCCCGCCTTACTTCTTGTCTGAAAATTTCTGGTGGATCGCTCGAATTTGCTCTTCCACGTTGAAACTCTGCAAATGATTCATGTGAGCCTGGCTCTTGCCTTCGGGGTTGCCGTCGAAGCTGTTCATGGCAGCCTTCTTCCGTCGCGCGAGCTCGTCCTCGCCAAGGGCCTGGCCGGTGACGGGGTCGAACACGTCGCTTCGCTGGCTCGCCAGGCGCTTCAGGTTGTTGGCCACGTCGGCGTGGGAAATATTGGAGTGCGCGTAGCGAGAATCCGCTTTGGCCTTCTGTTCCTTCCAGCTCGGGTCCAAAAGCTCGACTGAAGCGGGAAATGTTAGCTCATCTCTCTCACGACCCGTGAAACACGCATCGGAAGATTTACTTCGCATGTGGGCATCTAGCTCATTCATGGGAATGTGCTGCTTGCAGTTGGGGCACAGTGCCATTTGCGCCCCCTGCCTGGACGCGGCTCGCTGCGCGGCCCGGGGCACGTAGTTCTCCCTGATCTTCATGGGAGCGGCGCCGCCTCTGGCTTCGGCCTGTGCCTGGTGCACGCGAGCCTGTGCGTCGGCTCTCTCCTGGATGCGGCGCGTCTCTTCCTCTTCTTGAACCACCCTCTCAGGCTGCTGAGGGTTCATAGGATACAGAGGCGGCGGCGGCGCCTGGCCGGGCTGATAGTAGGCCGGGGAAAGCGGTGCCGGTTGCTGGGTGGCGGAGCCAGGGCGGGGGGCCAGCAGATGCGAGGACTGCTGGGCGGCAGGCATGTCGAGGTCCTCGTTGGGCATGGCCTCCTCGATGCGGAAGTTGGGGTTGATGGAGGCCTTGTTTCTGTCCTCGAGAGAGGCATACTCCAGTTCCGACAGGCTGGTCGGGGGCGGCAGGTTGGCCGTCTCATCGGCGTCGGAAAAGGTGATGGTCTCGACGACGACAAAGTCGCCCCAGTCAATGCGCGAAAACTCAACCTTTTTCTGCTGCTCGTCCTCTTCCTTCTTCTGCTTCTCCGCCTCCTGGTACAGGGAGTACTGGGCGCGCTGTCTGGCTCGCTCGAGGAGCTGGTACGGGTTGTCGGCGTTGGCCGTGACGGCGGCAAGCATCTCGTCTCTCAGCTGCGAGGCGCCGTAGTATTTCAGGACCTTGGAGTACTGCTCCACCATGTGCTGGAAGAAGTTGTGAAAGGTGTGGTTGGGAATCAGAAACTGAAACTGGGGATTGCCCGTCTCGCGCTGGGCCAACTGGGTCATCCACTGGCGCCCAAACTGAGCAGTGTACTGCGCCGTCAGCTTAAGAGCGTCGAGGTCCTTTTGGTTGATACGCGGCATCTTGGCCGAGAACTCGAGCTCGGGGGGAGCGGGCGGCCCCTTTGGCTTCTCGGGCTTGGGAGCCTCGCCGGCTCGGCCAGCGGCAATGTCGGTGCCGCGGCCGGCCTTGATCTCGCTGAGACGCCATTGGTAGAATGGGTAGTAGGCGTCGGCAGGGCTGAGGAAGCTGAACTTTGGATTCTGGCTCTCCTTGTCACGGATGCGGTCCTCGAAGACGGCGCCGTTTCGCGCAACGTAGCCGGCCGTCTTCTCGAGCACGTTGCGAATGTCGCGCGGGGGCAAGACGACTCCGGCCGGCGGCTTGAGGTCGTCGAGAGTCGAGGGCGCGTCGCCGTTGGCCGCAGGGGCTGCCATCTTGAGGTGGCGGCGAGGTGGCGATGCCGAGAGAAAATGGGAGATGCGCGCACGAAGAAATGCACGACACAAGGCAAGCACGATGCCGAGAGCAGCTGCTGCTTGGCAGGTGTTTGATTGGCACCAGCTGCTCCGAATTTTGGCCGGGACCGGGCTTTGTTTGATCCGCCCGGCCACCTTCGCTCGGACCGCGATGCTCAATTCACCACCAAACACGGGACAACGCTTCACCAGTCAATCATCGTCGCCAACACTCGTTGAGATTGCCCGCTGGAGTGCGGACCAAAGGCCCCAGCATCACGTGGGATCACAACCACAGGCGCGACGGAACACATGCCCCTCTGTCGTGATTGATGTCGCGATCCATGGCAAGCGAATAGCCGGTATGAAAATCCCTGGCCCATGGGCTGGAGGAGCTTTCTCTTCACCTACGGGGCCACCTCTTGGCTCAAGTTTCTGGACCTGGCAGTGTCTCCGAACCCAACTGGCCACTCCCACGATGCTCAGTCGCGGGCTGGGCGGGAAGCCTTGCCATGTGAATTCGGCATGACTGCAATCTCAATTTGCTCCACGAAACGAGTCATGCAGGACACGATAGTTACGGCCGGCGCCGGCTCTCCGCCCGGGAGCGAGTGGGACCACGCGCCTCGGTCTTCGGGTAGTCTCATTGTTACATCTTCATGGCCTCAGCCTCTGTATGAGCACGTTCATCCACACTCGACTCTTCCTCCTGTTCATGGACTCTCGCCTCGGCCAAAGATCAATGATGCGACCCTGCACAGGCGCCTGTAGGCTCATCTGTATGGATAGCACCGCCTTGCACTCATCATCTTGCTCTTCATCCCAGTGGTTGCTGCAGCCCCTGCCTCGTCACCGGCGTTAGCCTCGCCCTGATCTTACAGCCTTCAGGCCACGGGGCGAGTTCAATCACAGCGTATTTTCTTACCTCAAGATGCCCATTTCTCACCTCAATCAAAACCCCGTTTGCCAAGCGGCCTATATAGCCGCCCTGGCCCATAGAGACGAATGCGGCAAATGTGCCGTGGGGCGGTTACGACGCCTCTAGCCGCGAGATTATCCCAGCCTTGTTATGACCCTGCTGCAATATAATAAGCTTTGCTGCCATTTCGTTCCCTCATTCCACACACTCGCTTCTCTCTGGCTGCGGCCATCCACTCCTTTACTCTCCTGCTTGTTCAAAGCTCTTGCTCCATTCTGTTTCGATAGACCCCGAACTCGAGCGGTTGCGCTCCGTCACTCGCCCTTTTCTTTTCGATCCGTCTCTTTCACTAGCCTTCGAAGTCGCCGTCTCATCCGTCTGGACCCGGCAATCATGACATTTGCGCGCCTTTTGCTGCCGCTTCTCGCCGTGGCGGGGAGCGTCGTGGGCGAGTTCCAGCCCATCGAGGTGAAGGCACGTCATCGCCGAGTCGTCTGTCCGCTACCACCGTCTGACTGAACGTGTCTTGTAGGGCTCAAAGTTTTTCTACAAAAACGGGACGCAGTTTTACATGAAAGGCGTTGCGTATCAGCAGGATATCGCAGCCGCCGGCGGTGCCAACGACAAGGACGGCGCCTACTCGGATCCTCTTGCCAACGAGAAGAACTGCAAGCGAGATGTGCCTAATCTCAAGGAACTGGGAACCAACACTATCCGAGCCTATGCTATTGATCCATCCGCCGATCACTCGGTTTGCATGAAGTTGCTCGAAGACGCCGGCATCTACGTCGTCGCCGATCTCAGCGAGCCTCGTCTCTCGATTAACCGCGACAATCCCGAATGGAACGCCAAACTATTCACTCGATACCAGAAAGTCGTAGACGAATTAGCTCAATACCCAAACGTCATTGGCTTCTTCGCGGGCAATGAAGTCAGCAACAACAAGAGCAATACCGGCGCTTCTGCGTACGTCAAGGCCGCCGTGCGAGATACCAAAAAGTATATCAAGGACAACAAGAACATTTCGCGCTGGCTTGGGGTTGGGTATGCCGCAAACGACGACGACGAGATCCGTGATCAGATGGCCGACTACTTCAACTGTGGTGCCACCGAAGAGTCGATTGACTATTTTGGTTACAACATCTACTCGTGGTGCGGCGACAGTAGCATACAAACGTCCGGCTTCGACAAGCAGGCCAAGTTCTACGAAGACTACTCCGTGCCCGTCTTCTTTGCCGAGTACGGCTGCAACCAGGTTCCCGGGGGTGCTGCCGGTCGCAAGTTTACCGAAACCGAGGCTCTCTACTCGGACAGCATGACCCACGTCTTTAGTGGCGGCATCATTTACATGTACTTCCAAGAAGCGAACGATTTCGGTACGTCTCAAGCCTCGGTTAAGCGTCTGTCTCTTCTAGCTGCGCAAGCTTATAACTGATGTTTGTCGGCAGGTCTCGTCAAGGTCAGCCAAGGCGAACTGACGAAAATGAAAGACTTCGATGCCCTTAAGGAGCAGGCCACCAAGGCTGATCCCAAGCGCCTTCACATGAGCGACTACAAGCCTGCCGGAAAGCAAAGAGAGTGTCCCGCCGTCGACGACATCTGGCGGGCGAGCGACTCACTTCCTCCAACTCCTGACAAGGGCCTCTGCGACTGCATGGTCAAGTCGAGCACCTGCGTGCCCAAGTCCGACACGTCGCCCAAGAAGTTTGGCGACATCTTCGGCTACATTTGCGGGAGCGACAAGGCGCTCTGCGCGGGAATCAGCGCCGACCCCAGCACGGGCGTCTTTGGCGCCTACAACATGTGCGACGACAGCGCCAAGCTGGCCCATGTTCTCGATGCCTACCACACGAAGCAGAAGAAGAGCGCCGATTCCTGCGACTTTGACGGTGCGGCCACGACGCAGCAGGCTTCCACCGAAGCATCTTGCTCCCCGGCTCTGGCATCTGCCAGTGATCTCAATAAGCATGCGGCAACTGCCACCTCGCCTGCAGGCGGCAAGGCTTCAAGCTCGGATGATAGCGTTGCTGTTCACGGCGTCTCCATTACACGCGCCTTTTCTGTCGGTGATTTCGCCCTTGGCCTGTACATGATAGCTGCACTGGGCGCTGGTGCGGCCGCCATTGTACTTTAACGCCGAGTGTGGCGAGGCCTCTGGCGATATACAATCTGGAGTCCGAGGGACAAAAGACCGTTGTCTAGGGATGGCTACATGCAAAGGGGTTTCACGGGCAGCGTCCAGAAAGGTAATATCTAAAGTCCGTCATTATGGCTTCGATTCCGAGTCAACTTGCGTTGGGGAACTCCAACGTCTTTAAGCTTCAGCATGCGCAAAGTAACTATGATTCAGCGTTCAACGGCTACGTAGAGAGATGCTGTGAGGACTGGCCTCCCGAAAAATACAGGCCGATCCAGTACAGCACGTGGCTGCGGGCTCTGAATATCGCTGAATTTATCCTTCGAAGTTGAACCAACGAGGTCCATGTCACAGGATGTAAGAGCCATTTTCATATTACTACTAAATCACAAAAAGAGCCCTGTTTGTTCCAGAGTTGATGAGTTGGTTGGCGTTGAATTGGCACTGTCAAAGAAAGCTTCCTTCGATTCTCCGGGGTTCCCAGCGAATACTATGACTAGAATGTACACTACATGGACGTACAAATACCAGTCACTCCCTATAAAGTCATTTTGAGCATAATATCAGGGCTCAGCCTACGGTACATTTTTTCCCCATGCCATTGGCGCAGCAGGAGGCGTGTTCGCGTTAGGCTGGAGAGAACTTCATTCCGGGTTGATCATTGCCTTGGGTAAGAGATCATGAGGGTAGGTCGAAGGAAGGGAACAGCTGAATCGGGCGTCCCAGCCAATATATTAGAACGCTATAGGCTTCGTCCGCTCGCACTGGGAGAGCTTTATATGTAAGGAATAATGGTCTTGCAGCGGTCGCAGCTGGGCAGCATTTACGGAGCATAATGCGCGGACAAGGGCCTGCAGCAATCCGAGGAGCTGTGATGGATTTTACGTGCCTCGACACACGGCAAGGCATTTGGGACAGCTCCAAGCATTATAATGACGGCTTCCGCACACACCCATGCCAACGTCTGTTGCAACGATAGTCAGACTTGACTGCCTCCCGTACAAGGAAGAGGCAGCCACGGTTTAGTTAAGTGGACAACCTTCCCTCTTCCTCTCTTCTCCATGCGTAATGCATCAAGTTGCTGTATAGTGCTCACCCCAACAATCGATAATAACGACCCTTAACCAACAGCAGGCTTGAACCTGGTTTTACTGAATCAGGTTACAAATGTGGATATGGAGGTGTGAGATCGCTCGGATGCTGCTCAAATTATGTTTCGCAGAGTGTGAGTTGAGAAAGCAAATACGTGTCTTGATCGTTCGAAAATGAAAGGGAGATAAATAAGAGTAGAAATAGAGCGAGATCGAGTAACAGTGAGGAACTGCTGGCCAAAACAGCATACGAGGAGGTATCTGTATCAACGCAGACGGCGACTGCAACACTTGAGATTACAATGTCAGGTGGGTAAGGACAAATACTGATACGTAATAGATTGCTGCCGGAGACGAAGCACCCCCACGCCTTGAACTACCTAGCATGCCATGTGATAAAATAAAGAAAGAGGCCTTCCGGTTTCCTCACACCTTTGCAGATTTGGTAGTAAGCTCTCGAGATTACACTGGACAGCACGGAGCTTTGAGTTGAATCTCCTCTTGAGATTCTCCAAACATCGGCTGATTGGAAGTGCCGCTATAGGCCATTTGAGATTCAAGGAGAAGTATCCGGCCGATATATCCTTGTGCATTTATCTTCTGGGGGACGTGCATAGTCTTGCGAAGGTGTTTCGTATTCACTCGGATAAATTTTCTATCTTCAAGAGACAGCGGCAACGGTAAAAAAGCGAGTGGTACCATTAGGGATGCTCTTATAAGAATCTTTGAAGTTCCTATGATGCATCTCTAGCAAGGCCGACTTATAATAGCATCCACAGGTAAGCTGCATGTTTTTCTCTATAATAGCTGCGCCATAGCCTTCTAGACAGCATCGGTAGTTGATCCTAGCATCGTCATACTCTTTCGCGGTTAGGTTTAGATTACCGAAGTAGTCCTCGACGGCCCGTCTATAGATGGGGTTGTCCTTTCTAGAGTCCAGAATCTCGAGACTTCGCAAGAGATTGCGGCGTGCCCTGTCGTACTCACCGAGCTCCATGAAGCAGTGCACATAGTTGGCAGCATATCGACAAGAGGCAAATCGCCTGTCTTGCGCTGAGGAGCTGGTGCTGGCCTTCTCAGCCTCTTGGCACCTCGTCAAGGCCAAATCGTACTGACCCTATGCAGCCATTGTCGATGCTAAACTCGTCCGCGATCCGTTTGTTTCCAGGTCCCCAGGCCCCAGGGCGCTGACACGAATATCCAAGGACTTCTGATGTGCTATCCTGGCTGGCTCGTACTCATAGGTAAGCTCCTTCATCCGCCCTTCTGCGTTGAGCAGCAGACAATTGCCCCAAGCAGGGTGGCCTTGTTCGAATTCTGAACGCGTCGCGGCCAGACGAGGACGCCACTGAGCCGCTCGAACACTGCAAGCGCTGGGCAGCAACTGAAGGAATCGACAAGGGCTCATCCAAGCACCGGGTGGATGTGGTGGTTTACTGCTCCGACAGCTACCCTGCCGGAGTTTCAGTGACATATCGTGAGTAGACGACGGCTTTGCATCCCCTTTCGAGTAACTGCTTACACTCCAACCAGCTTTAGGCTACCCAATGGCTGCAGTTCCCCTGGGACATGCTGAAAGCAGCGGATGGCCGTATGGCTTGCACGCCATTGCACCAGCTCATCAGGAAGAGAAGCTGGTGAAGTTCACGGCGGCGTGGGAGCGCATCTTTCCGCCACGGAGTGTCCCGGACTCGGACGCGTGTGAGAAGGTGCGAGTCTATTTTATGCCGCCACGCCATCATGTGGCGGGCTTGTTGTTCGTTCTTCCCTACCGGCTTCAGGGTCAAAGAGCGAGTCAGGAGGTGTGTTGCATTCGGGGAGGACTGCCAAAGACGTTCCCACCCTGAAACTTGCTGCTCTCTCCTTCCAAATCGTCCCCAATAGCGTGAAGCCTGCAAAGCGATATTAGAACCGGAACAATGGCACGAGGTTCATGTCGAACCAAAGTGCTGCAGGATATATGTTGAGCATGTTGGGGGCTCAGGGCATGCCACCTCTGATATGCTGTGGCGCCTTTTCGACGACATATATTTCCTATATAGCCTGTAGGTAGCCGTACCTCGGCTGTGATCAATTTACGAGGGAAGGTCGTTCAAAGAGCGCCGATTAGGCTTTGCCGGGAATTCCAGCCTGGTGTGGGAACAAAGGTGCCTGCCCGCTCACCAATGTGTTTTCCGCTACGCGGTTACAGATACGGTCCTTGATTGCAAGCCTCCTCACCTGGCATCGAGTTCTTCGCAATAGCACCCACGACAGTATTGAAGCTTCGAGTCTTGGAAAGTTATTCTGGCATTAAGCCTACCACTGAGTTTCGGTATTGGTCTTTACATACCCGGTGAGCAGTGTTACGGTTCAGTTAATAATTCTCGGTTCAAGACATCAACTGATTCGATAAGGAATAAGAATGAAGAAGCGACGAACATGACATATCCTCAAACCCATCCACAGCTGCGAATCTCTCTCCTCATATCCAAAGCATGAGAGCCTGTTCAGCTCGACGGCATCCTTTTCTCCTTCCTTCGCATGCTTATTCGTCCCGTCCACCTTCAACAGCAATAGGCAGGATGTTGAGGCATTCCCTTGGCAATATAGCCCGCGGGCGGATTACACCCGCTCTCTCCCTCTCTTTGGTTATCTACGTTGAAATGGTAGATCCATCCTGCATGATCCCATCAATGTATGTGAATCAGCTCAGGGGTGGGGGACTTACCATTGGCGCACTGGCAAACGCCATTAACGCAGCAGCGAGGGGAAGCACTGCTGGTTGGTTAACAGACGGAACCAGATTGCAAAGAGTCCAAAGAGAGAGATGTAGCTCACGCTGGATAGCACCCGCTATGGCCTGGCTGCCTTGCAACAAGGTCACCCTCGGTTCCGTCTGTGGAAATGGACGAAACAAACGGCGCCAACGCGGAAAGGAAAGAAAGAATCGGAGAGATCTTCATAGTGATATAGTAAGTCAGCTTCCTCTGTGGAGTACTGGTGAGGTGAGTGAAAGCTCGAAATCTGGCAAGTGTGCGAGACTGAACGTGAATACGGCTTTATATACTCGTCTTGGGTCTAGGCTCGACAGAAACAGGCTAAACGGTGAACCTTTGGTCAGAAGGTTGATGCTCGGGTGGGTCAGGCAAAGAAGATGGGAGACGGGACGACTTCGACCAGGCACGAGATTGAACTGTACGTGCATGATGGCGTAGGTCACGTCTTCGAGCCTAGACATATCGATATCCTCTCCCAAAGTCAATGTATGAAATGAACATTCAGAGTGAGTGACCAGCACGGCAAGTATCTGGTGCCAGTAGTTCAAGCACCATGGCTTGTCGCAGGCCCAACATCATGTTCCGCTTTGAAGAGAGCAGCGTATGACAGGAGTGAGAAGCTCCATACCTTGGCAGGTCGCACTATCAGGGCCACAAGCACTCTTACTTATAGGCATGGTATCTGGCAACGGTAGAGGATAGTGACGCGCTCCCTGTCTGCGTTATAGGTTGCCAGCTTCTTCCACCGGCACATGCTGTATCGCACTGAGCCTTTTCTCATCGGGATACTAGATTCCTCGGTTCAACGTGGATGCACAGGCCAAGGGGTAGACAGCCACCGCACGTCGCCCTTGCACACTCGCCCCAGTGTTATTTCGAGATGCTCGGCCAATTTTCTCGAGGCCTGCCCGAAAGCTTCCAATTAAAGCCGGACGAGGTCGCCACGGGCTTCAGCTCCTCTTTCGGTCAGACTACCTGATGTACTTGACCACGACGACCTGAAGATCGGATTTTCACGTTAACGGGACACTGGCCGCATCACAGGCATGTCTCTCGGCGGTCTCGAAACTTTTCTTGGCGTCCAGATATCATCGCGCCGGGTCTTCCCTCCTGACCACAACTTCCTCCGGGCGCAGTCCTGGAAAACCCTAGACGACGTAATTGGACATCTATTAGACGAAGGTCGGCGAGCAATCGAAGTTGGGAGATTATTTGATTGTTCCGAGCTTACGGCTTTGGTCGCCGGCCTGAGAAGGGAGACGCTTCGCCTCTTGCAGAGGGAGAAACGGACCTCATGTGCCTGGTCTGGGTTAGTTTCAGTTAATTACCCCCAACGCCAGATTGGGTCATGTTCTCGGGCCACGTGCAGAGGCATTGTCCACGGCAGCCGGCACTTGGACCAAGTTTGTACATTGTCAGACGCAGCGAGCTCCGTGCGAGTCAGCACGTCGATCTCGGCCGAGCTACTGAGATCCTCGCGAACTAGCCCATGGTAATTCGGGCTGTCTTGGTCGTTAAGCGGTGGGCCAATGTTGCCGTCATGGCTGCATCACTCAGGCAAAAGACGTCAGATCCGTGCGCTGTGCTGACAGGAGCCAACATGTCTCAGGCTCATCAGTGCACCAACATGAAGACTGTGTTCGCTGCTTCCCCCACACAGCGTCGGGTGAGTCGCTGGTTCGCCTTCGAGACATGGCTCTCAGGGCCGTGCGTCGGCGGAACAAAGGGCGGCTTTGGACTGGACAGATTCGGTTTCCGGACGGCAGCCACTGCAGCATGAATCGTCAGTGCTGCAAGAGACAGGAAGCAGCTCTCTCCATGGATGTTGCGTCTGCAAGGTGGCCGGTTTTGCGGCTGCACGACATTGTACTCCAGTTGACGACTTCAGCCACTCATCACGTGGCAAGTCCCCCATGACTTGTGGCGCTATGACTATCTGGCATATGACTAATAAGGCCCATGGGTCCAAAACACTAACAGAGTGTACCCGGACCCCTGCTGCTCTATGGCCAGTAGGTAGCAACCAGATAATAAGGCCCCACCAAAAAATGGCGCCACCAAAGTGCTGACTGCCTCCACTAAACGGCCGTTGCCGCCGCCGGCTCCAGAGGGGCAAGAGGGGGTGGACACCTGCTGACCTGGTGGCCCGGAGGCTGTGGCGGTGGCTGCCCTGCTCGGCAGAGGCCACCTACAGGGCTGGGCGAACAGAACAAGGCCCAGGATGGCTGGTCGATTGAAGGCAGGGCAGAGCACTCATTTGTTTGACCAGGACGGCATCTGGCCGTAAGAGACGACCACAGGAAAAACAGATCCCTGTCGAGCTGCTGCCGTGGTAGGCGGCTGTGTCGTCAACCACCGTCGCCATTGGCTTTCGCTCCCTCGCCTCGTTTTTCTTGCCTCCGCATCCAGCCTAGCCCTGCGCCCTCGGCTCGTTTATTACTGTTCTCGCAAGGTGCTCGATTCCGCGCCGCGTTTGCTCGTATTCTCCTTCATTAATCATCTCTCCCAGCATCCTGTGCTCCGTATCCGTGGGCGGTAGGGACATGCAGCTGGCCTTTTCTCCACCGTGTAACACGTACAGTGTGACTGGAGCTGCAGCAGGGCCATTTGCTCAAGGGATACTGACGCGGGACGTGTGGGCGCCCGCCCGCCTGATCGTTGGGAAAGTATCTTTTAAATATCTTCCAACTCGGCTATCCCGGCTGCAAGGGGCTGAGGACAAGGGAGCCAAGATAGGCTGATACTTTGGTCACGTTAGCCTCCCAGAATGGCCCCCGCTAGGATCAAGGTTCCGCGCGGGTGCCTGACATTAGGGGGCGGGCAGGCGGCTGGCACTGTGCCGAAGGCTTCCCACCCAGAGACCCACATGCGAGCTTTTCCTCGGTGGTAAAAGTACCTTTACATAGCCTCACCTGCCTGTCCTGTCCCCCATGACGAACCGGTAACTTGAATACCGCCCCAAAGTCCAAGCGCCCAACCGCAGAAACCTCTCTTCCGCTTCTCCTCTCCCACTCGCCCGCCGCCAACTCTCTTCTCCGATCTTCACCTCCATCGCCTCCTTCTCTCATCCATCACTGCCGCTGCCGCCATTGTACGCACCCCAATCATCTTGCCGCCCTCCTCTCCAACTCCGACTGCAGCCAGCCTCCAATCGCCAGCTCCCGTCGGTCATGGACCATCGCGCCGCTCCTGTTCGACGCTGCAATCAATGAGTGCCGGCATCGCCCTTCCCAAGCTCTTCGTTTTGCGCTCGCATCCACCAAGCTCGCGCGAGTCAGCCAGCTAAGCAGGCACGGCCTCGCCGCCAAAAATATCCCCCGCCCTTCTGCCTCCTACTGCTAAATCCATCTCCTAATGGACGCGTACGTCTCTACTCCCTCTTCGAACCTCTTTCTTTTTCTACCGACCCCCCCCTCTTCTCACCTGCTCCCTCCTGCTTTTGCCCTTTCTTTTTCCCTTATTCAACCTGTTCAAGCCCTCCCTCGACACCTCTTCTTCCTACGCCCCTTTGTCTCGCTGCGGCCAAGACACAGCTCCCCACATCCCCCACCCACGCGATGACGCTACCATCTATTGAGACGAGACCATGGCTGTGGCTGATTTTTTATCCAGCTTAATCCATGTCGCAGGCTTATCCCAGCATCAGCATCAACAATCCTCTCGCCCTTCCTCGGCCCGTCCCTTTGGTCACCTCCGCTCCCTCTCCTCTGTCGCCGCCTCGACGTCCTCATCGTCGCCGCCCACCCCGACCCCAAACAAACCGCGGCTGACGCCCCAAGCACCCGTCATTCCTCTGAGGTCTTCCCATTCCGTGCCAGCTTTCAGCGATGAGATGAGCACGCTGCCCGACCCTCGAAGTCGCTGTGCCCCGAGCCCGGCCGGCGACAAGGGCTCTCCCGACTCGCTTCGCCACCCCGACCTCGACGACGAGCTGGCCACGCTGAGCGCCAAACTTGTAAACGCCATCAACCACCAGACTTTTCTCGACGACACCCTTTCCGCTACGCGTCATGAGTTGCAAGCCGCTCGGGAGCGCATCCGGGAGCTCGAATCCGAGAGCCAGTCTCACCTCGAAAAGTCCAAACGCGACGTCTGGATCCGCCGATCCTCACTCGACGCCGAGCGAAAGGCCATGCAGGCCGAGAAGAAGAAGTGGCAGGCCAGGCTGGCCGAGGAGACGAGCAAGCGCCTCGACACTGAAAAGGAAAAGAGGAAAATCGAGCAGGAGCTCGAGAATTTGACCACCGCTCTCTTCGAGGAAGCAAACAAGATGGTCATAGCCGCCAAAGAGGAGGCGCAGCTGCAGAACGAGGCGCTTCAGCGCAAAAACGAGCAGCTCAAATCGCAGCTCGCCGACTCGGAGAGTCTCCTCAAGTCACAGCAAGAACAGTTGTCCCAGCTCAAGGCAGTCATGGAGAGCATGGCGTCTGAACGCGACGACATGACAAATGGTACTACTCCTCCGTCTCCCGGCATCTCCAGGCTCGATTCGGCCGCCGACGACGATCGCCCCCCGCCCGAAGGCCTCCCTGCCGGCTCACCGTCACTCGACGGCTGTTCTCCCTGCAATCCTACCAGTCTTCAGCACCTAGTGCAACCTGTTCTCCGCACCGATTTGGCTTCCTACGACGACTTTATGGCCCTTGCTCGGATTTCCCAGCAACGCCGCGGGAGCCGAGTCTCGTCTGGCTCTCTGGGTGGAATCACTGCCTTGGCCCTCGGCCTCGGTGGCTCCACTTCAAGCGCCCATCCCTCCAATGCCTCGACCACGTCTTTGGGCGCCTCTACCCCTGCCCCCAACAGCGCTCCCCAGTCGCCCAATACACCTGCTTCGTCGACCAGCGTCGGCTCCCCAACTGCTCCCGGAACCCCGACGCCGAATCTCAAGGATACGCGATTCTACAAGCGCATCCTGGCCGACGACGTTGAGCCCACTCTACGTCTCGACGCCGCACCAGGCTTGTCGTGGCTCGCCCGTCGATCGGTTCTCGCGTCGGTGACGGATGGCTCCTTGATCGTCGAGCCTGTTCCCGATAGCGCGACGTACATGGCCATTGTCAAGCCTCACCACCACCCGTGCTCACTGTGTGGCGAATCGCGAAAGAGCCCGGAGCACCTGCGTAACCACCGCTTTAGAACGAGCGAATCCGTCTCGGCGCAGCGATATGCGCTCTGCAGTTACTGTCTCAATCGTGTCCGTTCTACATGCGACTTTCTGGGTTTCCTTCGCCTGGTGAGGGACGGCCACTGGCGAGCCGAGGATGAGGATTCAGAAAAAGCGGCCTGGGAGGAGAGCGTCAAGCTGAGGGAGCAAATGTTTTGGGCCCGCGTTGGCGGAGGCGTCGTGCCTGCTTCACAGGTGGCCAGTCCTGCCCCAGCTGAGACCGATAAGGAATCGCGGCCAAGCCAGGACCACCTGGGCATCGTGGAAGAAACGGAGACTGGCAAGATGACGCCAGATGGCGTGCGGCATGCAGACGACGCGGATTCCAAGAACGGGGCATCGCGGCAAGGCACCGAGCATATACCTCGGGAGCCTCGCACCCCTCCGGATCGGATGGATGGAAACCGGAGTCGCCGCGACTCTGTGGAGCGGCACGCAACATGAAGGTCGCTCGACCTCACGGGTGGCAGCCGGCTACAATCAGCAGAGCAATCATCGGCAAATTACCACGGTACATTCTGTCCATGAATTCAGCAAAGCGATGATATTTTTCTTGGTCACCAATTCTTAACATGTATTTTAATCCTCGGCCTGCTCATACCTGGGTCAGTGGGTGGAGAAGAGGGAAGGGCGTTTTTTTGGGCAGGCATCCGGGGACTTCTCGGTGGCGAGGGAATGGGATCGGGCCTCGGGAGAGGGGGATGATATGCCTGGAGCCCCTACTCGAGGTACACGGCGTTAAATTAGGGGAGGGCATGACGAGCAATGTACCCAATGGAACAAGGCTTGGAGGGGTGGCGGGTGAGAGCTTCGGGGAGCCCCCGACGAGTTTCTTGGCGATGGAGGCTGCATCACGGACGTTGGTTGCGCGTTGACTCCCACGGGGGTTTCGAAAGCTGGCACGTGAGCACATGTAACATAAGGAGACGGCATGGATGGGTGCTTGTCATGATCACGTAACCTTGTTAGGTACAGCATCATAATGAAGGAGTGATTCATGGAGAAATCACCCCGCCGCGAGTCTGTTATACACTTCCTCACGTCCAAGTTCATGTTTGTCCGGCACCATTGGGCCCCCCCTTTTTTGAGTATTTCCTCACCCCATACACACCTTATCCTGGGGAGTCTGTCCACCTGCACACGTGAAATCATGCTGGTCAAGGCGCAGAGGCGGCCGGACAATCGTGCTCCTGCCGCCCCCCCCCCCCTGCTCGGCTCCCTCATAGCTCGTCTTTGCCGGTGGCGTCCTTGCTCTCGCTCGCGGGTTTGGCCTTTGCCCTCTCGGCCTCGCGCTCGCCATCGCGGCTCGCCGCGGCGTCGTGGTTGGGCTTGGCGTCATCTACGTTGGCCGTCTCCTTGTCGACGCCCTGGACGTCAGGGTGCGGCGGCGCCACGCCCGCGCCCATATCGGCCGGCCAGCCGCCCTCGGGCATCGGTATCTCGACGCCGTTCTCGTCGAGGACGCGAGTGCGCGTCTCGTACTTTGTCTGGAAGTCGATCTTGCCTTCGAGCTCCTTGACCTGCTCGGGGCCCAGGAGGTTGCCGTCCTGGTCACGGTACTCGATCTTCTCCTCCTGGGCAACGACCCGAGGACCCGGAGGGGGGGGAGAGGACGAGACGCCGGGCTCTTTGGCATTCTCGACCTTCTCGCCAGCCTCCGGCGCAGCGGGTTTCTTGGCGCCGGGGCTGGTGGAGGTGGCGGCCAAGGAACTTGAGGGCGTGTCTTCGGCCGTGTACGCCGCGTACTAGGTTTCGATAAATATCAGCGCAACATGTTACGGGGAATGGACGAGACGCAAGTTGCCTGCTCTGCGCAGTTGCCCCTGACATCGAGATTGGAAGTGCACTTACCGTGTCAAAGAAGTTGTTGCAGTCCCAGTCCCAGCCGTTAAACAGCTTCACTCGGTTGCACTCGCTCTTGGTCCACCGGTTGCCGTACGCGAGCGGAGCGTACAGGGTGAAGGCGGCAACCGAGAGCACCAGAAAACATACGGTCGCAATGCGATTGACGGCGGCGCTGTCGCGGGCGCCAACGCCGGGAATCCGGGCAGTCAGGTAGTCAAACATTTGGCAAAGGGCGATGACCGCAAAGTACAGAGCCGGGAAGTAGTGGTGAAGGAACAGCTGGCGGTGCATGAGGTAAAAGGGGAAATAATGCAGCGCCCAGCCGAGAACGTAGGTGCCGATCTCGTAGTCGAATCGCTTGAACGTGTTGCTCGAGTAGTCGTTGTAGCTGCGTTGCCATCGGAGGACGGCGATGCCCTTGAAGAGGACCCAGACAACGATGGCCATGGTGGAAGACCACCAGACAATCGGGTTACCGATGAGATAAATCTGGGTGTGATGCTTGCCCCAGAAGTTGATGCCGCGGTGCAGAATGGGCCACGACTCGGGCCGGGAATCCCAGGCGTGGGACTCGACCAGGCCAGCGTTGGTGCGCCACATGACCTGCTGCAGCTCCCAGAACTTGCCAAAGAATCCGGGGTCGCGATAGTTGACTTTTTCCACGTTGTCTCCTAGCTGGGGGTGCTCGTTGTGTTCAATGTACCACAGACTGTTGGGCAAGGAACCGCTCTTGGCGCACGTCACCTCTTGCTGCTCAGAGGCCCATTCAGGGAGCTTGACCTTGTGGGAGAAGAGAACGCAGCCGGACATGATGTGGACAAGCCTGAACTTGGTCTCGATGGTGCGCAGCCGCTCCTTGGCCGCGGTGCCAACCGACCTCTTCTTGGCAATCTCGACGCGGAAGAAGTCGTTGGCATCGCCATCGAACCCGTCGAAGCCATAGGCAGAGACTTCGTTCTGCCACTCGGCCTCGGAGACTGGCGGCCGCACGTCATGCGAGTGCAGACGGCGGTGCGTAGGCTGGTGGTAGAGTCTGAGAACGGTACCGTCGGTGATGTAGTGCGGTCCTCCGGAGAGGTTGTCCCACGCCTTGGTGCCGTTGATGGGCATGCCGTTGGGCCCAAGGGGCTGGGTCTGGTTCTCGAGAAGCCAGACGTTGTTCTCGTCCTTGTGCGGATACAGGGTGATTTGCTGCTGCTTGCTACCTGTAGGATACATGAGAGGGTGGGAGTGCAGATAACCACCTTGTGTATTGACGTGGCGAATCGTCACGCGGCTTCCCAGGACAACGTCGGCGGCAACGTCCTTCATGCCCTTGCTATTCAGCGTCGCCTGAAACTCGGAGCTCATGAAGCCGTCGCCGTCGCCGGGATTGACCAGGCAGACAAAGTGAATGGCGAACATGGCCATGTAGAAGGTGATGGGAATGACGATGAGACAAAAGGCTCTGGCGGCGATGTGCTTGGCCCACAGGCGCTGCGGAGAGTCAGACGAGTTGAGCAGGTGGCAAGGGGCGGCACGGCATACCAGTGTCACGTTCCTGTTGTCGCCCAAAAGCACCCACAGCTGCACCAAGGTCAAGGTACCGACCCAAGCGATTGTGAAGAGACCGACCCATTTGATGCTGACGGTGACTCCCAAGCCGAGGCCGGTCATGACGAGCCAGAACCACCATGCAGGCTGGAACGCCTTGGCCGGGCCCTGTTCGTGTTGGTTGGTGAAGCAGGAAAAGGCGAGGACGGTCAGGGCGGTGGCGCCGACGAGGGGCGAGTCGAGGAGAATCAAGCGAGCCTGTGTCAAGAGGCCGTTTTCTAATCAAGTAGAGAGGAGAGTCAGAAGCAAGTTCTCGGTGAACGGCATGGTGAGACTGGCGCAAAACTTACCAAAGATGATGAGGCAAGCGCCCATCGCGGCGGTCATGGTGCGGCAACCGACCGTCTTGAGGGTCAGGAACATGAAGGGGGCAAGGGCAATGCCGCAGAAGGCGGGAAACAAGCGCATGGCAACGTAGGGCACGCCGGGCTCGAGATAATCCTTGCCAATGTCCTTGAAGTCAAAATTGCCATCGAAGCCAGCCAACCAGCCAGTGAGAGCGATGAGCATCTTGGCGAGGGGTGGATGAACGTCCATGAAGAACCTCCCTTTGATGTACTTGGAGGCAAAGCCGCCGAAGCTGCGAGTGGGAGAGAGCGGTCAGCGATATGACGGCATCGAGGCGGGAGGGTTACGATACGCACTGAACTTCGTCAAAGACGACGCTGCTCGGCTGATAGATTCTAAAGATGCGGACAATGGCGGCGAGGACGGTGACGCCAAGGGCCACGGTGTAGTCGGATACGGGCAAGAGGAAGACATCGTGATCGTCGACGCCGTCCGACTTGTACGAGGCATTCTTCTTGGCCTTGGACTTGTTCTTGGTCGGGGCCGAGGGCTGTCTTTCGACGGCGGGCGGCTGGGGGCTCCTGCCGCTGCTGGCGTTGGACCTCGCCATGGTCGAAGGGAAAACGGAGCGGCCGCGCGACAGTCGTGTCGGGATCTGAAGACGATGGGCCGTGGGTGTTTGGACGCTGCGCGCAGCTTTCGTGGACCGACCGGTTCCCGCGGCGGAAGGAAAAACAGACGAGTTGAAGGAGGGTGGCGAAGGGAGAGTGGATTAAAGCAGATTCATGGAGAAGGGGAAGAAAGGGGTACGAATAGGAGGCGCAATGGAAACGAGGGTCCAATGCGTAGGCCGAGGGTCGAGGGTCGAGGGATTGACGGGCTGAGGCGGTTGAGGAAAACAATAAGGGGTTGCCGAACTTGGAGATACAGTGGCCACATTGACTGAGGTGACGGGGACAATAACGGTACCTGAATGGCTCTCGCGTGGTCAGGGCTACAGTATGGCGAAGCGGGGTGGAGCCATGTACACGGAGCACTGGGAGCAGGTACCGCTGGTGCATCCGCCACAACAAGAGAGAGAGAGAGAGCTTCAGTTGGTCGGCAACGTCGACCCTGGGACAGCGACATGTGACGAGAAAGCCTCGGTGTGGCTTAATTCTAGGATCAACCGCAATTGTCGAGGGCATGTAGATTATCAAAGCCATTTCCCTCTACGAGAGGCGTGGTCGATGTTTTTCTTGTGGGTTTTCTCCCCCGTCAGCGTCGCTGGTGGACGCCCAAGAGCAGCTCGGCGCCACGGGTAATTGATAGCTACTGTAAAGTTTCGTTTGCCGGCGGTAGCATTCTGATTGGCTGTTGCGTCCGTGGCTCAAGCAATGCACCCGCTGCCGTTTCAACGACGGAGTGGATTATCGTCGGATCATCCATGATCCAGCAGGCGTGCAGAGATGACAACCCCCGGAGCAGCCCCCCCGCGTTCCCCGCACTTTTTGGAGCTTTCCTTCTGCCAAACATCCATTAATAAGCTGAATCGCTCCTGACTGCCACGCCAATCTTTTCTTTTGCATCTCCTGGCCTGGACATGGGCCGCGTCGGATGGCTGTCTTGATGCAGGACAAGGCTAGTACTGCGCGGCAGCACCCCATTCTCTCGTCAAGCTTCTCTGTCCTCTGTGCACCGCCGGCTTTGCATAACGTACCTGCTCGCAGCACGCAGTTCTTCGATCCCGATGCGCCGCTGACTTCATCGGCACAATGGCGTAGCCATGACATCCGGGTAGCCCCAGCTGCCGCCGCAGTTGCATGGCAACGTCATCGCCTCGTCGTTGCCTTCTCCCTCCCCCATAAAAACGCCCACCATGTTTTGCCGCGCGTCGATTCTCGCTCGCTGGCCTCGTCTCTCTGCCAATCCCCTCCACCGCTCTCAGCCATTTGCTCAACGTCGACTCTCTGCAACGCACACGTCCTTACTAGCATCACGACGCGCCACCATGTCGGCTGAAGACGGCGAATTCAAGCCTGTCCCGGATCGACAGGCCCAAAACCTGCCTGGGTATGCCCTCATCGCCTTCATGACTCGTGTCACTTCCAGCTAACAGACACAGTCTCGAAAAGGACTTGCACCCGTCAAGCGAGACCACCAAGCTCCAAGGCAAACATGACTTCCAAGAGTATCGGGCTGCCGGCAAGCTGAGTGACAGCAAGGCCCTCATCACCGGCGGAGAGTATGCCATCACCTCGCTCCGCCTGCCAAGCTACCCTACTGACATGTTGTTGCCTACAGTTCGGGCATTGGCCGGGCCGTGGCCGTGCTCTTTGCTCGCGAAGGGGCTGATCTCAGCATCGTTTACCTACCCGAGGAGCAGCAAGACGCCGAAGAGACGAGGGACCTGGTTCGAAAGGAAGGTCGCGAGTGCTTGCTCATTGCCGGCGATTTGATGGACAACGAAACATGCCGCAAGGCCGTCCAACAGCACGTCGACAAGTATGGCAAAATCGACGTGCTGGTCAACAATGCGTCTAAGCAAATCATGGTCGACGATTTTAAAGACATTGACTTGGACAATGTCGAGAGCACCTTCCGCAGCAACATACTCCAGATGTTTGCCATGACTAAATACGCCCTTCAGCACATGGGCAGAGGCGGCTCGTACGTGTCTCAACCCTATGTTGTGCCCCATTCACTCCTTCTCTAACGGTCCCGCAGCATCATCAATTCCACCTCGGTCGTCGCCTACAGGGGCACCCCTAGCATGGTCGACTACGCCGCAACCAAGGGTGCCATCAACTCCTTCACCATGTCCCTGGCTAAACAGCTCGTGCCCAAGGGCATCAGGGTCAACGCAGTCGCCCCCGGTCCCGTCCATACTCCCCTTCAGGCAGCGTCCAGGCCGCCAGAGCAGATGGAGGGCTTTGGGAAGAAGTCCCAGCTCGGCCGCCCTGGCCAGCCGAGCGAGATTGCTCCCAGTTTCGTCTTTTTGGCATCCAAAGACTCTGAGCTATACCATGGTCAGGTGTTGCATCCTTATCCCCAGGGGGATTGAGGCGCTCAATCGTACCGAGGCGTTTTTCCAGGCTGTTGCGCCATGCGGGAAACTGTCTATTGGAGCTCGGTTTATACACATCACGGTGGCATAGCTCGATCATTTCTGGCCATTGGGACCGAGAGCTGTGGTCTTATCGGAGAGGGGACTCTGGGCACTCGGTCAAATTGTGGAATTGTATTCGCAGACTCTTTACGATCGAGTCCCTCATCCTCGCGGGGCTAGACGAAACAGTTCACATCATCCATGTCATACAATTAGGCCAAACTCAACCCCCCATCTGGTGTTCCCAATAGCTCGTCTACCATCGTTGGGAAGTGTCGTCTACAGCATGCTGCCCGCCAGGAGTTGCCACCTTTTGCGCTTGCAGTCTGAGCACTGACACTAACCACCTCGTAAGCTTCATCGTTGCAGCTCGTTAGTCATGTAGGAGCCATCCTTCCGGGCCCGACGGGTGCCGGCAGGGCACTTAAGACCTGTAAGACTCCGGCTTGGGCTCCGGCTTGGGCTTGTGCGGCTTGGGCTTGGGCTCCGGCTTGGGCTCCGGCTTGTACGGCTCCGGCCTGTGCCTGTGCGGCTTCGGCTCCGGCTTCGGCTCCGGCTTGTGCTTGTGCTTGTGCGGCTCCGGCTCCGGCTCCGGCTTGTTCGGCTCAGGCCTGTGCGGCTCATGCCTGTGCGGCTTTCCAATGGGCTTAGGTTTGGGCTCGGGCTTGGAGCCGTCGCACAAGCCCTTCTTCACCGCAACGAGGGCAATCTCTGAGAGCGTGTTAGCTCCTAAGGCAGGCAGGACCTCATCATGTCATCTCCAAGGACTTACCGGTGAGAGCGTTGGGAATGCCGCACTTGGTCAGGCAGCCCTTGAGGTGCAGGCTCTTGTGGTCTTCGAGGCGGTGGCAGACAGACTGGAGCACGTCGCCGGAGCACTTGGTGTCCTTGGCGGCCTTCTTCAGGCATTGGAGAGTGCACTGGATGATGTCTTTGTTCTTGCAGTGCTCATGCTTGGGTTTGGAGGGGTATTCGGCGGCCGACGCGACGGCCACGAGGGCAGTGACAGCCAGAGTGAACTTCATCTTGACGGTTGAAGCGGTGAGATACCCAACGATGGTGAGCTGAGAAAGTGCGAAGATGCTTGCAGATGAGCTGAAGCGGTGGAGCCTGAAGTTGAGAAGAAGTTCTCGATGACGAAGAGAGTTGGTCTTTATATAACTGGGCATTTTCCCCTTTGACAGATCTTCAGCTATCACAATTCCAGCAAGAAGCTACTGGTTCCTTGTTCCTGGAAGTTGTGTGGCGAGCCAACGCCTCAATACCTGGGTAAAACATGTGCTGGGCATGTCCCGCGCCTTGTCGAACAACTAATGCCGAATAGGGTTGAATAGCATGGTTGCAATGCTCTCAAGCGTCTGTCGGCTCTCCGCTTCGTGGAACGAAGCTTGTCTCTTGGAACGACTTCTCTGCTGTTTAAGGGGGATATCCAGTCGAGGCTCATCCGAGGCGATTAAAATATTTCCGCGTCGAATGTGACAAAGGCCCGGCCGGCCCTAATAACATTCAGACATGACAGGTTTCCCACACTTAACCATGGCGATGGGACATGAAGATGATTTCTGTGAAGACTAAGACATGGATCCTGTGTGGAATGGGTCTAGAGCGACAATCCAGCCCAGGGAGAAGCTTCGCTACGGATACCGTCCCGTCCCCGCCCACCCAGGGCTTTAGAGCTGATGACATTGCATTTCTCAGTCTGGCGGTACTTGAGCTAATGCTCTCTCGAACAGCGCCCTTGATTCATGGCTTCAATGTTGCGAAATCCACATATTTCAGAAGTGAGTTTCGAAAATGTCTGAACACGAACAGAATCAGAATATCAAAGCAGCGTCGGCTATCTTGGTCCAAAGCGCAAGGCTTAGGAGCAGCTTGTCTTCGTATCCAGGTTGCTGACCCTAAGTTTAGCCAAAGCCGACGAGGCGTTGCCGCCGACTGGCTATAGGTGAGACGAACGGGTCGTCTGCCTATACCAGATGGATGCCTGCCTTATCACAGTTCTTGAAGGTAATCGACGATGATCGTCAATCACTGAAACAAATTGTCACATAGGTTATTTGCAAGTCAAACCCTGGTCGTAAGACCTCGCCACGAGGGTTGCGTGAGCAGGATGAAGGGAAATTACCCGAGGATCATGAGATTTATTATGATAGCAAGAGGCAGATATCCGTGAATACCCCGTCTTTGGCTCTTTTTGAATGGTAAGTGAGAAGGTGTCGGTGGGACCAGGATTTATACCGCACCAGCATTGCACCTATTGGAGCGCTTCACCGTTCGTTTGCTTGGTCGAACGGGGAGTGCTTTCCCCAGAAGCGGTTTTGGATCGCCGAGCGAGCACGAGTTTAAAGAGCAAAGGGGCACCGGAAGCAGGAAGGGGTGTCTTAATGCAGTTACAATTGCCAAAAAAAAATCATCAATGCTCAACCCAGTCGACTGGCAGGACCAAGTTGGTGGCCTAGGCGAAAGTCCGCCACAACCTATAACTAAAGATCCGAGCCGTTACAGCCTTTACTCTTAGTATTGGATTTCCCCACCAGGAAGAAAAATGAAGAAACCCGTGCTCCCGTCCCCAAGAGACAAGTCTACCGCGGAGTCGACCTGCCAGGGGTGTTCTGAACAGGAACCTCGCGGGCCTTTTCTGGCTGGCTGGTTAAAAGGAAGAAGCAGGCCCCTAAGCCGAGTCCGATTGCGCCAATGAGGACGGCCGATTTTCTAATGGCAGCAAAAAGGGCATGTCTTAGCGCATAAATGTAATGATCTTTTTGGTTTGGTTGCCACTGACCGAGATCAAACGGAATGGAGCAACTCACGAGCTATGCACTTCTGCAGAACGAGCGGGACGCTCCTGTGAACGCCGGGGCTCAGAGCTCTCGAAGCGTCTTGCCGGAAACCCTGCAAACCGTTGCAAACTGCAGGCCGTTGGGCGGGTGGCCGAGCGTAGGGTACGGATACTGGACAGCATCATGATGATTCAACCTGCTACCGGGCGCAACAGACGAGAGAAGAAAGATTCGTCAACGATTTAGCTACGAATAGTAACAAAAGAGTTAGGATCTCTCACAGGCGGTCGTCTATTATACTCCTCTTTGTTGTTGCACTCGTTTGAATGACGTAGTGGTGACCGCGCAATTACGCAGGGAGGGGCTTCACAGCATCCGGTTTTATAACAGCTACACAGACGTTGGAGAGCGGTGTTTAACGGTTATGGAAATCTGTCTCCATTCTCTCTCCTTCGCCTTGTGCGTGGTTGGCCCACAGACTAGATGGTAGCTCACAGTACGCCATTGAGACGGGCAACAACAAAGGACTAGTTATGTGTAATTCTGGTTTCATGATGATTCATCCAGTGTCGGGATCCTTTCAACAAGTTCCTTCAATGGCAGCATGGAGCATCATACATGGCGGTCCCTACAAGTCCTTCGTCCGCTCCTCCGCGGTTGCGATCCACTCTCTCAGTTGCGCCTGGTTGCGGGGCTTCAGTCCAATCTTGAATGGCTTCGGGTCAGTCGTCAGGGACGTGGGCGCGCCGTTGCATTCGATAGCGTCCATGACGGGCGCGTCGGCAGGGTCCCGGGCCGGCCGGAGCTCAAACGCCGTGATGAGTCGGATGTAGGCCGTGTACAGCTCGCGGTTCGCCAGATGCGACCCGGCGCACATGCGTGATCCCGCGCCGTAACCGTAGTGCGGCGTGCCCGTCTCCTGGTCGTCGAGGAAGCGTTCGGGGAGAAAGCGATCGGGCATCTTGAAGCGCGCCTCGTCGTAGTCGGCCGCGTAGGCGTTCTGTCAAAAACTCTCCTTATCAGCTGCCTCCGTGACACACACATCACATCAGCCGGTTATGCCAAGCGTACCATGAAGAAGGTAGTCCCTGCGGGGATGACGGCGCCCTCGTAGGAAATGTCCTTGATGCTCGCTCGCGGCAGGCAAATGGGGATGACGGTCCAGTAACGGAGCGTCTCCTTGACCAGAGCCGTGATGTAGGGCACCTTCTCCTCGGCCAGGCACCTGTCCCAGGCCTCGCCGTTTGGATATACCTCGTGGATGGCGTCGAGGGCCTTGGCTTGCACTGCTTGGCCCTCGTCGGTGGAGAGAAAGGCCATGCCCATGATCAGATTGCCCGGAACCGTGTCCAGCCCAGCCGACACCATGGTGAGGCAGATGGACTTGACTTCGGCTGTCGTTGCTTCTGCGTCAGTGGAAGTGGCATAACAACCAGTGCCCCGAGTTCCTCGCGGGGTCGTCCCGGGGGTCTTGTGACATGCTCACCTAGATTGAGCTTCGCCTCCGGGTCTTTGAGAACGTTGCCTGTGATACAAGGCTTGTCCAAGCCCTTTGCGATGCGGTCCTGCAAGTCATCAAGCATGTCCGTCAGATACTTGTCCCTCCGGACCCGGTACTCGGTGGCTGCCGAGTTCTGGGCGCCCCAGAGACGCAGCAACGGGACATAGTCCTGCCAATTATTGCTTGTCGACCGCAGGGTAGAAATCTCGCGCTCAACATGCGTAATCTCCCTGAGGAGCTCGCTGTCGACGCTCCCGTCGATGCGAGATCCGTAGTTGAGGGTCAGGGACGTGTTGAGGGCAAAGCGCTGCATGTAAGGGTTGGGATCAACATCTTGGGCGCCGCCTTTGCAGTCTTGAAGCAGCTCCTTGATGCTGACGGTGGACTCGAGGTCCAGGATGGGCATGTAAGACTCGGTCGACGGCCGGTTGAGGGCCGTGGCGGCCGCCTTGCGTCGGCGCTTGCACGACTCGTCCCACGGCGAGGTACCAATGGTGAAGCCCTGGGATGTCGAGACGACGGAGTGGAAGGTATGGAAGGTCGGGCGGGAGATGAGGGCGGACTGGTGGGTGATCCAGAAGTACTTGACCGCGTCGTACGAATTGACAAAGATGACGCGCTACAGTCGATGATGCCCTCCCCGGCTCGAGGTCAGCTGCTGCAGCCCGGCCTCTGCCGCTGAGCGATCAGGCACTCACCTTGTTGCCGAGACGTGTCTGGAAGACGGGCCCGTACTTGCGGGCCCATTTCTGGGCTACACGGGCATGGTCTGTTCCCAGTTGCACAAGGTTGCCAAAGATGGGAATCCCGGGAATCTCGGGGAGCCCCTTGATCTTGGGGACGTCGGTGGCATTCCAGCGCACCAAGACATAAACGGCCGCCACAAGGGCAACGGCCACAAGCAGGTAGGGCATGCCGGCCGCTGTACTGTCGATTTGGGTAGGTAATTAATTAGAGGGTTCCTTTTGCGTCAGTTCAATTCCAATTAGTCGGCTGCCAGCGGGCAAAGCATCTTGCCATTTCTTCAACTTCAGCGACGCCACGAAGACATGGCCGTGCTTTTGTAGTCCGTCCAGAATCCAGTGTGCTCTGGACGCGCTCTACCAGCCCGAGCGAGCGGGGAGAGCATCGCTTGCCGGGTGGTGAGTGAAGCTTGCCATGCGTGAGACACTGCTACCCCCGGTTCCGATTCCGATTCCGATTCCACGTCCAGGCCTCGCGGAACATTGAGGCCACGGAGTATCCGTATTCACGGCTTCAATGCTGGGCTACGAGACTTACCCCGGATTCTCCAGCGGGTCCTACAGTAGACGCTGTTGGCAATAGAGTGGAGTTTCTTCATCCCGTGTCTTTGGAATTTTCAAACGGTCCTGTGGCTTGAATGTTCGCCTTGGCCCCCCCACCGACCGTCATCAACAAGTAGCCGAGGTCACCAGTCAGACTGATGGAACCGGTATCGTTGATCAGAGATGCACAGTCGGTACTGATACCTTCGTCTGGTTCAGTGTAGTTCTGGACACTCTTATTTGCTTCAACCCCGAGGCAACTTCTGGACGTCGTGAACATGGCCCTTTTACGTATCAGCATGAATCAATGACAGGAGACCGGAGAATGACGGATGGAAAGGCGTTCCCCGCACTCCACTCGGCGTGAAAATCGATGGCCGTCTCCCAGACTTGACAAGTTCAAGTCCGAGCAACCAAATATCGCGTCCAGCCTCGGCAGCAGCTCCACGGCTTGTCGAGCAATCTTGATTGTTCTTTCTTCCCCATGTCCTCTCCCCCGCCGTCCCCAAGCCGCGAGACAGCCGTGCCCAGTTCGCGAAGGAAGCGGTTTCCCTACACTCAGATCGCCTGGTCCGTCGAGGTTTTAGCACCGGCCGAATGCCTCGGCACTGTCATCAGCCTGGAGAGCTTCTGACTGAAAGCGCGTGTTATTAGCGACGAGTGCCGGCGGCGCAAGGTCAAATGCTCGGGCGAGAGGCCCTGCAGGGGCTGCCGCGAAAGCGACGCTGCGTGCCTCTTTGAGCGCCACACGCGCTTCCGTTTGAGCGGCCGACGCCCGTGAGGACCTCTCCCTGAATTTGGATGGCGTATGAAAGCTGACGAGGCCTTTGGCAGAGCGGAAGTCGTCTCCGGAGATTCTGGCGCGTCGGCGCGGACGAGACGCACCACTGCCGCGAAACGTCCTCGAGGACATCCAAACGATGGCCCAGATGCTTCGGCGAGGCCGCCCCGACCGGACAGCGCCGACTACTATCTCGGACTCGCGGGCAAGATTCTCGCCGCCTCTGGGCCTGGTCGGGACGACTCGCGACGCTTGCCCGGCCAAGCCGAGACGATCGAGCTCCAACGCTTGAGAGAGATGATGGAGTGGCACGACGCCGGTGCCCCCGGAGTCGTGCTGTTGCGGATACTGAGCGAGCATCAATGGGCAAGAGTATTGAACGCCTACGAGGAAGAGGTTGGCCTTCAGTACCCATTCCTCGACCTCGAAGCCCTCAAGCGAGAGATCCAGTCGGCGCATCAGAGCGACCCCAACGCCCGACGCGGACTGTCACATTCAGATCATCAGGGGCTCGAGGGATTAAGAGACTGCGCACATGGCAATGCTTTGATGGTTGCAACCATCGTATTCACTCTTGCGGACCCAAACGCGGCCGGCGTCGCGGACTCGATGGTAGAGGAGGTGCACGCAGCAGCACTAATCCGAAGCCAGTTGAGCGGTATAGAGCAACATGATCTATCCGTGTTGATCCTGACAGTTCGTGGAAGCCCGTCCAACCCCCTTTCATGTTGATAGCCTCGGACATGGCTTGATGCGCGTCGGCTGACCAGGACGCGGATCCAGAGCACATACTTCTTCTTGAGTGATCGCGAACTGTTGGCCTGGAGAGGGATCGGCACGGTTATGCGGCTTCTCCAAGAGCTGGGCCATCACCGCTCATGCACCTGGCCGTCTGACACTGACCCCGAGGGCCGGGCCCGAGCCGAGAGGCTGTTCTGGACGGCCTACACGCTGGACCGGAGATTGAGCTTTGGCCTGGGCCTGCCATTTGCGATACAAGACACGGACGTCGATCACGACCCAGTCCTGGCCGTAGGCTTGAATCACTTGCCGTAGCTTTCTCATGCTCACCGTGCGCTAACGTCGAGACCAAGGACGAGTCCGCCTCATCGGCCTATCTGAAGCACATGGTTTTGTACTGCCGTCTCGCCTCCGACGTCAGGCGCTCGGCCCTCGAGGCATCGTCCGCCGCGTCCGAGGCGACCCGGGCCTGTCTGGACTTTCGGACGATGGAGTGGCGACGCAACCTGCCACGAGGGCTTCGGTTCGGGGGGCCAGGGGACAAGCTGCATCTGGCGGCTGAGAGCCGCGGGCGTTACCGTCTTCGACTCACGCTCCATCTACGGGCTAATCAAATGCGAGCCGTCATTCACAGGACATGGGCCGTCCGGGCTGGGGCCGCGCATCTGGATCTGTCCACCGCAGGCACCATGGCCGAGGTTTCACGGGACACCATCCAGATATTGGCCGGGCTGGCGGACGAGACAGACATCTATCACGCGCAGCACAAGACATTCAACCACTATCTCCAAACGGCCCTGTCGTCCCTCCTGCTGGCGCTCTGCAGCACGGAAAACGTAGATGGCGCTTCCTGCCTGCGGGACGCGCAGGCGGGCCTTGAGCTGGTGCGACGACTGTCCACGGCATCGCCCATCACCCAGCGGCTGTTGGGCAGGCTGCAGCAAGCGCAGCACATCCTCGGCCGATTGGCAGCCCGGGAAGCTGGGTCGCCACGATCTGCTCATCCGATAGACCAGCCGATGGCGAGTCAGCAGCCCAGCGCCGGGTGCAACAGCAACGACATCGAGGCGGTCATCACGGCTCAGGATTTGCCGGGGAGCAGGAGCCCGCGACCGGCGGGCACCTCAGCTCCCGGCATGTCTTGGACAGTGGATGAGGCCTTCGCCGTCCCGTTGACACCGCTGACATGGAGCGGCAAGCCGTCTGCCGCCCTTGACTTGGCAAGCACAATGTGTTCCACCAGTCCGGATGTCCATTCGCCCACACGGCCAAGCACCCAGCCAGCCATGCACTGCTCAGCCATGGATCAGCAGCAGGCTGGGGACTGCTCAATGTCTCTCGTCAACCTTCCAGACTTGGAAGAGCTGCTCGAGATGTACGGAGACGGCTTTAGCTTCTAGGTCATGTGGACTGCCAACTGCCAGACAACATGGTGGACAGGGAGAGACCGGCTACGTAGCAAGACACGGGAGGCAGAACATTGATTCAAAGCAACTGCGTTGTAAGCTGGAAAGCATGTGGAATTCCGCAAGCCCGCAGTTCATAAAAGAAAGCATTGTACGTTGTATAAAGAAAGGGGCGAAAGCAGCGCCATCTGCTTTGTTGGGCTGACTGAGACAAGAGCAGGGGTGAAAAAAGTAACGACATGGGGGACGGGAGGGGGGGAGGCGACGAGCCTCCGAGAGTCTTCGTGGCCGCTGCGGGGGATATATCACATGCAGACAACCAAACACAGAAGGCTCAAGCCTAGACGGCCGCCGCTAGGAAAAACAAGAGTAGTATGATCAGGCCAAGAAAGTCCGGAAATGATACGGTGCCTGGAAAAGTGACAAAAGGAAATAAGAGAAAAGGCCGATGGTCCGAAAAGGGGAGGGCGGAAAGGAGGTGGGCGAAACGGCACGGGTCCGAGTCGAAGCAATCCTCGGAAAGCACACGCAGAGCCATCAACCACACAGAATATCGGGAGTGTGACCTCATAGCTGAGCGAGAGAAATCTCTCCAAGGTGGCAAACCCTGGCCAGCAGCCGGCGGCGTGCAAGGCCGGCGCGGCCCAGAGTTGAGCCCGTGACGGTGGAACCCGGAGTAAGAATCCACTCCCATGTTGGGCGGAACAGGCCAAGGCGCCTCCCGTGTGCAGGGCATGGTTGCGAGACCACGGGATGAGCGAGGTGGCCGGCGCGATAATAGAGGGCGGGAGAGCGTTTCACGGATCGTGATTCCACCAACATCAGATACTGCACAGGACTGTCTGTACGCCTGGCTCACGGAGGATATGGAGCATTCCCCAACGGGCCAACAGGTTGATATTCCGGCAGTCGCCGATCCAGGCGACGTATGTACGGGTGCGGCGATGCTATCCGCCGCCTCAAGGGGGAAAGGGGGGAATGAATGAATGTACAGTACGCATCACATCTGCAGGCGGAGCAGTGAAACCATCAATCAATTGGTGACAGTCAAATCGAATGATGCGTACAGTACTGTACGCCGGTCGGCCGGCCCATCGCGGATTTACAGAGCAGCTACCAGCAACTCCAGCATACCGACGTGGATTTCCCGCTTCAAGGAAGAAGCAACGGTAGGTATAAGTTGAAAAATGCCAAGTGAGTACTGTAAACACGGGCCAGTGCTTATGGTTGAAACAGAGTTTTTGACATGGCTGACATGGTCGTTCAACAAAAACAGGACAACAGCCAGCCTCTGAGGCCGATGGTTGAGACTAAGTGTCGATTTTCTCTTGCTTTTCTTTTTCCTGTGAACTTGTCTCTCTCAAGCGTGCAGTAGTGAGTGGCGTCTTTGCTCAACGGACCAGGCAAGCCTGCAGTCTTGTCTCACGTTTAAAATTGATTTCCTCAGTCAAAGGTGCAAAGATGAATCCCCTCGGGCACCAGCAGCTTGACGGCTTTGAATCCCGGCTCAATGCTGCTCACCTTGCCCTCAGCAGCGCCTTGTGCAATGTGGAACGTGATCCCAGTCTTAGAGACTCGACCGTTGCACCCCTGCTGTCACCCCTTCCCCCACCCATGGCCGACCCTTTCTCTTAGCCATTCAAGGTCCCCGGAGTCGGTGCGGATCGTGCCGCAGAGACAGCAAACCCCTGTTCCTCAAGACGGCGAAAAGGAAGGAAAAGGGGCGGCGCGTGGCTTGGCCGGGTGGGCAGTGCAGTAGCGGCGAACATCTCCATTTCAACCTTTACCATGCACAGACTGACGGGAAATACTGGTGGGAAAGGGGACCACGTCTCGGGGGACAATGGGAAAAGAAACAACGAGGGAAGATTGCAGTGCGGAGGACAGGCCCGCTCGCCCCCAATGTCGGGAGAGCTTTGCATGTGGGAAGAAACTGCCGGAGGGATCCCCTCCCCGGTTTGCTCTGTGGCGGTGGATTCGTCGACATCGTGTGTTTCCTCGACTCTAAGATTGCGGTGGCTTGGTCGATACGAGTTGGGAAACCCAAGGACCGGATCCAACTCCCAGGATGGCGTTCATGCCCTCTCTCCTCTCTCCCCCCACCCTCCTCCGGGAACTCAGGATATTTCCCGAGGCGGGTCCATAGTTGGCAGGATGAGCTGGCGGTTTGTCCAGAAGCCACCCGGCGACAGATATTGGATGGGCCGTCATGTCAGCGAGCAAACCAGGAGTTTCGGCACATCGCGTCCAATGGCCGCCAAGGGGGTGATGTCAGTGTACTAAGTGGCTTGGGTCAGCGTCAGCCGCTGCCGCCGAACCCCTGTCCCCTCCCACTGGCTGCTCTGTGCGACACACAGCCTGTCTCTCATGCGCGGACCGAGACGGTTGACGGCTGGCCGCCGTTTTGTGTTCCCTTGACCTGTTCCTATATTCCTGACGGCCCGAAAACACTGCGAAGCACGTGCCGTTCGATGTGAGCGGACGGCACAGATCCAGAACCGGAACGACCTGCATGTACATACAGAGAGCATACACACATACATACATCCAAGATTCACCTGATGCTCTAGGGCGGCATTGTGTAGAGGAACGCGGTCTTGGACGATGATCTAGGGTAGCATTCGCTTCTTTGTACCATACCGAAGAATGAGAATCTTGGCAATAGTGGATGGGGACCAGAGGCGACGGATAGGGGAATTAGGGGAGCAAGGGGGCGAAGGGGTGGATGGCCAGCGTGCGAACATGCACACTAAATGGACCTATCATGCAGGCTCAAGGGCCGCGATGGGCTCTAATCTGGAATAGGAAAACACACGTCTGTTCGTAATATACTGTCCTGTACTTTGCTGAGAAGGATCGTCGTCGGCCTAGCTCAGGCCAGAGCTCATAGCGAGCCATCTCTCTCCCTAGTCGACTCCCCGGTTAATTCGGCTTGTCGGGGGTCAAGGATAGAGGGATGGGGGGCATAGGCTGCCGGTTGATTGCTCGCCCCGAGCCGTCTTGGTTCGGCCAATCGAAGCTCGCGGCTCCTGGGGGCTGACAGATGGGGGGCCGGGCGCAACTTTTCACGATGTCTTGGACGGGCCAGGTCCGCTGGCCCGCCTTGCTGTGAGTGCAGTGAGGCTGGCAGGCTGGCAGGATAGATGTACTCCATGTATGCATGTGACTGCTGATGCCGAGCCTGCAGGAGTGGCCAGGCAAGGGATCAAGAGCACCAGGGGAGACGCTTGTTGCTTCTTTTCAACGCCAGTATCTCGATGTTTCTTTTTCAGACCAACATCGTAGGTACAGCAGACCGCCTCTCACTCGCTGTCACACGCTCCTGTTTTGCCCATCCGAAGATCTATATAAACCGTCGTCCTCTCCCGCCAGAGAGATAATTCCTCATCCCACATCCTTCAACTCAATCAGCTCAAGCCACCACAGCCTTACCACTCTTTCAATACTCTTCTTTTAATAATTCCTCAAACCCCCAAACCAACCTTCAAAATGAAGTTCACCGCTGCTATCTTCGCCCTGGCCGCTGTTGCCATCGCTGCTCCCGCCGAGATCGAGACCCGCTCCCGCTCCACCACCGCTTCCGAGTGCTCTGCTCACGGTGGTGTCCAGGCCTGCTGCAACGGCCTTGCTCTCAACTGCCTGGTCCAGGTCCTCGGCTCCAACTGCAACAACAACGCCTACTGCTGCGACTCCGGCGAGGCTGTTGTGAGTCTTCACATTCCGCGGACATCCGCTTCATTGTCACTCGCATTTGCTAACAAGTCTTCAGGGCGGTCTCGTCAACGTCCAGGCCCTTAACTGCGCCAAGATCCTCTAATCAGCGTGTTTATCGAGCTGCGGCTCCTTGCCTCCTAATGGAAGGACTCGGCTACACGCAGGGGGGGCTATCACTACGTGTCAACGAGTGGTGGCGGGATCTGTCAATATCTGGCTGTACAAAGTGGTTTCTTCCGTTCGTTGTGTATATCTAAAGGTGGTCTGTGAGCATTGGGCGACTTGGCTCCACCTCCTTTGATGACATATAACTACTGTAGTGTTAGTATCATGAAAGACTTGTGAATATACAAATATGTTCATCACTCGCCCGATATGCTCAGATTTGACACGCATATCATGCATGCTATGTTACCTTGAAGAATGAGACGAACGTTCTATTATGAAATGGCACAGCCCCTGTGATTCTGTCTTCAATCCTGGCCTATCCATCCTGGTCGTTTCTTGCAGCTTGGCTGTGGATAACCTCAGCTCAAGCTGTAACACGGACTCCGCCCTCGCCATTATATTTCAGCCGTCTACAAGCAAAAATCTTCCCACCTCGTCTTGGCACTCTTTTCCCGTTCATCCAACCGACCTTCTACCCATGGGGTGACGGGCAACACAGCGGCTTACGGCTTGCATGATATCGGGCAGTGACATAGCGGCGGGCAGCAGAGCAACGCCTGAGAGACTCGGCTTATCGAGTACCCATTCTCAAATCACATTGAAACCCGGCCATGTCGGCCGCGGCTTGTGCAGACTTGTGTATAGTCAATGAACGCCAACTCTTGGCGACGAATGTGGGTGTAGCAAACAATCTTTCGGCAATCCCATATTCTACGTACATGTGCGAGTATGAAAACTCAGAAGATGTGAGTGGTATGTACGGCGCATCTTTGGGGATCTTTCCGCTGGTCTGAGCGAGAGCACCGTGCAAAGCCATTTCCTGTCCCCCCCCCCTTTTTTTTCTTCGAAAGATTTCCAGTACTTCGTACACGCAGCTGCGCCGCTACACAGCAAGCGGCAAGGGCGATAACAAGCGACACGCATCAGTCGATCTAGTCCTCCCTCCAATCGCCAAAGCCTGGCTCTCCGTATGGATTCCACTCCTGCCCGGGCCAGCTCGTTGCGCTCATCTGCGGCGTATAGTCCTCCGCGTCTTCAGCCCTGAACAGAATCTTTTCCTCCTGTGACTCAAGTCGCCTGCTCCTTTTATATCGGTCCGCCGTGTCGTCCAGTTCCGCCGCTGGCGCAACGTCAACCGCAACGTCTTTCACGTCGTGTGCTCCGACACCATCTCCAGACTGGGTATGAAGGCTTTGCGCGCCTCTCTCGGAGTTTTTTCTCCAGTCCGTGCTCCCCTCCGGTCTCGTATCGCTCATGTCCCCAGCGGAGTGATCCTTCACTCCTCGCTCGTCGACCCGATGATCCGCGGTGACTGTTGAATTCTTGCCCACTGTTGGAGACCTGATACCCGGGTGCATAACCGGGGAGAGGGCGGCGGCATCCGCAGAAACGGAATCACCAACCTTGGAGTATTCGTGAGATCCAACTTTACTGTGTCCTCCCGAGCGCGCTTTCGCGAGGCCTTGATATCTCTCCACGGCTTCCCAATCGTCCAGCCTTGATTCCTGCCGAATTCTCAAGGATATCATGCTGGATTGGTGCGGGACAGTGTCTCCAAGGCCGGCGTTTGCTCGAGAATCGTCAACCGACCCCAAGGGTGGAGACGGGCCCATTCCCAAGGAAGAGACGGAATCATGTCGCAGAGGGCTTTTCTGACTTATCGACGGAGACTGCTGCGACCGAGGCGACACGAGCCCAACGTGGCCCTCGTGCGGCTGCTGATGCGGCTGAATGTGTCGTTGCGACGCTGTGTGGCGTTCAGCGTTGTAGGGCGTAGGAGCTATTAGGCCCTCGCCGTGAACTGCTTGATATCCTCGAGGGATCGGCACTTGATCATACACTCGCTCCCATTGGCTGGGTGGCGCTTGGCCGTGTCGCTTGGGCTCCGCTGGAGACCCCGATGGTTGGCCGTGAAACCCAGGCTGGGGAGAGACTGCACCTTGAGACGCCCACGCGCCGGACGGGGATGACCGCTGGCTCTGCACTGGGGTGATATTCCAGGCAGGATGCACCGCTTTCTGCCGGTCACTCGGCCCGGGTGACAGTTGATGCGGGTGATGAGACCGCTGCCTCTGTGGTGGCCCCTGTCCAGTCCCTTCTCGGCGCGTCGCGCCTCGAGTAGAGTCTAGAGACCTCGAGATTCTCTTGAACGCTCCCAAAAACTTCGACCCGGCCTTTCTGTCTCCCCTTTCGGGCTTGCCGTGGCTCTGCGGGGCGATCTGACCCATTTGCTCAGACACGCGGTTCTTCAGACCTTTCCATCGAGAGCCGGCGCCGTCCCCTTGAGCGCCCAGGTGCTCTCGCTGATTTGGCGGTACGGCTGGCCCAGATCTCTGCGGATGACCCTGAGGGCGGTATGCATGAAACTGTTCAACTTGCCCAGGGTTGAACACCCGGCCACCTGTATGCGGGCCGGGCTGCTGCTTATGTTGCTGGGGAGGATGGCCGGGCTCAGAAAACGGGGGGCTTCTTCTAGACTCTGGGTCGAGGTTTTCCCGCGGCACAGAGGCTAATGAACTCTGCCCTTGCGAAGTATTGCCTCTAGAGTCGTCCCTGATTGATTGTCCGAGCTGCGAGTGCGGTCTGGCAATAGGGGTGGTCGCACCGGAAACGCGCAGATGGCCAGCCGAGTTCTGCTGAAAGGACTCCAAGTTTCCATGATTGCTAAGTCCATCGTGGGGAATGCCTAAGTGATGATGTCGAGGTTCGGTAAGCGCCGCTCGCAACCTGGCGTCTTCGGGGGCCACGGCGGGCATCGCGTCCATCCCAGGCCCACGGGTGCCGCTGGCCTGCTGAACTGGCTGCTGCTCAATAGCTTTCCCATCCGAGGTAACAGACAAATCTGGGGAAACTGTTGAGCTTCTTAGAAATGCGGCCTCGCCGGCAGCATCATGCTGCGCTCCAATGCCAGCCAAGGGTGAGCCCCCATCCTGATGCGGTCCTGTGCCATCGTGACGTGATAGCAGCAGAGGTGTTGATAGATTCCGACGGTGTTCCATATCATTAGGCAGCTTCCGTACAACTCCAAGCCCCTGAGCCAGCTGTCGACGATCGGCCTCGGTAGTCCAAACATCGGGTGTCATGGGAGCTTCAAATCCCAGTGGGGACGGACGCGGCTGATTTCCCGGAAGCTGAGGAGATCTATTGATTGTCAGGCGCGGTGGTAGCCTGAAAGCATCGACCGAGTCGGCCTGGTCTCGGGAGTTCCGCGTTCCCCTGCCGGAAGAGAAGGGGCGTGGGGGTCCATGTAGGTCGGCGCCAGGAGATGGAATGCCCCTACGCGATTGAGTATCGACTGACTCTTGCCGATGGCGAGCCTGTAGATCCGAGGATGAATGAGCATGCCGAGGGGCCACTCGCCCTTCAGGCTTGGAGGCAGGCTTGCGCCCCAAAAGATCCGAAATCATCCCCGACACGGAGCTCCGCCTGGGGCCTCTGTCCGTTCTGCCTTCGCCAACAGGCTGGGGCGACAGGGGATCAAAGGAGTTCGCCAAGCTGCTTCCGCCTGGGCTATGGAACGAAGCAGGTAGTGGAGCCACGAGACCAGCCCTATGTTGATGCTGGTCATCTGCCCCGATGCTTACGGTCTGGGGAGCCTGCGAGTTTCCGCTGCGATCTATAGCAGAGCCGTAGATCATGTCCTTAAAACTTGTCAGGTTGACCATGCTCGAGAGCCGTTTTTTCTTCTTTGTCACTTCAAAGTTGTCCGCATCTGCAAGGTTCGAATCATTCAGGAAGCTAGAGGCCGACGGTCGCCGCGCACCCTTGGGCGTGATTTCGCCACCAGATCCGACCAGAGAGGAATTAGGATCCGGCTGCGACTGCCAAGGCATGCCCGGTGCCCAGACCTCGGGATTGGACTGATCATGTCCACCAACGCTATGTTTTTGTATAGAATCATGGTCCGCTGATGCGCGGCCAGTAAAGCCGGGAAGAAAGCTCGGCTGCTTCCCTTTGGCCTCCTGAATGTTCTCGGCTGCAATGCCGGACTCGGACGCCGCCGGTTGAGCCTCGGGCGACCAAGCCGGCCAATTTCTAGACGACGTCCCCGTGCTAAGAATGCCTGGATGCCTGAAGATGCCCAATCCCTGCTGATTGGGCACACAATCTCCCTGTGATGTCCGAACTGCGTCAAGATTAGGCTTGCCGTTCCGCGAAGTCTCTCCTCGAAGAGGTGGCGCCGTATAAGGATGTGAGTCCGACTCTACCCTCGTCCGGGAATGAGATCGAGGGCGCTGGGTATCATGGGTGATGGGATGAGAAAAGAGGTCAGGCCATCGCTGCGCAGACGATGGCGGTACGTCAAAGGACCTCTGTCGCAGATGGTCCGGCGATCCAGTTTCCTTATCGTAGCCGTAGAACATTGGCTGCTGCGAGCTAGCGGTTCCAGGGCGGTGTCTGGTAACGGAATGAAGGGGCTCAGACAGGTGGCTCTCCTCTAGCTTCCAGGGGCCGGTGGCTAGTCCCGGAATCGGACTTGCCAGCATCGGCGAGAGGCGAGTGTGAACAGGCAGGGCCGCATCAGAGGATTCAAGTGCCGGCAGTTGAATGGCCTGGAGCTTGCTTTGCACAGGGCGTTCGAGATGTTCTGGGCCCCGTGGCTGCTCCTGCTTGGGAACGGGAGCGCCTGAGATACCGTTGTCGCCAAGAGCAGGCTCCGTCGAGCTGCCAAATTGCAGTACAGACCATGGTATGAGTGGAAGCGGCTCTTCAGGTCCAACTGATCGACGTGAGCCGTCCCCGGTCACGGAGAATCCGCGGTCATTGCCATTGTCTCTAACGTCATCGTCGTCGAGCGAGAAGCGCCGGCTGGCCCTCTTCGCCCTGGTTGTGATGCCAAAGGTGGAGCTCCTCCGGATGGGGGGCAATCCGACAAACGAAGAGGTGCGCTTCGGGACATCATTTTGGGCCTGGATGTAAGGCTGTAGCGCTACGCCGCCATCGTCACCTTGGGAAGAGGCAGTCGGTTGAGCGCGCGCGGCCGCTGGTAGCGATGCAACTTGTTGTTCGTCGTTATCCTGGCGCGGTACGACAACCCAGTCATCTAAAGCCTGATCTTGGGCGACGTCTCTTTGCTCCGGTAGCTGTGATGCATCTTGCGGCTGTGTCACACCGTTTCCCAAGTAAGCGGGGATTTCCAGTCTGCTCAGGCCAGCGGTGACTCGATCGGCAGAGCCCGGATGATTTAGATAACGCACAGGTTGCAGCTTGCCCAGGCTCTCCAGGTCATGCGACCGACTCTGCACAAGAGGACTCAGCTGCGGTGCCTGCTCGTGCCGCCGAGTATCGACCGATGACGACGGCCTGCCGCCGGTGTTTGAAAGCGCCGCGGAGGCGGCTCGGGGGGCCGCTTCCCCCGGCCGAGACCTCGCTCCCAAGCTAAACGCCCAAGACGCCCGCCGATCGTTTTTGGGGTTGGTGTGGACTAGGGAATTGGCAGATTCGCCCTGCAAACAATTAATATCCATCCATTCACATGCGGACACGTGTGTGGGGTGACACGAATTGTGATGCGTTGGTGGAGGAAGGAATTGGAGAAAAGAAATGGGGAAATGCCATGAATGAATCGTGTAATTCCTATCTCGTGCACCCCATGCGATCATCAGACCAAGATTAAGCGAGATTCCAGCTTCGGACGACTTAGATCAAACATCCCTTGATACAGGCTTCCCTCCCAGGCAAACACAAGGGAGGGAGAAAAAGGCAAAATTCCTACTCACTGCTGAGCAAGGTGTGAGAAAGGAAGCTTCAGTGAAATACCTTGTCCCCGCTTCCGCGCAATTTGTTCTTTCCTTTACTTAGTAAACCCTTGCCCATCTTCCCGGCCGAATGCATGAACTCCTTGCTCTTGAAGCCAATTTGGTGGCTAGGATTTCCAAACGCGCTACCGGTCGGTTGCGAGGGCATCTGCGATCCGCCCAGCCGCGAGCGGCCGGCCGATGATGTGCTCGGCACAGTGGCGTTGAGATACTGCTGGTAGTAGGGCTGCTGTGCGGGAGGCTGGGCGCTTGCGGATGACGGGTGGCTCTCAGCCTGGACGAGCGGGTGAGGAGTTGCTGCGGCCAGAAACTCTGATCCGTTGGCGTATTCGGGGTTCTGGGCCTGCAGATCTTCGAGCCACGTGTTAAGTCCAGTGTCGGCTGACGCAAAATAATTTCGTGTCTCGTTGTATCTGGTGATCCTCTCCGCAGGAGCGGGCAGCGCCAGGATCTCTCGGAACATCATGCCTGGTGCCTGTGTTGGGTGATGAGGGCTCTGAGGCTCGACAGCTTCACTCGGTGGCTGACCAGCGGGACTTCTTTGGGACTCGGGCGGTGGGGTGGGAGAGAAGACGCGCGAAGAGTCTGGCGCCTGAGCTCCCTCGTCGGATCGTGACAGTCTTGTGCTGTCTCGACCCCCCGAGGCCGGCCTATCGCTCGAGGCGGAGAGAGGCGACGGGGGCTGGGGCACCTCCGGTGGCTCTTGTCCTCCGTCCGACTTGGCGACAGTCCCGGGAGCTGTGTCCGCGGGCTTGGGGGATTCGGCGTCTGCACGTGAGGGGGCGCGGCCGTCAGTGCCATCAGGTGGCGGTGTAGGCCCTGGCTCCGATCGAGCGATTGGATTCGCGGCCAGCCCATGAGCCGTGGATGATTCATGGCCCGAATCAGGAGACGGGGGGTTCGCCCTACCCTCATCGGCCTCCCAGGAAAACCTCTTCCGAGAGTCAAGCTCATCCACACACGCATTCTCGTCCAACCCAGAAGCCTCGGGCGGCGAGTCAGCCACCTCTTTGCTTTCCAGCGTGGTGGTAATTGGGGGCGCGGCCTGGGCCTTGTCTGACGTGTCCGCCCAGTAGCTGTCGTAGTCTCGCAGAGTGTAGCTACTCTCTCTAACCGCGTTGGGGCTTGGAGAGAGGAAACTCTTGCGGCCGTCTCCGGGGGACGAGGGATCCGCGGGCGAGCTCGCACCGGGACTCAGCGATCTCAAGATCTCATCGCTGAGAACGTCATTGTCCTTGACAGGTGATGAAGCTATGGTGCTAGTAGTAGGCTGGCGCTGAATCGAAATGGTTTCGAAATCGTGGCCAGGCTCTCTTTGCTTATACGCGTCGGAAGCTGCAGTGGGTTTATTGTCGTCAATGTTCAAGGATCCTCCCGAGGGGCTCGCTTCCTCGGCCACGTTGCCAACAGACGCACGAGGACTGGGTGTCCGCAAAGGCGGAATCGTGGGCCAACCGCTTCCTAGGTGCAAAATAGGCTGCCGCGCTTGGGGATGCGCGAGGACCGTGTCCGCTGCAGCGCTGGAAGACCCATGATCTGGGTCTCGATCCTTGTCGTCGGAGCTAGAGAGGGCAACCTCTCCGGGTTCCTTGGTCGTGTTTTTAGACAAGCCTTCATCCTTTGCAGGCGCTTCTCCGCCGTTGACCTCTTCCAAATAATGCGAGACAGATTGTAACCCTGGCGGTGTTTTCCGAGTGGCAGGAGGCGAGCGACAGGGATCCGACACCAAGGCAGAGGCGTCGTTGTATTTCTCGGTTCGCGGTGGCGGTGACGACGAGGGTAAGCCGTCGCCTTCGTGCTCAGGGATCATTGGTCCGATGGCAAAGCCGCTTCCCGTGGAGGCGAATAGGTCGACGCCAAATGCAGACATGCGAGCAACGTCGGGCAGCTGAGGGCTGACGGAGTCCCGACGGCCACCGTCTCCTTGTCCTGCAGACTCTGCGCCGCCACCAGCATGGGGAGGATCGCCTCTACCGCCCGGTGAGTCCAGCCTGTTCGATTTGGATGGGACCTCGGCAAGGAGAGCCTCCTTTTCCGTCTCGGGCTGGCGATGTCGCTGATTCTCCTCATCCATGCGGCGGTATTCGTCGGAGGGGCGAAGGAGAGGCGCCGCGCCTCCCACAGACGGCTCATCTGGTTCCGCTAGTCGGGAGCTTGAATGATTTGATGGGCCAGCGCCGGTGGACTGAGAAGAGACTGTCTTGTCCCGGTCGACGGGGCTTTCGGTGATCGAGGGGTCGGATATTGCAGGCGACGCGTGATGTGGTGGCGCCGGCCTTGGAGGTTGTTGCGCCTGGAGAGACGAGGGCAAAGAAGCTACGCCAGTGCCAGCGCCAGGTCTCTGGGTCGATGGCTGCTGGGCTGGGGGCTCGGGCTCGGGCTCGGGCTCGTCGTCGTACTCGTCGGCACCCCAGTCATCGCCGTCGTAGCTCTGCACCCGAGCCTCGACCCATTTCCTCGTCTTGGTTCGGTTCACGTTGACTTGGTACGCGCTGCCGGCCGGCGGAGCTTGCGATAATCTGCGAGTCGCAGGAGAGTCAGCACAGACGGGGAGACCAGCGGGAGCGGCAGACACGTACGCGGAAGACTGATGGCCAGGCCCAAAGCCTTTGTTGAATGGGCTGTCCATGACAAGAGGCGTCGCAACAGCGTCTTCACCCAGTCATGACTCGTTGACACGGATGGCGCCACCGGGCTCGGCCGAATCGGAGAGATGGTTGGGCTTTCGGGTCGTGCTGAAAGACCAGGGCGGCGGCGATGGTGAGAAGCCACAAGTCGGGGGTGCGGAAACAAGCAAGGGCTCCAGAACCGACGGGAAAAGAAAAAATGAAGGAGGCAGACGGAGAAAAGAGGGAAGAAAAGATACGTTCACTGGATCGGCATGGATCTTGGAGATTGCATTTGGGGCGGTCTGGCTGAAAAGTTGCGAGAGGCCAAGGAATGTCGCCTGGGCCTGTACTATCATGCAGAATGCCAACTAAGGTATATCCACTGGACAGCCAGGCGGTGAGCTACAGGATGTTGAGGGCGTTCTGTTAGCAAGGCACTACTCTCCACTGTACATACCCGGGGTTATGAACAGAGGGCGTCCAGGTACACCGTTGGGGGAGGGGCTGCCCAGCGGCTATCGAACGTGTCAGTCAGTGCATGAGAGGGCACTTGGGCGTGGCTCTTGGGAACCCTCGCTGTCTATTCTGACCAAACAAACGTGCTCACGGCGATCCCCGACGAGTGTCCTGTACGCAATGGCGTCTGATACTTCGCACGCGGGATGTAGGTAAATACCTACCTACCTAGGTAGGTACTGTACCTACTTCTATATCACCAGGCATCGCTCACCAGGCCAAGATATGACCTACCCTATATCCCCTCATCCACGTCCGCTGTGGCTATGCTGGGCCCAGCATCAGCCTCCGTGGCGCAGCCATTGAAGCAAACACCACGTGTCGCCGCAATCCGTCCAGCGGTCCGATCGTCGACGAGGCAAGAAAAGAGGCTGCTGCATTCGTCACGCCTCGTCCTTCTCCACACCCTCTTCTCTTTTTCTCCGTCCTTGGTCCTCTCATTAGACCCGTCTTTATATCCCTTCCTTCAGCTCCCGTATCACTTCCGGCGCGACTCGGCCCATCCCGAGCTCCGACGATTACGACGACTCCGACTCCGCCATCGCCCCGCGAGAAGCCGCTCCCTCCTCTTCACCCTCTCATCGCGAAGCCGCGCTGGTCGTCGGTAGTCGCGCATACTCCTCCACAAGCGCGTCATCATGGCCGTCGCATCCATTCAAGACCGCACCGCCGAGTTTAAGTCGGTCCTGGCGCAGGCTCAGCGTCGCCACAACCCCCCAAAGGTCGGATCACAGAGGAGGTCGCTGTTGAGCGATCCTCAAAAAGCCGCCGCAGATGGCGACGCAACCCCTCGGCGGTCCGACTTTGCCCGGAAAGCCGCCGAGATTGGACGCGGCATCTCGGCGACCATGGGCAAGCTCGAAAAGTTGGCGCAACGTGAGCCGCCCCCGGCCGCCGCAGCCCATGGGATACCGGAAATACTGACCTGGCTGCAGTCGCCAAGCGTCGTACACTGTTCGACGACCGGCCAGTCGAGATCAACGAGCTCACCTTTGTCATCAAGCAAGACCTCTCCTCGCTGAACCAGCAAATCGGAGCGCTCCAGACCGTATCGAAGCAGCAGCACCCCAAGGCTGACCAGGAGGGCGAGCACAACAAAAATGTCGTCTATCTGTTACAAGGAAAGTTGACGGATGTCTCGGTCAACTTCAAGGACGTGCTCGAGGCCCGGACCAAGAACATCCAGGCGTCTAGGTCGAGGACGGAAAATTTCATCTCGTCCGTGTCACAGCATGCTCAGCCGTCGCTGCCACAGTCGGCCTCACCCCTCTACGGCACGCCTAACCGAGCGTCCCCCGCCCCCGGCGCCGACACCCTTTCACTCAACCCCGTGGGCGACCAGCAGCTGATGATGATGGAGGAGGCGCAGCCGACCAACACCTACATCCAACAGAGAGGCGAGGCCATCGAAGCCATCGAAAAGACCATCAGCGAACTGGGCAGCATCTTTGGACAGCTGGCGACCATGGTCTCGGAACAGAGCGACATGATACAGCGTATCGACGCCAACACGGAAGACGTCGTGGACAATGTCGAGGGCGCCCAGCGGGAGCTGATGAAGTACTGGTCGCGCGTCTCGAGCAACAGGTGGTTAATAGCCAAGATGTTTGGCGTGCTGATGATATTCTTCCTGTGAGTGGCCGACTACATCTCCTTTCCAGTCGTCGCAACCGGCACTGACTTGGTTTCCGGCAGGCTCTGGGTCCTCGTCTCGGGCTAGAGTAGGATGCAGGCCTGGAGCGTCGGCTCGCCTCGCCGCGGATGCTTGACTCTTGGGTGCATTGCTCCATAGGAGCACATCGAGGCCGCATTATTTCCTGTATTCGTATAATGGCGTGCTGGGAGAGGCGCGAGGGGAACCTATTGTCCATAATAGAGGCGTTTGAATGGGATACGGGCACGGCTAGATAGACTTTGATCATCAGCACTGGGTTCTCGGCAACAGAGAACTGCCTCGTCTTATGATAGCCCACGCCGTCCCATATGATGCTACGCCACACGGACTGCAGCCTCAATCAGCAGGGCTTGCTTTACCCCAGTCATGAGAGCGCCCGGGGCCCCGCGATCTGTTCTGTGGTTGAAACAGCCCGGCGATGAGGCCCGCACCCAAGACTTCTCCTTGGCCGGCATCATGGCGACCCGCCCTGGCCTCCACATCAAGCATCCATCGCCGGCGGGATCCTAATTTGGGATGGAAAGCATAGAGCGGAACCCCTGCCTTGACAATTTGAAGCAACACCAATTACATGACGACGGGGTTTGAACTTATGGAGAAGCTTGTAGGCCGAGAACTCCATATATAGTCCGCCGGGTCCTGCTGGTCATGTGTGGAAGCAAGCCCATTTTCGCCTCTCCTTGTTGATCTCCTTTGATTTTGTAACGGGCGGCCATACCACCACCTCCTCAATAGCCGACATCAAACATCCCCAGCCACAGCTTACAACATAATCACATTCGACGCCATAACCTCCAACATAATGGCAGCAAAAAGCTTCAAGCTCAACACGGGCACTGAGATGCCGGCTGTGGGCCTGGGTAAGTCTAACCTGGCGCGCCGAAGACGCGTAAGAAAATATGCTGACGGATGCGCAGGAACGTGGCAGTCCAAGCCGGGCGAGGTTCAGGATGCCGTCTCATACGCGCTCCAGGCTGGGTATCGGCTGGTGGACTGTGCATACTGCTACGGCAACGAGGACGAGGTCGGCCAGGGCCTCAAGGAGGCATTTGATGCAGGCGTCAAGCGCGAGCATGTCTTTGTCATGACCAAGGTCTGGGCGACGTACAATACCCGGGTCGCCGAGGGCCTGGAAAAGAGCCTCAAGAGCCTTGGACTGGACTACGTTGACCTGTTCCTGATCGTGAGTCCCCATCGGAGCGAGTTGAGAACCACCATGGTGGCTTCAGACATGATGGGCTGACGCGGACTGGCGCAGCACTGGCCTATTCTATTGAACCCACAAGGTAAGTCGGCCCGGGCGAGGATGCAGCCAAGCCAAAGAGACCTTTGCTGAAGCTGAGCGGAACAGGCAATCACGAAAAGTTCCCGACCCTGCCGGACGGCTCGCGAGACGTCGTCCACGGATGGAACCACGTCGAGGCCTGGAAGCAGATGGAGGCGCTCCTGAGCACGGGCAAAGTCAAGGCCATTGGTGTTTGCAACGTATGTCCTTACCCAGTCAAAGCCGGACGCCACGTTTGTGAGACTCACACGAGCTTCTATCCTTGTCCGATAACAGTACAGCAAGCGATACCTGGAAGAGCTGCTTCTTCACTGCACCGTTGTGCCCGCCATCAACCAGATCGAAAACCACCCCAGCCTGCCACAGCAGGAGGTTGTGGATCTATGCAAGGCAAAGGGCATCCACGTTGTGGCCTACAGCCCGCTGGGAAGCACCGGCAGCCCCTTGATGAGAGCCGAGCCCGTGGCCAAGATTGCGGAAAAGAAGGGCGTCAGCGCCGGCACGGTCTTGCTGAGCTATCATGGTACGTCGTGTCACGCCAGCGGCTATCCCCCCATGTACCTGTTAATACCAATTTGGTCTTGTTCCTCCCGTTGACACTCTCTGATTGCTTCTCTAGTCGCCCGAGGCAGCACGGTTCTTGCCAAGTCCGTCACCCCGGCCCGTATCAAGTCGAACCTGGACCTTGTCGAGCTCGACGCCGCCGACATGAAGCTCCTTGACGACTACTCAGCCGATCTGGCCAAAAAGGGAGAGCTGAAGCGATATGTGTACCCGCCCTTTGGCGTGGACTTTGGCTTCCCGGACAAATCATAGCGCGAGGCTGGGCCAGGTTTGGGATAGAGAAGACGAAAGGTAGTGAAACATAGATGCGAATGGTCGTTGCCCTAAACTCGACATCGCCAGCCGGATCTCCAAGACCCTCGCGTAGAACCTTGTCTTGTACTGGAGTCGACAGCTAGCCCTACATGTACAAGCGTTCGCCTCACAGGGCTGCGTAGACGACTTCCTGTGCCCAAGGAAGCATAGTCCCTTAAATGGAACTAAATCTGAGACGCAAGAACTTGATTCTCGTGATTAGCCTCTACACGTTGTCTGTCCGTCATTACATGATGTAGTGCTACATGACACGAGTCAAAGTGAATGGGTGTGTTGCTAGACAAAGTCGATAAGAGTACGAAGTAGCCAATTGGAATTTTCCTTCTCGCCTAAGATCTACATGTTCTCATTGCGAGTAAAGCTGAATTGTTGACACCAAACATGCGGTGTAAAGAAATTATGCGCCCCCCATACACCTCTTGCACGGGAGATCTTGGTTTAGAGGGGGGCGTGTTTCTTCCACCCCTTGACGCTTGACGAGCCATACTGTCACCCCTTCCTCTTGGCTTGCTCTGCGTCTTAGCGGAAGAAGCAGAAAAGACAAAATGGTATAGGTACAAAAAGAAACCTTTGAAGTGACATACGGATACTGCATCGCATATCGTACTATACATGCGGTCTCATCACATTTGCTCCTCCATGTCCACGACAACCTTTAGCACCAGCCGCCCGGCGCCGTCCTTGACCTTAGCGGCCATGGAGAAGGCGTCCGTAATGTGGTCCATGCCCTTGAAGCGATGGGTGACGAGGGTCGCCAAGTCCGGCATCGACGCCGGCCGATTGGACAGTAGCTTGATGGCCTCCTTGTACGTGTTGGCGTATCGGAAGACGCCGATGAGGTCGACCTCGCGTAGGGCAGCGGCGGACATGGGCAGAGTGATAATGGGAGTGCCCATTCCGATGATCATGACTTTGCCGCCGGGCTTGGTGGCCTGGCCGTCGTCGCCGGCGAGTCAGCACAAGGATACAAGGGCATGGAGACGGGGAAGTGCGAAGCGCAGCAAAAGAAGGGGAGAGGGACAAACGTAGATGGAACTCTGGAGGCAAGTCTCGACGCCAGTGCATTCGTACACGGCCGAGACTTCGCCGACGGGCTTGCCACGGATCTCGGTTGCCATGATCTTGGCGGCAACGTCTTGCGCGTAGGCGAGCTTCTCGTCAATCGTCTGCGGCCGCGCCATGGGTACGACGAAGCCCGTGTCGGCGTATCCGTTGGCGACGGCAAAGTCGACGCGGTCCTTTTGGATGTCGGCAATCACGACGGCCTCGGCATCTGAAGCCTTGCTGACGGCGGCTGCCAGCAGCCCCACAGCTCCGGCGCCAAAGACGAGGACGGTCGATTTGGCTGGTAGGCTGGCGCGGTCTTGGGCGTGCATGGCCACCGAGAGCGGCTCGATGACGGCGCCGAGGTCTAGGGACAGGCCGTCGGGAAGCCTGTGTGAAGCCCGGGTCAGCCGCCTGGATTATACAGGGTGCTCTCCCAAACTCACTTGTGACACCACCGGGCCGGATGGTTGAGCCTTTCCTGCAGCGTGCCCTGCGCATGGGGAAAGGCCTTGGCCGAGCTGCGAAACCTCATGTCGCGGCAGATGTTATATCGCCCCTGCTGGCAGTACTCGCACTCTTCACACGGAAGGCCGACCTCGAGCGCAACGCGGTCGCCCGGCTTAAGGTCCGAGACGGCCGAGCCGACGCCGACGACGGTGCCGCTCGACTCGTGGCCAAGCGTCAACGGCTCGCGCACCAGGATGTCGCCGTTGCGGAAGTGGTTGAAGTAATGCAAATCGGAGCCGCACAGGCCCGTCGACTGGACGGCCACCTGGACCTCGTCGTTGGCGGGCGGCGGCAGCTCGCGCTCCTCAAGCCGGAGGTCCCGCTCGCCGTGCAGGACGGAAGCCCGGACACGCTGCGAAGCCATGGTTGTCGCTTTGTCGAAGGGGATTTCCGGTGTGCTTCTGCCCAGGTAGTGTGACGACACAGGAGCCCGTTGCAGCCTTCAAAGCTTAGTGCTCACGTCCGCTCGGCCGAGGATGGAGGGCGTTCTGCGTTTTGTTGTGTTCGTCGAATGCTGGAAAAGGGCCGTAATGTTGTGGGAGGAGAGCTCATTGAGCGGCCTCTGACTGCTTTTCGATGCTGAGAGTATGCAAGAGGTATCGAAAGAAAAGAGGAGAGGAGAGCCTTGGCCGGGAGCGATGATGTCGGAGAATGGACCTTTGAAATCAAATCACCATGACGCCGGCTAGAGTCAAAGGCCCACGCTCGGCGTTTGAAAACCCCTCGGTGGCTCCTCATGACCGAGGTTGCATTCGCCTGACGACGAGCGTTTGCTCTAACTCGCCCAAAAGTGGCCTCAATAGCCGCGCTGCCTTGTGTACTCGTGGGTTCGGGGACCTTTCGGCGGGTGCGGAGGCGGGGCAGTGGCGGCTGGGGTCCGGAGAGACCGACCCTGGGCCGGCGCCTGTTACCGGAATAGGCAATAACTGTCGGTCCTCAAGGTTAAGCCCACGCTGCTCTTCCGTCATTTCTACTCTTCCGCCACTCTCCTGAATCGTCTTATTGTCTGGTGCTAGATGGTTGCTCTTCTTCGGAGTCGCCGTCCTGCCTCGGACTGATGCATTGGTTCATAGACCGTGAACAAACTAGGTGTAGCTGCCAGAGTGTAGCTGCCAGAGTGCTGAGAGGTCAATGCGGCTTGACCAACGGCTTCAACTCTCATGTTGCTCATTCGACTTGAGCTGCACGGGTCGCGCCCGAGGAAATTCAACTGTACTTCTGTGTGAAACTGGGGTGGCGCAGCCCCTATATTCATATCTGCATGCACATGCGCATACATATCCACCCCTCTACAATATCAATTCCAAGTGACAGTGACCGATATACGAACGTGTCTGTGCAAACAGTTCCTCGTACTTGGATGCTGTCTCCAGCTGCCACAGATGGCTGAACACTCACTGAAAGTATAAAAAAAAACTCATGTCTTTGACCCCGTCTTTACCCCTATGGAAGACGCCTGAGAGGAGCTGCTTCTCTGCAACAGCCAGCCAGACTTACCCGATTACAGGGTATCCAAGTCCGCCTGCTACCGACCATGCCATCCCTCTTTCGGTCTCAATGCTTGACCCCGGCTAACCCAACAAGACTATGCATAGAAGGACTAGCCTCATCTCCGGGCAGTGACACGTCACACGGGAATCGAGGGTCTCGCTTGTGAGATTTGGCATGTAGCGTATACTATACTTGTACATTTACGAAGTACTTTGGCTGTCAACGTCAATAGCCCCTATTGCTATCATACTAGACAGCGGATCTTGACGAAGTCATGTTAAATTACGGAGGAGATGACGGCTAAGGACATGACATCATCCGCTTGTAGCCCAGCTAGAAGCTTGTTCATGAAACCCCGGACGCTTAAAGGGGGCGAGTTAAAGACGCACTGTCTTATTAATTCACACTTGGCGAGCCTTGCGAGCACACCGCCATTGCGAGGCCCTCTCAACGGGACGTCGACCTTTTCGGTGCCTCTTAGAGCTTTCTAATTGTGACATCGAGATTGACTTGCACGCATATGAGCTGGGAATTGGGATGACGCTCACGAGAGTTAAGAAACGCGGAGTGAAGCTGAGATTCGGCAGGTGACGGGCCATGTGCGTTCTTCCTGCGCATAGAGGAAGTGGCCTGACTTGCCCAGTCATGACTTGGGACAGCTGGCTTACAAGTGAGTTGTGTGAGGATACCAAGAGCATAGCATCGACCGGCTTCAACCGGCAACCTCTGTCACACTGTAGAGGTGAGACGAGCATTCAACTCGTGCGAATGCAGGCTTATAACCCCCTGATGAGGTTGGTACCTAGGCTCAGAGTCTCTCGCAAACAATATCAAGTCCAGGGAACAGCTCAAGACTGGGAGTGAGGTTCATTTGAGACGGGAGGCAACATGATCGCCGTTTCAACATCACTACGGAGTCAATACGGCTTCGAATGCTTCAGCGTAAGTCTTGTCCGGGATCAGGGGCGACGCGATAAACGCTCGTAGGTGGCTGCGCACATCAAGACGGCATCAAAAACTCTGCGAGCTCTGATATCAGCGACGCATCAGACTGTAGGAAAGACTCACCTCTTTAGGCTTATGAAATGGTCCAGCATACGGAGTCGGGGCGCCCGGACTACCTATTACTCACCCAAAGCGCCGACTCGTCGTGTTCTCATCTTGAAGGTTGCACATACATGCCCACTTGTTTTAAAAATCACTCCTGGGCTCCCTGTTGCTGGCGATAAAGCAAGGGCATATTCTGGCACCAATCGCAACTTTCGACATATCCATAGACTCATGACATCTGACAACTTGAGGCTTCATTCTGGGAACCTCGCCGTAAGAACCTCGCCGTAAGAGATGAAAAAACTCGGATCAGCCTTGAGTATATATATAAGGAGGCAGGCCCCAAGACACGACTTGCGTTCCAGCTCACCCGTTAGCTGCGCGCTTGCGTCCCCTCCTTCGTCTTTGTATTCGGCTACTGAATCTCGTCATCGTCCAGAATGTTGGTGTAGTCTCTCAACATGGCATTCTCTTGAAACTGCGCCGCGAGGCATTCCACGGTGGCAGACCTCGGATCGAACGGGGCCAATTCCGGATCGGCTATAAGGGTGGCGCGGATGCTGCCTGGGATGCGCGCCCAGTTCTTGTTTTCAAGGTCATGCAGAATCCGGCGGGCCGCATCGCTTGATACATCCTTCTTGCGCAGCATCATTGATAGGAGGGCCTTGGTGATGGCCTCGGCAACCTGCCATGACCGCCCCAGGCTCTCGTAGCCGTATATGCACAGCAGAAGGCACGAGTACCAGTTTTCGTCCATGACACCGTCAAGTATGGCATTGGCGACGTACAACAAGGCCATGTGCCACAGGATCGAGTACGATGACGACTGGTACTTGAATCGATAATCGAAGATGAGTCGCTCCAGTTGAGCGACGGAGGCGGCGGAAACGGCCTCGGGCGAACCGCCCATGTGACCAAAGGTTCGCAGACGGCTCTTTGGGCTCTCCTTGATGCATGGACGGAAGATGTCGAGGATGGCCGCGTGGAACCAGAGGCTACAGTTGTTGGTCCCTTGTTAGTCGCGATACGTCCGCCGCGCTTCAACTCAAGTGTGCCATGGGCATGAGAGGCGACTTACTGTAGAATCTGTACGTGGTGCGGACTCTGGTCCCTCTGTGTAAGCTGTGTGGGAAGCCCGTTGCCCCAGGCGAGAAGCTCTCGAAACTTGAACTCGGCAAATAAAAGATTGCCACGAGAGCCCACCGGAGCCAGGCCACCGGCATAGTACACCCAACTGACTTCGTGTACAATGCTCCAAAAGCGGCAGAGGTGGGGAAACGTCTGCCCCATGTACCAAGGGAGAAGGGAAACGTTCTGTGATCCTAAGCTAGCGGGTGTGTGCGGCCCCTCGGCAACCGAATCCGCATTGTGCTGTTGGTTCTCTGGTATAGGCACCTGCGGCGGATGTTGCGGGCACTTCAGTTCCGGTTGGTGATAGAATAGAGACATGAGTCTAGCAAAAATGTCAGTCGCGGGGGAACCTAGTGCCACTGTCGTGCGGGTGTCTCCTACGTTATCCAGTTGAATACTCCCCAAGCGGCATACCCACGTGCTCCTTGGGCCTCGGCAGATAGCTCACTGTCCTTGTCTGGCGACGGTTGACTCTTGACACCAAACAGCCCTAGTCTGATACCCATGTCGGTTGCCTCGGACAGATAGACCAACATCTTATGGTCTCTGCCTTGGCCCAGGTACCCAAGGCTCAGAAACTCGGCTGCTGCCATGGTTTGGATTGAATCTCTATTACTACTGCGTTCCTGGTTCCAAAGCCGCTCCGCCTCTGCGCAGAGGCTGGTTGTCTGACCCTCTGTTTCGGGGTCGATGCCACTATACATTTGCTAGTATCGCTGTCAGTGGTCGACTTGTCGATACCACGTCGGGGACAAGGCGACAGATGAAGTTGGAAACACAAAACGGGCGGTGGGGAGGGGGGGAAGGTGATGAGTGATGTATGAGAACAAGGCGTCAAGGAGAGGAGAAAAGTTGAGACTCGACCGTTCTTCTTGGTAAACTTACAAAAGCCCAGTATAGTAACGCGTTGACGAGCAGTGAAGAACAAAACTCAACCTGCCCGGAAATCAGGTGTGAAACGAAAAGTTCGGGGTCAAAGTGGCCCAGCAAGGGGTGGTCGGTTTCCAGGTACAGAGAAATGCACTTGGCAGCCATGTAGTTGTCTATATTGACGTTTGTCCAGAGGCGGATATTCAGTTCCCGTAGGCGAGGGTCGCACAGTTGTGGCGAGACTTTCGGCTCCTGGCTCTCCGTTGTGGGTGTTAGATTACCTGACGTAGACCCACGTGAGGGCCCATATGTGCAAGAATCCCGCCTTGGGCTTGATTCGCTGTGCAGACAATGAACCCAGAACCAGACGTTAGTCTTACGCTCTGCGCGTGTCGTGGTGTCGTACCAGGCTGTGGGCCGCTATCCACGTTCAGGGGTTGGATGATTGTGTCGGGGGGCGACTTACGGCAGTGTAGGGGCGTTCCCTATTGCGGGCTCGGTTGGCCTCCGATACCGCTCGCTCTGGAGCGTTTTCGGGTCAAGAGGCTTTAAGACTGGATAGGCAAAGGGACACTGAGCCGCCAGCTCGACATTCTCGAAGGTGCCACCAGTCGTGGTGGAGGCCTTGGATTGTTGATAGCTGGTGGGATCGCCTCTGAGTATAGAAAGTATAGTTGAAGCCTCAGTCTCCTCCCCTAGGGAAGGCATGATCCGAATCAACTCAGCTGCAGGGAGCGTGTTGAGGATTTTGACCATTTCGAACACGAGCTTCTTAGACTCGTCGGACAGGGGCGCATCATCCCGATACTCGCATTGCGAGACTTGGTCCCGGCAATTCGTGCAAGTAGGACGCTGGCCGTCGCACTGTCGACGTTACGTTAGACCATTCATGGAGGGCTTGCCGAACGAATATTTGGCCGGCAAGGCGGCATACCCTGATTTTCCTCCGCCGGCAGGTGTTGCACGCCACCGAGACGCCAACCCGCCGTCTCTTGTACTCCAAAGCTCCCGAGGACAGGCTCTTGCTGTCGCTTTCAGCGGCTGGAGCCAAAGGGCGGAGTGGGGGATATCTTCGCTCCATCGCGCAGTTGGAAGCTGCGATGCGCGGAGCAAGAGGCTTGCGAGCGGCCTGGCGGAGCGTATGTATCGTGATGTGCTTGAAAGTAGTCCGCAGGTACGAAAGAGATGCGGATGCGCTCTGCTACCGGGTTTATTAGCCAGAGTCGCGGAGGCGAGCCCACCTATGACAGTGCCCGGTCTTCACCCACGCCCGCCGTGGCGGTATGCATGTCCATTATACATTCAGCGTGAGCTCATCTTGGCGAGGGGCTGGCCTCCCAATTGTCCGTGAGAGAGGTTGGACCCTCTCGACTTCTAATGTTGACGGCCCATGACTGATATGCATCCTTGCGTGGCGAGGATGACCTCACTCGGCACTGAAAGCGGTTCATACATGGCTGCTGGCATCATACTAAGTCGATGTGACGGAAGGTCGTCTGCTCCCGGCCCTTGAACGCCAGTGGACTGTTATTCGAGGTTGCCACAGACCAGACGACCCTTGGACGGCGTCTCCGCTCATTGCCTTGCAGCTCGGGTCGTGACGGCCCAAGACAAGTTCTGACGACTTGAATCCATCGGCATCCAGCCTTGGCAAATGCTTCGGAGACGATGCCCCTATGGTACATAAAGCATGGAGTACGCTGGAACTGAGGACCGTACGACACATGGCTATCCATTCTTTTGAATATATTTGGCATCGACACCGGCTGCTGCCACAGGGAAGTCGTCTTAATGAAGTCCTTCTGCGATTGGCAGCCAGGACCAACTCCGACCGGTTGGACGTCTCCCGCGGTGGCGGCGACATGGGGGGGCCTCGACATGCTGCCCACATGTACGGGGCCGGGTCATCGCGACGCGCGGCATCGTTGCCTTGATAGGCCAGGGGCTTGGTATATGGGAAAGTCGGACAATCCGAGAGACATCTATTGCAGCCGAGACTCGTCTATTTCAGCGCGCCATTGATCGTCCTGGCGAATGGCGGGCCAGAATTGACATCGAGGCTTGAGACTGGAGGCCTCCTGGACCTTCGGTGAGGGATTCCTGCACAAAAGAGAAGCAGGCCCCCCAGGTCATGCCATCACTCTGGCATCACTCATTTCTCAACCCTCCTTTCGGTGGCTAAATGCTTCCCAAGGACCGACCGCCAACACGCCAGCTCTATCGCTACAATTTTCAGCCGTCGCCAACCCTAGCCAACGGAGACTGGGCGACAGCACGGGAATATGCGCATGGCCGCATCGGGATCGCCGGCTGTGGAATGTCGGCTCCCCGGACGAGTGTCGGCAGGGGTGGTGCTCTGCAGGTCAAGGGGCGCAGACGGACGTTGCGGAGGTTGATGGGTTGTTCCGTGCATGCAGCAGGGAGGAGATGACCGGACCAGGTCTTGCGTGTCGTGCCGCAACTTTCGAGATATCAAGGCGGACAGGGGCCGGAGTCCGGGTCCGTCGTACGAATCTCGGCAATGCGAAATCTCCTGGAATGGCTTCATAGAGAGCTTGTCTGGTCTCCGACCGACCATTTCTTTTCAGAGGCTCGCCTGGTTCTTCGTCTCCTTGGCCGGCGACCGCAGCGCTTGCCGAGCCCAGGTCTCGAGGACAGCAAACATCCGATGGCAGCCGCAAGATCGCTCCCAGTCGACAAGCCGAGTGAATCGTCCCAGCGGTCCAATGGATGGCTGAGCCCCCTCTATCTTTTTCGATATCGTTCCGAGCCTATCAGGGTCGTATGCTATGCATTCCGTCACGTTGCACAACACAAGCTCGCGTCTGGTATTAGTCACATCTGGGGAGGCGTTTTGCTTGAGGCAAAAAGTCCTTTTTGGATATCCCCAGACAGGTAGGTACACGACCAATGTGGAGATCAACAATGAAGCGGCGATTCGACGATTCGATTCCGGAGCCATGTCGATTTCGGTCCGGCCGACGAGTTATGCTCAAGGGCTGACCAGGGCTGACCACCTGTGGACCCGATCGCCTGGCAAGGAAGATGTGAGCCTTCGAGAAACAGTGAGAGCATGTGCCGGGATGAAGCAATACAGTACAAGCAGCAGCATATCCGGCGTCAGACCTTCGCATGCCGTACATGGCTATGCGCGAGATCTGGGAGTCGTCGAGCTGCAGGCCGGCGACAGCACTCACGTGTGCAATCCGGGCCGATACGTGAATCGGCTGCCACTACCAACGGAGTCATCCCTCCTTGGCGGCCTTGAAGCGGCCAATGGAGATGATACGGGTTGGACGACGACGAAGCGGGATTGAGGCTTCCCTGCTGTCAACGAGAGCCGGATCAGCTAGAAGCCAGGGCGTCAGCTTTGGTTTCCATTTTCAAAAGTAGAAGCCGGAGTAGGAGCCCAAGCAAGCTCAAGGAGAGGGTTCCGAGTGCAGTGTGCCATTATGTTTAGTCGATGAGGCTGGACTGCATTGAAGGCCTTGAAGCCTCGACATGATCGACAGTTCTCTCTGACAGGCTCGGCAAGCAGCCTGAGTCGATGGAGGCTTCGACTCTTCATGTTGTTGCGCTTTGCCTGGGCCCAGCAGAAACCGCCTCGCAACGACGACTACCAACACTCAAAGTCACGCTCGCTCCCGGAGACGAGACGATCGCCCCCAGATTATCACATGGCACGGCATCGGCTACTTCTGTGGGGGTTGTCACCTCGACGCCGGCCTCCCACGCCCCCCCCTTTCGAATTTGCATGCCAGCCCGAGGCGATCACACAGCAACGGAAGCTTGTCCGGACCATGTACCAGTACCTCTCTCTACCGTCTATCGTCTCCTCGACAGGGATTTCTGTCCAATAACTTGGACGGAGCTGCCTCCGGCTCTCGTGGCCAATAACGGGCTGCATGCTAGACTTTGACTAAGAGGCGGCCAATGTCTGTCGAGGAAAAAATAAAACATGAGACAGCGTCCCGCTTAGCGTTGACATCCGCAGGTCGTCTGCTTGTAATTAGCCTGCAGTCCCTTTGCGAGCCCATGTCCAAGTCCAACGGCCTGGGCCGCAGGGACTGAGCGTCGACGAACACATAAGCGACTACGCCCCTGCCGACATAAACAGGGGTTGCTCGACTGCTATCAATAAATGTCCGCCCGACCTCTCGGGCGTGAGCCATGATGCCAGGCTTCATCCATTTGTCCAGGTCCTCGCGGATCTCTGTGCGCGGTTGCACGAAGCCTTGACGTGCACGTGGAAGTGGCCGAGGTCATATTGCGCGGGTAGCGGCCCTTGCTCCGGGCTCGTCGAGCCAAACATCGTCAAAGGAGAACGCCCGCGGAGATATTGGGATCGTACATGAATGAAGGCAAGGCGCATCAATGTACTGTACATACCAGGCTCACGTTTATCGCCCCGCCCCGTGAGGCGACCACTCGTGAAAGAGACGGAGCCGGCGACTCACCGATACCCTGACCACGGCCGTCCGCACAACTGTGTATGCTTGAATCAAGACGCGTACACAAGTTCTGTGCAGCAGATCCTGAGCGGCACAGATATAACTTAACATGTACTGTACGTAGCGTGTGGGTAGCACAGCCAGCCTCGGTGCTTGCACGTACGAATCGGCTCTGGCCCCAAGACCCCCTCCGTCCCCCACGATGCCGAAGAATGACTTATACGTACGTAGGTACTTGGGTCAAGGTTTCTGTGACGAGGCACCAATAGTCAAGAAGCGCGGGGCACGTCCGCAGCAACCCCATTGCCCTCTGGGTCTGATGCTACTTGGCATTATGAAAGGGGCTTTCCACTACGCCATGCCGGACTTGAAATGCCGCAGAGCAGCCCCTACATTGCCTATCGACTGCTGGATCTGAACTCCATGATGCATCACTGCGAGGAAGGGGGTGAGGTGAAGGCAAGGATGGAGCCGAGGGGGTCTCTCCATGAACACAGAAGTTGGCAGCTGCCAAACAGGAATCAGGTAAACCTTTCCCGCCTCACTGCTCATGAGTTGTCGGAAGCGTACATGATGCTGCCGGGGCTAGGTCAATGCGTGGCACCCCTGAGAGCCGAAAACAAGGCCCCCCCTACAAAGGTCCTCCGCCCCTGGCGCCAGTTTGTGGTGTTGTTTGCGGATACATATACATCGTAATCAACGCTGGAAGTATTCAACTTTGAGCAGGTACCTGTTTGATACAGTCGCTGCAGGTCATATTCAACTTTCCAGGTGATTTCCCCGGACGCTGCAGAACCAAGCGTCTCCAACTCTGGTTGTGTATGGTGGTGGGTGGCTCCCAATCGATCCTTCGCCGTACAAAGACTTTGAACCCCCTCCCCCCCTTCCCAGCCCTCCCCGCTCCCCCATGTCCCCTTCTCGATGGCGCACCTCTTAAGACGTGATTTACAGGAGCACTCTCAAGCACGGCTACTGCATTCAGCTTGACGGCCGCCTTGGCTGTATGTAGAGAGTGACGGACAGGACTTGCCCGGGCTGCCGCGCAGTGATGCATTGTCCACACATGGGTTTCTCGGCTCGTACTTGTACGAGCTGAGACAACACGTCCTCGACAGCCTTTCCAAGATTTTAAAATACTACCTGAAAACTTTGAGACTCTCGTTCCTCGTAATTCATCATCCAGTGGACAAGAATCCAAGCCGCCTGCTCCTGTATACCAATGAGTCCACGAAGCCTCGCCTCGCTACAAGCCAGCAATGAACGAGCACTTTAGGATACAAGCCCATTTCAACGACATCCGCCCTATCAGAGCTGTCGGAGGAGCGCTCCGCGAAAGTCAATTGGGTACAAGCTTTGAGTCGGGCCCAGGGTTTCCGGGCCAGGAGGCACTCCACAATACAACATACTGCTTCTCTCAGTCCAACAAGGGGTTCCCATGGCTCGACGATAGCTTTATTAGAAGCTTAGACGACCAATTTTTCATACCTGGGGACCTTTACGTCAGTGAGGATTTTGGATCAGACGTCCACGATATCGATGCCGCGTCGTGCCATCCGGGGCAGGATTCGGACTCCAAAGACTCCGCCTCACCTGGCTCGCTGCCAGCAATTCTGTCGCCTCTCCGCAAGGACCATGGAATGCTTTCCATGACTACAGCAAGTTCTCAGCGAGCGCACGAGCGCAAGGGGAATTGCCCAGGGCGCAACAGTATCGAAGCCCCATACAACCCCACAGTTTTACAAGCCCGAGAGAAGAACCGCATGGCGGCAGACAAGTGTCGCTCCAAGAAACAAAGGGATGTTACACAGCTCAAGAGCATGCATGAGACGCTCGAGGCTAGACATCGACAGCTCTGCAGCACCGTCTCGGACCTGGTGGCGGAGACGCATGCTCTGAAGAATATGCTCATGCAGCATGGGAACTGCGACTGTGAATTGATCCAAGAATATCTCAGGGAATCTGCATCTAGTTGGATTGCCAAGAAGACGGGTGACTGCTTGGAGGCCTAGCAGGGCCATTAATGGTGCTTCGGTGCGGTGCGGCCAGGGGCTAGGGGGCTCAGCTCTTTACACCGAAGCACCGCGTTTTATTTCTTGATGGAAAACTTTTCTTATAAATATTGAAGCTATGAACGAAAGAGCTGTGATGGACGAACATTGACTCTCTTGTGCCATGCGGCTTTGTAGAGTCGTTCCGGTTCCTGCCCAGGTCAGGGGGAGTTCGCCATCTCAGACGCACTCAATGGGCCCACGTGAAATTCGTGATGCATCAACACGCCACAGTCCACTTTTATTTCCGTCGGCGTCCAGGAGAAGCCCAATAGCGGTGCCCTCTCATGCTCCTGTGCGCTCTGCCAGCGTGCGAATACTCCAAGGAACTGATTCTATCTTCGTCCCTAGTCACATAAGCATCGTAGGCTTCAACAAACACGGCGCAAGGTCCGGATTCAGCTTCAGGGGGAGAGGAGCGAGGGCGTCAGGTGGCAACTCGGCTTCGGGAGAAATTCGGGCAAGGGCTAACTGAAGCGACTGTCGACATCATTTTGCAGATGCGCCACAAGACACGGGAAGCGATGATATCGGATGCAAGCCACCACACGCTTTCATCCGAAAGAGTTAGGAGGTTACAGTACATGGACGCATCGGGGCAGCCGAACTGGACGTGCTCATCGTAGAAGCCACATCTGCCCGAAGGGTGACGTCAAGGAAGGGTTTCTTCGAGACAATATTTTATACTTTCGACACGGCCGTCTTGAACAAGGCCACGAAAGCGTGTTGTCCGATGAGGCATCCCAATTCAATTTGGCGCATCCCCTGACTCGTACCACGCAGTTCCGCGGATGTGCCTGTGTCTCGTGTAGAAGTAACAGCATGATAATCGACTCTTCTTGGCTTCAGCAAAGGTGGCAACAGCCACGAAATGGTACAACCATGTAGGCAGGCTTCTGATAAGTGTATCGCCCGTACTGTACAGACCAACAAGGCGTCAACTGAAGAGGATGACCATTATCTACAAAGGGGCGGATCTTTGAACAGGTCTCAGGGATACATACTCCGTACATGCCATGTACGAGTAAGACTGCCTCATCGTTGAGCAGCACGACCCAAGGGTTGTACGGTAGCTGCCCTGGACTGTAACAGAAATTAACAGGATCAGCGAGGCAATGAGAACGCTCAACGTGTTTTACCGACCAAGCCGGGGCTGTCAGCAATGATCGGCAACCCCCCAAAAGCCGGTCCCTCCGCGCTCCAGACGTCAATGTTAGTGGTCAGCGGTCTCCAACCATTAAGAATACCATGTCAAGCTTCCTGTGGGACGTAAGATTCAGCCCTATCATCGTACGGCACGTCATTGGACGCGACTTCATCTGGACTTTGACATTTGACAGAAGCTCCGCCCAGTCCAGGGTCAGCCTTAACCTTCCGAACCCGTAGGGTTGACCAGGCTACTTACTCTGAGCCGTGCTCAACGTGTAATAATAAGAAAAAGTGTATTGGATTCAATATGGCCCGTGCTCTAATACGGAGCATAGAGCTAGGCAAGATTGGCATCTATGGCGACGGACACATGATGTTTCTCGAGAAGAACAGTCGTCAAAGTTCAAGAGGTTCTACTTGACTTAACCCAGATACTCTAACTTGGTTTCGTGGGCAGCGTAGTTGGAGGCGACACATATTGCTTTCGACACAGACGTGCTTGTGGAGGCTCATGAGCTTGGTTGATATTACATGACCATGCAGCATCGAAATTAATGTTTGTAGCCGCACCGTCCAGTCTTGTGGTTCCCCTGCTCACGTCATTGTAGCGTCATCCTTCGCCTCGAAGCACCACGGGTACACCTTCTTCTTGATTCTATCGCCGTCTTGTGAGGACCTGTGGGCTCGTCATGCTTAGCAAGTTCGTTTGAAGCTTGGTCGAGGGCGGTGCCTCCGATGGCGCTTTCGAGGGCGTGTCTCGGTCTTCATGAAGCTGTCGTCCACGGAACAGTGGCACTTCGAGTCCCTGTAGTTGTGGTCGCAATAACCGCTGGCGTGGTTGGATTGCTAGACATGCATGACCTATGATGGTCGATCAAGAACCCCTTGAAAGTCAGTCACAAGGAGCCAACGTGATCTTGGTCCACAGCTTCCAGAATCCCAGCTCAGCTACCCATCCTTGACTTCCAGCCTGCTCTCATGCATGCTGAGCCTGCAAGGAATTCATCAAGGCCCCGCATATTTGAATCGACGGCATCGGGATTCGGGATGGCATGCTATTGCAGCAAGTCCCTCGACACAAAACCTTCGTTGTTGTCACGGGCTGTGCCCGGCTGGTGGACCCGGTTGTACCGGGTCCGGTGGGTCGTGCTCCGGTGGCAACACCGGCCCCGCTCCGCGGACCCAGAAGCTGCGAGAACATTCCGAGAAGGGCAATATAGCTGCACTCGAGGCTACGCCTCGAGTTCAGCTTCTTTCCTCCTTAGCTCTAGATAGACAACACCTAGGCACCTGCTTGTTGAATAAACTCCGGGCCAGCCTTTCACATATCTAGAGCTCCTTCTAAATACCGCAAGCTGCAGACTGCTCGTCAGGATGGACCAGCAGAGTGAGAGCCCAAGTCTCCAGCAGCAATGGATTGACCAACGCATTCAAGAAGCGGTCAATGCGACTCTCAGCCCTCTACAGGACCAACTTTCCTTGCTGATGGAGCAACTCGGGCGAGCGCAGCCGCAGAGCGCCGACTTGCAATCGCCGCCAGTGGCACGAGGATTGGGCGAGAGCACGCCTGGCTTGGGCACGCCCTCCCAAAACCTGCGGTACTGGAATGCGGAAACCGTTGCCCAACCCACCCAAGTATGACGGCTCACGGAAGAGCTACTCCGCCTGGGCCAGGCAGATGCGAGACAAGCTGGACCTTGATGCACACTACTACAGTGGAAATCGCGAACTTTGGTACCTCATCAACTCATGTTTGGACGAGCGACCACAGCAAGTGGTCGCTACCTTTACGCCGCGGAGGCCCTGGGGTAGCTACGACCCCAAGAGTTCATGCGATACCTCGACCGAACCTACCAGGACAGCAACATCCAATCCCGCGCTGCTGCCACGCTGAGAACTATGCGGCAGCGCGAAGACCAACCTCTCGCGTCCTTCCTTCCCCGATTCGAACAGGCATTAGCTGAAGCCGGGGGAGCAGACTGGCCGGACAGTGCAAAGATCGTATTTCTAGAGAACGCAATAAATGCACGCCTCCAAGAGAGTTTGGTCACAGCCGTCCTACCCGACGACTACCAGGGATGGCTTGCGAGAGTTCAGGAAATTGCGGGCAGATTGAGAGACTGAAACCCGGTAGGCAGCCGACGTCGACTGAGCGGACGCCTCAACAGCTACCAAGGCAACGACCCAAGGAGGAACCGGAGGACCCCGACGGAGATGTTAAGATGACGGACATCAACCGTATTGGCCACGAGTCGAAGGGTCGTCGACATGTCGATAAGAAGCCGAAGGATGAGCGCCGCTGCTATCGCTGTGGTCGGACGGATCATCTTATCGTGGACTGCCCAGCCCAGGTGGTCTTTCCTGGCGAAGGGAAGCAACAGCGACCTAAAGCTGCGCGCATGAAGAAGCCCGATGCCGCAGATGATTCGGAATCAACCGCAGCATCCAGTGAGGACGAGTCGGCGGGAAAAGACTAGCCCCGGGCGAAAGCGGGCGCCGGGGCCTGCAAAGGCAGACATCCGGGACTGGGAAGCGTTCAAGCCACGAATGAATAGTCGGACTGTATTAGTCAACGCGCGGGTAAACCGAGGCTATCGAATACGCGCCCTTGTCGACTGTGGATGTGACTGCTATGCCGTGATCGACGAAGCCCTTGTTCGGAAGCTGCGGATACCCTTCGTCGACTCGAAACCACGAGAAATTGGGGGATTCTCAGAGTCAGCGAAGAGTGTCATATCCCCAGGGTCGTGGCTGTTGTGGTCGAGACAGCTGGATTTGACGAACGTGTCTTTGCATACGTGATCCCAAGCCTGGGCCAGGACATGTTCCTCGGCCGGCCTTGGATGGAGAGAAATCACGTCGTGTACGATGCTGCCAAGCAGCGAATGTACCATGGGAGGGCAGGTGTGACGATACGCCTCATTGGGCAGGAAGAGCCCGCCAAGATACGCGCGATTCGAAGCGCAAGACTCGTGTCGGCAGCCGTATTCACGGCGGAATGTCGACGCGCAAAGAGACGCAAGAAGTGCAACGCGATCTCGATTCATGCAATCAGTTTGTCGGATATAGAGAGGCGCTTCAGCCGAAGCCGCCAGTCGATCCGAGCGAGAAGGTCCCGGCAGAAGTGCTGAAAGAATTCCGCGACCTATTCTCACCAGGAGAGGCAATGAAGCTGCCGCCACATCGACCGGGTGTGGATCATGAAGTCAACCTGCAGCCTGACAAGAACGGCAACGAGCCACCCTTCCGTGGGGCCCACTCTACAACATGTCACGAGAAGAGCTGTTGGTCTTGCGAAAGACCCTGAAAGACCTGCTGGACAGAGGATTCATCCGAGCGAGTAGCTCAGCGGCTGCCGCGCCGGTGCTGTTCGTGCGGAAGCCGAATGGAGGGCTGCGATTTTGTTGCGACTACCGAGCGCTGAATGCAATCACCAAGCGCGACCGATACCCACTGCCCTCATCGCGGAGACCCTGCAGAATCTGGCCAAGGCTAAGTGGTTCACCAAGTTGGACGTGGTGGCCGCTTTCCATAAGATCCGCATGGCTCCGGGACATGAGGGAAAGACTGCATTTCGCACGAGGTTTGGGCTCTACGAGTGGCTCGTGTGCCCTTTCGGCCTGAGCGGCGCCCCGGCATCATTCCAACGATACATGAACAGTGTATTGCGCGAATGGCTGGACGACTTTGTCACAGCGTACCTGGATGATGTACTGATCTACTCGAGCGGTTCGAAGGCGGATCATGAGGCTAAGGTGCGACGAGTTCTCCAAGCACTCGCCGACGCTGGGCTGCACCTAGACCCAGCGAAGTGCGAGTTTTCGGTACAAGAGGTCAAATACCTTGGGTTCATCGTCAACGCAGGGAAAGGAATCGCCTGCGACCCCGAAAAGCAGCGCGCCATCCGCGAATGGGAGGCCCCGACCACGGTGAAGGGTGTCAGAAGCTTTCTGGGCTTCGCCAACTATTACCGGATCTTCATCCCCGACTATGCCAAGATCACGCAGTCTCTGGATGCCCTGCTTAAGAAAGGAACTGCCTTTCATTGGGGACGAGCGGAGAACGAGGCGTTTCAGGAGCTGAAGCGACGATTTTGCGAGTCACCGGTGCTCAAGCAGTGGGACCCGAGCCTCCCGACCTTTTTGGAGACGGATTGCTCAGGCTACGCATTGGGAGGCGTCCTGTCGCAGGAAGGCCCAGATGGACGTCGACACGCATGCGCCTTCTTCTCGAAGCGACTTTCGCCAGCGGAGTACAACTATCCCATTCACGACAAGGAGATGCTTGCCATCATGAGATGTCTCGACAACTGGAACGCCGAACTTAGGAGCTGCGGCCCATTTACAATCCTTACCGATCACCGCAACCTGGAGTATTTCATGACACGCCAGAAGCTCACGGAACGGCAGAGCCGTTGGGCAGCCGAATTGTCCCAGTTCGACTTCAAGCTCGAGTATCGACCGGGAAGCGAGGCTGTCGTGCCTGATGCGTTGTCCCGCCGTGAACAAGACAAGCCACAGGGCATTGACGACGAGCGGGAACAAGGAAGAATGATACAGTTGATACCGGATAGTGCCATTCCATCATCGACAAGAGCATGTATCAACGCGATGAGTTCTGACTGTTCAGAGGCATCCACCCTGCCGAAGATGAAGGTCTTCGAGGTAGCGGACCTGCAGCAACTCTGGGACGAAACGGTGGCGAAGGACTCGATATTCCGGGCAGCCTATAAGGCAGTCCGCGATCGCGAGCGTGCCTTCCCGCCCTCGCTGGGCCTGAAGATCCAGATTTCAGAATGTGCGATCGACGCAGGCAAAAGGCTGACATTCAGAGACCGTATTTGGGTGCCGGGTGGATCCGGAGAGGAGGGTAACCAGGAGGAAGCTGAGAAAGACCAGTTGAGAACCCGCATTGTGCAGCAGTCGCATGACTCTGTTGCGACCGGTCATCCCGGCAGGAAGGTACGCTGGCTATTGCGGCTCGGCGATTCTACTGGCCTGGGCAGTCCCAGCTGGTTCGCCGGTACGTAGCCAATTGCGACACCTGCGGCAGAGCACACATCTGGCGCCAGATCGAAAAGGGATTTCAAGCCTCTGCCGATTCCAGATCGACCCCGAAGCCATTTGTCCATGGACTTCATCACAGATCTGCCGCCTACTGGACCGAGCAAGGCAAGGTACCTGTGGGTGATTGTGGACAGACTGACAAAGGCTGTGACCCTCGAGGTGATGGACAACATGGAAGCTGAGCCGTGTGCAAACCGTTTTCTCCAGTGTCATTACCGATTTCACGGAATGCCACGGTCCATCGTCAGCGACCGCGGGAGCAACTGGCTAAGTAGGTTCTGGAAGAGGTTCTGCCGTCTTGCAGGTGTCACGCAGAAATTGAGCACGGCCTATCATCCTCAGACGGACGGAGGGCCAGAGAGAATGAACCAGGAGATCGAGGCCTACCTGAGAGCCTACGTGTCGTACGTGCAGGACGACTGGGAGAACTGCTCCCTGCCGCGCAGCTGGCACTCAACAATCGTGAATCCGCAGCGACCAAGATCAGCCCCTTTTCGCTGAGCATGGTTACCACGTCGATCCCATCAGCGTCGAGGAATCGGAAGAGCCACCGAGGCATAGAGAGGAAAGCAGAGCTGATAGCCTACTCAGTCGCCTGCAGGAGGTCAATGAGTACATGCAAGCAGTGATGGCCTCCTCACAGCAACAACAAGAAGAGGCTGCCAACGCAAAGCGACAGCCTGCGGAGCGATTTGAAGTTGGTGACAAGGTGTGGCTCTCGATGGCAAACTACAGATCGCCACGACCGTGCAAGAAGCTCGACTGGCTGCATCACAAGTACACAGTCACGAAGGTAATTAGTTCGCACGTTGTTGAGCTCGATGTTCGTGGCTCAATTTACCCGCGATTTCATGTTGACCTTTGCGGCGGGCGCATCAAGATCCGGCTCCTGGCCAAAGGTAGATGACGCACAGCCACCACCGGTACAAGATGAGTCCGGCACGGATCTGTGGGATGTCGACGAGATCCTCTGCGCGAGATGGAAGAAGCGCGGACGAGGGGAATTCAGGCAAGCACTAGTGCGATGGACGGGCTACGCAGAGCCGACTTGGGAGCCAGTTGAGTGGTTGCAAGGAACAATTGCGATGAAGGCATTCGAGGACAAGTACGGGCCAATCAAGACCAATGATGGCCCTAGGGAGAGGTACGAGACGCTGGCAGGAACGCAAGAACCCGCAGACGCCGACCTGGTCGGAGGGGACAAGGGGTAATGTCACGGGCTGTGCCCGGCTGGTGGACCCGGTTGTACCGGGTCCGGTGGGTCGTGCCCGGTGGCAACACCGGCCGCCCGCGGACCCAGAAGCTGCGAGAACATTCCGAGAAGGGCAATATAAGCTCGCACTCGAGGCTACGCCTCGAGTTCAGCTTCTTTTCCTCCTTAGCTCTAGATAGACAACACCTAGGCACCTGCTTGTTGAATAAACTCCGGGCCAGCCTTTCACAGTTGTCAGGGGCACATGGATGTTTGTACAGAAGCTGGGCACAGCACCACCCTGTGTCCAGATCGCCGGACGAGGAGCTGGTCACTTTCGACATAACACTATCATAATCTGGTCACGAGGCTCAAGTCGTTGCCCCATGAACGCCCGTCGCATCACTGGCCAAGCTACCTGCTGGTTGCCACGTCTTGCGAGAGGGCGGAACAAGCAGCGGGCGGTTACAACCGAGGCGAGTCGAACGCACAGTTAATGTGCCCCGTTAATGTTCCGAGGAAGTAGCTTGTTGGCCGGACTCACCCTTCGGTCAGTATGCCGAGCCCCATCATGATGTTTCAGCACTCGAGCTACGCTGCCCAATGGGAGGGCCAGCCGCACCGGAGGATGCCTCTCTATGGCGTACGAGAGGAAGGCTCGCCAGCCGCGGCTCGCGCAAAGAAGCCTTTCGGAACGAAATTTGGCGACAAGAGAACCGGAGAAGAGTTGGCTACAGAAGAGAGAGAGAGAGTTGGCGACAGTAGATAGGAGACAGGAAGAAGAGTGAGGTCGAGATACGAGACACGGCGAGAGACGTAGAGCATTATCGTGAGTGAAACCGAGACAGAGCGTCGGGAAGGCAGGCTAGGCCGCTGGAGGAAAATTTGGTTTAAAAAGGCGCAAACTCAAAGGGCGTGGAGAGACGGCAGGGTTGAAGAGAGATGTGAGTGGGTAATGCATGTCTGGGCGAGTGGAAGGCTCGGAAAATTTACATGTGCTACCGGTATAAGTCGTAGGTATAAACAGAATAAGGAGTATATTGGGGAAGTTTTGACTTGATCGTCTTCATGAAAAGGAGAACAAGAAGAGAAGAGAATGTGCTATTCGAGCCTTTGGCAGTTGATTTTGAGGATGATGAGACATGTTGTCATGTTGTATTGTTTCGTTTGATGCTTTAAAGTTCAGAGAATATTCTTGGGCGGACGTCGGGCGCGCAGTGGTCGGGAAGATATCGACGCGGGAGGTCTGATAGAGCCAGAGGCGGATGTGTCTTGGTGATTGACCTGTTCGGTGTCCGTCTCTGACTCTGCGGGGTCTTCCGGGGACAGAAAGGAGGAGGTATCGGATTTGGGAGTCTTGACCGTCACAGTCGGTGATTATGGTGGAAGTTTCGGGAGAAAGTCGCGGTCTCTTGGTTGGGGTTTGGTAGGGATCGGGCAATGACCGACTTGATGCCAGCATAAGGATCGACTGGGCCAGAAGCATGCGGCGTGGGGGAGGCGGGGCTTTGGGCGGCCTTGGGTTTCTTCGTAGAGGTAAACCTGGCCAACGCAACGCTATAGTCCGAGGGATTGCCGACCGCGCTCTTGGGTGTCGTCGGCAGTAGTTGTGTTGCAGAAGCCTGGCCGGACATGGCCTTGTCGTGGAAAGTCCACGTGTCGGGGACGACGATGAAGATATAGTCTTGGTCGAAAGCCGGGGCATGTTTCATGATCTGGTGATCCAGTAAGCCGGCGATTTTGCCCGTACAGGTGAAGAGAGCGTTCGACTGGAACTGGCTGTCGCGCCTCTCGGTCATATTCTTGCATAGGGAGGTCCAAGGATTAGCGTGAATGGGGAAGATGACGAAAACTTGAAGGGTGAAAGCCCTTGAAGGGGGTTTTGCCGGGAATCCCAGGACAAATAAAGGTGGAGAGCTGGACAAAGCCGCAGCAGCTCAGCTGGGTGTCGTCAAGGGCCGCAGCCGAGTTTCCATGCAGGAGGTCGCGGCCGGAGCCGATGACAGGTCCCGTGAAGGAGACAATGGGTTGTATCGTTGGGAAAGTATCCACCGAGCTGAGGGTGCGAGTGACAATTCTATGGATATCGTCAGGGAGGGCAGTGGCGACAGAGAGATTTGGAGCATAGACTCACGGTTGGTAGCTGTGATCGCGGACTATAAGCGCGGGGACGGTGTATTCTGTGATGTTATCATCGTCCGACTCCAAGCCATCACGTCGCTCGATTTCCCACGTCAGGGCAAAGGGATGAACACGGCCGACCATGAAGAACCATTGCTCGGTCCATTCCGAGGAGATTATCTGTTGGTTGTATATGGAAATATTAAGGCTGAAGAAGATGCAGGTCGATGGATTGCCAGTATCTGACCGGATTGCTGCATACTCCGGAGTCGACAGCCATGAGGGCGTGGGAAGGAAGACCCTCGCTAGGGTTTCTGCGTTGAGCCCTTTGACACGATGCTCATTCTGGTAGGCGAACCTAGCCGGGCAGCCGGGCTGGACAAAGGCCATCATGGACATGTCGGCGCCAGCATTTTCTGGCTGTCAAGAGGTTGCCGCGGGAGGACGAGGTATCGACGTTGAGCTGGGAGGCCGACATCGTGAGAACATGGCAGATGTAGTCACCGTGGAAGTGTAAATGAGGGGTTACGCAGAGTGGAGGTGGGCATCCTATAAAGCAGGTTTTCTTGCTGCTCGAAAGAGGGCTCGCGGCTAGGGTCGGGGAGACTTAAGAGTCAGAGAATGCTACCTAGGTGATAGATCAGAAGCGGGGGTATGCGGGAATGAGCTGGCGAGGTTCTTGAACAGTCTCGACCATCTGGTTCTATGGTCGTGAGTGAAGTAGGGAGCCGGGGGTTGGAAGTTGAGTAGGGGTGATGGCTATGTCGCGAGAAGTTGGAGGTCGGCGAACAGTAAGGTTAGTGTGGGTAAGTCTGCGGAGAAAGAAAGTCCAGCAGTACCCTTCGGTGTCATCGTTGCATGGAGTAGATAGCAAAGGCGACAATAACGAATGAGAGTGAAGGAAAGAAAGAGGTTATGGTAGTATTGCAGGGGTCCCTTTTTGACGGTCGTCGGTAGTTGGATGGGCATTGCGTGCGGCTGAGCGAGGCGGGTGCCGACCGTGTCGAGTCCACTATTGGGACACGGTGAAGTCGGATATAGGGGACGACCTGAGGAGGAGGATGCGAGTTGGTCACGAGAACTCCAAGAGGGTCTGCAAGTCGAGACTCCGGTGGCTAGCGACTACAAGAGGACAGGCAGGGGGATCCTGGCTGTCGCTTTAGCATGAAGGCCGTTGATGCGACGTTGGTGGTGGCGAGGGAGCAAACCTAGCCGGGTAGTCCGGTTGCACGAGGGACACCGTGGACATGTTATCGCCGGCAGCCTTTTGGCTGTTGCTCGACGAGGTGGAGTGGCAGATATTGATGGAGCAACTGATGCGCAAGGTGGGTGGGACGGCGTTGGAAGGGCCGGAGAGTATGGTTGGAAGTGTGCGGCGGGCGGTTGGCGCGGCCACCCCCATGTGCCGGAGGTCGGCAGTAGCCAGGGATTCGCTGGAGTGCGCAAAGAGAGCACGGCGATGGAAGGGCCGCCTTTGGCAAAGCTGGGGTAGCAGGTCGCACGTGGAGACCAGCCGAGGGCCGGGACGGTGGACGCACATAGGGAGGGTAAATGGGGATTACAAAGGGTAGTAGTATTGCATCGCTTCGGTACCATAGGCAAGCATTATAAGGGAAGAAACGCCACGGCCATGAGAGTAGTGATCGTTAGGAAGCTTCCCACTCGGAAAGAAATAGTGTACGCCAAGAAGCGAGATTATCCAAGTGGAAGTGCTCCGGAGCCAAAACTTTCTAGCCTGTTGCCAATCCACGCTAGTCGACGTCGAGGAGGCAGTAGCATGGCGGACAGTCCTGCAGGGAAGCTAGGCGAGGCGGCCGCTCACCGTGGAGCCTGTTCGTTGTCAGTCGAGGATGGAGAAGAGGGTAGGAACGGGGGAGTGCCTGTTTCGGGGTGCGGAGATGATACAGGGGCAACTCCCGAGAAGGGGCACAGAGCACGGGAGACAAGGTTGGGGCGGTTCGGGAGATACAGATCAGTGGCGAATGAAGCATTAACGTTCCGGCTGATTCAGCCTAAGCAGTCTGCGGTCGAAGAAACCGCATGGAGAAAGCATGCAGAGGCGATCGCAAAGTCACTGCCGAGAAGACCGCCGCGAGGCGGTTTGCGGTCAAGCAGAGCACGGAAGTCCGTAATTTGGTCAGCAGCGGAAATTCCGCGCAACGTCAGTCACCGAGTCCGCTTCCGAGGTTCGTGTTGCCTACAGAACGTGGAGACCAGGGGCAGTGGGCTCTAACAGTCCGCCCTTCATCGGCCGTTTTGCCCCAGGAGAGGGTCCTGAAGGTGACGGGCAGGGAGATAAGGTGGCGACCGGCGGTGTCCCGGTGTTCGTTCGAAAAAGGGACCGACGCTCCGACCTATCCAGCCCAAGGATACGACTTTCCAAGACCTAAGACGAACGGCGCAATTTGCAGCATCGATTGCATGGGGTTTGCCCAAGCTCCGTCGGGGACCGGTTCGGCGGCCAAGGGCACAGGTGGGTGTGGACGATGGCGCAGCAGAGGCAGCGGACGGCTCGCTGCGCGGACAGAGGCAGTCCCGGAGGCGGGAGAAGAGAGCCCGTCTTCCTAGCCGGGATGGGCGCCCGATAAAACAGGTCCGAAGTGGAATCGGAAGGCATAGGAGACGGGAGCTGCAGGCCGAAGACCTGGCGAGTGTGCTGCGCTTTTTGGAGGAAGACTTTGCCTTGAAGGAGAGATTGTCTAACGATCAGACGTGGTGCACGCCAATACCGCTCGAGAGGAAGGTGTCGACGGTGCGAGACTTCTATCAGGCGTTCCACGATGCGAGCACGTTGCCGATACGGACCTGCATGGTGTGCTACCGCAAGTGTACGAGAGGAGAGTTGAGGGAGATTACATGGGATCATTGGCTGTCAAGTTGCGTACCAAAGGGCGGCCGCTCACCATTTTCATGCCGGAGTTGCTTTCCTGAGGGCGAGTCCGTGTCGGTGTGCGCCGAGTGTGGCCGATGCCTGGCGCGCAGGAGCCTGTCGCCGGCGATCCACCTTCACAGTCGCCTTGGCTGCGAGCACATGTTCCCCGATGAGCTCAAGGGACTGACGCCGGTCGAAGAGAAGCTCATCTCGCTGAACTCATGTTACGGGTTTGTCACGAGATATAGCATTCCGGGCGGGCAGAGGCAGAGCGTGAAGTATCCGAGGCATGTCAGGGCCACATCACGGTGTTTCCGAACAATGTGCAGGAGCTGGCCACCAAAGTGCTCCCGCCCCCTTTGCAAGCACTGGACGAGATCCACATCTCGTGGCAGGGCGCGGAGAAGCCGGCACCGAGCGACCTGTCGAGTCTCTTGTCGGTGAGGCGGCGGGTGGTCGAGAGGGCCCTTGTCTGGCTGAAGCGGAACAACCCCCACTACGCCGAGATCGAGATCGACGCGGCGGAGATGGAGAGCTGGGGAGACTCGATACACGGGGTACCGTCGTCGGTGTGCGATCGTATGGAGCGGAACGAGCCGTCTGGGTGGGAGAAAGCGCGGACGGCGCACGTTGTGCCGCCCACGGAACGCGCCATGGACGAGGAGGGCCGGTGGAGATCGAGGAGCTCTTCGCCCTGCTCAACCAAGGACAAGAAGCCGGCGGCCAGGGTGAAGGTCACGGGCCCAACGGAGAAGGCGCGGTTCGCGATGGAAGTGACGCCTGCCCCGACCAGAACGTTCCAGCGATCAACGAGGTGACGTCTTCTGGCATGTTCGCGCTCGACGGACCGCCAGACGTCGCGGACGTGGAGAAGCTGCAGTTTGCCTGTGACGCTGTTGGTGAAGGTGCCGACGACGGCCGTGCGGGCCCGAGAGCGTGGGTCGGGTCCCTAGCCGGGGGGGTTCGGGGGCGTGGCGACGGTGGTTGTGAGCCATACATCCGGGTTTCGCGGGGGGGTGAGTTTACCGATTCCTTTGAGGCGTCCTTCTTTGCCAGGACGTTCCCGACCCTGTTCCCATTTGGCGTTGGGGACCAAGGCTGGTTGAAGAGACCATGGTCGACGCGGGAAGGTCACGGCCAACTTGCGAGGCAGGGCTGTCGAGGCAGAGGCGGCCGCGGAGACCCGTATCGTCTTGAAGCTTGAACCTTCAGGCGTGGGCCGAGATCGTGCTCCGGCGCCATGGTGGTCGATTTGCACTGCACCACATCTTCGCATTTCTCGTCTTCAACATGGGGTGCGATCGAGGAACCGCCGGGTCAGCATGTTGAGTGTGGGAGGAAGAACTTCCGCAAGGTAGAGCGCATCGTGCGTTCGATGACCACAGAAAGGCTAGCGGCGGCGAGGGTCGAGTTGGAGAGCTCGGGTAAGACGACCGATGGTGACGTGAAGGAGCTTCTCAGGAGCCTCTCGCTTTACGGCCACCGGCAGCCCATGTCGAGAGGTCCGTCTCAATATGCGGCGGAAAATCCAGTCGCTCATCGTCGGATATGGCGTGCCGGCCATCTGGTTCACCATCAACCCGAACGACATTACGAACCCGGTGAAGCTGCGACTGGCGGCATACCGCACACGCGATCCCGACGCGGCCGAGGAGTTCTTAGAAGGCCTTGGGGATGCGTATAAGCGGGCACGGCTGGCGATATCGGATCCCATGAGCTCGGCCGTGTTCTTCCACCGCGAGATGAAGCTGTTCTTCGATCATTACGTGAAGGTCGGTGAAGAGTCGGTATTCGGGCGCATCGGCAAGTACTATGGCGCCGTGGAGACGAACGAACGAGGGCGCTTCATGTTCACGGCTTGCTCTGGCTGCACGGGAACGCGCATCTCAGCTCGATGCTTGCCGACATCCACGGGGAGGATCAGGCGGCGTATCGCGAGCGAATCGTCCGATACATCGATAGCGTCTTCTCAGAGGTAAGAATGCCTACCTAAGATATGCCACCGGGAGCCTGAAGTACTCTTCTGATGGCCAAGTGGGGCCGGGTTGACGTGCAAGGCAGGATCTGGACCAGGAAAGTTTTGCGCCGTGCAAGCGGAGCGATCTGTGACGGGCGGTATTGGTTCCCTGCTGGACAACGCCGCGCAGTTCTCGGCCGCGTTTATTGAGGAGGCCAACTTCTGTGCCGGCGCGACGCAGGTGCACACGCATAGCCCGACCTGTGTGAAGTATTCCTTGGGCAAAGGAGGGCGGAAAGGGGACCTCTGCCGGTTCAAGGCGCCATGGAGGTTAGTCGACAAGACCGCCCTCACGGCAGACGGGGTGCTGCAGATCCGGAGGACACACAGCATGGTCAATCGATGGAACGAGGCTATTGCTGTCGGGCTCCGGCACAACCATGATATTTCCTTCATTGCGACGCAGCGCAAGACAATGGCCCTCATCTATTATGTCACGAACTACGCGACCAAGGTGGAGGACCCGGTGTGGAAGCGTGTGGCGGCCGCGGCCGAGCTCCTGGCCGCCTCAACAGGTGATGGCACGGCCAACGGAGGGCGGGACGGTGGCGGAGACGCTGCCACCGATGACCCTGTCAAGGGAACAGGACGCGACAGTTCCTGATGAGAGTGGCGAACCGCGTGTTCACGGAGCGTCCGCTATCACAGGTCGAGGTCGTCGCTCACCTTCTCGGATATCCGGCCGAGTTCACCGACAGCAGCGCGTGGGCGTACCTGAACTGTTCTCTGCTGTACTGGGAAGTCTTTCGGCGATGGCGGCATCTCCGAGAAGCCAGTGGCGCTGCGGCTATGGATGACACCTTGGATGAGTCGGTCGTCGTCGAAGAAGAAGGCCTGAGAATCTCCCACGTCGAGGCGTACCAGCACCGGGAGAGCTGCTGAAAGGCCTATGCCTGTATGACTACATATCGATCGTCAGACTGAAACGCATCGGCAACGACGAGAGCTGGGCGGCTTGGGGAGATGTCTTTCGAGGATGGATGGGCGCCGGGACGACGCTGGGTTCAGGTGCTCAGGCGGCCGGGCAAGCACGCTACCGTCTGCCTCGACGGCTACCTGAGCAAGGACTTCACCTACGATGACGAGTCGTGCTACCGGAGGTGTGTATGGCAACTGCTCTGTCAGCGGGCATTATCGGAGAGGCTAACCCACCCCTGAAGGGCAGCCGTGCAGCATCTTGCGCTGTTCGTGCCGTGGAGTCCTTCCTGGGCGAAGGAACAGGTGAGATCAACAGCATCTGGGCGCGGGCTCGAGACGCTATGGCCCCGAGAATATCATGTCTCGTCGACAACGTGCAGCTGCTTCGACGATCCGCCGAAGACGCAAAACGCGACGCCAAGCAATGGGCAGCCTCGTCCGGCGATGGCGACCCGACGGTCGCACACGTCGAGGAGGGTGGAGCAGGCGAGGCGGGCGCGGAGTCTGCAGCGACATATCAGCCCAACAGCATCGGAGACGCAACGCGGCTCATCGACGTCGTCCGAGGTGCAGTGGGAGCGAATCAGGTGACGGCCAAGTCGCCGGAGCTCATGGCAATGATACAGCAGCTCTGTCGGTTTCAGCAATCGGCGCTGCGCTCGACGGCCGAGCTCGAGGCCACGGCGCTGATCGAACGAGGGAGAGGCGGTTAAGCATGCCAGGGCGGGTATTTTCCGGGGCCGCACTACCGCCGCAGGATCAGGTCAAGGCTATCAAGTCGCAGCAGGTAAGTGCCTCGAAGGAGAGGAGGATGATCCAAGGGATACAAAGCACGCCCGCCGCCTGGGAAAGCGATCGCCGCGCAGCGTTGCGAAGGGTGATGACCGGTTTCGGGGAGGACGAGGTCGAAATGACGATGGCCGACTCCGACGAGACCGCTATCGACGCAGGGGCGGGAATGGACGTTCAGTTTGGCCCATCAACCTCCTTCCTCGCGGCGGGCAAGGTGTTGGCAACACGGCTGACGCTGAACAAGAGGCAGTCCATCGCTTTTCTGATAATATGCCGCCAGCTCGATTTGATGCAGCAGACCGACGGGGCGATGCCTGCCAGCTGCGCCAGTTCGTCGGTGGCGAGGGCGGTACCGGCAAGTCGCGAATCATCGAGGCACTCGTCGAGCTGTTCAGTAAAAGAGCCTTTCGAATCGTCTGCTGATCACGGCGACGTCGGGGACTGCGGCGGCGCGGATCAACGGCATCACGATCCACCCGCCTGCGGGTTCACTAAAGACCAAGGGGCGGGGGCGCGAACATGGTCAAAGACCTTGACGGGTGCGGCTGCCGAAACAGGCGGAGCGGTTCATCCACGGCCAGTCTCGAATGGATTGGCAGGAGAAGGATGTGCTCGTCATCGACGAGGTGAGCATGCTCGGGGCGCGGACGCTGCACGCCGTGAACGAGCGGCTTCGCCGGCTTCGCGGATCGCGGCAAGATTTCGGGGGGATCCCCATCGTCCTCTTCTGCGGAGATTTTCAGCAGTTCCGGCCGGTCCAAGAGAGGTCGATCGTCCTGCCTAGCGCGGCCATCTCGTGGGACGTAGACAACTCGTTCAAGGCCGAGCAGCGTCACCAGCACGACAAAGCGCACGCACTGTGGAAGAGGTTCACGACGGTCGTCATGCTGGACGAGCAGATGCGCGCCGCCGGCGACCCGGAGCTGCAGAGGCTGCTGAAGCGGATCCGTCTAGGCGTGCAGGATCGGACGGATCTAAACCTCCTCAACTCAAGGTGCTACCGGGAGGAAGGCGGATCCTTGGGAGACGGGCATCACCGTGGTGACGCCGCTCAATAGGAATCGGTGGAACCTGAACATGGAGGCGAGCCTGGCGTTCCGGGTCCAGCAGCGGTCGACGATGCGCATTTTCATCTCCGAGCACAAGTGGAAGGAGGAGCTGCCGACGGAGGAAGAGGCGATCATGATACTCAACCAGGGCGACGATAGCGCGATCCCGGTGCCGGCCGTCTTCATGTTCGTGGCCGGGATGCCCATCGTCGTGAACCACAACACCCACCAGGGGCTGAAGCTAGTGAACGGCGCGAGCTACTCGGCGGTGGAGGTCATTGTCGACAAGGCGTACCCGGGGCATCGGATCTCGGCCGATATGACGATCCACTTCGGGCCGCCGGCGGGGATCATTCTCGAATCGGAGACGACGAGATATCTCCACTTCGTCGGGATGCCGCCGGGCACGATCTTGTTGACACCCATGACCGTTAAGATACAGTGCCAGCGAAAAAGGCCGTGGCAACGCAACGACGTCAGCCGAAAGGGTTTGCCGTGCGCAGCAGCGTTCGCGTGCACGGACTACAAGGTGCAGGGCAAAACGCTGGAGCGCGTGGCCCTCGAGCTGCGAGGACACGGACGACGAAGATGGATGGAACGGTGGTGCCCTCGCAGTGCGACCCGTACGGCCTGTACGTGCAGCTATCGCGCTGCCGAACTCTAGACGGCATCATGCTCGTGTCCAAGGTGCGGGACAGAGACTTGGTGGGCAACCGGGTCCCCGAGGAGATGACTGCCGCACAGGCCAGGCTCGAGGTACTGAGCGAGAGGACCGTTGAGGAGGCGTTGCGCTGGCTGGACGGTGATGCTGAAGAGTCAAGGCGGCCGCGCTAGGTGACGCGATGAAGAGTTCGGCAGGCGGGAAGAGTCGGCAGGCGGCAGACAGGGTGGGAGGCGCCTAGTGGTGGGATAAGGCACGCGAAAAGGCAACAGAAGCCGGGGGAAGGGCAGCGACCAACGAGGAGGGAGGCAAGGAGGGACCAATCACAAGGGACCAATCAAGGGGCGGAGAACTTTTGGGGGGAGAGGGCGGGGTCTGCGGGGCACGTTAGAAGGCCTTTCGTTCCTCAAGGCACACGTTAGAAGGCCTTTCGTTCCTCAAGGCATACGGATAGGGTTTGCGACGCACTGTAATGTTTACGAGGGGACCGAATAACCACCTCCCTTCGTGCCGGAGATATCACTGCTCTTAGGCCTTGTGCAGAAAAAGGAAGACAAAGGGACTTGGCCGAGTGAGTCAATTCGCTCGTCACCGTGAACCATCTCTGTCTCGATCCCCGAAATCAAGATCCCCGAGATCAAACCTGGCCATCATTATGTCGCGAAAAATCGCGGGACTTGGGCCGAAGCCTGAGACATGCCGGCCCGGTCGTGTGCACGGTGTCGCCGGAAGGGGCAGGCGAGCTGGTAGTAAAAAATAAAAATAAAATATGTCCTTGGGGACCAGTTGATTTCTCAAACCCTTTTGCTTTCGTCCAATTATACAGGCGCGGGGGGCCTGCTCAAGCCCTCGTCTAACACAGCATGCTTGAACTCATCGTCACTCGAGCGCAAAAGAGAGAGTACACGTACACACATGACCGGTCTGATGGAGCCAAGAGGTGAGGGAGAATCATCGAGCAGAGACAAGCTCTCAAATCGCAGAGGGGTTGTTTTGATTCCCCAGGGGCCCATGCCAGCCGAGAACGAAGACAGACAGGGCAAGCAGCTACAGTCACAAGTCTCTCGGCTGTATTCGGTACCTTGGGCTACTTGTCATGGTTTCTTACACCCTCGACAGGGGGAGCAATTGCAGAAGGAGACCCACTCGTGCTCGAGATCGGCCTGACGTTTGCGAGGGTGTGTTGCAGCAGCCCGTGTCGGTGCCGTGGTGAGCCAATCACCAAACCTTGTTCCCCTTTCCTTTGAGCTCAGGCAGACCAGCAGGGCAAGCGTGCGTACATACGTACCATACATACGCATACATATGTACAGGCAACGCCTTGCGGCCGGCACGTTAAAGCTTGCTATGGACAGTCGCCGTAGTGGCGATCGCGGCCACGACCACCAACTCGCCGTGACGCTTAAGCTATGTCGGCTTGGTAGCAAGCGTTCCGACGCCAGATACCCCAGGGTCTGACCTCCCGGCACGATACTGAGGGACACCGTACTTAAAGAGGCAGCTCCTTTCCACGGGCTCCTACTGCACTGGGCTGCAAGAGACAATGCCCCGTCGAATTCAGATACGAATGGCTTGTCAGAGGTGCCGCAAGAAGCGAGCAAAGGTCAGTCGATAGCCCACCCTATGCCAAGGACGCCCCCGGTCGTCTGTCCCATCCCGGATTCCGCCTAGCTGGGCTTGTTTCACTGACCAGCTTCTCGCTCTCTAGTGTGACGGCCAGGCCCCGTGTAAAAGATGCGACGAGGCCGGGGAAGGATGCGTATACGACCACACGCGACGCGAATCCAAAGACGACCTACGAGCCGAGATCGACCGTCTACGGCGGTGCAACGAGGAAAACGACCGGTTGCTCCGCGCAATTTATTCAATCAAAGACGTCGAAGTCAGCAATGCCTTTATACAGGACTTGGTCGAGGGAAGCAAGTCCCGCCGAGCCATCCTGCAGGAGTTGGCGCACCTGGACGGCGAAAACGGGTGCCGTTCGTTGGATGGAGCCGGGCAGGAATCAACGGCTGGCTCCTCCGGCTCCAATCTCGACGAGGCCATCTGCCCCCACTGCCTGAGCCAACTGCCATCGCCCACGATGCACCGTTCTGCCTCAGGCTCGAGCGACCTCAGCACGCTGACCGAGGCGCCCAAGGCGACCTTGACACCGGCCCTGGCAACGCCCGTTTCTATCTCGTCACTGCCCTTTGACGGCGCATCGCACGCGCAAACCGACCGGTGGACGCGGATAGGGTGGACGGTGGCCTCGGTGCGGCAGCTCCTCGACGCTCTCCTCACCTGGGACTACCTTCCTTTCTGCCTCATGTGCAAAGACCCCTTTCTACGGGACTATTATAGCGGCTCGACCCGGTACTGCTCCTCGGCCCTGGTGAACGCGCTCCTCGCCCTGGCAACCCGCGTGGTCCACGAGACCAACAACGAGACGGAAAGCCCGGGTCCCGGCTTTAAGTGCGGAAGCAAAACCTTTTTCGACGAGGCCGACGCTATTATCCACGGAACCGGACACTCGACGAACCTCCCGGACATACAGGCCATTGGGATCCTCTCGCTCTACCAGATCACTTGCGGGCGCGAGGCCGAGGCTCAGGCGCTGGCCGAGTCCTTTGCTGCTCGCATTGCCGATCTGTGTCTCCAAGAACCCCTGGAGGGCGCCGAGGCCGAGGAGTACGCCAAGGTCCGGGCCACCTCGTACTGCGGCGCCGTGTCCCTGATCCGGTATGTGAATCAGTTGCAGTCCCCGTTCCCTCCGCGCGGACCTGGAGGCCCCTCGTATGATCTGATGAGATTTTGCACACAGCATACTTCGTCTCACGACGGGCCAAGTCTTCAACATGTCCACGAATCACAGGCTACAAGACGACTCGATATTTCTAGACCAATCCTCGTGCAGGGCCGAGTACCTGTTCGGCGGCCAGTGCGGCAGTGGAATTACACCAGGTAAGTGCCCGGAGTCATACTCTGGGATTGTATCCCAAGTGGCCTGCAACAAAGAGCCGCAGAGTAACACAGCGTTAGACCTCGCCTTGGACGCACGCGGCTCGCAACTGCGCAATCTCCAGCTCATTCCAGCAAGAGTATTCCAGCTCACGGAATGGGTGTACAAGCTCGCCTCGGCCGCCAATACCCCGAACGGACAATTTGGCACGGGCGAGGTCATGGCTGTGTATACCAAATGTCTTGACTGGTACGAGGGGTTCTTCTCCCTGCTTAAAACGGACGGCAGCGACACTCCCTTTGTACTCTTTATCCAGTAAGTACAGAATACACAGACCCAAGAACTCGGTTCATAGGACGGGAGAGGAGAGCGAGAGACGCAGGGGGGGAAGAGACAGCAACATCCGGCTGACCTTGCGCATGTAGCATGTACTACCAATTCTGCCTACTCTGTCTGTTCCGTCCTCTCGCCAACCTTGTCCTGGCCGATTCCGACGTCCGTCCCCGCGAAATCTGTCTCCAGGCGGCACAGTCGATCCTTGCCCTATCGCAGTCCTACAGCAGGCTCTTTACCCTTGGACGTGTCTCCGCATTCGTCCCCTATTTTGTTTGTGCCTCTGGCATCGCAGGGCTTACAATGGAATCGACATGCAACGGTATAGCCCTGCATGCATCGCAACCGCTTCCGCCTAGGAAATTGTCCTTGGCGACGGACTCGGATGTTTCAAGCGTGGACGGGTTCGGCACTTATCAAGACGTCTCGCCCTCGCCGACTGCCGCCAAACTGCCCATCATGGCCCACGCGAGCCAGCTGCTGGCGGAGATGAGCTCCAACCACCGAATGGCCTCATCCGCAGAGAAGATGCTTCGAGGATACGCTAGCTAAGCGGTGCATTGTTTTCACGAGCCACGAGCCCCAAGTCGAATTTACGGGTTGCTTTTTTTTTTCGAGCGTAAGGAGTTTACAGAACTAATGGGCCAAGCACCCAAGCGTGGGGTGAAGCTGACATTTACGAAAAGCAACCCTCTCTTGAGAAAGCAGTGCGAGACATGCCCTTCCTTTTCTTTCGAGCGTGAGGAGTTATAAGGGACAAAGGGACAAAAAGGTTCAACGAATTGCCAAAGCTGCGGTTTTATCCGTTTTCTGGGCATACGAAGCGAGTTAGATGAGCGGGTGCATTTTACGCCCAAGCTTTACACATGGAAAATCGGGGGACGGTGGAAGCCGACTGTTCGGTCGAGACCCGAGGGACTTGATAATGAAATAGGCCTCAGTTGGCTAACGAGAATGGGGCTTAGTATGTGTCTCACAGCCCTGTGGGTTTTCCCCAACACTGCCTCTTCGTTCTCGCGTGCCCATTCGCCGTGCATATACACAAGCGCATCGTTCTGTCATTTGCGACAACCGGAACCTCGGCGACTGGGGATTCAGCTGCTGTCTCCAGCGCCTATGCCTGCTAAGGGTTCCAAAACACACCGGCGCAAAGGTATCCAATCACAGAGGCCCAGCATGACGCCTGGAGAGACATTGACATTAGCAGCAACAAGGGTTAGAGACTGGTCGCTTGCGGCTGTCCTCATTCTTGACACTCAAACAGCTACGGCGGCTGAGATGAGAGCAGTCGCGGCGTATTCCGAACTTGCTTGACGTCAAGGGGACCAGGCAGACGGCAGCGAGTTTCAGACATGCCGGATTAGGCAATCGGCGCCGGCCCCACGGCCGGACGTCGATAGCCGAGCGGCGGCAGCGCGGGGCACTTCGGCAAATGCCCCGCGTGTTTTATATCAAACGGACGGGGGGACAACTTTAAATAACTGGATCGCAAACGCTGCAAATAAATACCGAGAGAGGAGTCGCGTCACTTGGGGAAAAGGATCAACAAGGACGAATATGGCATCGCCAATGTTCTCGCTTCAGGGCCAGACGGCCATCATCACCGGCTGCACTCGCGGCATCGGCCAGGCTGTGGCCATCGGGCTCGCCGAGGCCGGAGCCGACGTCCTCTTGGTACAGGTATGTGTCGCAAAGACCCGCTGGGGGAGAGGAGGGGGAGAGGAGGGGGGGGGGGGGGGGGCTGCAATGCGCGATGCTTGCTTTTCCGACGCCTCTTGGGCTGTCGCAGGCATGGATCTATCTATCCAAGGCCGGACTCCCGTTCCTCCGTAGCTGATGAGCACGTGCTAATGATGCATGATGATAGCGAGACACGACCAGTACGGCGACCAAGGAGGCAATCGAGAAGCTGGGCCGCCGCGCGTGCATCTACACGGCCGACATGGCCTCGCCAGAGCAGGTCGCGGCGCTGACGCCCAAGATCCTGGCCGACGGGCACGAGGTTCGCATCCTCGTCACCTGCGCCGGCATCCAGCGCCGGCACCCGTGCGAGAAGTTTCCAGACAGCGACTTCAACGATGTGCGTCCGGCTCGCCCGGCCCTTGACGGGCAACATGGAGAGGTTACCGCTTGCTGACAGTGTCCTTTTGTCAGGTCATGCAAGTCAACCTCAATGCCGTCTTCGCCCTCAACCGCGACATTGGCGCCCACATGCTCACCCTCGAGCCCTCGCCCACAACGGCCCGCCGCGGCAGCATCATCAACTTTGCCTCGCTGCTGACCTTCCAGGGTGGCCTGACGGTGCCCGCGTACGCCGCCTCCAAGGGCGCCGTCGGCCAGCTGACCAAGAGCTTCGCCAACGAGTGGACGGCCCGCGGCATCACCGTCAACGCCATTGCGCCCGGCTACATCGAGACGGATATGAACACGGCACTGCTCAACAACCCGGAGCGGCTGGCCGGCATCAGTGCCCGGATCCCGGCGGGCAGGTGGGGTTCGCCTGAAGATTTCAAGGGCACGGCCGTCTACCTGGCGAGCAAGTCGAGTGGATACGTGAGCGGGCACACGCTGGTTGTCGATGGAGGGTGGATGGGTAGGTAAAGCGAGCCAAGGCCCGCCGCCGCCGATGCGGACCTCGGTCGAGTCAAACAAGAGGGGAATTGAAGGGAGGTCCATGTACAAGTTTCTAACAAATCGGGAGAAGACGAATTTAGGTGAACCATGTTTAGAGTTGGGAAGTTCTCTCTTACTATTCAACGCCCGTTCCAGTTCCCTTCCCGTCCAGCGCCGTCGCTGCCCAAACACTCTTGGATGGAGTCTTCTGGGCATACTGAAATCAAAGAGTTTCATGAAAACACAAGCTCCAACGCCTACTCCATGAGTCCCAGTTGCTCACGTCTCGCGCCTAGCCCGGACAACTCTCTTCTTGGCAAGTTCCCGGGTCCCAGTAGGACCCTTGACTGTGGTGACTTTGCTGCGCTGGAGCCGCACGACACTGCCGCTCGAACGGGACATCCTCGATCGGGCCCTACATTCGCTGTCAGCGCTCTGCACCGTGGAGGATGCACTGGATGCCAACATACTCGGCCTGGGTGGCCGCGATGCGGACTCGGATGAGCAGCGATTCGAACTCTTCGAGCATGGCTGCTGATTTGAGGCCTCACGTATGCGTACTGGACGGAGGTACCGTAACTGCTATTCCGGCTGCTCGATTTTTGTGTGACTGAGCTGAGCGAGTGCAGAGGGACTAGAAAGAGGAGAGTACTAGTTGACCATATCCAGGGAATCACGCCGCGGCAAAGGAAAGGGACACGCCCGGCGACTTTATACAGGGGCTTCCCCCTCTCTCGTGCAACGCGGCCCGCACCGACGTTCGTCAATCGGCATTGCCGAGCGTTTACTAAGTAGGCAGAGGACCCTTTTTTGGAATCACATGCTGGGCGCCTGTGAGGGTCGCAATAAGGTCCGAAACGGGGCGGAATCCGGGGAAGCGGCGCCTGCGCAGGGGTGGTCCGCAAAAGTGCGCGACGCCACGCATACATGCTCTCGATGTACTCTTACACAGGCAATCTTAATGGGCTGCCCGTTTGTCCGGCTGTGCATGCTAACGTTTGCCCGGTGCGGCGGGCGGCGTGGCCGACTTCTGGGTTTCGTCGGCGCGGCGCCGTCTCCGCTCATACAGGCTGCGCCCCGACCCGATGCGCTCGGGGTCACGGGTTGCCCGAAGCCTCGGAACCAAGGACGGTGAGACGGCCATGGAAATGAGTGGGAAGCAGTGGTCTCTATTTCGTATTCGGTCCTGACATCGCCTATAATGCCTCTAGAAATCCAACTCTAGATTTTGCTGCCTGCGCCGTGGCAAAGACTTAGCATGAGCTTCCATCAAAAAACATACATGACCATGATGCTCTAAGATGCACCAAAATAGGAAGAAAGCAGTGGATAAGACGCTCATTGGAAGAAGCATGTCGGAAAGGGGGTGAGAAAATGATGCGTCCGTCCCTGCAGAGTCGGGGAGAGGGCAGCTTGGAGTGCGGATGGAGGGTATTGAGGGGAATGGATCGTCTATTGGGATTTACTTTTGTCGCCCTGGTAGTAATGGGCCATCTGTAGACCGGCGCGTCGGAAGCCGCACTTGACGTAGAAGCCCTCGTTGGCGTCGCTGCAGTCGAGAATGCTCTTGTAACAGCCAATGCGCTCGGCGACAAAGTCGAGGGCCTGGATGAGCCGCAGGCCGAGCTTCTTGCCCTGCTGGTCCTTGGCGACGGCAATGTCTTCGATGTGGCCGACGGCGCCGAGGTTGTGGATGCTATAATCGCAAGTCAGCTGGAGTTGGGTCTAGGAGGCCATACACACGTACAACTTGCGCTCGACAATGAGAGCTCCGGTGGCAACGACGGCTGCGCGCTGGTCCTCGATGACGACGATGTAGTATCCACCCTGCTGGCCCATTCGATCGTACTGGGCTTCAAAGTCGGCTTGTGAAATGTCGCCAACCGTGGTCAGGACGCGGAGGCAGTCGAGGAAGCCGTTGTCGCGGTCCGACTTGCGCAGAGCCCGCAGCTTGTAGCCCTCGGGGAGAGCGGCAACGACCTCGGGCGAGATGAGGCTGGGCGAGAAGAGACCGTCTTCGGCAGCCATGACGATGCGGGCGAGCGGACGGGGACGAGGGAGGACGTAGATGGAGAGGTGGCCGAAGACGCGGAACCGCAGAAGAAGGTCGAGGGAGAATGACGACGAGCCAGACACGGACGGGGAGAGAGTGTTGAGCCCGGACTGTTTGGGAGAAACGAAGGGCTTGTCTTGAGCGGACGCGAATGGCCAATTGGAGATGCTGTAGAGAGTAAAGGAGAAGAGAAAGTCATGGGATGGGCAGCGCATAAGCCCGCCTTCGCTTGCGATACGAGAGCAACATCACCAATCCGGATGCCTCGAGGGAGCTTCAGGGGTTGCCGGGCCAATGAGCTCCCGTGCCAGCACAGTAAAGGTGGGGGGGCAACGCTGGGCTCTGAAAACGGGCGGAGCCGCGCCTGCGCCACATTTCAGCTCGTTCCTGGCGGCACAATTCTCGGGCAATCGTGGTGGACCTCAGCCACAGTCTCCTACCAAGAGTGCAGCATGTCATCATCGTCAAGGGGCTCTGTCTGTCTGAGTCCCCAGGCTCTCCTGCTCCCTTTTGTCCACACCCTTCCGTCTTTATTTCTTCCGTTTCTTCTCAGCAGATCATGTGCCTGTAGTTGCTCTTGGTACTCTGTGACGGCATGACGCCTTGTCGCAGTCTTTCTGCTGCTGGCGATATTTACCCTTGGTTTCGCCGCTCACGTTTCGCCTGCGCCACGACCTTCCCCTCTCCTCTTTGCCCCATCATGTCTTCCTCACCCAGACTTCACCGTGACCGGCCCAAGCAGTCGGTTTATCCCATCTGCGCGGGTCCCTTGCCGACTATGCGCCCGCCGCTGCGAACCCAGGCACCCATGATTCGCCAGCCCCGCTATCCCAGGAGACTGGCCCGTACCGGGCGGCGGACGCTGCAAGCTGCACGTATGTATTACTTGCAGATTGGACCTCGCGGATCCTTTGGCAAACGGCAAACCGGATGGGTGACGAAGAATAACAAGGAACCGCGATGGAATCTATGCGTAGATGACGATTCCCGACGTGGGGCCTGGCTCCCATTCGCCGTTCCAGTCCTGCGACGACTGTTTCAGTCGTGAGCTGTCAACACGTACAGCACACAATCACATGCAAAGCCCAAGGCAAACAAGGCATTGTTGACCGGCTCTCCCTTTGAGCTAAAAATGCAACCTGCTGGTCCATCTTCACCAGTCTGTCGTCTGTCTCATCGGCCCGCCATTCTTCTTCTTCGCCTCGCCCCTGACTGAGCAACCGTCTCTCATCACCACCATCCATCTGCTTTTAGCCTGGCTGACCAGAAAGAGACCGACAAGGGAGGGGGAACGACTGGCATATGATGCTGCATCGTGTTGGACCCTCATCGCAAACGCCCGACTCCTTGCCACCTGTCTCATCGCCCTCATGGCCCGGGACGACATCATAGCAGCCGCCGCCTCCTTGGCCTCTCCGCACCCGGGCCCGACGCTCCTCCCGGGGCCCGTTGCCCACGTCGTCAGCCTGGCCACGCGATCCACGAGCCTGGCCATCCGCGTCGGCTCCTTGGTCAGCTCCTACGGCCTCGATGCCGCCCGCTTCACCACCCTCTCCAGCCTCGAGCTGGCCCGCGGCATGGTCGAGGTCGTCCTCAGCCGCGCCGCCAGAGACACCCTGGCCCAGTCAAACTCAGACCTCGCCGCCGCCGACGCAGAGACCATCCTGGAGCGCAGCCTCGAGAGTCTTCACTACGCCGTATCCCAGGTCGTCTTCTGGACCTCGGCTAGCTTCCGCCTCACCGGCACCACCCTCACCGCCGCCTCCGAGGCCTCCCAGCTCGTCCTCTCCTCCTTTGACCAGCTCTTTGGCTCCACCGACTCCTCCAGGGCCGTCGCCAGCATCGTCACCCTCATCCGCCGTGAGTTCAATAACCCGGCCACCGGCGTCCGCGGCGAAAAGGTCGGCGTCCTCGACCTCGTCCTCGCCCTTGGCGCCTTGGCCTACCTCCAGCGCTCATGTCGAAGAACCTCGGCCGAGGAGCACCGACGCCGATCCTATGAGGAGACAATATGGGATGTCGTCGTCCTGAGCGATGGCCAACGTGTCGATATCGAACAAGGCAAGTTGACTGGCACCCAGCCTACATCCTCGAGCCTGGCTGCGCAAGCATACGACAACGACGAAGTGATCCTCGCGCGCCTGAAGAACCAAATCATAAACTCGATGCCTCCGGGCACGTCCGTCGCCATCTCCGACACGGTTTCCTCGGTCCAGACCATTACCGTCGACGTCCAGGGGTCCCAGCTTCCGTCTCTCCCGACGCCTCCTGGAGCAGAGATCGTTGAGATGCGGGGGCCGGCGTCTGCTGCGGCCATCTCTCGTTCTCCGGTATCTCTTGAGTCGAGCAACGACACGTCGTATCGCGTTGTTTACAGGATTGAGCGCGAAAAGATGCGGTCAACATCCGTGCGTCGTCAAGATGAGGCATCGTGCCCCATCGTCGTCGAGTTGCCCGACGCAAAGCCACTGCAGTCTCCAAGCCTCGACGCTTCTCCTGTCGGGTGCTACTCGCCGGATACCTGCCCGTCGCCAGTCGACACGTCTTCCGACTCTGACCGTGCGCCCAGCCCGACTGAGTCGACCTCGGGTTTTGCCTTGGCCAGCCCAGCCAGTGCCGTCGACGCCGACGAGTCTACTGGAGCTCGGCGCCAGGCGCGAATAGTGCAGCCATCGCCTGCAGAAATCGCGGCAAACCAAAAGAAACAAAGATCGCCCCTCACGGAGCCCAGTTCGCGCGAGAACATTGGCCGGCCTCGGCCAAGGCTGGATACTGGCAAGCGCTCGCATTCGAAAAAGAAGTCGGAGTCCGTCTTGCCGTCGAAGTCTGCCGAGAGGAGAAACGGGCTCAAGCAGGTGCTTAAGGGCAGAGGGCAGTCTCTGTCCAACATATGGAGCAAGGAACAACCATCGTCCGAAGCAAGCCGTGCTTTCTCGAAGCCGAAACCACAGTGGAAGTCTCCGGGCGGCGGCAGCCCGACGGACTCTACCCCCGGCAAGTCCAAGCTCTCCACGGCACGGAATCCAAGCCAGCCGGCGCAGCGCAGCCCGCCCGCCCGGCGCCCTCTCCAGCCTCCCGAGCTGGAACCCAGGGCTGGCTCTCGCACCAGCTTCTTCTCTATCCACGAGCACCGCCGGGACTCGGTCGTGTCCCAGGCCGACACCTATTCGAAGCATGGCAACGGGGAGCTACGACCTGCCTCGCCTACCATTGTCCGAACTGACTTTACGACCCAGGAGTCCACGACGCGGCCCAGGAGCGATGTTTACTCAGCGCAGATTGGGCCTATCCCCCCCTCTCCGCATAAAAGCCATCGCCTGTCGGCCTCGTATGCCCCCAGCCTGTACAGTCTGGCGACAAACGACTCCCAATCGTCGCTCGTCCTGTCCTCGTACTACCAAAAGAGCACCTACAACGGGTCCGATGCCCTGAGCACCCTGCGCCGCGAAGGCTTCGTCGACGGCACCTTTCCCGCCGGCCCGCTGCTGCCCAACATTGCCCGGTACATGCGCTTCTCGTCGGCCTGCTACGGGTCGCATTTTCTCAAGTTCATGGGCATCTCGACGGAGCTGCCGTCACTGGGGGTGTGGGACGGCACGCACCACGACGTTCGGCACTTTGTCCATCACACAGAATCCGAGGCAGGCAACATCCTGTTGGCATCCTTTGTGGATCCGCAGGGCGGCGCCGACGCCACCGGCTCGACCGGGACCGGCGTGCCCCTGGTGCACTACATCTCGCTCGATCACGCGGCCAAGGCCGTGGTGCTGGCGTGCCGGGGGACTCTGGGGTTCGAGGACGTCATGGCCGACATGACGTGCGAGTACGACGACTTGACTTGGCGGGGCCGGCGCTACAGAGTGCACAAGGGCATGCACGCGTCGGCGAGGCGGCTCCTCTACGGAGGCGACGGCCGGGTCCTCGTCACCATCAAGGAGGCGCTGCGGGAGTTTCCCGACTACGGCCTGGTGCTGTGCGGCCATTCGCTGGGCGCCGGCGTCACGTCGTTGCTGGGCGTGATGCTTGCGCAGCCGAATCCCGACGGCCCCGGCTTCGTCATTTCCGCCGAGTCCCATGCGAAGCTCTTGACGCAGGGCACCTGCATCCACGAGGCCATCGGAGATCTGCGGTTGCCCTCTGGGCGGCGCATACATGTGTATGCCTACGGCCCGCCGGGCGTCATGTCGGCGTCGCTCGGCAAGATCACGCGGGGCCTCATCACCAGCGTGGTGCACGGCAACGACCTCGTCCCCCACCTCTCGCTCGGGCTGCTGCACGACTTCCAGGCGCTCGCGCTCGCCTTCAAGCACGACGAGAACAAGACAAAGGCCGAGATCCGGCGGCGCATGTGGCACGTGGTGCAGTCCAACCTGGCCGAAAGATGGCGCCGCGCCGAGCCGCGCGCCCCCGCCGAGGCCGATGAGGAGCAGTGGATCCTCCCGGCGCTGGGCGCACTGCGCGACAGCATGAAGGGCGCCAAGCTGGTGCCGCCCGGCGAAGTGTTTGCCATTGAGACGCAGCGCGTGCTGCGCCGCGACGCCTTTGTCCTCGTCGACGACGAGGGGCCCGTCGGACGCCCGGCACAGCGCGTCGTGCTCAAGTACATTCGCGACGTCGAGGCGCGCTTCGGCGAGGTTCGCTTCGGGACGGGCTTGCTGATGGACCATAGCCCGGCCAAGTACGAGGACGCGCTCAACATGCTGCGACTAGGCGTCGTGGACTAAACGAGAAATATGCGCATCTAGGGGCGATGAGGGAAGAAGCGATGTCACTGGTCCATGAGCTTTGGTGCGATGGCTTGGATGGATAGCCAAGGACTGGCACATCCGCGCACAACCCACATAAGGGGGCTACTTTTCTATGTACATTGATTTGCCAACTTGGCTTTTAATTTCCGGGAACTTGCGAGCAAGAAGAAAGGGATATAGAAGTACGAAAAAGGTGTATTCAACGCGTCTGTGCCGCTATTCCATGCCGGCCAAGTGTCTTACGCGCTTACCCTATGGCAATTCTGCTATCAAGTGAGACCCGCGGTTCTTAGTCGGCTCTCGTTAGGCTGGGGCGGAAAGAGAAGTGAAATGGACAGTCTCTCAGCTGGGTGTAGGTTGTCAGCTTCCGTCGGGAAAAGGCATCGATGAGGGGACTTCTCACTGTTGAGCAAGCAACAAATCTACATAAAAACCACAAAGATGACGGTGCTGCACGGTCGTCGTGTTGTGCCGTCTAGCAGGCATCAAGGGGGGCCGTCGGGCGGGAAGAGCCTAGGCGAGAGGGTCAAAAGTCCTGGATCCCAGTCTCTCCACGCCTCATCGTCAGCGCCTGCTCGTCGCCCGCATCGGCCTCATCAGTAACCCAGCGGGGCTCCTCTTCGTCGAACCACGCGTCCTGCGCCTCCCCCTCCGCCAGGGCATCGAGCTCGACGTCGCCATCCACGCGGGCATAGTCAAAGTCGGCATCGCGCCCGCGGACGAAGCGCTCCGTGAGGAACTCGCGCCAGAGTTGCCGGCCGTGCTGTCCGTCGACGACCTCGCCATGCCAGGGACTGTCGTCGTCGTCGTAGTCGTCGGTGGCGGTGGCGGTGGCGGTGGTGACGGTGCCGCCGGGGGCGGAGGAGTCCTCGCCGGGAGCCAGCTGCGAGAGCCGCTGCTCGCCGCGGGCAAGGTCTGCCTCGAGGATGCGGCCGTAGCCCTTTGCCTTGCCCTCGGCCTGGCGCTCGGCAGCTGTCTGGAACCTCTTGATGAGGCGCTCGTACAGCAGGGGATCTAATGTGGCATCTATGTGAGCAGATGTCCACTCAACCAAGTTCAGAGCAAGCAAGGGAGCAGAAACAGGCTCGTACCTGCGAGCTCGTGGTCCAGACTGTCAAAGTAAGCCGGATTGCGCTCCAGATACTCGCGCCGGCGGTTCTGGGCCTGAATGTGGGCGACTTGGGCGGCGGTCTTGGGATGCCGCGGCACCGGCTTGTCAAAGAGGGCGTCGTCTAGACGAGTGTCAACGTCCATCTGGCCCTTTACAGTGTCCATTTCCTCCTTGGCTTGCATACTGCAGGTGCCCGGTCGCGGGTTGATTGATTGTCACTGTTGAAAGATGTTGTTGGTGGGCGGTGCTGAGGAGAAGAGGGAAAAAAGTGGAACGGGTGTTCTGGTAGCAAGCTCGAGTGCCGTGCAGCTGTCAACGATGGCCGTCGGCTGGCACCAGCTACATAATTTGTATATATTGTTGCTGCCACTCTCTGGTCCTTCGACCTAGCTACCCTGGTGACAGCCAAGCGCGAATCATTCGCTGCAGGCCGCGGTGCACAACAAGTCTGAAAAGCCACTTCGCATACTCCGTGGGACAGTGACGGCGCATCCACCGTCACTCCCCGGAATGCCCCCTCAGTCCAGCAGCCGCCCCATGCCCAGCCCATCAAAGACGGGCAGCAGCATCGCCTCGATGCGCTCGTGCGAGTGCATCATGGTGTTGAACTCGTCGAGCCGCCGCATGGCGTCCCAGTCCCAGTTGGGCGTCTCCCCCGGCACCGTCCTGGCTGCCGGGTTGTCGTCGGACTGGTCGACGACGAGCGCCGATCGGAGCGCATTGTCGCCCACGATGAGCCCGCCGGGCCGCAGCAGCCGCCGCCGCGCCCCGGGCTGCGACCGGTCGAGGATGGCGGCGAGGTAGTCAGGGTAGCCCGATTTTTGCGCGTCGATGAAGACCATGTCAAATGGCTCGTCGGGCTGAAGAGTGGGCAGGCTGCTCGCCCGGCGGGCCGGTGGTTAGCCATGACCTTGACACCCATCGTGGTGGCCCTTACACCTGGAGCGCATCGCCCTCGAGGATGCGGCAGTTGTCGTATCCATGCTTGAGCAGCTGCTCCCTCGCCAGCGCGGCGTACTCGGCCGACTGCTCGAGGCCCGTGACGGCCCCCTCGGGACCGACCGCGTTGGCCCACACGCCGAGCGAGAAGCCGACAAAGACGCCGACCTCGAGGACTGCCCAGCCCATCAGAATGCTGTCCGGACACGGCTCGATCAGCTGCTCGCACCTCTCTTGACGCCGACGGTCCGCGCCAGCCAAGTCAGCAGCCGGGCTTCGAGCAGGGAGATGGTCATTGCGCATCGCGGCTGCGTGTCGAGAACCCACTGGTGGTACTGCAGCAAGGCATCGGGGAGGTCGACCGAGTTTCGATCGGCATACTCGCTGACCTTGCGGGCCACCACGTCGTTGGGGTACAGGGTGGTGCAGTTGTCCTTCATGCTGGGCCCGTCTTTTGTCGCTGAAGCCTGGTTGGGATCGCAGATCGAGGACCGGAGACTACTTGCACCGTACTTGCCACCGCGCCGGAATCAAGCACCGTGGGTCCAGGGGTAGCGCTGACGACGGGGAGGCCGAGCAGAGACTCCATCAGCGACGCCGTGATGACACCTCCAGTGGAACTGTACCGTACCGTGTTGCTGCGAGCACAAAGCGCACAGTGTATTTCTGGTGCTAGCAGGCAAACATCGGAGTATCCGGCTGGAGCGATGCCCCGTTAGACAAGCCTAAAGTGCCTTACTCCGTACCGATAGTGGAATAAGTCATCGGGCTGAGTCTCGCACCGCCTCGCACAGTACAAGCACACCTCGCCCGTAGAGACTCTGCCTTAGCCAAGCCATCATTCTTGTACGGCGTCGAATAACACCTGCCGTACACTCAAAATGTGCGACGTGAGATCTTGTGATGCCAAACAGACTTTTGCGGCGGATCGGCTCGGCATGTGTCTGCCGAAGACGAACCAGTCGCGCGGTTCATGGCCATGCACGCTGCGAGTTGTTATTAAATATTTATTCCTTGCCAACACCCGGGCCAAGTACAGTAAACATAAAGCATCAAGCATGTCCGCCCTCGACACGAAACGGCGGCAAACGGCAATGGCAATGTAATGGGCGCAAAGCGAAGAAGAAAAGGACCAGCCTTTCCCTCCTAGGGCGGGCTGCGCGTCTCTGTCCCGTCCCGTCCCGTCTCTCTGCGCCCCGTTGTCGGGCCGCCATCGCCATGCCATGACATGGCTGCCGCCGTCGTCGTCGTCGCAGCCTCTCACCCTCTCTCTCCCTCCCTCTCCCTGTTCCCAGGGCCCGAAGAGCCCACGCCCTCGTCGTCCATGGCGCCGGACATTGCCTCTCGCATCAGGGCCCGCTTCATGCGGCGGCGGCACTCCGAGGTGGCACCAGTAGCACCAGCCGCCGCGTCGCCGTCGTCCTTGTTGTTGTCGTCACCCCCGGCCTCGTCCTGTGGCGTCTCTGCCGAGAGCAAACACCACCACCACCACTCCTCGCTCAGCCTCCTCCTCCGCCGCCGCAGCCAGCCCGGTGGGACGGCGCGCGAGGCTCTGGTCGCACCGCCGCTGCCCGGGCCTCCCCCGGTGCTGGTGGTGGCGCTGGACCGTGGGCTGAAGGACGCCGCCGTCAGCGCCAGCGCCAGCACTGGGGCCACTGCGGCGTCTCCAGCGGGCGGCCCCCAGCGCCTGTCAGTGGACTCGGACCTGCAGCAGGGACCTCACCTTGTGCTGCCTGGGGCTTCGTCAGCTCCACCGCCATCGCCATCGCCCTCATCTTCGCCCTCGCCCTTGTTACCACCCACATCACCGCCTCCATCGAGACCCCCGCCGTCGCCGCCTCCGCCGCTGCTGTCGTCGGCCCACTCCTCCCCGTGCTCCCTAGCTCTCTCGCCGCTGCCGCCGTCGCCCCCTCGACCAGCGCAGCCTGCTGCTCCTCTCCTGTCGCCGCCTCCACTTCATCCTGGTGCCCGCCCACAATCGCACCCGGTGTCTCCTCCTCCGCCTCCGCCGTCCCATCCACTTCTAGGGAGCCCCCACCTCCGCAGCATCCACGAACACTCCGTCGCCGCCGCGGCGAATTTGACGCCCACCGACGACCCGCACCATGGCCACGGCCGCGACCGCCAACTCGACCAACTGACCGTCGTCGCCTCCTCCGCTGCCCTCGCCGCCGCCGTCGACACGTCCGACTCTGCGCGCCGCCAGAGCACTTTCGCGAGCCGCCAGTCGAGCTTCCAAAATCATCTCTACGGTACTCCGTCAGCGAATGACGGCTCCAACATGGTGACTCGCAAGGTCTGGGTCAAGCGGCCCCATGCCTCGGCCACCACCATTGCCATCCACGAAGACGACCTCGTCGACGACGTCCGCGACCTGATTCTGCGCAAGTACGCCAACTCGCTCGGCCGCACCTTTGACTCCCCCGACCTCAGCATCCGCGTGTGTGCCCGAGGCCAGGAAAAGGACCGCATCCTGGGTCCGGAGGAGACCATGGCCCGCATGCTTGATCGCTACTACCCCGGCGGCCAGACCGTCGACGAGGCCCTCATCGTCGACATTCCTCGACGTACCCCCAAAGCCTCTCCCATGGCTCCGCCTGCCCCGGGAACCACCGCCTTTTACCTGACCGACGAAGGGCGCCCGTCCGAGGCCGGCGAAGGCTACTTTCCTCCCGTCGTCGCCGTCCCCTCACCCCATATGCCCCATTCCGCCCCTGCCCCGATCAACGGCGCCGTGGCACACTCGATTTCCATTCTCGGCACCGGCCACGTCCCCCCCATTCCGTCGCCCGGCGGCGGTGCGCGGTCCCGTGCCCATAGGGATCGCTCCGAGAGGCCGCGCCTGGTCCGGCAGCACACTGCGTCGCCCACGATACTGCCAGCCCATCCGGCCGGCCCAGTGGCCGCCAACGTCAACCACGCCACGCAGCACTTCGCCCCGCGGATGCCTCACTCTCGAACCCACTCGAGCTCCTCGGACCACCAGGGGCTGCCCACGGTCAAGACGTCCAAGCCCAAGTCGCCGGGGCCTGGTCCGGAGCCGACGCCGGCGAGAGTCGCCACCCCTCCGCCCCGGATCGCCTCTCCACGGTCTTCTAGCGCCAGGCCGAAAAAGAGCAAGAAGAGCTCCGAGTACCCCGCCGCCCAGACAGGAAGCATGCTCAACGGCACCGTGCCGCCCATCAGCGTCCTCATTGTCGAGGACAATCCCATCAACCTGAAGTTGCTCGAGGCCTTTGTCAAGCGGCTCAAGGTGAGATGGCAGACGGCCATGAACGGCAGGGACGCCGTCAAGAAGTGGCGGACGGGCGGGTTCCACCTGGTCTTGATGGACATTCAGCTGCCCGTCATGAATGGTCTGGATGCGACGAGGGAGATTCGGAGGCTGGAACGAGTCAACTCCATCGGCGTCTTTTCGTCCCTGCCCAGTGGGATGCACGAAGACACGGGCGTCAGCGGCGAGCTCAAGGAGCAGGACCGCTTGGTGAATCCGACGCTGTTCAAGAGCCCCGTCATCATCGTCGCCCTGACTGCCAGCTCGCTGCAAAGCGACCGGCACGAGGCACTTGCCGCCGGCTGCAACGACTTCTTGACCAAGGTGAGTGTCGGCGATATTGCACGAGCGACGATGAACCTCGATCTGCTGACTGCATCTCTTGTAGCCCGTTAACTTCGTCTGGCTCGAGAGAAAGGTGATGGAGTGGGGCTGCATGCAGGCACTCATCGACTTTGACGGCTGGCGCAAGTGGAAAGACTATGGGCAACTTGCCGAGGAGACAGAGGCGAGCAAGAAGGCCTTGGGCAAGTCCAAGAGAGCTCGCTCTTCGTTGTCCTCGTCGACGTGAGGGCAGCCGGTTCCGTCAGGCAACCCGTCCGGCCCCTTGGGTGGCCGATGCCCACCAAGCTCCTCATTGATGATGGATGTTTTTCTCGCGGCATTGCTAACATGCGCTTTTCTCGATGCGTGGCTCACGCGAGCCCACTTTGCCTTTTTGTTTAATATCCCTGCAAGATTACTGTTCGGTTGATGATTCGACGGGTATAGCGGATTCGTCGGCGACGGGGAGAAAGGAAAAGAGTTGGGCGTGACGGCGCGCTGGGTGCGGGAAAGATACCACTGGCCTTGGCAAAAAGGGAGACAGCGGGACAGCGTGCGATGGGCGATGCGGTAATGTCTTGTAATCTGTTCGACAGCTTTCGCTGCCTTGATCGTGTATGTGAACTGTATGACTTTGTTTCGTGATTCTCGACCCTTTCACTCAGACCCAAAGTTCATTTACTCGCGCTCTGCCTTTTAAATAGAAGCTACCGACCGCCGCATATTCATAAGAGACACATCACGCGGCAACTTTGAGCCGCTTGAGGTATTATGTCTGCGCCAAGACGCTGTATGAAGCTTCACAGCTCAAGCTTTAGTTACCCTAGACCTCCCCGACGTTGCTGGAAATGGAGCTTGAGGCCGGAAAAACAGAAACGCCGGTGGGCCCGGAGAAAAAAAAGAGCACAACACCAGAGCTTGAATAAAAGCAGCGAATTCCTCAAACCGTCCCATCATCCAGCGCAATTCACACCAGCACACCTTGTCCCAACGACAGGCCCAGGATGAAGGGGGCTGAGACGGGGCTTGGCCACTACACATAAGCAGTCCCCGACAATGCCTCCCAGAATACGCGCCCCGTCGGTATCGCTGGCGACCGACGTGGTGCTGCAGCAGCCGCGGCCATGGACGACGCTGAGCGGCCGCGCCTTCAGCGCGACGCCGTGCCTTGACAAGATGAGTCGCGCCCGCCAGAAAATGTACCAATGGATCCAGTCGAGAAAGGGCCGGGAGCTCGCCGAGCCCGGAAGGGGGCCGCGGTACCTGGGCCCGCATCGCGACCAGCCCTTTCCGCTCAACCCGCTCTTCCGCAGCCTGCCCGTCCTCGACGACTCGACAAAGGAGCTCATCTGGGACAAGGTTATGAAGAGGGGCGAGTCGCTCAAGGCGGTGTCGGCCGAGATGAACGTCGATGTCCGGAGAGTGGCTGCCGTGGTGCGGTTAAAAGAGGTGCAGAGGCAGTGGGAGAAAGACGTAAGTTGGAACCGAAACCCCTCGACTGCTTGCTGCCTGAACGCTCTTGAACACGACGGACACGCTATGATGAGATGAAAAAAAAAATTCGATTAGTCTTGAAGACTAAACCGTGGTTAAAAACTTTTTACATGTTGCTGATTGCTCCCCGACTGACCTCTGCTCCTTGCAAAACATGGCTGCTGCTGGCCGACTCTGGCGCTGACAACTTCACAAAGGGCAAGAAACTGGCGACACCATACGCCAAGGCCGTCATGAGCATGCTGCCAAAAACGACATTCCGCGAGGGCGAGAGGAACGCGCCGCACGAGGCCGTCAACGAGATCCACGTGCACACGCACACGATGCAGCAGCTCTTCGTGCCCGTGTCCGAGTCGCGGCACTTTACGCGCGAGGACGCGGCCAAGGCGTTCCACAGCTCGCTGCTGTCGGCGGACGCACGGTCGCCGCAGCCCCGGCTCATCGACATGGAGCGGGAGATTAGTCAGGGCAAGGACCGCGACGAAGCGCTCATCGACTTCAAGGAGGCGACGCAAAAGGAGGAGGAGGCGCTGGCGCACAAGATGCGGCTCGAGCGCGAGCGGCAGGAGAAGATGACGACGCGCGTGCGGACGGACCGGTGCGAGTTCCGCTTCAAGCAGATCAATGTCCAGGACGTTGGCAGGCTCGGGCGCTCCAGGGAGGGCACGGGGTGGCGGTACGGCGCGCCGCTGCAGGACCGCAAGCGCGGCCTGGTCAAGATTCCCACGTCGGTGCCTTGAGGATCGGGCATCTCGGTCGGCGGGGACGCCGTCGACGGCTTGTGGATTTCGCGCAGTGGCCCCCGCTCGCCTTGTACAATATGTATTCCTGGAGGAAGCTTGTGTACCAGTTTGTCTGCCATGTTCAATGGAGGAGCGTTGTTTCACAGCCTCGGCCAACAGGGGGCCAAGCAGAGCCCTCGTTTCAACCCATTGCACAAGGGCATGTTTCTTCCCCTTCTCCCCCCGTTGAGCCTCATCACTTCCCTCTCCGCGCCCACCGGAGCTGATGCTCGGTTTCGTGTCACCTTGTTCGAGGCTCCTGCGCCGACAATCCTCTAGGGCATCTTACCAACCGGCCGAGCCTGGGGACGTGGACTCCCATTGCCGGTAGGGCTGAGTCTCTGTCTTCCTGCCCCTCCTGCATGTGTGTGTCAACACCCAGCCCGTCAATCAACGAACCCCTCGCGCGCAGCCCCGCTCCACGCCGTTGCCTGCCGCGGTGCGTCCAAGTGCGTGTACCACGAATGACCTCACACAACAACCAGGAAGGAAAAAGGCAGCCGATTTCCCGCTCGCCCCCAATTCCGCTCGTCTGCTCAAGGCAACAGTGGCATGGGTGACTCTGCACGGGGCTCGACGGCGTGCCCAACCGGCCTAGCACAGCAACTTCCTTCTGCTGCCGCTGCAGCCCCTTTGCATGCCTCAAGCGTGCCAGGCAGAGACGAGTCATCCACGGCACTTTTGATTGGAGGGTGACTCATCCGCAACGCTGTCGAGGCTCGAGAATTGTGGTGCCCATGGTACACCCGATATGTGGTGATCCGACTTCATCTATCCATCGCATTGCTGTCAGCCTCTCTATCTAATCTAGTCTAATGCTGTTTTTGTTAGATCGCTTTGAACTCAAAACTCCCATTGCCATGCAACCGCTCAGCCGAAACCTCCCATCGCAACACGTCCAGTCGACCACCGCATATAAAGCCAAGGCATGGCTAGACACCGCCGTGGAGCCTGCCCAAGAACGACCTCATGGGCTCTGCGAGTAGCTGCAGTTGTCGCATCGCCAGGAATGACAATTGGGGCAGCTCGAGTCGAGGGTGACCGAGAACCAGCCGCTGGAGCAGTGGCACTGCCGGCAGTCAGCACAAGGAACAGACGCATCATGGAAGAGGGACAACGAACGCATTGCCAATAGTTTGCTCGTGAAGTATCGATCATGGTGAGCACATCCGCGGCGAACATCATGCCCACCAGATTGGAGGAATCGTGGACTGGGACTGGAAGCGTGATGCAACAAAGCCGAGAGGGGTGTTGGTGAGGACTTAGTATGTTAGAGTATGGGGATAGACACAGACAGACGGGGAGAAGCGCTTGCTTTATGGCAGTTCCATCGGGCCTGGCCAAGGGTAGTGGCCCAAGGCTGGCTGGCGATGCAGGCTGGCTCCCGCCCAGAGTTGACGGCGAGGAGAAATGGGGCGGTGCGGTCCTTTGCCTGCCTAGCACCTAGGCCCTCAAGGCAGGCAGAAAGTGGCCGAGTATGTCCATCAGACGATTGGCTGCCTTTGAGTTGAGCCAACCAACGCATCTGTGGCAGAGACTCGGAATAGCGTCCAAGTCGGGAACCCCAAGGGTAGGCATCAACCTTCATCGAGTGCCGAGGGAGGGTCCATGCTAGAGCGCATTGGGTCCGACAAGGCACCAACGCCGAGCGCCCAACACAGAAAGTCGCGTGAACCGGTCGAGCGTGCCTCGCCGAGCTGCTACTGGGTCGACAAGGCGAGAAGGCGCCGATAAAAGGAAGAAGAGAAAAGGGCTGTGCAAGACGAGTTGAAGGCTAACTAGCGCCAAAGCCGTCGACAGCAACAAGGCTGGCTCGCGCAGGGGCCAAGGCTTCGCTGTGCGCCCCGTCCTTCAGGCCTTGAAGAAAGAGGCTTGAGGAATGGCGGTACTGGAGCGCAGAGTCCAACCGAGGGCCCGTGTTTAAAAGATCACGACCGAGGGCGAGGTGGAAACCGGGAAAAAAAAGCGGGCCATCGCTCCAGGCAGGTCATGGACGGATAAGCAGCCGCGGCGACGGCGCCAGGCACACAAACCCAAGCCATTCCCAAGCCAGCCGTGGTTCCTGTGGAGAACCTTGGTGGATGCACATTGTGTTCGGTACGCCCCGTTGCGGCTGGATGGATGGATGGATGGATGGATGGACCCTGGAGTTGACAGTTCGAGGCTCTTGGATGGACGAGGGCTGGAGAGAGAATTCTGTCGACCAGCTCCGAGGTCATGTGACTGGCCAAGCCGAACCTGACTCTCGCTTGCCGCCTTGAACGATTCTGACATCATTGGGCGCTTCGAGATCCATGAAGCTTGAGTACTCGGTACTCTCTCTTTCGCGCTCCATGTCTCTCCTAAAGTAGTACCTGATACTCCGTACTCAGGAAAGCAATCACTGGTGATCCACCATTCGAGCGTCATCTGCCGCCCTTCATTTTAGATTCGCGCTCTCTTCAATCCCCGTCGCCGCATCACCACGTCCGTCGTTACCGACAGCCGTCTCTGTGCGCAGCGTCGCAGCTCGGTGTGCGCCCCTCGCTTGCTCCTAGCCCGCAACCAAACGTCGCTACCCGCCGCCATGGGCCTCTTCACTACCACCGTCAGCTACTTCGTCTTTAGCGGGCTGCACCTTGTGTGCTTCGCCCTCGCCCTCGCCGTCTGCGGTCTGTACGGCCGCGACATTCACCACGCGAACCAGCTGGACAAATATGCCGACTCCAAATGGGTGAGGAGCCTCATCAACCCCTGTCCGACGCCTTGTCGGGGGAGACGAGGCGGCCTCGGTGTGACGAGGGCCCAAGACTGACAGCCGTGGATTGTTTGCCAGGTCTACGCCGTCGTCGTCGGCGCCTTATCTGCCGTGACGTGCGTGGTATACTTTGTGCCCCTGGTCCTTCGCCACGCCGGCATTATTGCAGCCGCGTGGAACTTTGTGCTCTTTATCCTGTGGATTGCCGTCTTTGGCGTCTTCGGCTCGGTATGTGACCAGCTGGCCGCTTGGGCTCCGGATGCTGACACGCGCGACAGATGTTCATCAAGGAGGATCCCGAGGGCGACGGCGACGTCAAGCGCATGAAGAGCGCCGTCTGGGTTGACCTCGTCAACGCCCTGCTCTGGCTGATTTCGGCCCTGGCCGCCGCTGGCTACTGGTGGAAGAATCGCGACACACGATCGCAGTTCACCGGACGCGCGCACGTGTAAACGACACGCGACCCACCATTGAGGGTCACGGAAACGGCGAGGCGGCTCACTTGAGCGACAGCCTCTGGAGGATTTTGAGATACCACGCGAAGGTTGATGCTCGGCGGCGGTTGGCGGAAAGGGCGCGGTACTCGCACTTTTGCTCGCACTTTTGCTCGCACTTTGGACGACGAAATGCCGACCGCTGACGGCCGCAGCAAAGAGAAGGCAATTCGGCAGACTTCTGAATTGGGGTTTAATACGGCTACGGCAGACCCAGTTTAACTTGCTTCCACTGTACGGAGTACTGAACCGTACACATAATGCTACCTTTCATTCCTTACTTGACCTGCTACACTGCTCGATACATACACACGATGACGACAAGGCCTGTTATGCGTCAGGGCTAGACCCTCCTGGCCCCGCAGGCACCAGACAGAGAGCTAGGGAATGAGGAACTCGACGTATGACGATATGGCAAAGGATACGTTATGGTTGTAAAGGGATTTCATGGTGCGGCAATTGAGCTGCGAAAATTGGAAGAGGAATCGATCTCCGCGCCGAGGTCAGCGATGATGATGGCTGGGCTGGCTGGCTGGACGGCAACGGCGCTTGCACCAAGAATTCGTTGAGTGGGTGGCGCTTGCAGTGGTGACGTAGAGAGAGGAGGGAAGGCCCAGTTTCACCCACGCTGGCGAGCAAAAGACGCCCTTTTTTCCCGGCTCCGACGACGAGTTTCAGCGTCTGATGCAAACAAGACATCAATCGGGCGAAAAATTGAATATTCTTTTCTTTGTCTGATGTTTTTAATCTCCTAGCCGAGCCAGGCGCGACGCGTCGCTGTCTGCCGATCCCGAGCCGGCGGTCGGCCCGGTCTGCGGCGTCTCCTCCGTATACTCGCCGGTGTGCTGTATCGTGGCGGCACGGACCAAAAAGATCAACATCCAGCCTCCGCAATCGCCATGCCGCCCACCACGGCATTCGGCCCATGCGCCCTTAATCCTTTAAGCTTTGGCAATCTTTTCTCATTTCCATGCCATGGTGGTGGGGAGACGTTCGGTGGACATCTTACCCCGACCCGACCTGCAAAAGCTCTAGGTGCACACGCCGTCGTGTAGATCGACCAGCCTCCGGGCGTGACGGGCTGATGACACCATATCCAGTAGGCCGACCTGTCGGGTGACTTGGTGCTTGGCAGGTGAACGGCGAGGGAGCAATGGTTGACTGCTCTCCATTATGTCAGTGACCCTGCAAGACCTTGGAAAGCGACCCTACAGTACCTTTTGAGGGCAGTAAGCTCGTCATCTGTTTCCTTTAGCTCGTGAACCGTCTGTTGCTTAATTTTTTTTTTACGGATCGAGTGTCGGGAATACTACTGTACTGAAAAGCAGTAACCCGGTGCCTGCAACTGGCATCACGGGATGCGTGCGTGACGGTGAAGAAGCAACGTTATAACGGCAGCTGCCACCCCGTACTCTCAAGTTCCATTTCACTCAAGGCCTGCGAGTGCTCCAGAGTTGAAGAAGAGTGACGGTCCAAGTACGGATCTACGCAAGTTTCCGTGCTTGTCCTCTTTTGGGTGTTCAGTTCCCAGAGTCCCGTAGAGACGCCGGAACATACAGTACAGTATCCGTACATACCAAACACCCCCAACCGGAAAGCGGCAGGGGCGCCACCCTCCAATGCCAGCCAAGTCGAGCGTCCTCCCGATATGTGTGCCGTCCGGGGGAGTGGCCGAGGACCCGATTGCTCAGAGTCCGAGGTGATGCGCAGTGGCAATGCCTCCTCGGCCGCCCCAAATCGGAAAAGAAGACGAAGGGAGGCGTGGTGGCACGACAGGTAGGCACAGGCAGACAGATGGGAGGACGATGTGCTATGCATACATACTCCTCTTATTCCCTTACACACGGTACAACATGAAGATTGAAACCCGCTAAGTCCTGACCGGGCGTCCTACATCGTCATGGGCCATGCGGGAATATGCGTGTTCAGGTAGGGCAAGGGTTGTTCCCCGGACGATGAATAACTTAAGACCCATCCCAAGGCGGCAGTGGGGTAAGTTAGCAAGGAGAAGAAAACGAGGGTGGCGAGAGTTCTACGCGTTGTACGTACAGGTCATTGACCTTCGAGGTACAAAGTGGTGAAGAAGCAGAAAACGTTCAGCATGAACCAAGCTACGCAATCGTTCAGGTGCTTTTTGTGCCCGGCTGGCGGCAAAAGATACCCGCAGAGGGAGTAGGTTTGACGCCGGGATGGCGGCACCTTTGCCAAGCACAGTGTGCCATGACAGTGCATTCTGGCCCCAAGCGCACCCACGGATATTATTACTGTACATGTGAGTTGGGTAAGGAATATTAGTGCGTAAGCGAATGCGGTACGGATGAGATACAGGCTGGGTTCAAAGGTTAGCCGGACCGGAGCCTGTTGGGAAGTGGCTTGACCTGGCCTGTAATACGACGCATGACGAAATGGCCGGGGAGAATAAGAGTATGTATACGTATACGGATACGCTTCGGACAGTCGAGCGATGGTTAAAAAGTCGGCTCTACTTCAATTTGCTGGAGCAGGCAACGATGCTGAGGCCAAGAAAAAGAGAATGACGTGAATCGGGGCCTTGATCCAGCCACTCAGCACTGCCGGAGTGCACTGTACTCCACTGTACGGATGCCATCGAGCCTGCACTGCCTCTCAGGGCATTTACAGGCTCCGGCTACTGGTTCCAGCAGTTACTACTTACTTCAGCAACCCGCAGCGTCAGCACCGGTGGGGCCTGGTGGGACTGCAGATTGCGCCAGTGCCTGCGTGCCCTGGGAAACTCGGCGCCCGCGCCCCTGTTTAGCTGCAGCCGCTGGCTTCCACCATCCCGCTGCTTATCACATCTCCATCTGCCTTCTCCCCGTCGTCTTCTCTTCTTCAAAGAGCAAACCCTTTTCCTTCTTCTCTTCTTGTTTTCCCCTTCCTCTTCCCCAACTAGCCGTCACCGCCAACCCCGACTCCGTCCATCCCCATCGCCCGGCCCACGCGCTGCCGGCCGACCCAGACAAGGCCGACAGTTCATTCCAACGCCGCTTCTTTTTGGCCCGCCGCTTCGACCGACCATCAACTCCGTCGTTTACGAGACAGCAGCGCCTGCCTGCCCGTCCTATGGCCTCGTCATCATCACGGCCCTCTTGACTCGACGACGTGGCATGATTCAACTTCCCGAGCATCACCAACATCCAACCAGACCGACCAGCCATTGACACCATGGCCAGCTTTGCCCGTTCCTTCAAGCCCTCGCCGGCATACCTCTCGCCCTGCCGCCGTCCCGTCATGCCCGGCCGCACCCTCTCAAACTCGTCGGACCTGTCCTTGGCCTCGACTGGCGACGACGCGGGCGACGCCCCGGTCCCCTCAGCCCCCGGTACGCCATCCGCCGAGGACGCGTGGGCCAACAAGAGTGAGTAACCACGTTTTTCTTGTCTCCCTCTCCCTCTCCCTCCCGTGCTTCGGGTTTCCACATACGGAAAAAAACAAGAAGAGAAAAGAGAGCGTCCCTGCATCCCAGACAAACAGGGTCCACATACAAGTTCCCGCCCAACCAACGCTTGTCCGGCTCGTCGAGGCCTCAGGGATGGCGGCTAGCTCGCTCCAGCCTCGACAGCGACTCCACTTGTACCAAAGCCATGGCCAACTCGTCCCTTGTCCATCGCGGGGTGCAGCCAGCCAACCCCCCCTTTCCCTGGCCCCAGATGCGCACCAGAAGCGCCATTATCTCCGGCCTGCGATATGTGGGGGATGGGACGATTGGGGTGAGACGGGGCACTCGCAAACACGCTATCCGTCATGGTGCAGCTCGTACTGTTTCTCGGATATCGTGCCCTCGTCCGATGCAACCTCGTTGCGTCTTGGCGCTTCGCCTCCGCCTGGCCCGTCCGCAGTTATTTATAATGGCTCGCTAACTGGCCCCTTGGGCAAAAGCAGACGCCTCATCCATCGTCAACTCGCCCAAGTCCGGCAACAGTGGCCCCATTGCCATCGAGTTGCCCAAGCTCAAGAAGCTCAACGCCGCCGCCGCCGTCTACACGCCCCCCGAGCCTCTCTCTGCGCGGGGCGATCTGCCTGGGTAAGCCAGACCCAACCGACCAATGGAATGCTTGATGTTTTTGACATTCTCTTATCGCGTCGGGACCACCTCCCTTCATCATGCGACTAACACGGTTTTCCAGGGGTTATTTTCCCATGCACGAGGATCCCAAGGGCCGCATCCACCGTCCTCATCCTTTCCACCAAGACGCTGGATTCTCACGCCATCATCTTCACTCAGACACGGCCGCCATGCAGACCGATCGCAAGGATTCTCACTCGGCCGCCTTCCCGGCGTCCATGGCCCATGCGAGCATGCCCGTCGCCTCGTATCTCGCCCCAGGCTTCCACGATAGCCCTCTGCCCATGGGAAAGTACTATCCCTCCAACTATGAGCAGCATCAGCGCACAAACGTGAATCACCGCGCGCATCCTTCCGTGTCCGAGTCGCTGCCGTCCTCGATGAGGCATGACTCCCACCTCTCTAGGCACGGCTCGCAAATCCCCCGCGGGGAGGCGGCCGAGGCCGAGGCGCGGCGCAAGATGCAGCAGTATCAGCGCGACATGATTGCGCAGGCAGCCATGGCCCTCGGGGGTTCTACCAAGGCCGAATCCAAGGCAGCGCCGGGCGTCTCGCTCGGCGGCAAGTCCCTCAAAGACGCGTGGCTCGCCGGGCCTTCGCCGCACAAACCCACCTCTCCGAGGTTGCACCCTCTGGGAAGCCCTGGTCCAGTCACGCCCATGGATCTCGAGGCCGCCAGCGCTGGCGGATATCTCGAATATGGCAAGAAGCCCCAAGACTGGCTATCCAAGGAGAACAAGGCGGCCATCACCGCCGGTCACGCGACACGCTCCCTATGACGTACATCACGACTGAGACGGGCGAGAAGCAGCACTATCCCGGGAAAAGGTCTTTCACGACTGCACAGCATTTTTCTTTTGTTTTCTTTTTTAACAGAGGCAGAGGGCATCGAGCTGGCGTTTTCTGTTTACTCGCCGGATCTCTCCGGTTTATTTTGCTATACCGTCCTTGTTTTCCAGATAGCACCCCGATGGCATGTCGGGCCATTCTACTCTGGCCGGCCTCTTGGCACAGAGTGAGTCATTGGTGGACACGGAGTTTTTGGCGCAAGACTGCGATGAGCAGCCGGGCCGAGCATAGACTGTATGATACCCTTTTCTAGAAATACGAGGTCCAGGGCAGTGGATCGCATGCAATGTGTTGGGTGCATTTTCCGATGATCGTCTTAGCCGCGTTTAGAGCCACGCTGCTTCCACGAGGTGGCTTGCAGTCGTAGCACCAGCAGCAAAACAAGTCGGAATGTCCAAATTTGGCAGTGCCATGGCTCCGACGTCGGTATGCGAGGCAAGGTCTTTGTTGGAGCTATCAGGGGGACAATGGTGTTTGCGGGCTGTCAAAGATAGGCAGCTCTGCTTGACCGCTTGCTCGGAAAGACAGGCTGAGTCTGAGCCGTCGACTGGTTCAGTCAGTGTGGAAGCTGCTGTTTCCCGGCATCTCGGGTGCACGTGTCCGAAGCACGTGCCGACAATGCCTGTGGGTGATTGGGTACGTACCCACATCGCAAGGCGTTGCGGCACGTGAGTTGGCGTCACGCGCCCATCCACAGATCGCGACATGACAACCTGATGCTCACCGCCCACCGCACCGGTCGAAAGAGACCAACAATCTCGCAGCGAGCGCTATGCAGCGCCTGAAACCATGTCCTACGCCGTGAGGAGGCCCGTCGACCCCTCGCGGTCCAGCGGCCAGGCCTCTGCCGACACACCCACGACGGCCACGGTCCTCGACTACGCGTGCCTCTTCACGCACGACCTGCGCCGCAAGCAGAAGCGCTGGCAGGATGGCAAGCTCAAGTTCCATACCTTCAACAAGCGCATAATGGTGTACGATGACCGGGGCAACTTCGTCGGCGACTCGCACTGGCGCTCGAGCGACGTCCTGGACGAGGGCGAGGAGCTGCAGCTTGATCGCGGGAGCGCTATTGTCCAGATTTCAGACTGCACGGGCTCGCGCGAGCAGGATCTCACCGATCTCCTCGACAAGCGGGCCAAGGAGGTGGAGCAGCGGAGGGCCACCGCCGCGGCCAAGACCACTCCCGTGCAGCAGACCCCCGTTAGGCGACGCGAGGGCCAGCCGCAGCCGCACTTTCAGCTGAAGCACCGGCCGCTCAGCGCCATTGTGCCGAGCCCTGGACCGATTGGCCGCGCGGCGATTCCGGACCGTTCGCCCTTTGAGACCAGGCGCGCTGAGGCGGGGGGAGAGCAGCAGCCGCCCGCCGCCAAGAAGAGGAGGCTGAGCACGTCGCCGCCGAGCAAAAAGGGGTTCGCGCAGAGTCTGTTTGGGGCCCGGCTGACACTTTCGTCGTGTCCTGCGCCAACGCCACCGCCCAGGGTGAGGGCGTCCAAGGAGAAGCTCGACGCGAGGATTGAGGGGCCGACGGTGAGCCAAGATATCGCCGAAAAAGAAGACGACGACGTAGTGATGCTGGATGGACCTCCGCTAGGAGCGCGCGATACGACCGCAAAATCAGCACAACCTAGAACTGAGTCTGCAAAGGTGATACCGGTTGTTGCCTCGCGGGACACGTCCTGGAAACCACCACGGGCCAAGGCCGGCGCCGACATTGAAAAGAGAAACCTATCACGGCACCCTCAGCGAGATGAATCACCCGGCTTGCACGTGCTGGAAAGCGCGCAGCCCGCTGCTGGGGCCGGGGAGAAGGCCCGAGAAAAGGCTGACAATAGAGCGATGGCAGCCCAGTCTTTAGCAAATGGATCGCGACAAGCTGTCTCTCGGAAATTGATCAGCCGCGACGTAGAACAGACGGCTGACCAGTGCTCGGCGCAGAAGAGCCCCGAAAACGTGCCTCTGCCCAAAAGTCAAGGACCAGTGGGGAGAAGCGAAGACGCGCCATCGCCATCACTTGCCCGAGAGCAGTCTTTTACGTTCCAGAAAGCAGAGCCGCGGACAGAGCTACGGATCAAGTCGCGGCAAAAACGAGGACTGCTCATGATGTCTGAGACAAGGCCACAGCCACGCGACGCCCTGGCCAGGCGGTCCTCAAAGCCAGCTGGCAGCAGGTCGAGTCTAGAAGCAAGCCCGCTCCCCGACACTCGAGATTCAGGCGGCCGGAGCGAAGCACCTAAAGCACGGGACACAGATTATTCCGACCCAGAGACTGGTCCCTCGTGTCGTGCTGTGCCTGATCTGGCCAACACTAGCAGCGAGAGCGACGTGGCTCCCGTGGAAGCTAGACGAAGACGCTGTGTTGCTTCCGTCTTCGAAGATGCAAGCAGTGACGGCGAGGTGCTATTCAGGGACCGGGGACGACGGGGCAGTATAGGATACGCACAAGAGAGCGATGACAACGGATCGGATAGCCAAGAGGGTCACCTTCTTCGAGCGCGCAGGGTCGAGAGCCGCCGCCGCCGCCCCACAAGCGAAGACGAACCCGACAGCCCACCGGAACCACGGAGAAGAAAGCCTACTCGGCGCACCAACCGTCGGAGGCAAGATATGGAGCAGGAATTGGAGAGGCCGGCGCCATCCGGACCGCGGATCACCAAGATGGCGAGGAAAAGTGTGAGGAGCAAGGAGATTATCGGGTACATTCCACCTGCCGAGAACGACATGGTGCCGGCTCTGTTTGCGGCGACGGCGTGTCGGACCGCGTTTGGGGTGAACCCGGTTCTGAGCGTGGGCTCGACGGGGGTCTCGGCGGCCTCAGCTTCCATCGTGGGACGAGTTGGTGAGGCGATGACGAGGCTGTGCGGTCATGGAGCTCTCTTACCCTCAGAGCCGGATTGCGATGGAACTGACACGGGGACGAAATCTGCTGCTGATGTGGACGACGCTGCAGTGGCCGCGTTGCCAGCAGACGGGCCTCCCAAGGAGCCGAGGAGAGCGTCAATGCCGGCAGTAGAATCCCTCAAGGAGCCGGCGAGGGCAGCGGTAGAGGAGCCAGCCAGCGCTGGCGGAGAGGTGGCGCGGGCACAAAGCTCAAACACGAACCAAGACGCAGACAGCAGCTCCCGGCCCCGAGTCCAAAACCCCGCCACGCGGGGTAAGAAGGCCGCACGGAGGGAGGACGCGGCCGGCCACCCGCTGCAAAACCTGGTGCCCATGGAGCCGGCGGCGCCGGCGCGAGCGGCAAAAGCCGCGACGACCGAGCCGAAGAGGGACCAGACGAGTTTGCCAGGGTTCAGTCGGGCACACGGAGGGGCGTGGAGCAAGCACGCGGAAGATCTGCTGGGGATGACGAGGCCGGCGGGGAGGACGAGGGGAGGGTGAGCGCGGAATGCCGTGAGCGGTGGTTTTATAGTGGAAATGGTAAGCTGCCGGCTACGAGCTGGAACTGGCAAGGAGGGCCGTCGAGAGCTGACCACGGCCTCAGCACGGAGCAGGAAATGCCCGGGAAGGATGCGGTGCCGGGCCGTGGAAGACATGTGTGGCCGGGGCGACCGTGGTGGGACTCGTCATGTCGACTCTGCTTTATACAACGTTGATCGGGCAGGCAATTTATGTGCGGAGGCGCACACAAACGTTTCACGTCATCATCGGGGACAAGGAAGATGGACGTTACGTTGAGGTAAGTCAGCGTTGCTAACAACGGGGCCGTCTCTTTGCTGACTCTGTACTACCCTTAACACAGTCACTCTGAACGATACTCGCACCGACGGTCAGGCAAGAGCCGTGGACAGAACATTGAAGGAGGTGACACGAGTTTTGCCTACGAAGTATAGGGATGGCTGCCGGACTGAAGCAAGACATTGATGGCGGTGATGACGATGCTGCAACGATGGACAGGCGGGTCTCAACCATTAGGCTTTCTAGTCTATCCACGTTGTCTGCCTTGGGCGAGTCTACGAGAGACAATGGTGGCGTCCGAATGAGAACGGACCAGGCCGAGCTTGGGGTTTCAAGCCTGGTTAGATTGACTTTTTGCCGTATTTTCGTACAAGAAACGAGGGGCGGCTTGGAGTCAGGCGCGTCAGCCAGATTGGCCAATCAGCAGCGCCGTGTGCTCGCCGAAGCCCCAGCCAACATGGTGCATCGGGCGGGTCCCCTGGGCCAATGACGCGAGGGCACGCCGGGGCCCCGCAGGAAGACCGCGCCGCTGATTGGCCCGGCGTCGCCAGCCGCTAAGCCTGTTTGAGCACGCCGAAAGAGTCAGCCCCCCACTCGGCTGCGCCCTGCTCTGCTAAGACTACACGGCGGGAATACTTTAGGCTGCCTGACTCCCGCCCGGCTTGCCAGACTCATGTTTGCATTCTGACTTGTTGTTCTTCTGCCTTTCCTCTCTCAATCAGCCAAGGCCGTCTTGAACAATCGTCGCGTCTCTCGTCCCCCGTATTGCCTCGTGTGCCCTGCCTTATCCCGAACTTTGGGGGTCCCCCCAGGTCACGTCATCCATCCTGGCCTGCCCCTCGTTCGCCTTCTCCTCTCCTTTGACTTCTCTCCTTTGAGAACCAAACTGGACTTGTAAGTCTGACCTGGAAATGCCTGCTGCTTCTCGGCTCACCACCAATCATGGCCCTCCAGCTCGCTTGCCCCGGGTCTTGTATGAGCAGCGACCGGCCCGTCTGCTCGCCATTGTCACCCTCCTCTGACTACCCTGGATCCTCGTCTCCGTGTCCGCAGCGCAATGGCCACCCCGTCTCCTCGCTCCGGCTTGCCCCAGGGCTTCTCCGTCTACCAGCCCGCCCTCGGCGCCCAGCTGCAGTTCTTCCCGGCCCTCGGCACTCAGCGGCTCGATGACTTGATCAACGCCCACGTCCCCGGCCCGGCCTCCATCAAGGACAAGCGCGCCTCCGTCTCGCTCGACTTTCTCGGCTACGCCCGCACCACCGGCCAGACGTTCAAGTTCTATCCCGCCGCTCCCTCGCTCGCCGAGTCGCCCCTGACTGGCAGCCCGCCGGCCCTCGACTCGGCCAGCTCCTCCTTCAACGTCTCCCCCGTCACCTCCAGCTGGGACTGGAGCGCCACGGCCTCGGTCTCGTCGCGCTCTTCCACCCACCGCCGCCCATCTGCCAAGGTCGCCTCCTCATCCACCACCAGCCCTCCCTCGCGCCATCACACGACAGACTTCTCCAGCCTCCCCGGCATGAAGATCTTGACCAAGGACGGGCTCGACGTCACAAACTCGGCCTCCAGGGGCTCCAAGACCAAGGAGCAGCGCGACCATGCTCACCTGATGCGCATCATCAAGGCCTGCGACAGCTGCCGCCGTAAGAAGATTCGCTGCGATCCCAGCCACAAGAAGCGAGGCGGTCCCCCAGCTCACATGCACGCGGCCGCCGCTACGGGCTCAAGACCGAGACGCAAAGCCAAGAGCCCGCCGCAGGAGCAGCTGACACCGCCTCAGTCACAGCCACCACCGCAACCATCGCCAGTCGGTGCTGACTCCTCGGAGGCCATGGGCGCGGATGCCCTGGAAGCCTTCTTGACCTCGTCCCTCGATCTTGACTTTTCCATGTCCCATCCTGAGACTTTGGATCCGCTAGCCGCGGCTCTGCCCGACTGTCCATGGGACGACTTCATGCAGTTTCCTCCCATGGACGCGGCGGCCGACTACGACTTTTATCTGGACCCGAACAACTATTTCACCAGCCAGTCCTCTATTTCGTCATCGTCGGCGTCGCCATTCAAGATACCCACCCCGCAATCGCTCCAGGAGCCCGGGGCACCTCCCGGTCCAGATACCACGACCGCCCAAGGAGCACATGCGGCATCGCCCCAGTACCCCTTCCTGGATCCATCTGGCTTTGCCGGCGACTACACCGACTTCAACCTATTCTCGCCACAATCCAGCTTCTCCGAGGATGACCGCATGCTCTCCGTCGGCTCGTCTTCCCATGAGCCCGGATCTTCCCAGCATAGCCAACCTGGCTTTGATGACTGGAACGTCGAGGCTGCACTGCCCAAGACCGCGGGCGACTCTGTCGGCGGCGTCGATGAATACGATGGTTTGAGTCTTATCGACTCGACTGACCGCCACGTACTCCCACCGGGAGCATCGGCGGCGTCTGCTGCCTCGCTCGGCGGCCAAGTGATCATCTGTTGCGCGCCGGGCACCGTGGTACTCACCGCCGACGGCTACAACAGCCACGTACTGGATCACGTACGTTGCACATCTGCGGCTCCCCCGTCCTTCGTCAAGCAGCGACTAACTTCTCGAAAGGTACCAATCAGTCTCAGTGCTTCCAGCTCAGCCGCGGCTGCTGCCGACTCAAGTGTATGTGTCCCCGGCGTGAAGATGCCTTTTGCGAGACAGCAACTGATTTTGAAAAAGGAATCGTCAGTTGTATATGCCTCTCGAGGACACGCCGTCGGACAGGCCGGCGTCGCACCTGTCGCACTTCATAGCGTATGTCTCGTAAAATCCCTCTTGTTCTCAAGCAGCGACTAACTTTGTCAAAAAGGAACCCCGAACTACGGCATCCGCTCAAGATGGCGTGGCTACAACAGCCTCGAGCGCTCCGGGGCACGACCCTACATCTGTAAGCGTACGTCGAGGCCGCCCATCTGCCGTGAAAGTCGCTTGTCTAACTTGTTCACAGGCGGTATACGAAGACGCTCTTCGTGCGCACCTCGCGGCGAACGACGATTGTGATGCACGTGCGCCCCGAGACGGAGTAGTAGACTCCAACGACCTCCAGGACCCCGACGTTGGCCGTGTGCGGGCAACCCAGACATTCCGCGATACTGTCCAACGTGGCTCTCATGTCGTTGAGCGCGTGACCACCGAGCCTCCTGGTCTATCTGGCTCGCCCTCTGATGCTGTAGCCGTGGCACCCCGGCTACCCGCGCCGCCCGGCGTCAGCGGCTCCTCACCGGTCGACGGCGTCGTCGACCATGCCGCTGGTCCTGCGTCAATCGATGGCCTCCCCGTCCACAGCCAACGGTACTGTCAAGGAACCGAATCCCCGAATTCGCCATCGAGGGCAAGCCTCGAGGCAACTACTCTCGACGGACACACCTCTATGCCATTCGTGTCCTCTCGGCAGGGACTCGCTCACGGCTCTACATGGCCCCTGCAAGGAGCCGTTTTGCCTGACGAGTCGCTGGCCGCTGTCACAGCTTCCGAACAAGTGGTGGTCGCACAGGGCGCGCGTCCCAAAGCACAGCAGTGGCTGCCGCGGGATGTCCTTGCAATGACCGCCAAAGGTGTTGCTACGGTCCTGGTACTGCTGACAGCGAGCGTGATGCCTGCTCTTCAATGGGCACACGTGATTGTTGCAGTCTTGGCGCTTGCCTTCAGGTCAGCGTCGGTATGGACCAAACAGCCGCCATCAGCCCCCGAGGGCAAGTTGTCACCAGGCTTGCTCGAGGGCAAGCATCCCGGCTTTACGAGGATGACTCGAGGACTGACGAGCATGCGCAGCCATGCGTCGGTCGCAGTCTTTTCTGGGATGTCTTGGAGAGCATCTTCTGCCGTAGTACTGCTACGAGGATAGGAGCGATTGCGGAGTGAAGCTTTTCGACATGGGCTATATGGACTTGGGCGTTGTGCTTTTTTTTTTAAAAAAATGGGAGATGATTTTGGCGAAGGTTGATGGTACATTTTATTCATCTTTCTTATTGGCGCTTCTGTGGAAAAAGGGCAAGGATTGCTCATGGCGTTGGAGAGAGGATACACTAGATCTTTGGAGTGGATAGACTTGGTCTGGATATGCCTTATCAAGAACGAGGCAAAGTAGCCAAGCTGCAGTTATTTTGCAGTTATTTTATTTTAAATTTTCATTGTCAAACTTTGAAGTTCTCAATGTCGTCGAGGCCCCGGAAAAGGGGCTGAACTGCTCGAGCGTTGAAGAAGTGGGCCACTGCCACGGTCATGTGATTCAGATTTGGACCGTGTTTTCTTGGGCCCGCGGCCTGGTCTTTTTATGTGCGGGCGCGAAGCTCCAGCGCGAAATCGGACCGGTGATTATTGGTTGCAAAAGAGAGAGCAAGAGGCTCGAGGGAGAAGTGTTGCGTCAGGATTTTCGAGGAGACGAAATTGCAGCGTTGTGGTTTGGAGCGCGGGCAAGGACGACGACGACGAAGGTGCGCCGGTGAATCATCGAACGGTCAGCATTCGTTACCGGCAAGAGATCCGGCTCGGCGGACCTGTGCTACCTCTCAGGGGCAGAGGCTGACCCGCTACACGGGCGGACAGAGAGAGAGCAGGCCGCGTCCCGCAGCAAACCGAAGTGCCTCCTTGGCTTGGGCATCAACCACGACTCAACCTCGTCCAGCACCAGATCTAGGTGCTGCTAGATTCTGCTCTTTGGCGAGGGCTCTCATTTGTAGAGCTGCATCGTTTCGGGAACATTGTTGCACCTTTGTCGAGGGACTGAGGGAGATTGATCCAGGGTGTCTTGAGAGCCGGAGGGGAGCGGTGAAGGCGGGAGAGAGGGAAGAGAAAGGAGTGCGGGTCAAGTGCTGGTGGCAGAAGTGTCGCTGTCTGCATTGTTGTGGAGGAAAAGGGAAGAAGAGGTGTGAAGAAGAGATTGAAGAGAAGGCGGGAGAAGAGACGAACGAAAAGAGAGAAAAAGGCAGGACGCAAACGACGAAGGTTAGCGGGCCGTGGAGGAAACGCACCTGGCTCTTCTCTCTCTCGCCTGGCAAGCCAAGGCAAAAGAAGAGCAAGGCGGCTTAGGAAGAAAAAAGAGGTCGCCGGAGCAAGAAAGGAACAGGAAGGAAAAAAGACTTGAAGAGCCCGTTGCCATGGCGCTGTCGACGCTGGCAGCTGCGCAGCGGGCACTGAAGTGGCTGTTTTGTTCAGCGCAGCCGGCAGCTGCCCAGGACAACAGCAAAGGCGGGAGCGAAGAAGAAGAAGGAGGAGGAGGCGATTCTTTGCGGCGAGCCGTCGAGGAGGCGCAACTTTTGGCCAATGACGACCAAAGCGAACAGCACAACCACGACAACAACCGCCACAGCAGCAGCGGGCACATTCACAGCCTCGACAACAACCAAGACGCAGCAGCAGCGGAGATGGGAGACTACATCGTCGACAAGGAAAACATTGCCCCTGCGGCCGCAGACGTGGCGGGCGTCACGGCGGCGCTGGGCCAGCTCAAACTGGCCAGTCCGAAGGGCGAGCTTGTCCGGCAGCCCTTTTCGTCGTCGCTCGTGGCCAGGGAGGCCGTGGTCGGCGAGGATGCCGAGGTTGTGAGGGAGAGGGAGCAGAATCTGCGCTTCATTGGGGAGGCGCTCGACATGGTGGGTTCGCAACGCCTTGATTCATAATGCTTCCCTTGCTAAGAACAGCCAAACACCTCAGGCCCGCCTCGCTCTTCGCACCAACGAAACACCCGTCGGCTGCGTCCTCGTCCACAAGGGCCAGATGATTGCCAAGGGCATGAACGCGACCAATGTCACGCGCAACGGCACCCGCCACGCCGAGCTCATGGCCATCTCGGCCCTCCTCTCCGTCACGTCGGACACGGGCCCGCGAACCACGTCGCTCCGCCCCAAGCAGCAGCCGCCGCGGCGGGGCAGGGAGGTGTCGTCGTCGCTCGACAGCTCGTCGCTCGACTCGAGGAGCGGTGGCGACGCGGCGCCCCCCGACCAAGGCAACGAGGACGGCAGCAAGGGCCACCTGTACCCCTACGGACAGAAGCTGCACGCCAGCGGACGCGTGGACCGGCGCATCCTGCACGACAGCGTGCTGTACGTGACGGTGGAGCCGTGCGTCATGTGCGCGTCGCTGCTGCGGCAGTTTGGCATCAAAAAGGTCTACTTTGGCGCCGTCAACGACAAGTTTGGCGGCACGGGCGGCGTCTTCAGCATCCACGCCAACTCGCTGCCCGTGGGCGCCGACGGCTCCCCGACGGCGTCGGCGCACCCCCTGGCGCCGCCTCGACAGCAGTCCCAGCTCCCCGATAGCAGCGGCACGCTGGGCACGTCGTATCCGCCCGGAGGCGGCGATGGCGGCAACGTGGAGCCCGGGTACGAGATTGAGGGCGGATGGGGCCGCGACGAGGCCGTGGGCCTGCTGCGCCGCTTCTACGTGCAGGAGAATGGACGAGGTATGGCACATGCACCCTCGCGTCAACGCCCACTGACAAGTCCCCGGCAGCCCCCGTCCCGCGAAAGAAGGAAGGCCGCGCCGCCCGCCTGGCCGCCATGATTGAAAAGGACGGCACCGGGGTGGCGGCTGCGGATGCGGCTGCCCCTGGTGCAGTTCCCGCTGGTGGTGGTGGTGGTGGTGCCGAGGGCCCAGACGAAGCGACGACGACGGCCGACCAGCAGCCGTCGCCGGGGTCGGTCGAGAGCCGCAAGGAGAACCTGGCGCCGGTTGACGACGACGGCGGCGACGACGACGACGACGACGACGACGAGGGGGTAAGCGAGGGCAAGGCGGAGTCGAGTAGCGACGATGACGGCGTGGACAATGAGTTTTACCTGGGCCTTGCGGAGAGGGCGAGGCACCGGGGCAACTATGCGCCCTAGGGGCGGTTGCTTTTGCTGGCATTGGTTCTATTGGCGTGTGCTGGCAGACATGGTCGATACGGACTGTCATGATGCTTGCTTTCCTGTCTCTTTGCCTCGCTCCCGAGAGATGGACAGATGGACAATGGATGGCGCCGGTATGTAAAGAAGAAAGCATGGTCTTGGACTCCCTGCATGAGAAAAAGGGGACTTGCGGCTACAGTGCAGTGGCGCCTTGATTAGGCCCTGTCCGTTGGGCCGTGACAGGCGGCGTCCCGTGACCCTGGCGGACCGAGGGGCTCGCCACTCACGGCTGCGGGGGGCCCCCATGCCCCTCCAAGGTCTTTGCCATTCCCGCCCCAGTTCCTACGGACTTTTCGAGATTGCCATGCTTGCCCTCGTTTCAACCATCCATTCTGTCGCCACCCGGCCAAGCGTCTCCGTCTCCTCGTGTCGCCCTTTTCCTTGAACGTTTACCTGCTCTTCTGGCCCCTTGAATCCCGCCATCTACCACCATTGACCGTCAGAAAGAAGAAGCCGCTTCGATTCTCCCGGCAACCATCCCCAGACCCCCAGCGTGCTGGTGCCCCCCCCCCCCGGACTCGCTCATGTTTCTCGTCGCCCGAAGCCCAGTCGCTGGACTCATCTTGCCGACAACGGCCGGCTGCTCAAATGCCCGGGCCTTGGATTACGGCGGCTTGCGAAAGGAGCCTGCTGCTGCCAGCGCGTCCTTTAATGCCTTGCTACAGAGCGAAAGCTTTGATGCTGTGAGTTTGCCTTTCTTCCATTGCCACCTTTCGCCTTCTTCCTTTACTGACAGCTTGTCGCGTCTCCAGATTAAACGAAATGTCGACAAGCTTGCCGACCTGACCGACCAGTTCCCCGGCTACCAGGGCGTCGCCTCGATCCTCGTCAGCGAGGAAGAGCTGGACGCCGTGTCCAAGCTTTCGGGCGATATTATGATGAGCCTCGACAAGATTGCACTGCTACGCGAGCAGCGTCCCGACGTGGTCAAGACACATACTCGCGCCCAGTCACCTTCATCTTCATCAGACGACGAACACCCCAGGGCGAAGCGGGTACGTCGCCTCCCCATCCAGCCTCTTTACACTTGACCAGGGAGCTTACCACCATCCACCCCCCAGCAGACACATGTACAAACGCACATGGCCAAGCCCACCTGCCGTCGCTGCGGAGCCGTGAGCACTCCCAAGTGGCGAGCCGGGCCCGCGGGCCTGCGCACCCTCTGCAACGTCTGCGGCCTGGTGCACTCCAAGCGGGCCCAGAGGGCGGCGGGCAAGGCCTCTGCAAGGTCGCGCAGGGTCGGGCCGTGAGGCGTCTCCCTCGCCGGCAGTACACGTTCGTCGTCGACTATTTCATTCAGCATTCGGAGTTAGGCATGGTTCAAGGCGCGCTACTATATACCCAAAGAAGCGAGGTGGCCCTTTTTTTGCTTATTCCTGTTTGGCGCAAGGTGTTTCATCTGCTTGGAGACATGACAGTGATTTAATGAATACAAAAGTCATTGTTCACATGGGCTCAGAGAGCAGTTTGAGCCATCATATCGCCCGGCATTGCATTATCGAGGCAGTTGCTGGTTTCCTTTGTCGACGTTATGCTCGTGTTCACTACCCCTGAGATATGTGTGTTACTCCTGAGATCCTTCAAGAGCGCATTGCAGTGATGAGTGGGCCATAGCCACGCTATTCATGCGCCCTTCTGGCAGTGCTCACCCTGTCAAGCCCGTCAACCCTTGCCGTCACCGGCCTGATCCCACAGTGGCAATTTCCTCCAGTCTTCAGGCTCTCTCACCCAGATGGTCCCTCGAATGGAGCGTCCGTCCTGTATTCCCAAATCTCGTGGCCAGTATGGACGCGCCGGTAGCCGAGAAAGCCTTCGGCGAGCTGGAAGAGAAATGGGAGCGACTGTCGCGCATCCACGCCTTGGTCGTTCTCGTTGGCTGTGACGCGGACCTTGATGTCGTCAAAATGAAGGGCTTTCATGGCAGGAGACACCTCAAGAAAGGGGGGTGCCTGAAAGGAGGGTATCAGCCGCGTGTCTCTTGCTACAGTGTCTTCCGGGCTACTACTCACGGCTCGAGTTTTCTCGTCACATATGAATTTCCGCAGACACGTGAGGATGCAGACGACCGAGTCTGCGTGGTTGCCCTCAATGGTTATCCCCCCTTTGGAGACGCCCGTGCCCAACTCGTCGCCCCAAAAGATGCGCAGGTGGTAGGGCGGGTTGAAAGCACCTGTGACCTCGGCTACCCGGGTCAGTCTTCTTGCTCGAGGGCCAGGGTCCCCGTTGCCGCTGTTGCACGAGTCGCCCTCTAGGCCGAGCGCCGGATCGATGTCGACAGTGGCGAGGGCTTGGACTCGAAAGAGTTCTTCAAGGTGCGACTCGTAGTGAAAGCGGTGCGATTTGGACACCGACAGGACGACTGCCTGGCGCTCTAGGTGCACTGTGGGCAGTCTGATGTCGCCGGCCTGCGGAGGAGACGGTCGAGAACGTTAGCGGCCAAGAAGACATATATGCCTCCTTCATGTATGTATGAGTGGTCCCGCCGCGGACGGGGTCCTTGACTTACTTGCACCCGGAGCTCGAAAGTAAGCTGCCCGGCAACAGCCACGATGCGCAGCAGCTGATTCCAAACATGGGCTTGCGGGTTGGTTTCGGGGAGTCTCAAGAGCTTGGTCAGGGCGATGCAGCATTCTGCCAGACACACGTTGACCGGGCCAACGGCGGCGGCAGGGGAGCCATAGGTCTGCGCCAGCGCATGCAGAATGCCTGACTAGTCGGGCTGGACCTTGACGGCGAGCTTGGAGACGACGCCTAGTTCTTTGAACAGGCCCTTGTTCAGTCCATGCTCATCGCCCCAGTACTCCTCGAGGGCCTCGGACGCTTCTTGGGGCCTGCAGTGAACATGTCAGTATGTGTTTGGACCGACGCTCGGTCGTGATGGAGACTTCGAGCGCAAGGACGTACAGGGATGCTCCGGACATGGTCTCGCGAGGCCAACTTGCACTCCAACGCTTCGAAAGGCCGAGATGTTAGGAGCTGAGATGAATGCGAGCTGGAGCTCAATGTTTTGGCGGTCAGAGACTGGTGCGCGTTTCCAAGATGAAGGCAGGAGCTTGCTGGCTTTCAGTAGAGGCGACCGAGCACTTCTTGAACACGCGTTGAAGGCCAAGGCGAAGGCAGGTTTGGGTGTTTCGGGCGAGCGTAGTCGGACTCCGGCATCTCGTGCTCTAGTGTAACCTCTCTCGCTTCACGCCCAGGACTGAGGAGCTTGATGCTCCGAGCTGCCATGCCTGGGTAGCCGGGTGCGTGCTGCCGTCGGCTGCGTTGCTGCATGGAAGCCTGGATAGCTGATTGTAGACAACTCCTTTATCGAGAGGTGGGGAGGAAGAGCGAAATATGAAGACGGCCTACAAATTGAAGGCAGAGCAGAGAAGGACTCTAACGTTCAGTCCCTGTTGCAATGCTGTGTATGTAATTACAGTGTTTACTATCACGGCTGCATCTCGCCCTCAACGTCCGACATGGAGGACTTACAAGCTTCACCAGCCAGAGCTTCTGCCGGGACCCGAGTTTCCATCAACGGCATGCTGCAGCAACGTCCGGAAGAGACATCTGGGTACTGCAGGCGTATACTCGCACAAGCTTGGAAGTACATTAAACAATTAGTCTGCAGAGCTCTACAAATCGTTGGTCCCTTCCACTCTTCATACAATCACGACGACCATTGGAGTATAGGCGTACTTGCACAAAGGCAAAGAGTCAGAGACCGAACGTACGTGACTGTCCAGTTTGTTACAGGGATAGCGCACGCCTCCCTGGTGCTGGAGCCGTTCCTTGGAACAATCGCAGGCGGCAGCCACAGGTCTAGCCAAACCCTGGTTGACTACTCCTTCTCTCACTTCATCGAAAGGAGCCACAGGCTTATCAGAAGGAGCCACAGGTTCGTGTTTGTATCATTTCAGTAAAAATTCCACCTGCTACAAATACCGTTCCACCGGCATCAGTTGTGGCTGCTAGATGAGCTTTATATCAAGTGCCATTATGGGATGCTGTTTCTGCTTTCGGGCACGATGCACGCGCGAGGCCCGCCACGGCTCTAAACTATTCGCCCAATTCTATCGAAGCCTTTCTTGGTCCTCCTCCGACTGAGCATGTATCGACTTGGTAGCGTGCGCGCAAGTTAACTGGCTTTCATCCAGGGGCTCACAGCGTCAATATAGAACGCTGCTTGTGCGTCATATCAATCAGTCTCTCCTTGAAGGCTTCGCATGTCAGGCTCTTTGGGAAATGCCGTTCTCCCCTACACCGGCTCGAGATCAGTGCAAACGTGGTGGAACAGTCGTCTATATACCTCTTCCCATAGATGACAATTGAACTCGACACGCATATACCAGGTTTCACATGAAGATTAGAATCAAGGAATATATACTTTGTAGAGTCATTTCCACAAGAGCACGGCCGTGGAATGCGTCAACATGCCAACCTCGTCGAGTCAAGTCCAAGACGAGGTCAGTTCCACTCCCAGAGGGCCACAGGGGACGCGGATACAAGTTTGCGACGCTCGAGAGACAGCGCAAGTTTTTGGGAAAGCCAAAATGTGCCGTGCCATCAGAGGCTTCGCCTAACTCTGACGCTGAGGAGCGACAGCTGCGCGGCTGTAGCCATGATTGGCCTACGTCTTCTCCTCCGCGGTCAAGCCCCCCGGCTCGCGACTTGTGAAAACCCCTGTTTGTCGGCGACATGTTTCGACGGTGTCGAGGCTGGAATGTCAATGGAGCGAGCCGCATTGGCAAAGGTCAACGTTCCCCGATAAAAGTCAATGTCTTGCCCCCGTACGAGATGAGATTGGCGATCATCTTGTATCACTGTATTTTCCCGATTGAGTTTTCCGACGGGCAGTTTTTGCATTGCAGAGTCGTGTCCTTCCGGAGACGAGACCTATATACTCGGGCGGTTCTATCCCGTCAAGCCGCTCCAAGTCGGCCTTGAGTCTTGACTTCACGTCGGCAATATGGCCGGCTTCCCCTGCTTACATGGAAGACCGAAGCATATAACACGCCACGCCGCTACGTGATGACATCATGAGCTCGTTACGTGCAGATATTGCCTGACATTTGCAGCTACATGTACGAATCCTCCAGCTCCGCAGCATCGAGACATGTGTATGTCGTCAAGGCAGGGGAGCGTTTGTATCAGTTGCCGCATGCGTTCGAGCTGGCTCCCTGTTAGCCACCTGCCATGGACAAGATCTCGGTGTAATTAATCTCCCCTCCCCCCTTCATGTTCTTGTTCTGCCTCGAGTGTCTCGGAACGAGTCGTGCCCTCTTCCGCACTCCACTTGGGATATTATGCCATTGGCTCCCGTCGAGGGCGAGCTACAAAGTTACCGGTAGGTCCCACAGACGTATTCTGGCATAAGAACGGGCGAGGGTTCTTTTGCTCGTATTTAGGTAATAGTATTGGCCTTGATTGGAGGCCAAGCCCTGCCTTTTGCTCTAGTCTATGTTGTGTATCTGCAAGTCTAAATTAATGCTCATTAGACATATCTACAACTCGTAACGTCGTGGCGCCGCCTCGGGTAGCTGCTCTACCTGGCCTGCGTCGAATTTGTCGTGGTGAAGTAGTGATTAACATTAGGATACCGATCAGAGTTCCCGTAGGCATCCCCCTGGTAGCTGAGGTAGGCTGCCGCGTTGGGTGCCGCCGGGAACTTGCGCCTGATTTCCCGCTCGTCGCCAAATACCCAGACCGTGTTCATGCCCATGGCGGCGTGCTGCGCAATGTGGCAGTGCATCATCCATGCGCCGATGTTGTCCTCGGTCACCCTGACTCTCCAGGCTCGCCAGCCGGCCGTCGTCTTCGGCACGCCCTTGGTGGTGTAGCGGTACAGGAGAGTCGTGTCTCGGCGAGCTGGGGTGAAGTCTTCAAAGCGCCTTTCGTTCTCCTCCGCGTTGTAGGTCCCGTTGCCCGAGCCCAGGTCCCAGGCGTGCTCGCCGTGGATGTGCATCGGGTGGACGTCATAGTTGCCCGTGATGCCTCCGTTGTTCTGCCACACAATGTCCAGCACCTCGCCGACTCTGGCGGGAAAGGTCTTGCTGTGGGGGTCAAAGCCGCCGTGGTCGAGGGCGAGCCGATAGTCGGGCGCATTCCTGGACCCCGTGTAAATGTCGACGAGATAGGGGACCTGGTTGGCCGCCGCTTGAACGTCCTCTTTCCAGGCGAACCCGTTTTGCCTGCAAGTTCTCAAATTAGTCGAGTCAACAAGCGTATGAGGAATGCGAGGACCACTTACACCCACACCAAGCTGCCGTTGAGCTTGCCGTCGACGTACTCGCCGCTGGTGAGCATCTGGTTGACCTGGATGGTGACTGTGCGCGTCACCTCCCCGAGCCGAGGGAACTTGCGGCGCGTCTCTTCCAGCTTGGGCTGCAGTTTGTACTCGAGGTAGTCGCTCGTCGTCTGCGGCAGCTCGACCGGCGGCTCCTCCGGCAGCGACGCGACCGAGGCCTCCGGCTGCTCGCACAGGGACATGCGATACCTGAGCAGGGCATATCCCTTGATGCTCTCCGGGCGCTCGCGGCTCTCGTACCGGACCCAGAACTCGGTTTTGCCCGCCTCCTCAATCTCCTTGGCCGACTTGGTCCGCAGCCGGTAGCTGAAACGCTGCCCGGGTGCGACCTGCATGTGGTCGACGGGCACGGGCTCGGTGTATGCGCCATCCGCCTCAACCACCTCGAGCCTCGAGTCCTCGAGCCTCGAGTCCTCGAGCCTCGAGTGGTCCTCGATGCCCATCTTTACCACGGAGAGGGCCGTGGAGCCAATGACGCGCAGCCGGTACAACTTGTCGGGCTCAACCTCGATGACGTGGGGTTCGCATGATCTGTCCGTTGCATTGTCGAACCCAGACTTGCCGCTTTGGCCCTGGACCAGCACGGCCTGGGGCTCTCCCGACCACTTGAAGGGATCTGCCAGCAGTCCAGCCTCAATGGTGTGGTCCTCGGCGGCGTAGTAGTCGCCCAGCATGAGGATCACATCTTTGCCATACTCCTTCTCGGCCTTCGTGGGGTCCTGCTCCTCGACGATCAGAGCGCCGTGAGCCGTCAACAGCTGGAACCCTACGTGCGAGTGGTAAAAGTACGTTCCGGCGTCGCCAATGTCTGGCCTGATCTCATAGTCGAAGAAGTAGCCAGGGGCAATGGGCCACTGGCTAACCAAGGGCGTCCCATCCGAGAATGGGGCTGTCTTTTGGGCGAGGCCATGCCAATGCTGCTTCATGTCAGCATTGCTTGATGCCGAGTATAAAGGTTCAAAATTACGAGCGGGAACAACGTACCATGGTGAGGTTTTGCTCCAGCATGCGGTTATACACACGGATCCATGTTGTCTGTCCCTCTGTCAGGTACAGAGGGGGGCCCGGGGAGGTGCCATTGACAGTGACCGAGTGTCTGCTCTCGCAGTTTATTGTGATGTCGTCCTCACTGGCCACGAGCACGTAGTCGGGCTGAAACTTGTGGTCATGACACTGGAGCTCGGCTCGCACCCCGAGCAGGAGCAAAGACAGGGCCGCAGCTGCTCTGAGCATCTTGATTGGTGGTTGGTTGCGGCTGAATCTGGTCAGGGTAGCAGACCAAACTTCACCAAGAAGCGGAGTTGGATAGTCGAGAGCAGCGTGAGGGTGTCGTGCGGATGGCCCCCTTCTCCCTGTTCCCAATAGGCCGTCCCCCGTCTCTATAAGTAAACGGATGGGAGGCTAGCTGCTGAACGGGAGTCAACATGCCAGGGCCTGTCCTGGCCCTGCCGGATCAAAGCCATGTGTTCAGCGAGCGGCATGGGTACACCAGATGAACGGCTTCCAGAATGCATTGGCAAAGGTGCCAAGCAACTCTGGTCGTCTCACAATTGTGGGAATTCCCCATCTTGATGTCACCAAGCATCCAGTAGCCGGCATATCTGCAGAGACCAGAGCCAGCCCGTCTGGCCGCCTTTTGCTTGGCTGAGGGAGAAGAGTGTGGGGTTGGGTGAGAGAAGGCTCCCATGAATGGAGGGGGGATCTGCATGAACCGTCCCCTTGATCGTTTCCCGCGCTTATACGGCTATCCATATCTTGACCGAACCTGTCCTAGAGCCATGTGAATCATCAAATAGGCAAATTACCGTGGTTCCTGCGCGGGCTCCAGTCCGTTGGCATATCTTCCAGAGCCAGCTGAACCCCCCCTTCATCACGAGCCCCTAATCTCGCAAGCCTCTCTCCAACACTTGCATATGCATCTCGACTAAGATCTGATAGGGCAACATCATGCCTTTGTTTGCAACTGCAACATACGTTAGCCTTGCAGATGAACGCTGCGGGCCGTTGAGCCGAACGAGCTTCTATGGGCACTTGTCTGTTCCGGATGCAACAATCCATGGCCCCGCGCATCATCCCAGTGGTCCAGGTGACTCAAACCTGCATTGCATGTACGCAGCCTGAACTCCTTCTCTGCGGCTTTTGAAGTCTTGAGTAGATCGTCTACATTGCCCCTAACGGGAATGGCTTCAATGTCAATCCTGCCTGCCCCCTCCCTTCTCAATTAGAGTCAAGTGATAAACGTTGGGCTGACTTACAATATGGACACTAAGACGGGGGGATGGAAGCCTTGCCGCGCGTGATGGGGAAATCATCAAAACTCCAGTCGCGATTATAACTCCAGCCTCTTGGTAAGACACGGTAACTTAATTGCGCTGAAACAAGACCGTGTTCTTCTTCCCCCGGTTATCCCGCTAATACAAGCCGACAGGGGGTTATGGTTTATCCCACTCCTCTCTATCTATCTCTTCGTTTGGAATAGCCTTGGCGCAGATACGCGTCTTGGGGAAGCATGGAGCGTCGGTCCTGGGATGACCCATCGGCAGCAACAGTCCACCGAGGAGCCTCCAATTTCACCTACGCGTACTAAGAGGCGAAACTATGCTCTGAAGCCCATGGCGCCTGGGCAAGGTATTCCTACCAAATAAACTCTACCGTAAGAACTCACAAGATTCGAGCGGGAGCCTCATCAATAAGTGGGTGCTAAGCGATCTGTCCTCCTATGGATTCTATCGTTGGATGCCCCCGCCACTGTCGATTGCTAAGTCTGCCCGAATCTTGTGAGTTCTTACGGTATTCCGCTGCCGAGGAGCGCACGGAGCCGAGTAGAGAGGCCGCGGGATCCAGTCTGGTCGCCGAATGACCCGGCATTCATCCCGCCGACATGAATCAGGCGCCGGCAGGTTGCCGCCGATAGCAGCATGCCGACGGTGCATGCAGGCCATTGCCGTCCAGTCAGTGGATTGCGTCAACCTGCCGCTCCGCTCGCGCCTCGCCCTCTTTACAAGTCTTCGATGCCAGTGCATGCATGTAACCTACCAAGCTTGAGACTCGAGTGAGGCCACATGGCAACCGCACATGTCGCTGGCGACTCGGCCGAGCAGAGACAGTTGGGACAAAGAGGCGTGCGTATATGGCGCATGAACGAACATGTTCGGTGTGCGCACGCATGCATAAAGCGACTGGACTCTGGCGATGTGGAGGATACGGCGAACAGACCACGTTCGCCCGGTGCGGGTGCGCTCCTTTGCGGTTAAGGGGTAAAGAGATCTCAGGGCCAGGCGAGGTCTTGAGAGAGACAGAATCGGACAAAACGAACATCACATGAGCGACGGCAAACCCTCGTTCCGTTGATGAGCGGAAGTAGCATCTCGGACCTGATACCTGTAGGGAAATTATCACTCGCTCAACCTCGAGGCAATGAGAGCACATAAAGCGACATAAATACGTCGATACGACCGTGATGGCACCCCGATGGCCGGCCCACTCTTGCGAGTCGGTTCAAGGCCACGGGAGTTGTCCTCGTGGAATCGGCCTCGAACCGGCCGTCAACTTCACGTCTTGGCGAACTGCCACATCAAACAAGCATCAGTGGCCTGTGCAAGAAACAGAGTCTCAATGCCAGAGCGTCACCACAGATGACACGGAAGCTTCACGCCAGCGGCGAACATGGCGCCCACACACTCCCGGGCCGTACCAGGCGCATCCCGGGTTACGAGGGCGAGAGTGGCAATGGTAACCTCTTTTTCTGGGTCCGTTCCTGAAGGCTCCCAGAGCCGTCGGCTAAGATAAGATGGCTTTGTGCTTGTACGTGACTCACGGCTGCGCTGGAACCGCCAGAACGTCTGGAGAAGGCCCAAGAGCGCACAGACTTGCAAGACCAGGACAAAGGCACTCACTTATAGCGGCGCGCCCTGCGGTCCGCCAGCGAACAGAGGCGACGGCCTTTAATGAAACAAGGGGGTGGTGTAACTTATGCCGATGCAGCAAGTGGCGGTACGGACGCCGGGCTTCGTGCCCGCAATTCTTCAACGCCAAGCTCCCAGAGAGAGGGGAAGAGTGGAGGAGAAGAGTGTGTGTGCTGGCTGCGACCAGGCGTGCTTCAGGGCGAAACCGAGTCCGCGAGCCCCGAACAACTGCCCCCTCTATCCGTCCGTTTTGCTTTCATCACCGGAGAGCCGCGGCGGACCGACGACGACGATCAGGCACTTTGCCTCCTCCCCCCCCGGGGCATATAGATGGGATATTAAGGCTGTGCCCCCCCCCTCGTCTGGTAACCCTCCTCTACCAGCCCGATTTTCCTCCTTTGTGCATGAATGCCTAGACCGAGATCCCGACCTCTCCCTCACCATTCGCCGGCGTCACCCCAACTCGCCGTGATTTGTTGGTAGCCTACTCGACGGGATATCCCTGCGTGCCACGGCGGCTTGATCGACTTCCGCGACTCCGCCTTCTGTAGCAGCTGGGGGTGCGGACGGACGTGTACGATTCAATCACCCTCTTACATATAGACGGGATGCTGTCGTCGCTCGCTATCCCGCACTCTCGTCCCTTTCCCCTATACACAACATTGATGTAGCTTTTCGGTTTCCTCGCGGCTCATCAGGCACTCGGCAGCTGGTGCTCGGACATTGGAATCGGCGTCATGGCCTCTTCCAACAGTATCGACCTGGCCATCGCGGTGCCGACATTCATCGGCTCGCTCCTGTCCGTTGTGGCAACCGCGGTGGCCATCTCGCTGCACATAGTCAACCCCCCCAAGCGGCATTTCCGCCATGCCCTCATCATCAACCTCCTGGCGGCTGGTAAGAGGATCCTCATCTTACTTACCCCCATCTTTCATGATCAGCTCGTTGATGTTGTGTCGTGGGACAGACTTCATCAACAGCCTCAACAACACCGTGTCCGGCGCCATTTCGCTGGCCAAGGGGCACAAGGATGGAGGCGACGTCATCGACTCGGCTTGCATAGCCAACGCCTGGATAGGCCAGTTCTCGGTCCAGGCCGTCGACTTCAACATCCTCATCATTTCCATCATCGTGCTCTACACCGTCATCAACAACCGACTCGTCGCCGAATCATCGACCAAGGCCACCATCATCATCTGCCTTGCCGCTTGGATACCCGGCCTTATTACCAGTAAGCTGCTCCATCGAAAGGGAAACGCGTGTGGTTCCGCTCACTCACGCGCTCGAATAAAGGTTTCATTGGTCTCGGCACGGGAGCGTATGGACATGTGAGCGGAAACTGGTGCTGGATCAAGTCCGAGTTTCTTGGGCTTCGCTATGGGCTCACTCACGGATGGCGCATTGCCATCTTTGTGGCCACCATTGGCATCTACACCTACATCTACATACACCTGAAGCGCATGTTTGGCCGCTTCCGGGTCAGTGATCCCTCGACCGGTAACACCATGTCCAGGGACCGAACATTTATCGACCACGCCGCCGAGAACTCGGACACGCAGCACATTCTGGTCCAAAGCTCCTTTGCCGTCTCGCATGAGCTCGATGAGCGACTGCCGAGGACGGACTCGGTCCACGAAGACATCCCCCTCGAAACGGCGCCGACGGGAAAGACGACGTTTTGGTCCGTGTCGGCCGACGACAGCTCGTCCCAGGCACAACCAGGCAGCATCAACAAGCCGGCGCAAGTCAAGATCGCCCCCAACCAGCCAGACCAGGACCGGCCGGCCTCCAAAATGCCGGCCCCGCCGAATCTCAAGAAGATGTTGATGATGAATGGCTATCCCATCGCCTATATCTTGCTGTGGCTCCCCGGGATGATCAACCGCTTGACCGAGTCAGTCGGCACTTCGCCGCGCTGGCTGCAGGCTCTGCAGTGCTCGACGCAATTCATTGGATTCGTCAATGCATTCACCTACGGCTTCAGTGAGCATCTGCGGCGAGTCTCCCGGCGATGGAGGAAACGAAACGGGTTTACCCGCACAAGAGGGTGACCGGAACTGGCTTCAGGTCGTATTTGCTATGATTCAAAGCACCAGACGGCCAGTCGTCTTGGCGATGAAGTCGCCACCCATACATAGGCGCTCAGGGGTTGAGCAAGTCAGGCCCCTTGATACCAGATCCTGGAGTCGGCATGCATAATACGCCCCCAGAGCCCCTTCGCTGCACAGGGCAACCGCAGTATCATACCCTGTTCCGCTGCCCCCAGAATCTTCAGTACATGTACTTGGCTCGGCCTTCAAACATGAGGAGTGCCCTGGTGCAAGGCCACGACTGAATGGGGCCGTCACTTGACTCGACAGCGCCCGATTTCTGCACTAAACGCCAAATCAAGGACATCCAAACAGACCTTTTGATACAGATACCCGCGAGTTCGACCGGGAACGCCTCGGTCATGTAAATGCATGTAATGAGCTGAGGCAGTTCGCTGCTGTTGCAAGCCGTACCTCGAGGTTGGGGAGGGCATCTTTGCGCAGGACCCGAGGGCGGTCGGACATAATATCTAGTAGATGGCACAGCGGACATGATGAAAGTAATTGGTACACTAGAATCATAGTGTGTATCCTCAGCTGAGGCCATGACATGAATGGAGATGTCCATTCTAACAACTCACTCGGCGTTCAGCCATATACAAATTAACTGTTGCAGTTTGCGGTCCTTCAATTCGTACATACTCCATGAGACGCTCCCGCCTGAGCAGTTGAGCAGATGCGATCGATGCTACCAGAGATTGCCTTTTCCCAGACATCTTGATAATCGTCCACTCCCAGACGCTCCATGCGAACTTGGAAGCTTGATTGACTCGATTAAGCTGAACCATGGAGACTGAGATAATGCAGCAATCGAACATGATTGGCTGTGATGAACATCCATGAGCCCCTTTTCTATAGCCTGCTGAGCTATATCTCTGCCGCTGCATTGCCAATATTGGCAAAGATTTGTGGCGAGGGATGTCCGGCTCTCTGACCGTGGGTGGGTGCAGCCGATAACACGAGCAGTGAAGCCCCGGCTCGACTGCCTTGTTCGCTTTTTGGTGTGAAAGGAGCTCTACATTGGAGACAGCGAGCATGGCTGCGGAGTATATGATGAACGGGGCTCATATTCACGGGGGATACATGTATTCGCGGATCGTCAAGTCGAATACACGTATGCAAGCACAAATGAAGTTCGGATGCTTTTATTAGGGCATTATTCGTGTCCGTTATCGATCAGCTCGCTTCATCCCGCGGGCTCACCGGCACCAGCACCATCCAGAGCGAGCCGGCAGCCAAGGTCAATATGGCAGCCTCTTCGACCTGCAAGGGCGATATGTGCACTTGCAGAGCCTGTAGCTGACCAGCCGCACTGTCCTTCTTGGCCCCGCGAGCCAGGTCCAGGAGCGTGTGGACAGAAAGGCCAAGAGATCGAGCGAGGGCGGCCGAGTCGACCAGCTGGGCTTGGAGACCGCGAGCGTTCAGCCACTCCTTGTTAGCCACCGCCGCGTAGGCGGATGCGCGCTCGAGCGGAGTCTGCGGCCTTGTTGAGAGGGCACCGAGGGCTGATCCCGGGAGCTGCAGAGCCGTGCCCGCCGCGCCCACAGCCGTGGCCACGGGGATGGAGACGACGCCCTCGATGAGCCCGAAAGCGGCGCCGATGAAGTTGCCGCGGCGGGCATCGTTGGCGATGCCCTTGCCGACAGACTTGGCGTGGGTCATGACGCCCTTGCCAAACGCCTTGGGCCCCTGGCTCAAGTGTTGGGCCACTTCGCCAGCGTGGCTGATGGCACGGTCCGAGACCTTTGCCGTGAGAAAGCCCGACATGGTCTCGAGGAAAGAGCGCCAGCCGTCTTCGGTGATGCCGTAGCGGAGGAGGGCGACGGGGTAGGCCTGGACAAAGGGGGCGACCGGGTCCGGCACGGCCTGGGGGATGGCAATGACCCGGTCGCCGTCGGCGGATGAGCTCGAGCCGCCCCGGGCCTCGTACGCCGGCAGCTCGGCATTGGACGGGAAGTTGAAGGGGTCCGAAAGCGTCGGGGCTTCGGCGGCGGTCGAAGCCACTTCCTCGTAGGCCGGGGCCGGGTCGGCCGGCTCGGGACTCGACGGACCCGCTTCGGAAGCAGCCTGCTCGGCCTTGCCGGCTAGGATAGAGCCCTGCTGCGGGGCATTGTTGTTGTCTTTGGCCATGGTTGAGGCGAGACAGACAAAAAGGGCCGTCGTATCGGGCAAGGAGGGCCGCTGGTCCCAGACTCGGATGTCAAAAGCACAAATGTCTCACGTTACATAACGAGAGGCGGCCGCATACTCCGTACACTGTGGCTTCAATGCCGAGTGGGAGGATCGGACAAACCCCGGCCTGCTGGTGATTCGACAGGAAGACCCCCAGCCGGCCTTTGGCTCTCATCTCGTATTTTTTTCCTGCTCTTCCCCCTTGGCCCTTCTACCGTTTGCCGTGAAACGGTAACTTACGCCGTTGCCGACTCACTAGATTAAACCGTCTTTCCTTCACCGAGCCCGACACACTCGAAAGACCCAGCCCGGCTTTTTGTACCAAACGTCTGGCGACTTCGATACGCCACAGCCAGCGATGATGGCTTAATTGAACGAGTCAGAATCACAACGATGACGACGACCTAATTAATGAGCCTAGGCTCGTAGGACAAGTACATTAATTCGGGCTCGTCATCCATCTCTCAGCCCCAATCCATCGGCCCATTGTCTTGTGCCAGGTCGTAGTCACTGTGAGATGCGGTACACAAAGCCGGAAAATGTCCTCCCACCTACAGCCACCGTCTTATCCGACAACGGCGTCGGTTTTCCTACATACGGTAGCTCAAGGTTGTCGATTAAAGGCATGTAGAGAGTGACTTCAGACCTGGTATCAATATTGATGGCGGCTCAGCTGACTGGGGGTGTCTACGACATTTCAATGTTGTCTAGTGGTTTTCCCTATTGGCGGCATCCCGGTAATATCCTATGGCTGGGAGCTTGGTAGATGCTGCTTACCCAAGTGGAACAAGGTCAGAAAGTGTCGTGGGAGTTTCCGAGCACTCACCAATGCTCGGTCTGTCCCGGATAGCTGCTCACATTTCAATTCACATCAGATTATCCTCGCACAGCGATGGAATTGATGTTATGGCGTTCCGACGCAGTCTCGATTTGCAACTCAGAGGGAAAGAAAATCAGGACAGTTCAAAACAAGCCCATGAGCAGCTGGACTTTCACGGCAGACCGTGCCATTGCTTAATTACCCACACCATTGGGTGCTAGGTAATGTTAACGATTACGCTATATCGCATCACCATACCGAAGTTAGACCCGGTAGTTCCTTTCGAGCATCAAATATTTTTAACCAGGCCTCTTCTCCTACATATCACCCATCACCCGCGTCCAAAGAAGCCCATATCCCTTGACCAACCGACTTCACGGCATGGACAGGTGGCCGAAAAGAACCTCGTACCGGGATTGCCCGCGTCACCTTCCGCCGTATAAGAGCATTTAGCGAGCCACTGGCTGTCTTGGAGGCTGGAAAGAGCCACGTTTACCAACCGAAATGCTAGCAAATCGTGGAGCGAGCAAAGGTTTTTTTAGTGTGATGACCCTGCAGAGGAGTGTGAGCAGGTTCCTCAGTGAGTCAAAGAAGCTGCGGGACCGCGAACAAAATTGAGCAACTTGATTGACGGCACGCTGCTCCACGTCGCAACGGTTCTCATCTGTAGGGACGGAGCCACCAGTATGTATCGCTGCACTGCCTCTAAGATGTTGAAACGCTTTAGGCTCGAGAAGAGGTTAAGTCTCTCAGAAACCAGGAACATCTGGGTGCCAGAGAGATATTGCGGATCTCCAAGGCTCGTTGGGGCAGATTTCTAATGGAAAGGCCAGGGTTGAACTGCTTTATAGTCCCAATCCAGCTGCAGTGGTGCCACACTGAAATCGATTCTTGCACTCTGTCTCGTCTACCCGCATTGCCTACTTCCGCTACCAACCGTCTATCCTCCTTCTACTCTAAATCCCTAGGTTTTTTTACATCAAGGAAGGTACGCCTTTAGACGAGGACGGGAAGCGAGACGTCTTGGGCCAGCCCTTGAACCAGTCTTCCTGCCAAGTGCCACCTGTGCTCGGCATTCTCCCTGTGTCGTATAACCTGTCGAAATTCTTTACGAGATAATGCCGTATCTGACAGCGCATGGTAAGTCAAGGGGAGCAAGAGTGACTTACGCGCTAGAAAGATGATTTCCTCTTGGTTGAGAAAGTTCATATAACAGTTGCCCGAGATGTTCATGTTAGAGAAGAACTTTATCCCTACTACCTGCTCCCTGAGGTGCGAAAGACTTTTGCTTTCAATTTCCCCCCCCAATGTTGCGCAAAAGCTCCCCACAAGCTTCCAGGATGCACGAAAACAAAATTTCGTTTAGTCTCTTCTATGCATTACTTCTTGGTGCGCCCTTGGAGACCGAGCTCGGCTCCACTGGTCCTTCTACTGACGACCGTGTGGCTACCAAGACGCCTTTAGGCCCTTAGAAGATACTGCATAGATCTTGATGTTATTTTTACCCTTAACCACGCACACTTGGACTCTATTCACATTTGGAAGCTCAGCAGCGATCAAGGTCATGAGTGCAGAATGTTTTATCAAAGATACCATCCCCATGGTCTTGCTACTGGACTTGGTCACCGAATCTTTCCAGGTGGTTATAGAGGTAAAAGCCATGTATACCCCCCTTGTAGACTATAGGGGCATATCAGAATGAAAGCCCTATACGAATAGAGACAATCTCTTTCCGCCGAAACGAAAATATGTGCCGTGCGGAAAGAACAAGCACGTTGACCACTACACATCGACATGGAGCCGGAACAATTGCTGAAGGGGCTTCGATGGGCTTTGACAACGATGCTTTGCTCCTATAAGGTGACAGTTTGTAAACAGTCACCTATGTTCCGAGCCAACAGAGGCAAGAATACAATATATGTGTGGACGCACAATGTCTCGATATCCCGACTTGAACTTCGAACTCCAAGGAACAGGTAAAACCCAAATTAACGAGTATCAAGTTTCCGAAATCATGGACTCATGTCGTGCTCCTCAGACCGTTCAAATGATGGGACGCTGCGCCATATGTACGCGAATGCAGTCGAATCGCTCTCAGTATACTTCAAGGTGATGCCAAGGTCTGTGTCGGTATATGTTCAAATTCGAAGAGCGGCCGTGAAATCCTCCGTCTAATCATCCAGCCCAGGACAGTCCTCCGATATTATGTCGACGATTTCATCGTAAGGGTATGGATCGATCCATATTAGGTCGAAGGCGTACTTGGGGTACTTTTTCACGTGTCTGGCTCCTAACGCCTTTGCAATCTTCTTGATTCGCTTGTGCTCCCAACTGATATGGAAAGTTTTATGTCAGGTATCCAGACTTGGAACTCGCTCGTGGCCGTGGCCACTGCCGGTGCGGTGGCTTACCAGATGAGAATGTTGCCCTTGCCTTCGTAGTTCTCAACAGCGTCTCGGACGCAGTCAATGTCCTTCTTCCCACAAGATGTGTCTATTTCCAGGCCGAGGTCGCTGGCCAGAGGCGCCACCGTATCAAATGGACGTTGTCTGAAGCCACCTATCCGCGACGCGGGGAGAAAACATCAGCGGCAGGCAGGCAGATGAGACGAGCAAGTCACGACCTGGGACTTGGCGGGCCGCGTCGACATGGGAGCATTAGGGACTGACTTTTCTTGGGTGTCTCCGCCATGATGTAGCCTATGTCAAAGTTGGAATTGTCGCCGAAGACCGACCGAATGCATTGAGCACGCTTCTTGCCCTTGGGGCTCAGAGTAGGGTTATCGTGGCTTGGGGGCTTCTCGCCGTGGCGGATGAAGAAGACGGTAGGTTTGGCGGCTGCAAGAGCTACGCCGGTCAATAAAAGAAAGGATAGCAGCTTCATGTCGAGATGCGGGTGTTTAGGTGATGGAGCAGACGTCTTCGGTGGATATTATCCTTGGTTGTCGATAGCTTCCATCCGAAAATCCTACAAGTCCAAATAATTTTGCCTTAGCCCTTTAATGGCATTATTCCAAGAGCACGAATAGGGCCGATGGAAGAATGGCAGTGGGAAAGCAGTGCTGTTCTGGCGCCTCAGGTTGTTCGACGAAGAACAGCCCAGAATTCGACGGCGAATCGGCCTGCTTAAGTTCGACATCTCGTCCCACAAACCATCAAGCCCCCCTGCGTCATTCTGGCCATCCGGACGCGCCAACCGCCTGGGGTGCGAAACATGGCCTATGGAAGAGCTTGGTCACACGGGGTTGATAGTGCACAACGCTGACGATGTTTTGAACCATTCGCCACTAACAGCGGTGGCTGCAGCATCCAATGCCGTAGCGAGGGACGACATGGGCTCGAATCCTGGCCACCGATTCGCTGCAGTGAGCTCTCGAGCGGTCACGGGTCTCTTTACAAAAGCAAGGAACCACTTGCAGAACTTTGTGCTTGGCTGGAGGGATCAAGACGGCGCTCCGCATCAGAACCACCGGCCGTCACAACTATTTTTAACCTTGGATATCCGACACTTTGGGTAGGTGAATGGGGATCAACAGTGCCGGGATTCGGTCATGTTGCAGAAATACGCCCCTTTTAACCGGCAAGCCCGTTGGACGGTTCATCGGATGTCCGTCAAGGGGGCGTAGAAGGATAGATAAGCGGCTAAGCGGACCAGCGAATCATCCGCCACCGCTGACTTTGGGAAGCCGTGCTTTTCTGAGCACGTTTCTTTGGCAAGACTCCGAGTGGTCCGTTAGATTGGATGTACTGCGGGCACGAGGCCCTCAGCCTTAGAGCAGGCAGGGTATGATACCAGTCTAGGCATGTCCCTGGACATCCCCCCAGCCCCGGAAGTCGAAGATGTCGTAAATACGGTACAACAAAATTCGTGGATTTTTTTATTACTCGGCCGACAGGTGTCCTGAGAGGCGGCCGACCTTGCTTCGGATGTGCGACCCGACGGATACATAGCCATGTTCAACTCCATCTCTCAAGGTCCTCAGCGCCTGTTGTGTCACCGCTGCTTTCCCCTCCCTTGCGTACCGCGTCAAAAGGCGGTTTGGTTGCCTGGAATGGGCACCCATTTTCGGACCAACCGCACCGGTGAGACTAACTGCAGGCCCGCATCATGCGTGCATGGATCAACGGGACACGATTCTGGGCGACTACGGAGCGAAGCCAGAACAGATTGGAAGTATCAGAGTGCTCTCATAACTGCTCCTCCATCGCTGAGCTATGCACGTACATTGCCTTGAACCGTCTTCCGTTGCTGTCCACGTCCAAATCTCCCGCCACGGGCTGTTTTGAGCATCTGCAGGCGAGTAGTTAGGATCGCTTCGGGTGCCGATACCACCACACCATGATCTCACGCATTGATCACGTTGGAACAAGCGATAATAAGCACCTTCTTGTTATGGCCAACTCTGTTTGTGAAGTGCTTACAGACAGGCGGTAAACCCACATGCCCCTGGTCTCAGCATTATGTCTGCTGCTTACTGTGCTTGATCGGAGCGGGCGAGCCCAGGTATTTCCAGTGTTTTTGAGCATTCCATTGACTTAATTCATCTTGGAGATCCGATGCAAGGCTTAGGATTGTGGGATCATGGCTGTCGCCCCTTCGTACTTTAAGCCAAAGGACACATCACAATGTACATGATCGGGTGCTTCTCATGAGTAAATACAGCCTCGAAGGCCTGCCGGTTTCTCTTTGCCATTTTTTTCTCACATGGATCTGAGCCTACGTGACGCACATTGAGCCTGGATGTTGTCTTTTCATGGTCATTTTTTGTACGAGCCACATCATTGCGTCGTCATCATGTTCTAGACCGAGTCCGGTCTCTTAGAGAAATCCCAACCAAGAAAATGTGTTCAGCGACCTCGGAAGCGTGACCAGGATACCATCGTACCTACACCTGCCTCCAAGTTTTGTGTTGTTACTTGGTGTTGCCGCAGCCAAGCCGGACCGTGAGCCGCCAAGGTCGGTGAATATTGGCGCAAACCGCGTATATACATACATACGTACGCCAGTCTTTGATCCAAGTAAACTCGCCCAATATCAGCTTGCATTATGGCAGGATAGGATGGATGTGTCGTCGAGATGAGCGTTCTGGACACAATCGCTTCGTCCAGACCGGCCGCTCAACTTCTACCGAATTGCTGAAACCAGTCTCTGAAGCCGCTGCATTTGGCCTACATTGTAGCCATGTCTTGGTTGCGTCGCTCTAGCCGTGGTCGATGGAAGTTAATGGCTTTTCCTTGTCCGAGGAAGCGTTAGAGCTCAGGCCATCAAGAGATCCCGCGGCATCAAAGCGCAGAAATGCCTCGAACAAGCCCTTTCGTTCTGCATTGCAGGAGTTGAGGAGTCCTCGGGCTTGGCTTCCACCGGCAACTTGTCACGATCGTGCCACCTGGTAATGGAAGGTCAAACTAGAATCTGTCTACCATTCCATGCGATCATCACACACCAGGTCAACGTCAAACCTTTCTTGCCTCCGCCACACTTTAGATGGGGAATTGAGAGAAGCGACAATGTTCCGCAGGTCGGTAATCATGCCTCCGGGGCCGCTAGCAAAGACCGTCGTCCGGCCCGATATCGTGGAATCGACGAAGTCGCCGAGCAGCTGGCGCAGGTCGGGGTGTCTATTGCTGCCGGTCCCGCCGATGCGATGAACGGACAGGTCGTCGTCGCATCCGCCGGCGTTATTCGAAGAAGAGTCCGTCGCGGCATCGGTCTTGGCAGCGGCGGTAGAGTCGCTGTCTCTCGTGGCAAAGAGTCGGATCCTCAAATTCAGCGCCGTCTGCGACCTTTGCAGCGAATCCATTTCCTCCCGCACCCAGTCCACGTTGTCCAAATGTCTCATGGCCCAAATCAGCTCGACCCTGCGATCCGGCATCGGTCGCTGTCGTGCCAATTGGAGCAGGACAGGGAGCACATAGGCGATTCCGGTGCCTCCGGCCACGCAAATGATGTTGTTGGCGTTGCTTCCGTGGCTCGGGGCCACTCTGGCCATAAGATCCTCTCCGTACGGACCCGTTAGAATTACCGAAGTCGTGGGATCGTACGACGAACTCTTGGTGGACTCATCCGTTGACTGCTTGCGGGCAGCAAGGCCTGCTAGGTTTCTAGTCTCTCCTGATTTCGCTCTGACGATATAGGAATGCCGGACGCGCCCGTCCCGGAGAACTGGGACATTCAAGGGAGTGAACGGATGCGACTGCCAGATGCTGCACTCGGCGAAGCAAAGGTAGAAGTGCTGCCCGATGACCCAGGGATCTTGTTCGTTGTCCAAGTCAAGGCGGATGACATCGCCGTGCTGGTCGCCCGAGAATCGCGTCATGGTCGCCTGCGAGGAACTGAAGCTGGGCTTGAGGCCGTCAGAAGCCCAGGGATGGTATTGCAAGAGGGCGGTGCGGACGAAGCGAGCACCCCTGTCCAAGCCCCAGAGGAGAAGCGAGGGGATGAGGAAGCACTGGAGCTTTTCCCAGTGCGCCCAGCAGGCGCCGATGTAGACCATGGCCAGAACGTAATGGGCCTTGCGAAAGAACTCGTACCCGGTGCGGCGGATGGCCCACGGGGTGCTCAGGACAAACATGAGGGTGAGCAGGAGCATGGCCACGATGCCCCACACGATGTAGGGCTGTTTCACCCACTCGAGCGCAACGGTTGGCTGCGGCTGGTAGAGTCGAATTTGTATGATGCACCAGCCGACGGTGTGGAGCGCGCTCTGGACGAAGATGATGTAGCCGAGCCATCGGTGCAAGAAGCTGAAGGTCTGGTACGGCAGGCCGGTCAAGACGGACAAGAGGGACTCTCGGCTGCTCAAGAGGACGGAGAGGGGCGTCAGGGCGTAGGCCAAGACGCCGACCCGGTCGGACCAGGGGCCCAAGCTCGTTCTGGTGTTGAAGATACCGGGCTTGTTCTTGACCGGCGTAACCCACGTGTTGTAGACAATGCCGGCGAAGCTCAGCACGAGCAGGTATCCGGCCAGGATGGCCAAAACGGAGACCTGGAGGCGCGTGGTGCGGCCAAAGAGAAAGTGGTTGGCGTCGGGGAGGAGGTAGCGCCGGCGGAGGGCGGCGAGAGTCGCGCGGATCTTGTGGAGTCCGCCCCGGGCCCGTCCGGATCCCGCCTGCAAGACCGGTCGGCCGAGATTCCTGAGGCAGGCCGATAGCAAGAGGATGGCGCCGAGTGTTGCCCACAAGATGCCGGTGTAGAGCATGCCGAGGTCGTGGGCGTTGTAGACGACGTCGAGATAGGCGCAGGATCCGGCATCGTTCTTGCAGGGAACTACGCGGTTGGGATAGCCCCAGTGCAGCTCGAAGGCATCTGCATCCGAGTGGTTCTGGATGTGGCGGCTGTCGAGCCGGTTAATGGAGGTGGCGTCCATGTCGTCGAGCTGTGTCGGGTTTCGACGCAACAATTGATCAAGTCCAGCCACAAAGTCGACAACGGCAGGATCCCGGCGATGGTTATCTGCTCGGGACAAGGGTATCAACGCATCGACATGAAAGGCAGAGCGGCGAGATCAAGGGAAAAGTAGAGAGCGAGAGCCATCAAGGTCGACGATGGATGGGACGCCACGAGACTGTCTCGCGCGAGCCGTCTGTTTCTTAATAAACGAGACGTTTCTCCAGCTCATCCCTTGGCGAAGGAAAACAAGGGGCAATGCAACTTCGCCTATTCGCTGTCGGCATGAAACACTTTGACGGCCAAGAGGGAAAAAGAGAAGGATAATCCAAGGCCCAAGAAGTTTCGTCCCATGAGGCACGAACGGCTCATGCCGGTACTCTAAAATGTGCGCGCGCCCAGGCGGCAGCCAATAAGCAGCATTGCAATGGGCCTCCCGTTTGCGGACAGACGGACATGCCGAGCAGGAATGAGCAAGTTTTGTGGAGTTCCCGTTGGCTGGAGAGACCTGGGCTTCCGTTTTCCTTCGTACTGAGTCGGTTTTCATTGCATCTTTCTCCAGCAGAGAGCGTCGACTCGGCTGGTTTCATGTTTGTTGGTCGAGGCTAGTTGAGAGAATGTTTCAAGCCCAGCTGTTTAAACAAGCTCCCCCCAAAGACCTTTAGAGCCTGATCTCTTTTGAGCTCTTTTTGCTATTCAGCTCTGTCTCTCGCGTTGCCTTCCCGCTCTCCTTCTCGCTCAATTGCGCGCGAGGCATCGGGTGAAGAAGAGGCGAGGGCGCGCTGGATAACAGAGACAGACACACTCCCGTAAACTCATGACCGCCGATTGAGTCCGGGCCGACTGCGCAAAAGCCTCTCCATACTCGTCGTTTTCCTCCTCCTGATCCGTCTTGCTGCAATTGGCGCTCAAGAACATCGCCTCCGCGCTCCACGCACGCTCTCACGTCGTCGAAATCGACAAGTCGCCATCATGGAACACATGCACGGAGGCATGGGCGGCGGCGCGGACAGCTGCAAAGTCTCGGTACGAAGACCCTGATTCTTCCCTTGCCCCCTCTCCTCTCCATATGGCCCCATCCGTCGCAGCCGGCATGAGCTCATCCGCGTGACTAGATGTTGTGGAACTGGTACACCATCGACGCCTGTTTCCTCTCATCGAGCTGGCACATCAAAAACAACGGCATGTTTGCCGTCAGCTGTATCGGCATCGTCCTGCTCGTCCTCGCCGTCGAGTTTCTGCGGCGCCTGGGCAAAGAGTACGATGCCTTCATCCTGCGCCAAGCCCGGCGCCAGTTTGCCCACCAATACGCCGACGTCAAAAACTTCGACACGCCTGTCGTCACATTCCGCGCCACCTTTCTCCAGCAGTTCACACGATCCGTCATCCACGCCCTGACCTTTGGCGGAGCTTACATTGTCATGCTCCTCGCCATGTACTTCAACGGCTACATCCTCATCTGCATCTTTATCGGTGCCGGCCTTGGCAAGTTCCTGTGCGACTGGCTCGTGGTGAACATAGATGTGGACCAGGGACGGAGCGCTGAAGGGCAATCTTTGGTCAAGGGCATCGAGGAGCCCAGCGTTTGCTGCGGATAAGAGGGCACACCTAGCATTGGTGTATGAGTTTTACGAAAATAGTATCCAATAATGACATGACCGACTTTAGTACCATGAAGAAATATGGCATTGACTACAAGTAGACCAAGCTCTTCAGCCCCCATAGTGTCCCCGGGATATATTCTATTGACAACGTCGTCTCTAGTACCAAATGGGCATTTATACGCGTATCAGAGTTGCCAGATGAAGACATAATTCGTACATTGGCTGTAAGGCTGGACAGCCGGCATTAAGTAACCTCCTCGTAACCCCTAAGCGCGTGTCCACCGATGTGTTGGAACATGCGGAAACGTAACTAATTAAAACGAAGAAATAGGATACATCATATTGCTTACTCTACATATTCATAGGTTGGAGTACTGTAGCAGAGACTCCCAGTATCCAAAGAAAGAATCAAGCTCCTCATTGCCCCCCTGCTGTCCTTTACAGCATCATGGCGGCGACGGCCATGACCACGGCGCCAGCGGGAGCGACGAGGGCAGCGCCGGCGGTGACGATGGGAGGCTGGCCGGTAGGGACAACGGTTGGAACGCCAGTGCCGGTGGGCTGGGTAGGAGGGTTCGCAGGGCCGCTGGGGATGGGGTAGGTGGCTCCAGTCGTGGCGGGAGCGGTAGGCTGGGACGAAGTCTCCTCGACAGAGGTAGCGGGAGCGGAAGGCTCCTCAGAGGCAGGAGAGGAAGGCTCAGCAGAGGTAGCGGGAGAGGAAGGCTCGGCAGAGGTGGCGGGAGAGGAAGGCTCAGCAGCGGAGGAAGACTTGCCGCCGCCAGAGTTCTTGCAGTTCTCCTTGCTGAACTCCTCATTGGCGCTGTTGAGGACCTTCTTGAGGCCGCTGGCGAGGCCCTCAGCAATGGGCTGAGCCTCCGTGGGGACCTTGTCGACGACGGCCTTGATGAGAGCCAAGGAGCCCGAGTTGATGGAGCCGACCTTTTCGCGGACAAGGTCGCAGAAGCCACCCTTCTCAATCTGGGGCTTGCGGCTCTTGAGGTCCGAGACGAGCGTCTCGCTCTTGGACTGGAGGGCCTTGACGGGATCCTGGAGACCGAGGGCGTCGGTCAGGGTCAGCTTGTCGGAGCCCTTGACCTTGGACTCGCTGTCCTTGAGGGAGGAGATGAGCTTGTCTGCCGAGTCCTGGACGGGCTTGGCGTCGCCAGAGAAGCCCTTGACAGCCGAACCGAGCTTCTCGATGCCCTGGCCGACGGCGTTGACGGCGCCAGTGATGGTGGCAACATCACGCGCGAGGACGCGAGTAGGGGGCTCCGCGAAGCGAGAGTAGGCCCCGGTGGCCAGGCAAGCGACGGTGACGGCGGAGAACTTCATGTTGAGATTGAACCGGTAAGGGGAGTCAAAGTCGGACTGTTCTTTCTTTGGATAACGAGATATTTCAAAGTACGGGCTCGTGAGAATGCAGGAACGAGCGTGTGCACTGGAGAACAATAAAGCTAAAAGGGGCCGTGGGGGAGGAGGCTGATGGGGTTATATATACTCAATATCATAGCAGACGCAGCTGGCCCAAACCCAACGGAACCGGATACGGGGCCCTCTAGCTGATCAGGTCCTGCCGGTATCATCATAGCATCTGTCATTGCGCGATCAAACTGCTTCTCCACATGCCTTGGGAGCTGCCGAGGTTGGGCCACCTTTGCTGTTACCTGCCGAGGCCTGCATCGATCCTACCAGGCAATGATAGACAACCGCCAGCCAGCTCTCAGGGGTGCATATTCAAGCCTGATCCATGTTGTTTGCGCCGCAAGCTTGCTGGCAAGGTTCTTGATTTCACCGTCTGGGGATAGAGAGGGAGGGGGCAGCCCGAGCCCAACCCATTATTGAGGCCGGGAGAGTTGCCAAGGATGGACAATCGAACTAACATGATCGTCACCGGAACTTGAGCCCTCCCCACAGCAGCCATGCCGTGTGCCTCCCCGCGAAGAGCCACTCCATGGCGCCATTCCCCCGCACTCCCATGGATGAGTGGGCCTGCCTGTCCCAAAGGGAGTTCAGATCCGATTGGCCGAGGGTCTGCTCAGGTCGGTGAAACGCTGCAGGCATACATATGTATAGGCTTCGAGATTAATAACCCAGGCAAGAAAACCTTGTCGGTGATTGTCCACACCACACCCATCACTTCAGGTTCTGTTTCGCCCCCTTCAGAGTTTTCATGGCCGTCGACTCGCCTCTTAAAGTAAAACACCAATTTGAAGTGGCCCAATGCGGTAGGTGTATTCTACGTACTTCGTACGCATCTAGACACTCTCTGCTCGATGTCAGCGTGACATCGAATCCCTTTCCCCTGGCCGAACCTCAATTTCACTTGGCCCCTTCTTTTCTTTACATCTTGGGGATCTTGGGGGAAGGGTAAGGTACAGTACATACTACGGCGAGAGAAGGGCAAGAGTTCGTATGCTCGTATCCATGGATGCACGGGATACTTTGTAGGTGCGTGTGCGTATGCATTTCGAAGCAGTGGCTGCATTCATCTCCTTGTACATTATGTACATCGTCCAATCCGTACGACCAAAGAGTCTACTGCATGTGCCCATGGATTATATCCACAGAGCCATGCTATAGCCCGGCATTGAATTCGCAATTTTTGCCTGAAAAAAACGAGACAATAACGATTCGCTCAGTTGTTGCGGCGAGTTTCATCGACATTGAAAAGGAACCAACAGACCCGAAGGATCCATGTCAGTGCAGAACGCCCCCAGCATCCGTAGTCCGCATCGACCTCTTCATCATGTTCCACAGGTGCCCGTCTACCCATTGAAGTCCCAATGATATTTGTTAGCTAGAGAGACATGCCGGACACGAGCCGACTGGAGCCGGGACAAGGAGCGGGACAGGACTTGTGGGCCTTCTGCAACGCTTTTCCTTTTGACCGTGCTGGCTTGTTCAACCGTCCAACAAAGGTGGAGGGGCCCAGAGCAGGGTTTTGATGTAATCAGAAAGGATGCCCCTAGGCGAACTGGTGTGTTGCACCACGGCAACATTTGCAGGGGTCAATGCGTCTTCGTATTCCCTTGCGTCGACTTGAGAGCGGCACGTACGAAGCATGTTGACCTGTGCTGGCCCCGATTCAAACGGCCGGCCTGGTCTGAGAGTGGCGCTGTCGACAGCTCGAATCGTCGAGAAGCGGCTAGAAATTGGCCCTCTTTGTCCCTACACCTGATCAGCCCCGGCTCGCATGTTCTAGCCTCAGTAGCCAACAGTCCCCCACTCCTTCACCCAGACCAACATCGGGCGCTTGGAGACCCTCAGACCCAGCCTTGGTCCACTCGTAAATCCTCGGTGGCAGAGGGCAGCTCAGAGTCTCCCGCATAAGGATCAAAGCACAAATAGAGTGATGATCTCTGTTTTAATCAAACCGAGGATAGATTCCGATGCGTCATGCGCCTACACACGGGCTGGTGTGATGAAAACAAGTACGCAATCGCTGCCTTTGCAGCTTGTCAACGATATTTGGAGGCTGAATGGAGCGGTGGCAACATGACAAAAGCAATACTGCCATGTTGTCATGACGTCAATCACTAAACCTGAGTCCTCAGCGGTTTCATGATGTTGGTTTGTCCATCAGTTGCGGCATATGTGATGTATGTGAGGCAGACGCCGGGGCTTCTTAATCTCAGCGAAGCGCCGAAGACAAAATACATCCTAACTTTCTCACCGCAACATGCCAACGGCCTGAAATTTACTGCCATTTGGAATTGGTGAGGACGAAGCAGTATCTACTTAAAATGGTGAGGCTGTTCTTACCTTACACGGCTAACAATGGGGAAAGAGACGGAAGTGTCGGGTAATATCTCCCGTATGTAGCCGCCTTTGGTTGCAGAGTGTCCCGTATATCCGTGAGACAGTGGAAGGAAACAGCTCTGCCTGTCGTCGGCGTTTAGGCTTTAGGGGCGGTCATTTGGCAACGGAGAAGCCAGCATCGATGCACCACTTGGTGGCTTAGCGAACACACGAGACACGGCGGCGGCTTATACTGCTAACGACATGAGAATCGAGATCTGGCTGCCCGGACTCAAAGCCAAGTGCAGCAGAGTGAAAGTTCTCTGCAGGTGCACAAGCTGTACTGTTTCCTCCGCCGGTGCTTGTGTATCAAAACAGCTTGTTGACTGAGCTCACACGCGTGACTAGTGTGTATACTTACATACACACTAACATTTTATCACATTAACTTATTGCAAAATCCAGGACTGCGAGTGAGCCCCATTGACAGAAATATACTGTCTCGGTCATTGTATAACTTGGTACCTATGTCTGAGCCTCCCCAAAGTTCAAGCACTTATATCAGTAGACTGTGATTATATATTTCAGCATGAGCAGTAGGACCAGCCGCTGGTGGGGTCGGCATTTGCCGTGCCGTGGCTCGTGTTAGCTGAATAGACAATATGCAGGTTTCTAGGACGTATTCAGGGTGAGAGCCTGCCGAAAAACGGTCTGAAATGTCGAATGGAGACAACATTACTTGATATGACGGGATTAAAGGAGAGTCTTGAGCAGAAAATCACTGAAGGACATGACAGCGGTACAGTAGTTCACCATGAGTGAAAAATCCTCACGTATCATTCGAACCATACGTATGATATAGAGAGGATCCTTCACTCAAAGATATACCTAAGCATATCATAAAATGGGTCTTCACGAATTATCTACCACCATAATGCCATCGGACCAGATTCATTACAACATACAGCCTGAAGGCCTCGAGCGCCACATGCCTGTAACCTGGCATTTTAACGGCTTAGTCGCCATAACTTAGCCACGAGCCAACTTGACAAAGCTTGAACGGCCCTCTTGTTTGAGGCCCATCTCGCTACATGGCAAAACATCAATGGCGTGCTAAGGTACAGACCAGATTGGTGAGTGCCTGGCGGGGAAACACTGTCATCGACATCAAAATAGCACGAGTGGGCAGGATCTTAGGCAATATGTCACGCACTGTTCTCGCTCACTGAAATCCATGGCTGGGCACATGTGGGCTTGCGAGGCCCATTGTTGAGAAGCCCTGCTTTAAGTTACCGTCACGTAATACTCGCCCACTAAGACGGTTAGGGTTGCTGCTTGAAAAGTTTGAATGCTTTTCAGGGGGTTTGTAGTGAAACTGCTGTTGACTCCCTGCATCCATTGCGGAAAAGCATTCGCTGCGTGCCAACTGCTCATGTTCGGTACCTGCTAGCTTTCTTCATCTTTGCACGGCAGCTGAGATAACTTACCTCGAAGCCCAAAGAGATAGAGATATAAGGCAGACATAAAAGGCTTCCGGTGCAACCGAACCACCCTTTGATGTCTTGTTGCCCGCACCATCATCAGTGCGGCCGACCGCGTGGGGAAATTCCTCTCGCAGCCATTAATTTTTAGGCCCTTGAACAAGTCACCAGCCGTCAGAGACGGCTCTTTTTTTTCTCCAACGGGCGCACGACAACCCTGTAGTCCCCAGCCCCTGACTTGGCTCGGCATCTTCAAGCCAGACTCCAATACACTGGACGCAAATACGAAGTCGAGGGGCTAGAGCCTGGCGAAGTTGGACATGCTTAAGAAGAATCCACTCGAAAGTCTCTATGGACATCCAGGGCCAATTTACCTGTGACTGGGGATGATTCCTTCATCGCAATCGGAGCAGGATAACCCTGAGGAGTGATTTTGAGGGTCTTTATATTGCCTGTCGAGAAAAGGCAGCTGCGAGAGACGCTGAAAGATTCTACTTTCCGTGGACGTGGACACCCAAAGTCGTGACGCCCACGGCCATATGTGTCTCTACCACTTTCTGATATGCCGGCGTGCGTGTATGTATCAACAATACATGAGCGCAGGAATTTGGGGTTACCATCCTTTATGAAGGGCTGGAAAATCCATGGAAGCTGAGTAGTCGGTCATCTTCAGACCATGCCGTGAGAGACCAGATAAGGTCGTAATCACACTAAAACGAACGAGTGAACAGCACGAGCTTAGAAGACTAGGGCTTGGATATGCTCTACCAAGTTGATAAAAACATGACTCGCCTTCGTTCAGGCGTGCTTGTGTACATTCAAGCTGGGCAAGCGTGGCGTCTCGCGAACATTGGAGGTCGAGCTGCCAAATACTTCTACTGTCCGATGGACAATCCTCTGGTATCGGGGAGGCAACTCAACAACCTTCAAGTGTCACAACAGCCCTCTAAACTCATCAATTGGTAGAGTATAAACGCTCCCCCCTGTCTCGGAAAGAGTCACACCCAGCTTGCAGGGGTAAAAATCCTACTAGAGGCAATGAACATTATGCTTCATTGGTAAGCCTATTCAATTTTTTTTCGGTATTACTGTAGTGTACGTATCTGACCCCTGGCCTTTTATATATTCTGATCAGGCTGTGTTCAGGCTTTCGGTAGCGAGAAGAGAGCGACAGAAGCTCGTTCTGCGTTGATCTGGGGGAAGCGTATCGAGGCTGCGTGACAGCGGCTAGCCCCAGAGACCGGGTCCCAAGCAAATTACTTTATGGAATAGCGTTCTATGGAGAGGGGTTGGGCTGGATGGTGGCGTGAGGAACAGCAGAGAGAAACGGGTTCAATAAACTTTGAAAGGCTGGCGAGGGGCGGTGAGGGCCCGCTGGCATGGTTGGCATCCAGGTTTAGCTCCGCCGTCTACCAACTGAGTATTTCACGGTATTTGTTTCATCATGGCCTCTTCCACTTCAGTTTTAAGGGTGGAAAAGCAGGCGAGGTGGCCCCATAGGCGGGCAGCTTCAAGTGTCGGTTGTGCTGAAGCATGGAGAGAAGTAATCCGAGAGGTCATGGACCTTCGACGCGGAGCAAAAATTTGCGTACCCGCACCCAAATCAAACTCTCTTGCAAAGTGGGTTGGAAACTTCATGTAGAGGAGACGGGTCCAAATAGATTGGAGATTCCTATAGATGTCGAAAAGCCGGGGTGGAGCCATCGTGATTTTCATGACCGAATCACGCCGCAACATGGCGCATTTCCATGAACTCAATAAAGTGTAAATTTTCGTAATCCAGGCTGTATCCGCAGTCTCTGTCTTCTTTTCATCGCTTGATTAATGATGCCGATAATGCCATTTGGCAGGATATGTTCACTCACGAACGGCCTTATATATCTTTGTCAAATATGTCCTACCCTCGTGTTGTGGCTTGTTGCCACAAGGTCGTCACCTTTTTCCAGCTCCATTCCTCTTAGGCAGCCCCGACGTTCTATGTGCAATCTTCGGGCCATAGAAGCGACGTGGCGTCTGTAGTCGCGTGCTTAAGTTGCGAACTTGCGTCCGCCACTCTGCGGCGTCAAGATCAATTTCTCAACCAGCGCTTGACCACGCCGCAGTACGAGCAGCTTCCCATCATGTCTTCTGTTGGGGAGGCCTTATATAATTAAGGTGGTCAAAGTCCACCTAAATTTTTTGCTGCCGCCTCTTCGTGACATTGACGATATCGCGTTCTTTAAGCAATGAGCCGGTTCCGCTGCGTCCAGTGGGTGCTCGCGGGCCTCGCACTCACAGTGTCAGCGACTGGCCTGATTCTTTTCCCTCTCCTCCGTGCCTTCAGTCAACGACTCTGGGATACTGGAGGCCATGTCAACTGCGGCTGGAGCAATGGGCTGCCAATTTTTTCCAACGAGGGCGTATCGACCGAGGGGGCTTGGAGTATAACTCAAAGGTCGGAACAGCCTCTTTATCACCCATAACTGAAGTGCAGGATGTCAAAGTGCTGAAACTCGAGGACAGCTGGACGGAAACGTATATGAACATTTCCGCCGTGACTTTTATCATCGACTGTATGCGACTTGCCTTCCTGAGGGGAAAACCTCAGTGTCCTTGCCTGGACTTGATGCTTTCTTTTCACTGCCTAGTCATTTGGGCTGCCATGTTATGTAAAACGATTTTCGACGAAGTCCCTTCGGGACTCAGCTGCTTGCGTCTCGGCCATGGACTCATGGAAGTTGAGTGTCAGAATCAAGGCTATTGTCGTATTGAAAAGACCTGCCTGATGTTCCTAATCTTGGCCGTCCTGGTGTACGGCATCGAGTTCCTGTTTTTTCTGAGCATGGAACTACTCGTCTTCGGTTCTCCCGGTGGATCCCCCGCCATTTCAACGAAGGACGATGAAGAAGGCCACGAGTTGAAGACAATGGGCGCATGAGAAGCATAGGAATTGGCCTCACGGTGGATGCTGCAAGGAACCAGCACCGAGTCAAGTGCTGCGTCTTTCCCTCCGAGGCCGAAGTCAAGAGGGCTGCGAGGATGAAACTTGGCGATGAGCAGGGTTTGAAGTTCCAGCCTTTGAAAGGAAATAGATTTGAATAGCAGAAAAGAGTGATTCTACCCCGAAAGCCCAAGCTCATTCAAAGTGATAACAATATAAGATCCCAGACCTTGGTGCTCGCAGCGGACAACCTGCAGAATTTTTGGCACTTGGCAGACGCTTGCAACCGCGGATATAATTCGCCCCTGTCATCGCATTATTAGAATATTTTCGCCAGCCAAGTCTCTATGTTCGTATACATCATCTTCGGCTTAACGTAGGTTCTGATGGACTGGAGTGGAAATGGAAAACCAAAACCAGCGGATCCAACGCCAAAGTCCTGTAATGGCATTACCTGGCTCATGACTCGCCCAGGTTTCGTGCTTCGTCTGAATGAATGAGCTGGGGAAAAACATAAAAGCTCGCTTACTGGGGAACGAAGTCTTGTATAAGTAGCCATCGAAAGAGTATTGGTGAAGCTGTCGCTAACATGTCACGACGCATGTACGAATTGGCGGCGTATTGGCTATTTTGCCGTGGCTCCCCACCAATTTATTTACCAGTTGAGATACTCTGCTTTGCTGTCAAGTGAGACGCTTACCGAGTTGATAAATGAAGGCCGTGACAAGAGAGCACATACCTCTGCCTAGGGAGCCCAAAAAAAGTAGAGAAGTATTATTATGCCTAGTCAAGGCGCAGCGCCGATACGACATATAGTATAGTCAATTTTGCATCGTTAATAACTTAATCACAAGTAAAGCTGAGTATTCGCATCCCGATTTCCGCTCCAAGCAACCGCCGCAATAGACTCTCTTTTTACCCGTACCTTCCCTATCTTCTAAGAGGCCCAAGCCGCTTGCGACACGGTGGCGCAAGCGCGACGAGGAAGAGGCATAGCAAGATTTATATGCAGACGAGCTCCTCGAAGGATAGTAACGTTAGGCAGGCGAGCAGGCGGATAGGCGGGCGGACATGCGGGCGGGCAGGCAGCAATTCGACAAATCACGCATCTTTAGGTTCTAAGCCCAAATATATTGAAATAACATTAAGCAGCCTACACCTTGGTGCCGTAGGTGCGAATAGCTTCACTTTATATAAAGGCAGATAGGTGCGCGTAGGGGCGTAGGGAATATGCGCACCTAATTATGGCCTTAGCCAGCCACACTACCCCATTTTTTGGGCTCCCTGGGCAGAAGTATGTGCTCCCCTAGTCACGCCCTAAATGGAGATCTCTGGTCGAGAAGTCGTAGACGTGTTGCGTAGGGTAAACTTATGCTGTTATTCCGCCTGACGCCTTTGCGGATGTGAAGCCCGGGCGTTGGCAGCCTCCATTCTTCCCCCGACACAATCGTCACCGACTTGGTGCAAACCTGCGCCGATCCGGATACAGGATAACACAAAACATCCGAAAAATGAATATAACGCAGAGAAGCCTGTAGGTGCTCTGCTGACGGGATTATCCAGCCAACTGCTCTACCGGCAGCACCATCCTGGACCTTCAAGTTTGGCATGTCTCAAGCCTCTTAAATCATGAAGTCATTTCCCGCCTTCATTCCAACATAGCGAGCCACAATACCGTGGCCGTTACCATTTAGTAGGCCAGCATCGTCAGTGGCTGAGGCAGTTGTCAAGTCGCAGCGTCGCAAGATTACAATACATGTTCCCGAGGCATCGAATTTTCGGCCAACTCGAGCAAAGAACATGGCTCACTTGATGCGCCATTGCCATAAGTAGGCCATAACTGTATTACGTAGGTGGTTGAAGACTGGTCTCAGCCCCTGAAAAGAACGTTCGGCTCAGCAACAACAAGGAGCCGCCCTGCCCTGTTGCGAAGATTAAAATTATAAAAGCGGCTTCGTTTCCTCTGGCAGAGAACCCCTTGGCATCAACATTGCAAGTACCTCCTCGATCTTCACAGTTCAAACAAAGTACAGCTTGCGACACGATAAACGACGTACAAGACTTCCTCGTCGGAGCCATCGAGACCTTTGAAAGACCTACCAAGCAATCAAGATGAGGGTAACGGAGCACTCCAGTCTCTTGCGAGGGCCCGATCCGAACGACAGTAATCTGAGACATTAGCAGTTTTCGAGCATCACCCTTGCTGCTTTTTGCACTTCACTCGCCATGGCGACTCCCGCACGCATGGGCATGGCGGCAGATCCTGGTAATTTAACACTTTTCCTTTCTTCCAGTACCCATGATGCGCCTCGAAACATATCAAGTGCGTGGAAGCTGACAGAGAACGTAGATGCAACAGTATCCAAGGCGGATGAGCTGTTCCAGCAGATCGACAAGCAAGTAAGTCAACTGCGCAGGCACCAGGGTTCTGGCCCTGTTGTCAGACGCTGACGCTCGATCTAGTGCACCGACTTAACCCCAGAGTGCGCCAAGAGTATGAAAGGGTTGGTTGGGGCAATCAAAGATGGAGCGTCCAACAAGAACGCCGAGAAGATCCAGCAGTCTGCTGTAGACTTTGGGCAGAAATTGCAGGTAACTGAAAGATTCCCTCCTGTCGAAACTCGAGGGGAGTCGACCTCTCCTCCATCGGACCTTGGACTGACGACGGTTTACTAGGCCAACGGTGGTTGTGTCCAGGCCTTGACGGCATGCGCGGAAAAGTTGAAGCAGACTGTGGCTCCGGCCTAATGACGTGGAGCGGGCACGTCGCGGCGGTTCATTCCGACCTTGGTCTCGCGCGAGAACTGGCGATCTATATTTTGGGTACATGCATGGCTGGCCAGGCAGTTGATGGAACCAAAGATGGAAAAGGGTCATGCTGACTGTCGGAAGTGCAATCATCCTGTACGCTATGCGACGTCTCCACGAGGCTATGTTAGATGTTTCAACGAATAGAAAACTTGGGCCATCTTGAAGGCATGGAGTCTGTAAGGTTGAATTGAGATTGACTTTGCTCCATCTCTGAGCATTAACCCTTGATGCGTGTCGAAACCTGGACTGGTCGGACAACCTGTGGCGACGGCCTGCTGAATGCACTACGCTTCGAAAGCCGTGCGAGGCAGAGGTGGCAGTTTTGACAGTGCATTAACAGAACATAAGCAGTGGTCATGCAGAGAAACATGAAGACGAGGGACCCAGCTCGCGCAGAATATCCACGTTGCGAGAAACGAAGTGACTTGACCTACGGGTTGGGGAGGGAGAGGCGGCATCGTTCTGTGAGTCTGTGAACTGGCCATCAAGGCCCCCGAGCAACGACATATGTGCGGGAGTAAGACGTCTGGACAAAGGTTGAACGTCGGGGAGTAGAAATTTGCTCCTGGTTTGAGCAAGCGCTGCGTCAATGTAAATCTGCATCTCCAGCGCCGGCTCCTGAGACGGTGTGACATGTTGGAAAACCACCACGGAAGTCCGATCTCGGATAGGGGCATCAACGTCGCACAACATGACCGGCATTGAATCCCGGCAGCTACCGCCGACCCCACAGCTCACACAAGCATGATTGAACAAGTCGGTGTGCTTTAGGAGCCTAAACCTGACCGTGTCACCTCTTTGGTGTCGTCTTCGCATGTCTACTTGCACTTCGATGATGGGCTGTCCGAGCAAGCCCGACGGCGTGTGGCGTCACGGGCACTGGGCTCGACATGGGGGGGATAGATAAGCTTGGTCTCGATGGCATCGACCAGTGGATAGCAAGCAAGCTTCGTCCTGACGCGGCTAAGCAAACCACTCTACGGCAGCAAGCTTTGAAGAGGTGGGTCGAATTAGGGTCGTAGGAGCACCCTTGAGGCAGAAGCAAGAGGCCAAATTCAGGGAACACGGCGGAATAGTCCGTGTACCACGTTAATGGCAGGGCGGGAAGGAGAGTGGACGGCCCATGTGCACTTGTGCGCGTCCAGCCCGAAGGGGGCGGGGGGGGTCCGAGGTGAGGCTGATGGGCAGGCGCGAAGACTACAGAAAACAAGGAAAACGGGGGACAAAGTACTTTTCCTTCTCTTCGTCATGCGCGTATCAAGTAAGTATAGAATATCCGCAGGTGACATAGAGGTTGAGCCGGTGGCTGCCACAAACTTGCGTAACAAGAAGAATGCTGTTGAGAGCCACGACCTCGGCTGCCCACCACCTGAAATGGCCAAGCCCTCCAAGCTCTTCACGCAAACTAGGTATCTATCTACCAGGTAAGCTTATGTTCTCTGCGTCAGTATCACGAGGGCGCCGGAAACGTGGCGTACTGCGCATGCATACATGTACACGTGCAGCCCTTGATCGTGCATACACTTGGCTCGAGCTGGACTGGACTCGAAGGCGAACGTGTCGGCTGAAAAAGAAAAAGCAACAGCGGGAAAAGAAGCGATGTGATGCGGATATACCCATATTGCCGGTGGTGCAGAGGTTCAAGGGTCTTTACACGATGAGCCGGCCGTTGCTGGAGGCGCGATTCGGATCAACTCCAGTTAGACACGGAACACTTGGCGAGTAAGTAACGCGAAGAGCCTGACGAGACATGTAATCGTCTCCTATCCACAGATTCAGGACGCGGACACAGGAAAGCAAATCAGGCCATCCCGGCTGGACTTAAGCTTTTGCCGGGGAACCTGCAGTGACATGGCGCTTCCCGGTTGCCACGCATGCCGAGGTCTTCCTCTTGAGAACTGCCTATTCCATCCTTTTCTTTTCTTTTCCTGTCGCTTGCTTCCTCCCGCTTCTGGACCCATCCACCATCGCGCAGGGATAAAGCCCCCTCCAAGAAACAAGAAAAACAATATCTGGCTTCGTGGCAAACACTAAACAGCAAGCCCCCTTCTTCGCCTCACGCCCCGCCTCCCCTGCTGCCTTCCAATCCCTCGAGGTTAGCCAAGAGTCCCCCCTCCGGTGACGAAGAAAAAGGGGGAACCATCAAGTATTGTTAGGTGTGACGTGCTGAGCACGTCACCCCATCTGAGAGCTGGTTAGACAGAGGACGAGGGGGTGTGGCCTCTTCGAAAAGCAAACTGACGACAAAGGCGCTGGCGTCGGCTGTAACAGTTCTTATGGCGAAGATCACTCCCATATTTGGGCCCGTCGAGCAATCATAAATCATGTAGACATCCATATGTGGAACGATTCAGACGAGCTGCAGATACGGCGCTTCAGAGAACCAACTGACGCCGATACCAAGGCGTATGCGGATCCAAAGTAAAAAGGGCAACCATCTCGCCATCTCCTCGGCCATATAACAGCGTCCATCTGGCCTCTCCTGTTGCCTTCTTTCGGCCGTCTTCTCTTTCGATTCTCAACCCTTTCCCTCTCTTATGCACCCTCCTTCTCGCGAATCATATTCCCGAATCCCCTCAAAGATTCCGTCGCCACCGACATCACCACCGATGGCAGCCGCCGGCTGCTGCCCGAGTGATGGGAACCAAGACGTCGCCCATTGTCCCGAACGTGCGGAGTGCCACGGCCACGGCCACGGCCCCGAGCACGACGCCTGCCACCACTCTCCTCAAACTCCCTGCGCCGACGAGTGCGAGTGCTGCGACGACGAAAGCTGCTGCGACGATGCCTTGCCCAACTGCTCCCCGACGCTCACCTGCTGCGACTCCGAGGAGGAGCGCTGTGACGGTTCGTCTAGGCCCGGTTCTCTCTTCGAGCTGTCTGGGTGCGCCCTCGAGTCTTATGCTGTCTTGTAGAGCAGTGCATCCTCGCCGCTGCCGCCTTCGAGTGCGAGAAGACTTGCGAAAATGACGTAGCAGGCCATGCTGGTAAGAATCTTGTTCCAGTCTGATGCACTCTCCCTTCTTTCATTCAACGTGTCGCGTCGACACCATCCACGTCGGACAAGAACGAGACTCGGTCGGCTTACACCGAACCCCTGCCCCGTCTAGGCACAACCAACCACGAACACGCCCACGACGAGTACGGCAATCATCCTGCCTCTGCCTGCAGCACCCATCTGGCCAAGGCGTTTGAGCAGTATAGCGCCTATCTGCAGTCGGCGCGCTGCATTTGCCGTGGCATCCTCGAGCGAGGTTGGGCTACTACCTGTTGCGCTGAACAGTCCGAGCGAACGGCAGTCACCTCGACCGACACATCCGTCGGTGGACAGCAAAGTGCGTCTGCAACCAGCCATGGTTTGCCCAGGCACGGCAGGTCCCATCATCACCATGGCACGAAGCGTCGCGGCAGGGAGGCGCACCACGAGCACGTCGGAACCACCGTCGTATTCAACCAGGAAGGCGGTTGCTCCGACGGCCAAGACGCGGGTCAGGGTCACTCGTCGGAGAAGACGGCTGCCGTCGTCAAGGTCGGAAGTGACGACGTGGAAAAGGCCGCGGGGTTTGAGCATGTCTCTCTTGCCGTCGATGGCATGACCTGCTCTGGATGCGGCAACAAGATGGCGCGCACCCTGAAGGCCATCAACGGCGTCTCTTCAGCGCGAGTCAACTTCGTTATGGGGTGTGCCGAGTTCTGCCACGACACGTCCGTCGCTTCCTCCGACCAAGTAATACGCGCGGCTGAACGAGCGACGGGCTTCCGCTGTATCAAGCTCTCAAGCGACGACCAGACCATCGACCTGCTGGCCGGCGGCCATTCGGCGAGGACGCTTGCCGACGCCGCGATACCGGGAGTCACCCAGGCCGCCATCCTCAGCAAAAATGTCGTCCGCGTGTCCTACGATCCTACCGTCGTGGGGGCCAGAACCTTGATGCAGAGGATCGGGACCTTGTCCGGAGGACTGGCACCCCCGTGCAGTGATCCCAGCGTGTCCAGCGGCAGGAAGAGGCTCTTTTACCAGCTCATCAAGACAACCGCCGCCGCTTGCTTCACCATCCCCGTGGCGGTGATGGCCTGGTCCAAGCATCTTGTGGACGCAAGGACCGAGGCTTACGTTACTCTCGTTCTCGCCACAATTGTGCAGCTCATCGCGGTGCCAGACTTTTACCTGCCGGCAATTTCAGTCCTTGTTCGCAGTGGTGCGCTGGAGATGGACATGCTGGTGGTCATCAGCATCACGGCTGCGTACACCTACTCCGTCGTCGCCTTCGGCTTCTTAATAGCCGGTAGACCCCTCGAAACCAAGGCCTTTTTCGAGACGAGCACTCTCCTCATCACCCTTGTTCTCCTCGGCCGTCTTGTCGCGGCCTATGCGCGCATCAGGGCTGTTGCTGCCGTCTCGCTTCGGTCCCTGCAGTCGACCACAGCGGTCATCGTTGAGGACGGCAAAGATGTGGAGATGGACGCGCGACTCTTGCAATACGGAGACACGCTCAAGATTGGTTCCCACACCGTCGTTCCCACCGATGCGACCGTCCTGAGCGGGTCGAGCGAGGTTGACGAATCAATGATGACGGGCGAGAGCATACCCATCTTCAAAAAGGAGGGCGACGGCGTCATCGCGGGCACCATAAACGGCTCGGGCGCATTGACTGCACTGCTAACACGCCTCCCGGGCAGAAACACCGTCACCGACATTGCCCGGCTGGTGGAGGAGGCTGCCAAGTCCAAGCCCCGGCTTCAGGATATTGCCGACCGCGTCGCCGGTTGGTTCGTGCCCTTTGTCACCTCGGTTGCCTTGATCGTCGTCGTTGTCTGGATCGTCGTCGGCCTCAAGGTGCGCAACTACGGGGTCGGAAAAGCCATATCCACCGCCATCACGTATGCTGTCGCCACTCTTGCCGTCTCTTGCCCCTGCGCGCTCGGGCTCGCCGTCCCCATGGTCCTAGTCGTGGCCGGCGGCATCGCGGCTCGCAACGGCGTCATCATCAAGTCGGCCCAATGCACCGAGCGGGCTCGCAAGGTGACGGATGTGGTGTTTGACAAGACGGGAACCATCACCGAAGCTGTCCTCGACGTCACGGACGAGCAGCTCCTGAATCCTGACCGGGACGAAGCCATTGCCGTCTCCAAGGCACTCGTCGCCGGCAATCGACACCCCGTGTCGCTTGCGATCGCCAAGCATCTCAAGCAGCGCCCTGTCCCCGAAGCGAAACTGGCCAACATCCACGTCGTTTCCGGGGCAGGTGTCGAAGCCGCCTTGGAGGGCAAAATGGTACGTGCCGGAAGCCCCGAGTGGACCCAAACCTCGGGCCATCCAGCCGTCGCCCGACTTCAGGAGCGCGGCATGACGATGCTCGTTGTGGCCCGCGATGCCGAGCCCATGGCCGTGTTTGGCCTGCGCACTCGCCTCCGTGTCGAGGCGGCCGGCGTCGTCGCCCAGCTCGGCCGTGGCGGCATCGACGTCCACCTCGTGTCGGGCGACCAAAGGCGCGCTGTCGAGGCCGTGGCGGCGCAGGTGGGCATATCATACGCCGTCTCGCACTGCAAGCCTGCCGAGAAGCGCGACTACGTGGCGAGGCTCATGGAACGGGGCAAAACCGTCATGTTTGTTGGCGACGGGACCAATGACGCCGTGGCCGTGACGCAGGCCAACGTGGGGGTTCAGCTCGCCAGCGTCCAATCTGCCAGCGACGTTACACGGGGCGCCGCTGATGTGGTTCTCCTGAATGGCCTTGATGGGATCCCCTTTCTGCTGCGCATCAGCGCCGTCAGCTTCCGCCGCATCGTCTTCAACTTCGTCTGGTCCGCCACGTACAACCTGCTCGCCGTCCTCCTCGCCTCGGGCGCCTTTGTCAACGTGCGCATCCCCCCGGCCTACGCCGGCCTCGGCGAGATTGTCAGCGTCCTGCCCGTCATCTTCGCAGCTATGACGATGCTGCTGAAGAAGAGCAAGACAAATAACACATGGGCTGGGTGAATGGGTGTTCGGAATTTGACGAATTGCACTGTCAAATCAGTCATCTTCAAGCACTTGGTGTAGAGAGATGGCGTGCAGAGGAGCCAAGACGCCAAGACATGGGGACAGCGTCGTCGCTGCATAGTTGAGCCGTTTCCAAGGCCGGAAACAATATCAATTACTCCGTACACGGTAGGGGATTATCTCCCCCTGTTGTTTTCCCCAGACTCAGCTTTCTGTCATGGTTTGACACCGTCGTGTGCTCTGCCCATCAATCCGCGGACCAGCCAGCTGAGATTCTCGGCCATCAGCCACTCCGTAATCGGCTCGGTAATGCGTAGACCTCAACCGTGCGTTGGGTTGCATCGAATGGGCGCTTAAAAGAAAAGACTCGTTTCCTGGTCGTCATCGTCCATCATGTATTCGGACTCGCACTGGCGATGTCCCCGAAGTCTATCGCCCCGTAGACATGCTGCAGGGCTTCTAGCTTCTCGCGTAGATAATCACGTTGATGCTTCTGCGTCCTCTCAAAGCTAAACAAGAAGCGCACGAGGAAGAAGAAATCCTCTATACGTGCGCGCGCCTCCTCGGGCGCCTGGCTGGTGGCGCGTGGTAGGGCCAGCACATCGGCGACGGTGCTGGTGATCTCGAAGAGCTTCTGAAGCAAGCCGCTGCCGTGATTCACGACACTCGAGATGCTGCCGAGACGGCCGACGAGACTGCGCAGTTGTGCGGAGAGGCGCTGCGCGGGAAAGTGCAGGGAGAGGCCCTCGTGAGAATTTTGTGGAGGGGCGGAGCGGAGGAGCCTGTGCGAGAGGGCGAGCTGCCAGACGAGTGTGCGGAGCCAGAGGCGCGTGACGAAGAGATCGACGTGCTGAAGCTCGCTGAGCGCGCCGTGGCCGCCGGTCGTCATATCTCCCGCGGCCTCGGCTGCGCGGGCCTCGTCTTGGTCCAGCTCGGCTTGCTTGATTTCGATCCACCGAGCTGTCACGGCGGGCGCGAGTTCGGTGGGATCGTGCTGCGCGGCCCAGTGGGTGAGCAAAGGCCCGTCCATAATGCCGAAGAGATGGATGAGGCGGTTGAAGCCGAGAGTCACCCACGAGGGGACACTGCTGTCCGTGATGGGCAGGCCTGTGCGAAGAGGGACCATGATGCAGGGGAACCCCGACACGATGCAAAGGAAGCGCTCATGTATGTAGGCTTCCCAGTACATGCGCTGCCTGCGAGAAACCTCCTTGGGCCCAAGCAGGGTATCGCCGTCTGTATATTGGTGGACATTGAGCATTTGAATCATGGCGATGGCCTCGCGCAGGGCGGCAAAGCTGCGGTCGAAGCGCTTGAAGGCCATGAGGGAGATTTCGTTGAAGATGCACGTCATGATGCGCTTGACGGTGATGGGCAGCTCGCTTTGCAGGCCACTGGCGTCGCTCTCTCGGGCCAATTCAGCCTTGCGATGGGCCCACAAGCTGTAGTGGACGAGCGAGGTCATCTGAGCGGCGACGTCGCCGTGCAGAGTCCACGACGTCTGCGTCAGGTTGATGGTGACGGCGCCAAAAGCATGCACCAAGGCGGCGTCCTCGAAGTTGGAGTGCATGGTTGCGATGGCGGCGCGTATCTCGTCGGGGGTCAGGACGGGGTTGACGGGATAGACGAGCTGCTCAAAGTCCGGGAGCAGCCCCAAGAAGAAGTCCCGGGAGTAGCCGCTGCAGCCGATGGACTCGGGCTGGGGGCTGGCGGAGTGGGTGGCATCGACGATTCCGGCGATGGAGGTGACGGCAGCGGCGGGAGACGGGTCGGGGTCGAGGGCACCCCGGATCTTGCTGGTTCCCTTGTTGCGCAGCTGGGCGACGAGGCGGCCCCGGACTGCGGGCTTCCTCTTTGCCGGGGCGGGGGCAAAGGCGCAGGTGAGGTTGAGGTGTGCGCACTGGGCGCAGGGCTGGTCACCGCTGCATCTCACCTTGCGGACCCGACAGGCATCGCAGGCTCGCGTGATCTTGCCGCCCATATGGGCCGGGCTCGGTGGTTGTGGGCGAGTGGGCGTGGCGCTGGTGATGGTGAAGGTGATGGTGATGGTGATGGGAGAGGCGGGAGGCGAGGATGAAGAGGCAGTGGCGTCTTCATCTCCGGGGCCGGCCAAGGGCTACCTGCTTGTCCGCCGGCGCATGAGTTTGTCTTATGCTGTTGCTGGTCGCATGAGCTGCGGGCAAAGCATGATGACGGAGCACTTCGAGATTGGGTTCGTGGTGTTACTGCAAAGTCGGGACCAGCTTCTGGCAGCTTCTGGGAAGCCTCGGCTGGTGGTAACGTTTATTTAATAGCGGCTTATGTAATGGGCCAGGCGGTACCGGGCTCTCTACTTGTGCGACAGTCGTGCAACGTTCGCCAGTCGCTCGGCCGACGGAGGCGCTGGAAAGGATTAGCACGGCCCGCATCATGCGACCCCTGAATACCTTATAATCAAGCTTATTGGCACCCGGCGCCGTCGAGTCATGCTGCTGCGTTTCGAAGACGTGGGCGTTACAAGTGCCCAGCTCAAGCCTCTTGCTTCTGCTTGCAATCGGAGGCAAGCAAGCGGAATGGAAGCAAGAAACGAGTCATTCCCCTTGCCCTCTCCTCGTCGATACGTGCCTTTTTCGAACCTGCAACCCGTGATGCATGAGTTGGGAAAGAACGGCAGGCGAGCAAAGGTACCTCTGCATAACCTTGACTGGGTGCACATGATGAAGGCAATCCAAGGTAGCAGCTGGTACTCTCCATCCACTGACTTGTCCTGTCTGTTAAATCCTATCCTCACCGACAGACATCAAACGCCCGCCCTCAGACTCACTGCAGCCACTTGGGATCGAACCATGATTTGACACGCGCGACTCAAGACAAGGGGCAGTCTGTCCGAGTTACGGTAGAGACTTTGTGCATCTCGTCTGGTGCATCAGGCTGAGAGGCTCCCACAGAGAACACGTCTCCGTCACCGCCTAGCGCTCACGCAGCCCCCTCGTCCCGTCGATACGCCTTGATCCAGTATTCCGACTGCAGGAAAATGCCATAATTGCTCGACTGCCACGGCCTGGTGGGATCCACGAGACAGAGGTCGAACCGCTTCACGAGCTGTGGATAAGGTCAGAGAATGGCTCCTGCGAGGCCGCGGGCCAGTCTTACCTCGACAATCACCTTGTTCAGCTCCATCAGCGCCACGCTGCGGCCTAGACACTGCCACCTCCCATACCCAAACACCAGCTCGACGGTGCCGTCCATCTCCCGGAGCTTGTCGGCCGACGCCTCAATCCACCGCTCTGGACGAAACTCGTGCGCATCGTCGCCCCAGATGTCGGGCCAGCGAGCAACGCCCCACGCACAGTATCCGATGCGTGTGCCCTCCGGGAAGAACATGCCCTTGTAGCTGTCGCCGCCTGCAGGCACCTCCTTGGCCATGAGCCCGGCCACCGGCGGGAACATGCGGAGGCCTTCCTTGATGACGGCTTGGAGATAGGGCATGCTTCGCGCCTCGGCATCGGTAATAATAGGCCTCGTGGGGTTGGTCTCGTTGATGTCGGCACGCAGCTTGTTCACGACGCGGACGTTGCTGATGATGTGCAGCATGGTGGCTCGGATCGCCGTCGCCGTCGTGTCGGAGCCGGCCAGACTGGCCCCATCGTGAGCGGTCGCTGCCGCCGCGGCCATCCGGGGGCGTTTGGTGGGTGACTTACATCTGCATGAGGATTTCGGACTCGGCCTCGGACTGGGTGAGGCCGCGGGCCACAAACGAGCCCAGCATGTCTCGCTGTACCTTCCTGTCGGGGCCAAACCTCTCGGCTGCGACCTGCTTGGCAATCCTGGTCACTCATCATTAGCCTCTTTGGCCAGCTAAGCTGCCGCAGGCTTGCGTATTCGACCTACGCCATGGTGCGACCGACTCCGATCACGTCCTTGTCCGAGGGCAGCATCCACCGAAACAGCGGCGAGCCCAGCAGCCCCAGCAGCCACGGGAGCGAGCTGGTGAGAATGATGTTGGGCATGTTGGCCTCCATGGTTGAGATGTACTGGTGTACATCAGAGTCCGTGGCAACATCGCCAAACGGCTTCCCGAACGCGAGGTCCGAGATGACATCGAGGGTAAAGTACTGAGCCTTGCGCCCAAAGTCGAACGGCCGCTTCGCTGACACATACTTTGTGTCGAGAAGATCGATGAGGGCCATGACGTTCTGGTCGATCTTGACCTCGAGGTTGTCAACCTCCTTGCCCGAATACTGGCGCCATGGTCAGAGCGCGCTCGCCAGAATCGTGTCGTGGGGATTGCTGGGTATGCATACACCGGCGGCCATCTTCGTCCGCAACTTGCCATGCAGTTCGTCGTCCCGCTGCGATAAGACATTGTCCTTGCCCGGATCGAGTCTCATGCCATTGTACCAGACGGAGCGCTTGTACGGGGTTCGCACGTTCAGCATTCGCTTCATGAGCTCGGGGTCGCTTGTGACGAGATCGTTGGGGCCCACACGGGCCACCGAACCTGAAGGACGCGGCAAACCGTTAGTTGTGTGAACGAATCTAGGTCGCTGTGTCCATTTTTACAGGGGATGGGCGGGTGCTCGATCGACTTGTTGGTGGCTGTCTCGAAATCGACATCGTGTTGTATCGCGGCCCGTCGCGGAATCGCACTCAAGGCTTCCAACTAGCCGCTGCCTGTTCCTCGGAATCCTTTGACTTGGGCGCAGGTAGTGTGCAAACGGCCCCAGGGCTACGTGTGCATTACATGCATATACATGTGCGAGCAAGGGGAGACGACGTACCGTGTTTCTGGCATGCTTCGTACAGGTCGAGATGCGTTCTGCCTCCTCCCACGGCACGGATGAGCCACCATTTGGAAAAGCCAGCACTGCGCGGGCCGGGGATATGTCGCAGGCGCCAATACTGGCGCAAGGTGGACAAGGTCCTCCACACGACGACAAGGACGAGCACGCAGCCGACAAGCGACGCATGGAGCAGCTCACGAGCCATCTCGTGGGGCGTCTCGGGGCAGCTTCCTCGGCAGAGGGCTCGTCAGACTCAGGGGACGGGGTCTGGGACTTGGTATCCGGCCAGGAGGGTCAGCACCGCACGACCAAGGGCATCTGGGAGCCAACGAGAGCGCGCAGACGACGGGGGTCATGGCGGATTATGAATGAAAACGCCCGGCATCGCGATTCGCATGAGACACAGGGACCGACGCCGCCTACACGAGATGGAGCAAACGCTAGCCATGAGAAGGTGGAGCGGCAGCGGCTCTCCGACTAGTCGTCTCCGCGAAGCGCCAATATAGTTTAATTATCCGGACCCAGAAATCAGCACCATCTGCCTGCCGAGGCGAGCAAGGAAACAAGACGAGGAAAAAAGAAAAAAAAAGGAGCCTGGCTAATACAGAGTTGACAGCGGCAAAACAAGGTGGGTGTGTGATGTGGGACTGCATGGTCCCCCAAGTGTGGGATGGAATGCAGCTTGGCGGAGCACCAGTCCCCCCGGCCACAGTTGAAAGCTGGGCCACGGCGCTTTTAGCACGGCAGTAGTGGCTGCGAGGCAGAAGCACAAGCACGCAGACGGTTGGACAAGACGGCCGTCGGATGGATGAGTGGGAAGCCGTTGCGGCAGATGGAGCCAACATGCTCGACCGGAAGCTCCACAGAAGCTCCAGGGGTCAAACGAACGCCGGGGCGAACCTTGGAATTATGGTCCCGGCCCAATGGACGGCGACCCATGTTGGCTGAAACGCAGCCCCGGCCGCGGGTGATAGGTATGCTTGAGCAGAGGGGAAAGCATGTTCCGCCGTCCGATGCAAGCTCGCTATGTACAGCATGTATGTATATCGTGTCACGCGAGACCTGTCCCACCATCATCGTCCAGTCTCTCGTCAAATGAGCATACATACAAACACGGCGTTGGGTCTTTTTCGCCCCCCTCCCGGACCGTCGCTTCTCTCCTCTCCTTGGACACTTTCTGAAGAATCCACGTGGCGTTTGTTTGCCCTCAATTTCCGTCGAAGAAACCTCGGCATTCGATATTCTCATCGCTGCAACAGCCTGGGCGCGAGTTTGGGAGAGGGCGCGAAGCCGAGAGCGACGGGTCGTTTCTGCTCCTATCAGACTGGCATGACAACGCAGCGCCTGTCCTCACCATGGTAGACCTGTCGCTGCCGTCAATGGAGCCGTTGCTGGCTTCCGAGGTTGGTTCCATCAACCGCTCCGCTCCCCGGCGCGGTTCTGCACAATCGGCGACAGACGGCGCATGGGGCTTGCTGAAGGCGTCGACTCGCTAACACTCATCTCCTCTTGTTGCGCAGGATGGCGATGACGATGTAGACGACGGGCTGGGCGCGGTTGGTCGCCCCAACTCTTGACGTGTGCGCGCGGCTGACGGGAGCGACGACGTCGGGTGCAGTCTATTGCGAGCTCGTCGACGTCTCTGGCCTCAAGCATCATGAGATATCGCGAAGAGAATGGGAGAACCTACCACGCCTTCCGAGCCGGCAGTATGCTAGTCCTCAGCCCCCTCTCCCCGACATGCAGCGCAACGAGGCTGACGGTGGGCGTTTTGGAGGGTATGTCCTGCCAAACGACGAGGTAGGATACACAACCCTCGGCCTGCATCCGACGACTTGCCAACGCATTGTCGCCCGCGCCTCGGGCTAACCGGCTGTGCAGGTCGAGAATGAGCGTCTAGGTAGGAAAAACCAGAATGACACTGCGCCTGACGGACATGGAAGCTAAGGGTGCTCTCCGTCCCTGAACAGACCTACAACACCACCTCTGCACCTTGACATTGGGGGGCAAGCTGTTCGCATGCCCCGCGGGAAAGGAAAAGCCGCTCCAGCGCGTACTCGACGCCGGGACTGGTACGGGTATTTGGGCGATGGATTTTGGTACGAGGCCAGCGAGCGAGGAATATGCGGGCCCGGAAGACTGACGGAGAACGGCAGCCGACGAGCACCCCGGGTCTGATGTACGTGAGCAGATGCCACACTTGTCGCGAGGCCAGAGGCTCAACATCTCCAGGTGACTGGCGTCGATCTCAGCCCGATCCAGCCTTCGTTGTACGTCGAATCGCATGTCCAGGCCCGGCCTTTCTAACCTTGCTGCCTGCAGTGTCCCGCCAAACGTATCCTTTTACATTGACGACCTCGAGGACGACTGGACTTTTTCCTACAAGTTCGACTTTATCTACGCGCGCATGTTGACGGCCTCGATCTCAGACTGGCCCAAGTTTCTGCAACAAGGCTACGAGTAATCCACCCCGTGCCTCTGGACAAGAGAGCCTTCTGGCCCCCTTGGAACAGTGGTGGCTGACTTGTTGCGCGGGACAGAAACCTCAACCCGGGTGGCTGGATCGAGTTGCTCGACGTCCACCTACAGCTCAAAAGCGATGACGGGACAATACCCAAGGACTGCGCCGTCGCAAAGTGGGGGGACTACATGCTCGAGGCGGCGGCCAAGCTGAACCGACCGCTCGACAGCATGACGTTTTACAAGCAGCAGCTCCTAGACGTGGGCTTCACAAACGTGACGCAGAGCCTGTACAAGTGGCCGACCAACTCTTGGCCCAAGGAGCGCAAGTTCAAGGAAATTGGTACGTGGCTCTCGACCAGCCAGAGAGCATGGGACTCGCTCGACCTTGTTAACCGGGTTGCCTGCAGGGATATGGACGTACGAGAACCTGGGCAACGGCGCTTCAGGACTCAGCATGGCCCTGTTCACGCGTGCACTGGGATGGAAATCCGAAGAGGTCGAGGTGTTCCTCGTTGATGTGCGGAAACAGATGAGGGACCGGTCCATTCACGCGTATTGGCCCATGTAGGTTCCAGCCCCTCCTCCTCACCCTTGACGCGCTTTCCGCTTTGCGCGGCCGACAGTGGGTTGCTGACGCGGCGGAACCGCACAGATACGTTGTATACGCCCAGAAACCAGAGCATGTGTGAGAGAGCTGAAGGAGGCGGCGGGCGCTGCTGCAGCATTGAGGGAGGGATTCGGCGAAATTGAGGCTGTCTGACAAGGGGACAGACGATGGGAGGGAATGGCCGATCGATTACAGTACATGCTGGCGGTGTCCTTTTTTTCCTGCTTCTTGTTTCTTTCTTTCCGCTCATCTCCCGTCGGATTTCAGCCATTGCCGCTGGATTATACGATACCGATGCATGCATGCAAGCCCTGACGAAGTGAGCAATGCAAGATGATGATCACCGTCCCCAAAAGAAGGAGATGATGAACAGGGGGAAGGGTTCTCTCACCGCGATTTGTCACGGATTGCAAATTGTGACGGAAATGCTCAGATCGCCCGGCCGTCTTGCGCTCCACCTTGTACGTCAACTGTCTCGGAGCCGGACCGTGGCCGTGGGATTCTTGCTCTGTGCGAGCCGCGCCAGGACGGGGGGTCCATGGGGAAAGGTTACAGATGGCAGGGGGAGAATGCACGAGGCAGAAGCAATAGGTCAGCTGTGATATATACTGTAGGGGACGCTGCATATGTATGAACGGAGCATCTAAGAGCGAGGGAGGCGGATGGAGGGATTGGAAGGATTGAGCCCCATGTCCTTCCGAGACGCACTGCTTCGCATTGGACAATGCTCTCCGCTGGTTTGCATCCCGTTGCTTTTCCTCGCTGACTCTGATTCCCCTTTCCCTCGATTCCGTTTCACCATTTGCCACATGCCGTGGCATCGACGTGCCAAAGATCTAAGAATAAATGCACACTCAGCAAGGGCAGCCGCATTGTCTGTCTTCCGGCTTTCTTATTTCGGCGCCATCCAGCAAGAGGCGCCCGCTCCGTACCGATCAAGCACATCCCAGAAAGGATGGTCAGCTCTGTCCCCATTCCCTACCTACTTTCTTTCCCCCTCCCCTGTTCCCGTGTCTCTCCACCTCTATCCCGCTCGTCAGTAATTATGTTGTATTTCTCCAAAGGCGTGGGGCGGGTTGCATGCGGGCGTACGTGCGGTGCCAGGCTTACGTTGTGTGGAGGAAGATCATGCAACATGATTATTCGAGAAAGAGGGGAATCGGGGAGAAAGGGAGGGCCAAGACCTTGCTGAGGATGAGAGGGGGGGTGTTCGTTCACCTTGGGGCTCCAATGTGAGACACGGCGGGCCCGGGGCTTCCGAGGCGTCGCGGGCGGTTGCAGACGCCGTGCGTGCACGTACGGGATGTGGGAGGATGCATGTGTGTCATATCATATCCACTGTTTCTCCTACTGGACGCCGACGGCTTCGACCCGGGCTGGCCATGGCCATGCCGCGTTGCAGCACGCCACTACTTCCTCGGTCAAACGCAACTTGTATTTACCTTGCATGCATAGGTAGATGGATACACGAGGTCCCCGGTGATCGTGTGATCGGGCTCCTAGAAGAGACGCATGCCCGATGCCGCGGTCGGTCCTCCCTCTTTTCCTGAATGCCTCGAATGCTCGGGTTGGATCCAGCCGAGCCTTGTCCTTCTTGCACGGAGCAGGGGGAACTGGTGTGCGGAGAGCGGGTGTTCGCAACACACAAACTGTTGTTGTCTGCAGCATCCTCAGCGGAACTTGTTGGCTCCTCCTGTGCCTGCTTATTTACACTCGTTCTCCCGCCGAAATCGCTGCTTCGACATAATTACAGCGTCGTACAGTACAGTACTACCCAGTGCTCAAAGAACAACCACGCAGATATGGATACGCAGGATATTGACGCATGTGGTGTATGCGGTGCATCACAGGCATTGTACGCAATGCCATGCTGCTATCCCACAGAGACTCGAACTGCATCGATGCCGAGGCCGTTGCCGTTGGAAGATGCAGGCGAGCAGGCAGAGACCGTCCGTTCGAAAGTTGCCGAGCCTGGTCTGGTATCTGAATAGCCTCGGACGTTGCCCGGCATTGCACTTCGGCCTATGACCTTGCTCGGCACAGATGACCTTTCCACGCCATCATAACGTATCGTGGTTGGCATCGTCTCCCTACCGTCCAGAGGCTGCATCTTCCTCGCGTGTGATGGCCGTCTCCGACTGCCATGAATAATTCCGTCACCCGCCTCACCGCATATGCTTGTTGGTCGACTGCACATATGTATAGGCCCAAGAACCTTGCACGAGTGGGAAGGAGAGCCATTCATACGCACAGACGTGATGTTTTGACATGCGTCTCTGGTTACACAACCACTGCTCCCTCCCGTCCAACAAAGCCATTGTCCCGAAGCGCACAGCGTAGACGATGTTTCTGCCCCTTGAACCAACGGCAGCTAGTGTGTCGTTGCATCCAGGTGGCAACGCCCCGGCCCGGCTTCTCAGAGGCGCGATAGTTCCCGTCGTCAGAATCGCGGCGGCATTCGCCACAGCTCACACCTCTCCAAGGGCAACAGGGGTCGTGATCGTAGTCTATGGCAAAGGCGCAGGCGATTCAACTGCCAAAACCAGCAGGGCCGTGAAATCTACCTCGTCCCGACTCTTCCTGTTCAACGTCGGGTCTTTCGCTCACCCTCTGGAGTAAAACACAAAATCATTGCCAACGCCGCCGCACCAAGCCAAATCACCCATATACAAGTACAGAAACATACGCTCGTCTAACGGCGTCTACTCGTCGTCTCGTCCGCGGCTCTTTCGCGGCATCCAGCCGCCCATCTACTTGCTCGCCGGTCGATCCTCAACGCGCTCCTCAAGCACCTTCTCGCCCTCAGACGAGCTGTCGACGTGGCCGCCGTCGAACCTCTCCACAGATGTCGACTTGAAGTTGCGTGCGCTGACGCGGTTCTCGAACAGGATATCGAGCTCGCCATAGGTGCGACCCTTGGGCTCAGGCAGGCGAAAGTAGGTCCAGATAGCGCAGAGGAAGCAGGTGCTGGCCCAGAAGAAGCCCGACTTGGCACCCCAGTTCCAGGCGCTGGGGTTGAGCATGCGGGGCGTGATGATGTTGGTGGTGATGCCGACAATGTTGTACAGGTTGCGAGCCAGCACCACCGACTTGGTGCGCAGGCGCGTCGACGACAGCTCCGACACGAGCGAGTAGCAGACTGGGCCGACGGTGGCATCGTAGATGAAGGTGTAGACGAGGAGCATGGAGCCAATGGCCCACTGGGCCGGCACGTTTTCACGGCCGGCAAACGAGGTGCAGCCGATGGCCAAAAGCAAGCTGCACATGGTCAGTTGACCAGTCAAATACAGTGTTCGACGCCCGGCCACGCTCATGAGGAACCAGGCCGTCATGGTCCCGATGGCGCCCAGGCCGTACTGGGCAATCGACATGTTGAATGAGTTCTCGACAGCCATGCCTGCCTGCTGGTAGAAATAGGTCGAGTAGCTCATAAAGGTGGAGCCGCAAAGGGTCTGCACCATCCAGGTGGCGCAGACAATCTCGGTGCGGCGCAGGTTGGTGCCCTTGAACAGGTCCCCGTACGATGTGCCGGCGCTGGCCGCCTTCTCCATGGCGTTGGTGTGTACCATCATCGACAACGTCTCGTCCGCGCGGAAGGCGACACCACTGTTGCGCGACGTCAGGCGAACGATGGACCGCTTGGCATCTTCGAGTCGGCCGTTGCGGACGAGCCACCAGGGGGATTCGGGGGCGAGATAGATGCCAATCATGAGGGGGATGGGCCAGATCCACTCGAGAGCAAAGGGGATCTTGTATCCCCACTTGTCGTCGCGGAGAATCATGGCACGCAACACGCCCGAGGCCAGGAACTGGCCAATGACCCAGCACAGGTTGACATAGGTGGTCAGATAGGCTCGAAGATGGGTTGGGCAGACTTCGGCGGCATACGTCGTCGTCAGGGTCTGGAAGACACCCCATGGGATGCCGATGAGAATCTCGCCGACAAGCAGCATGGGCAGCGACTCTGCAAAGACGAGGATGAAGATGAAGCCGATGCAGCCGACGAGGGCACCAATCAGGGTTTTTCGGTAGCCGATGCGCTCGGCAATAATGCCGTTGAAGAAGAGGCCGAGGATCTGTCCGCAAAGCGCGCCGTTGGACAGGCCCGACTGCCAGGCAGCCGTGAGCTCGAACGAGCCATCGGACTGCTCGACACCAAACTTGCGCTTAAAGGGCGGGTAGGCGTAGAGGTTGTTCAGGATGACAATGTCGTAGCCCTCGAGGATGATGCAAGTCGAGAGGAAGACGGACCAGAGACAGGCCTTCTTATAGACCTTTAGGGACTTGACAAGGCCCATGTTGCGCTCGGCCTCGGTGGCAGCCGCGGCCTCTTCGGCCGTCGTCGAGTCGTGCATCTTGGACTCGGCAATGGCAGAGGCTCGACGATCGTCGACGGAGGGCGACTTTGCTGACTTGGACATATCGGCGGCGTCTAAGTCGAAGGGCAAGATTTAGCCACGACGCTCGCTGACAACAAGAGACCGGACACTCGCTGAAGACAAGTCGAGCAAGAGGTGGAACGAGAAAAGGTTGGCAATTCTAAAACATGAATGCGGGCGTCCAAATTGTCGTTTCCGTTGACTAATAAGGGGGCCCAGGGTGAAAAAAAAGTCGCCTCGGAGAAGCCGTGGAATTCATCCGAATGCTCGCCTGATGGGGTCAAGCAAGCCTTGGCAGTCTGGAGGCGGGGACCGTCCCAACTTTATAAGTGTTTACAGGCTCGGGTTGTATGAGGCAGTCTCAAGCACGACTCATTGACAATTGTGCGGTGGCAGACTGGATCTGTTTGCTTCCCCTGGTCTGGGACTGCGGCGCTGACCGAATTGATGCATTGTATTAGTGGCTAGTCCAATAAGAGACAGAGGTCGTGCCAGAGCGGAGACTATTGGCGGCGCCTAAGAGAACCAGGGTCCGGGGAGTTGGCCAAGGTTGTTTGCTCAACACCGCCACCCGCTGGGAAATCCCGAGCTCTTGGTGGCTTCTCGTCGGCCCGGCATAGGAGCAACGGCCAACCGCAGGACGGGAGGCTGAGACATGGCGGCCGGACACGGTTGAGAGCCGAACAAGTCGTACATTCGCGGTGAGAGGTCGACAAGCCGGCAGCACGTTTGGAGGAGACGGTCTCGATGCTTCTCTCCCCATGGGGTGTCTGATCAGGAGAGGGAGTGGATCGCAGGCAGTCAGCATCATGGCGCCAAGCATCATCGGGCCGACCGTCTGTTTTCATTGAAACTCGCGTGTTGAGGGGCCATGGCCCGCCGGGTCTGCATGTTGTCCATCGGCCGACCCGCGTTGAGGGCCTTCTAGAAGTCGTCATGTGAGCCATGTGGAGGCGCGCCCGGCTGTCAAGGCTGAATAGGATTGGCAACAAGCCACTGCCGGCGAGGGCAGAAGCGGGATGCTAGCAACGCATTGACGAAGGTGCGTCATGGGCCGTTGCCGTGTCTTTTTCGGGCTGCTCGATTTGGGGACGGACGGCCTGAGCGTAACACAAACTTGGGAGCCACCATCCGCTGATCTGCTGCATACGAGCAGACGGTGCCCTGTATCTGTACGCACGCACATGCAGTCGTTTACATGTACGCGTACGTACACGCCTGTCCTCGTGCGGCGAGGAATGCTCGAAGCAGTGGGCGAGGAGCGACGTCCAAGGGCGGAGCGGGATGAGCGAGCGAAGCGGGATGAGCGAGCGGAGCGGGATGAGCGAGCGGATTAGGCCAAGAATGACAGGCAGGGATTCGACGGTGATTCTAGAATAGGGTTTCTCCCAATGCCGTAATATGCGCGCCTCGGCCAAGAGAATGCTGGATGAGATGGGATGGGCGAAGAGGGCGGATCTGGAGTCCTACTCCTTCCTACTCGGGCCACATGCGCGGCTGGATCATCGCTCGGTCCGGCATGCGACCAATCAAACCCCGCCGGCCCGACATTGATCCAATAGGGCCCGTGGCGTCAACGACCTTCATTTTCCTTTTCCTCGTCCTTTTTGGCTGCATCCAACTGGCAACACTGCATTTCCCCAGGTTCCGACCCAAACCACCGGCCTCCTGAGCTTGTTTCTCCTCTCGCCAGGTTTCCCCAGGTTCTTGGCTGTTTCGCCCCGCGCCTGTAACGTCGTTTCGGTCCGACAAAGACTCAGTCTCAGACGGCCAATCCAACCCTGACCATGCCCTGCCATGCCCCAGAGCCCTCTCCACACCTACCTCCGGACTCGCTCTTTAAGGACAATGTGTTCTCGTCGTCAATTTACTCGCTGCAGGCCATGTCCTCATGTCCTTTGCTCTCCCAAGTTTATTCCTAGCTAGAGTAGACTTTCCGCTGAGCCCATATCTCGTCCCCGAAAGCCCAACATGACGCTCGTCAGCCACGACAAGAAATGGTGGAAGGAGGCCGTCATCTACCAAATTTACCCTGCCTCGTTTTGCGACTCCAACGGCGATGGCATCGGCGACCTGCCCGGCATCACGTCCAAGCTCGACTACCTGGCCAGCTTGGGCGTCAATGCCATTTGGGTCTGTCCCATGTACGACAGCCCCCAGGTCGACATGGGCTATGACATCTCCAACTACGAAGACGTCTATCCGCCGTACGGCACTGTCCAGGACATGGAGACGCTCATCCGCGAGACGCACGCCCGAGGTATGCGCGTCATGCTCGACCTCGTCATCAACCACACCTCGGACCAACACGCCTGGTTCAAGGAGGCGAGGTCCGCCAAGGACAACCCCAAGCGCGATTGGTACATCTGGAGGCCGGCAAGGCACTCTCCAACAGGCGAGCGCTTGCCCCCCAACAACTGGCGCTGCAACTTTGGCGGCGGCAGCGCCTGGGAGTGGGACGAGCGGACGGGAGAGTACTACCTGCATCTCTTTGCCACGGAGCAGCCGGACCTCAACTGGGAGAATCCCGCGACCCGCAAGGCCATCTTTGCTTCTGCCATGGAGTTCTGGCTCGACCGCGGCGTCGACGGCTTCCGTGTCGACACGGTCAACATGTACAGCAAGCCCCCCGGCCTGCCCGACGCCCCCGTCATCGATCCGCAGGCCCCCTTCCAGCCCGCCGGCTTGCTGTACTGTAACGGACCGCGCATGCACGAATTTCTGGGGGAGATGAACGCCATTCTCTCTCGGTACGGTGCCATCACGGTCGGCGAGCTTCCCCACACTCCAGACATGAATCGCGTGCTCGACTACGTGAGCGCAAAGGCCAAGCAACTGGACATGGTCTTCCAGTTTGACGTGGTAGACGTCGGGTTCGGCGCGACTCACAAGTATGAGACGACGCCCAAGAATTTTGCCCTCGCCGACTTCAAAGCGGCCATCGATCGAACCCAAGGCTTGATTCGCGGCACCGATGGCTGGACCACCGTTTTCCTCGAAAACCACGACCAGGCCCGGTCCGTGTCTCGGTTCGCGGATGATGGCCCCGAGTATCGCGTCCGCAGCGCCAAGCTGCTGGCTCTGCTGGAAGTCTGCTTAAGCGGCACGCAATACGTCTACCAGGGCCAGGAGATTGGATGCGTCAACACCCCCAAGGACACGTACCCGCTTGAGAATTACCTAGACATTGACAGCTGCCTCTTCCTCAAGATGGTCAAGGAGCGCCACGGGGCCGACAACACGGCCGAGCTTGACAAGGCGTTTGATGCCTTGCAGCACCTGGCCAGGGACCACGCTCGAGTGCCCATGCCCTGGAACGGCAAGGCAAGGTTCGGTGGCTTCTCTGAGGCCGCCGAGAGGGCAGGCAAGGAAATCAAGGAACCGTGGATGAAGCACCACCCTCTGGCGGGCGAGATCAATGCTGCCTCGCAGCTTGACGACCCCGAAAGCGTTCTAGCCTTTTGGCGCAAGATGATAGGATTTCGCCGGGAGCACGTGGATCTGTTCGTGTACGGCAACTTTAGGGATCTGCGGCCGCAGGACGAGCACCTTTTCGTCTTCGTCAAGGAACCCCAGCACGAGGGCGGTGACAAGGCGCTGGTTGTCCTCAACTTTACCGCTCAGGAGAGACAGTGGCAGGTGCCCGGCGGGGCAGAGCTTGGGGTGTCGGACGCGACGGAGAAGCTCGAGGCAATCATGTCGACGCATGCGGGCAAGGCCAAGGCCGGAGTCCTTGCGCCCTTTGAGGGCCAGGTATATCTGGTCCGCTCCTGAGCGGGGCTCGGCAGACGGTGGAAGGGGGTGGGATGAGTGGGGAGAGCAATACCGCTCATGCAGACGACTGGGGTACTATTCTAGAAGGATCTGCTCCGACGAGGACGAAGGGGTGACGATGTACTGTATGTCCAGAGACTGCTCGCGCCGCGAACTTGGATCGCACCGAGCGACCTTGTCTACAGTTGGCTCCATATCAAGGCTTTGTTTCCTCCAAGGCCTCCGCGTTGACACGGCAAGTTGTAATTATTTATCGGCCGACTGGCAACGACTCATTTAGGAAGTACGCCATCAGACCACGCCGAGTCTCTTGTTCCCAAACTGGAGTATGTTGCGAACATTGAACGCGCATGGGTCAAAATATTGGTCAAAATATTGGCCAGGATGGGGTTCCGATATATTGGGAAAAACTTCGTTTCCCGGACATCCCGCTTCAGGGTATCCCTGGCTCCAGCTCTGCATGACGCATTGACCCCTGGCACCGGCTCAGCTGTCATGTCCCGATTAATAGCCAGCAAAGGAAATGGAGCGAAACAATGCCGGCCATGCGAATCGGCCCGTCACGAGCCGGTCCTGACACTGCCGGGCCGGAGTCGGCGCCGGCGGCCTCCGGCTCCGGGACTGAGAGAACGGTCTTTGCTTCCGACACCGACCTACTGGAGCACACACCCGCCCGGTCCAAGGGCGGCCTGGGGCTCCTTAGGCCGTCTGTAATAAGCATGTACGTCCAAAGCTCGCGCGGGCTTCACTCCCATTGGCGCGGCCGCTCTTCCTCCATCGCACACCCAGTCAGTTTGAACGTCATGCTGACGAGCTGCTGACCCTTTGAGTGCGTCGACTTATCGTCACGCTCGGCCGCACGGGCTCTCCTCTTCATTCACATGTTGATGAAAAGGGAAGCGAAAACCTGAACGATGCATCGACAAGCGCTTCTACACCAGTCCAGCCCCGCGGCGCCCCTGGATGCGAGCCGCCGTGGCAGCGGCACGAATCTCCGAGTCACGCTTCTCGCTGTATGCAGAGCGGTAGCTCTGTGCGCTGTCCCGTAGCCCTTCAGCTGGGCTCGAATACGAATCCGACCAAGCCAGAAGCCTAGCCGGCCATTGGCGCCCCCGCGAGCGCCTCGTCGTGACTGGCTGCGTCTTCGTATTCCCTTCCACCGGCGCGACTTGTGTCTGTGCCATCGACGCCGTCATTGTGTCCCATCGCAGCTTGCTGCTGCTTGTTGAAAAGGAGGCCATCGGGCCGAGTCGATGGTGCCAGCATTGAGACTAGGCCGCCCCTTTGCGCTCTCTCTCTGCGTTGTTCTGGACGATTCTCGACCTAGCCCCTTTCATCGTGTCCATCTTGTGCAAGAATGGCGGTCAAGAGTATAAAACGGCTCCGTCGAAAACGCCTTCCTGTGGGATGCTTTGTGAACATGGTCTTGCCTCATCACGCGTGTGCAGAAGCCTTCGCCTAACCAACCGCACTTTATTTCTTTGTTCCTTGCTCCAGATCCCTCACCAGTTCACATATTCTGGCCATGGTGTTGACCACGCTCTCCGCCTTGGTCCTGAGCCTCGGCCTGCTCGCCGGCAACGTCCTCGCCACTCCCGCACAGGAGATGGACGCCTGGGGCGATGTGCAGACGGCTCATCTCAAGTTCCGCGCCGCTTCGTCCCCCGACACGTACGACCTCACAGTCCAGGCCGACGGCAACGCTGTCAATACAGGTGCGTCCCTCCTCGCCCCTCTTTTGCGTACTGATATCCGACGCCGGCGAGAGTACATCCATGCTGGTAGCCCTGACATGGACAGGGCGAACAGGGAGAGAAAAGCTCGATATTGGCCTCGTCGATGCGCCAGACTACTTTGCCGTGTCGCTGTGCAAGTTTAAGACGCCTGGCAAGGTTGAGATCTCGTCCAAGGTGGCGAGCGACCGGTATACGCAGCAAGTTGTTATCGACCCGCCGCAGCCTATTATAAGTGTCAAATGCCAGGGCATGTGCGTCCAAACGTACGGTACGTCTGCTTCCACCATGAATCGTCCCTCCTGCCAAGAGCCATTTGGATTGCCCCTCCTTCTCTGAAGCCTGAATTCCCCCTTTGAGACTATCCTGAGGACATGGAGAAACGGGATGAGGGCTTGTAAACGCGCATGATGCGATGCGCGATTCTGCTCACGACCGTGAAAAACGAATATAGGCGCCTGCTACGACACACGCGGCCAGCCCGTGGGGCCTTGCTGCAACGGCTTCTGCATGGCAACCCGCTGCCGCCCTTGGAACATTGGTCACGGTTGATTAGGAGCGTGGGAGTGAGAGGCCGAGGGAGGAAGCGAGTGAGAGTAATGGACGAATGGCCCGGAGGCGCCGACTGATGTGGCGAGACTGAGTGGTAATCAACTGGTTCTCCCTCCCTGTCCATAGGAACACGGCTTTGGCGTATTGTATGATCAGTGTGGCGGAGTGTATCTTGAGAAGACTGTTCTCGATGCCTTGTGTGAAAGTATTTATAGATTATTGCGAGGAGACGAGGAAGTTGAATCAGGGGTTTGAGCCTCACGTCAAGATATTACAAATGCAATGATGCATGTCAATAACACAACAGTTGACCATCGACATACAATATTCAAGGCTGTCAATTCCCTCCTAGTTCCTGCACACATGATACAGCCTCTGAGCATAATGTCCTGTAGCATCGTAGCTCGTAATCGCAATTGCTCGGTGACAGCATATTCAGATTGTTCTGGCAATCCCACCGATTCTTCCAGAGTCGAGAAGCAGAAACCGAAAACGCCCCCAGCTACCGGTGAGTTGAGTCTATACCTCCAGATCGGCCCTGAACTTGGACAACGCGGGCGTGTGACAACGGCCACAACATCCACAAGTTGGTTGAGCTAACCACCGTCTTCTCGAATCAACCGCGTCCTTGCCTAGTGGTGATGGCGTCTCCTACTTCCACCACCACCACTGCTGCGGTGGAAGCCTTCCTTCTCGCCCGCGCTCCGCTTCGAGACGTCGCCAATGACGGCGTCCATGCCGTGGCGCATCACGTCCTGCCGCATGGTGCCCGGGTGCTTCTCGGCCATGAAGCCGTCGACAAGGGCGGCGCCGAGGGCCGCCGTCGCCACCTTGGCACCCTTGGCGCCGAGCCACGGGCTGGGGTCGTGCCGGCTCTGCATGGCGGCTTGCGCGCCGGCGCTGAAGGCGGTGCGAGCCCCGGCCTTGACCAGCGGGTTTGCCCACCATGCCGCGCCCTTTTTCGCAATGGCGGCCGGCATCGAGTTGCGCCGTGCCGCACTGCCAGACTTGCCGCCGCCGCCGCCACCGGCCGCCAAGGGTGGACCGCGATCACGGCCTGTTGGCTGGGGCGACGGCGCCGCGTCCCTGTGCATCGATCGGCCTCGGGAGCGGGCCTGGCGTCGCCGCCTGTCCCCGTCGTGCTCGTCGCTGTCGGGGTGGTCGCCAGCTCCACGAGCCGTCTGATAGGGAGGTGGCGGAGCCTGAGGCGGGGGCTCGTCGCCTCGTCGCCTCCTCGGCCGCGCGTCCTCGGAGGACGGTCGAGAGCGGCGGGAGCGAGGGTCGGGGCCGCCATCGGCATACGGCGGCGGTGGCGGAGGGCCCTCGCGGCCTCTGTGCCTCGGGCCCGGGGCGGGAGGAGACGGCGCCCGCGACCGATGCGAGCGCGGATCGCCGTCGCCATGGCGGTCCCGCTGCAGCGGCGACGGCGGGGGCACGAAGCGGCGATCGTGCCGGGGCGGAGAAGGCGAGGGCCGATGGTCCCGGCGACGCGGGGGCTCGCGGCGCGGTGGCTCGCCCGAGAAGTAGTGGGGAGGCGGCGGGCTGCGCGGACGGCGAGCCGGGGCCGCCCTCCACTCGCGAGGCGGCGGCGGCGGCTCCCGGCCTCGCCATGGGACGAAGGCGGGCTCCGGGCCATAGCCGGGCGGCGGCGGCGCGCGGCGGTGCCGGTCCGACTTGTGGCGGCGCGGCGGCGGGCCCCGGTACGGGTCGTCGAGGGGATCGTGTAGGTAGTAGTCGTCGGCCTCGAGGCGCGGCACACGACGCAGAGGCGGCGGCTGGGCCATGGCAGCAGCGGGTTCCTTTGATCGCTTTTACTGCTTTGAATGATTGTTTCGACCGAGTTGGAGAGGCGTGTATACAAAGGTAGATAAGACTCGAGTGTTTGAGTGGATAGACGCGAATGCAAAGAGGATGCTTGATATCGGAATTTCTATCTCATTGGAGCCTTTGTATATTAAGGGGGGGACGGACGGCGGCGACGGCGAGCAGATGGCGTACATAATATGGCTCGCCCCTACACAGTACACACGCACGCACGCAGGGCCTCACACGTCAAGGAGGAATAAAGATCAAAGATAAGAAGAAAAGGCGAAATAAACCCCTCAACGAGCTGGAAAGGGGTCTCGACCGTCGAACCAACAACCCCCGAAAGGGGACGCAAAAGGAAAACCACGGGGGCCTGACGTCACGCGGAACCAACGGCGCATGCAGCCGTCTGTCGACGTGGAGGGTCCGCGAGCCGCAGGACGAGATCATCTGACGTCAAGGGCCAGAGGGGGCCAGAGGGGGCCAGAGGGAGAGACGAGGGCGGGGGCGGAGGCCGCTTTCCATCATGCCATCATCCGGCATGGGCCGCGAGGCGGTGTCGCAATCAGCCACGGGGGGGCGTCACCGGGGGGATTGTGTGGCCACGATGGGCTCGCCCGTCATTCTGGCTTGGCTTGATGATGCTTCGATGTGGCAGAGGTAACAGGGGGGCGGCTCGGTCAACGCGGAGCGGCTGTCTACAAGGTCAAGTGTGTGTCTCTCCAGCACGGCCAGGCAGCTGAATAGTCTAGCCCCCAAGACACATACAGGAACAGAGTGCAGAATGGGGGCTTAGGGGGGGGGGGAGACTTGCGGGGGGAGGGAGCAAAGTCTCAGAGTCCGAGGCAGCAAAGAGGGCTCGGAAGATGACGCGGGCGGGCGCCGCCATCGGGTCGGCTCGCAGCAAGGAAGGGCGCGCGTACATGCGTGCATTCCAGGAATGAAGACGGAAAGGAGAGAAGACGTCTGGAGTTGCACGACGGGGGCATGCGGTGTTGGGGAGGACCAAGGGGATTTGAAGCCGCCGATGGGCGGTGTGGAAAGAAGAAGAGGAAGAGTTGGTATTCTTGGTTTCGGCCTGCGAGGAATCAGGTATGCCCTGTGCGACGTGAGGTGCAGGGGAGGCAACACGTGGGTAATGGAGAGAGAAGGAAGAGGAGAGATCGAAGGGCAAGGCGCACAATGTGTCATGAGGTCGAGTCCCTCTGCACCCTCCCCTCGAGACAAGACCAGAGGGACAGGCGACTGGACGAATGGCTTACACATGCCACCAACAAGCAAGGGAGGACGAGGGCCAGACCGACTGTAAATCCCGTTCCGGGCGTGGTGGATCAAGGCAGCAAATGACACGACGCGATGCCGGTCCATCACCGGGCCCCGGCAGGCCCGGACAAGGCGGCGGCCCGTCCACCGACGCTCAGGGCACGAGGCACCGCGGCACTGGCCCGGACGAAGACCGAGACGCTCTCGGTGCACAGTCTGATGGCCCGGGCTGGGCTGCTGTTACCTGGTTGTCTCTGTGTCTGGTCCACGCTCGTGTGCGGACGTTCTGTCTCCTCTCTGCAGGGGCAGATAGATGCCTTGTATCATGTCTCCGGCGCGGTAATAATTCTGGCGACTGCAGAACTGTACGTCTGGGAATGCAATGTGACTCGCTTGAAACACGGTGCCGCATGTACGTGGATGGACGAGGAGAATCCGGGGCCCGCGTCGTGACCGATCTGTACGACGCCCGCGAGGCCTCCTCAAACACGAGCAAATGATACGGAGCCCCCATCGTGAGCCAGCTGCTCTCCGCGGTCCAGGTTCCGCGAGCAGCCCAGCAATCAATGCCGGTCTCGCAAAGTCGAGTCCAGACTAGGGAGGTGGCAACATGAGCAAGTCCCCATGACCTCGCAAGACATACATATATCGACACATAGACAGCACGGCGGTGCCCAAGTCCAGACCGTAGCCAGCACACACCCATATCTGGAGGCTGGCTTAAGCACCGCACACGCCACGCCCGATGCCTTTCCCCTCACTCACTCATCGTAAAGGCAGGGGGGGCAGGGATCGGAGGGCGCCGGCTGGAGGCGTCGCACGGAGAGGCGCACAGCTTCAAGCATACCTCTATACATACGTATTCGTGCATGCATCCCAAACACAGGACCCGTCTGCGTGCCCTCATACACGTGTCGTTCGCCTGCACCGGCCCTTTACGAGCTGAACATGGCTCTTCTTCCCCTTTCCCCGCAGAGGCAATGGAAACCAACAAGACGAGACTACGGTACGATGAGGGCATAGCACTCGAATCTCCCGGTCTGCTTGCTTCCCCTCTTTTCACTCCCCGTCTTTGCCTCTCTTCTCTTCTCCTCTTCTCCAGCCTCACTCGGACTCGCGTCAAGTGCTGACGACACGTCACACAAGCGCATCCTGCCAGTCCCAGTCGGTCTGCCTGGCCTTGCAGCCGGACGCAAACCCCCTTCATGCTCCTCAGCGTCCATGGCCATGGCCGCTCTTATGTTGGTAAGCCAGAGCCACCACCGAAGCAGCAGCAACACCACGCGTACATACCGTATGCTATATGAAGGCCGCCGCCGTGGCCACGCGACGTGGTCCTGGGCTGCTGCGTCTTCTGCATCTACACTGCAACTCGAGGCATCGCCCTCAGCTGCACTCGAGGTCGCACCGAGCATCCCGCGGCCCAGGAAGCCCCTCGTCCCCTTGTGAACTGCTCCGTCTCCATGATAGCTTGTCCCTGCCGGGCCCCAGCTTCTCCCAAGCACACGATGCAGTCGGCTGTGGCGGCCCTGCAACCCTCGGGGCCTTGGCCGTCTTGGGGTCCGTCCGTCCCCGGCCCCGTCGCATGCAATGCACGCCCGGCTGTTGCGGCATCGCCAACGCCATCCTCGGACTGACAAACTAACCAACAAGCCCCCGCCGCAGGACCAACACAAACAAACACATTCGCCGCCGGACCGCTGAGAGGGGGGGGGGGGCGAGAAGGGGGCGCCGTCTGCACCGCTTTTCTTCAACAAGGTGCCGCCCGCCCTTGGTCGCGGATACAGCCGCCCACCCCCGGCACGGATGAAATGGAACAGGACCATGGCCGGATAGAGTTGACTTCCACCGCCTGCAGGCATCCAGGTACGGCCCTCTTGTTGCACCACCTGGCATGAGCCGTAACGGTTTCCGGCCGTAGCCTCCCTCCCTTCATCTGCTCCGTCTCCAAGTCCTCTCCCCATGTAAGCTTCAATGTAATTATAATCCAACTCACACGCCGCGCCCCCGACACATGACCCGTATGCTCTTGGCGCCCCCAACGGCCTAAGAATGCTGTAGCTTCCTCTCTCTGGCGTCTTCCCCTTGCCGTGGTTCCCTACCTGGGAAGGCCTTTGGACCGGAGGTTTCCGGTGTCTGGAAGGAAGGGGATTTAGCTCAGAGTCAGGTTTGGCGATAAGAGCTTGTGCCGGAAACGGTCGGGGTGGGGACCCTCGTGGTATCAGAAGGAGGTGGAGAGGAGCGAGCCCGCAACAGATGGCACCCCCCGGACGGGCCGTTATCTCCATCTATTTATAGTCTTCCTCGTTCTGTTCCTGCCCGTCCGCTGGTTCACGGCCGAGGCGGGACAGTAGATAACAAGGTCGGAGTCGACCGGCCAGGGGCGGGAGGAGGCCGGTCCCTGGCCCTCGTGCAACTCAGTAAGAAGGACGAGCCTCGCTCGACCTGCGATCGAGGGTGGGCTACACAACCTTGATGTTCTCCGTCTCTGGCTGGCAAATAGCGTGCTGCTTCCTCTTGGCGCCGCAGGGCAAATAAAACAAATCGACGCTCCTACAGGGCAGGCTCTAGACATGAGCTGTATCCGGACATCGCTGCAGTGCGGATAACCTACATGTCCACAGCATACAGGCGCGCGCGTGCATGCCTCCTGTAGAGTTCATGTGCGTCGAGTGTTTTCTTTTGAGCCTGTAGACTGCTGGTCCTCCTCCCCTTGCCATCATCGCCACTTATCGTCCTCTGCTTCTTCTTCTTCTTCTTCTTCTTCTTCTTCTTCTTCTTCTTCTTCTTCTTCTTCTTCTCCTTCTTCTTCTTCTTCCCCTTCTTCTTCTTCCTCTTCGTCAGCCTCTTCCCTCCCGCGCTCTCTCTTCCTCTCTCGGCTCCTCTCTTACAACCCTTGATTCCGCGCCGGAGACACTGTACACACATACACACGCACCGACAAGCAAGACCAGGCCCCGTCCAACCATAGCTCCCGGCCGCGAGCTCGCCGGCCGCCAAGCTCGTCCCGCCCCAGCGTGCCCAGTCCCGATCCGCGCGGCCCCACAGAGAGAGGGAGGGAGCCCCGGTCCGCTCGAATCCCCCCATTTATTTTCCCAAATTCTCTCTTTTTTCCCTCCCGTCACGAAGCTTCACCTCCCTCAAGGCCCTCTTCCTCCTCGTCACTCGCTTGCTTCCTCGCGTACGCTACTGTACGTGCGTTGCGAGCCTCGGCTGCCCTCTCGAACTGCGCGTGCCCCATGCTCGCTCTCCTCCGCCTCCTCCAGACTCGCGCGTTACATAGCCTCAAATCTCCCCCCGCCCTCGTCCGTCCCTCCATCTCATCCTCCCAGCCGCCCACACTAGCCCTGCTGGTAGTTTGTCATCTCTCCTCTCTTGTTTGGTTCGCTGGGCCTGTGATTCTGGCCGGGCTTCTGCATCCTGCTGGCATCGACGTCGAGTCAATTCCCGTCCGATCCTCCTGCTCCTTTGGTCGAAGCCTCGAGATCTGGGCTGGCCTCGCGCAGATCCGAGGGGACTTGAGATAACTTCAACTGCTAATATCAACTCGGCTACACCCTCTCTTTTCCCCTCTTGTCCGAAAACACGCACCCTCTCAATTTCCCCTTTCCCAGGATCCGGACTCCCCTCTTCTATTCGTACTCGGTGCATGTGTGCGTGTAAGAGCGGCTGTGTGTGCATATACATACATCAACTCTGAATCATCCGCACAGCTTTCATCCCCTCCCCCCTTCCGGCCCGTCATTCTTCATCCACCATGGCGTGGACTCACACAGTCAACACCAAGGTGGCAACCAGCCCCGTCGGCCGCTGGTTCCGCCTCGACGGCTGCGGCCATGTAAGAGCCCCTTCAACCCACCTCCTTGGCCTCTCTCTTACACGCACACGGGCATGGGCTGATGAAGCATCTGATGATGTTCTCCTACACTTGCAGCCCCGAGAGCGCAAACACTCGTACTTCCTCACCGAGATTCGCGCCGGCCTGGCCACCTTCTTCGCCATGGCCTACATCATCGCCGTCAACTCGTCCATTGTAGCCGACTCGGGCGGCACCTGCGTCTGCGCCCGCACGCCCGTCGACCCCGTCTGTGACAAGGACCAGGACTACCTGCTCTGCGTCCAGGCCATCAAGCGCGATGCCGTCACGGCCACGGCTGCAATATCCGCCCTCGCCTCCTTTTGCATGGGCCTCTTTGCCAATCTGTGGGTAGATGCCTCTTGCTGCCGCCCTGGTTGGAAACATGCAAGTGATTAATGGCTTGCCACATACAGACCCGTTGGCCTCGCCCCCGGAATGGGTATGTTCTTGTCCGCCTTGGCCCGCGCCTCTTGTCGCCTTCTCCCGTCCAGCCTCGCATCACTGGGTGAATGAATTCTGACGGGCTATTCCCCCTCTCACAGGCCTCAACGCCTACTTCGCCTACACCGTCGGTAAGCCGTGCGCCAGTCTCCCTCGCTCCCGTCCCCATGCCGTCCGCATAACGCGCTCGCTGACTGCTTCCAGTCGGCTACCACGGCAAGGGCCCCGTCCCCTACCAGGTCGCGCTGACGGCCATCTTCGTCGAGGGCTTCATCTTCCTCGCGCTCGCGCTGCTGGGCATGCGGCAGTGGCTCGCCCGCGCCATCCCCCACTCCATCAAGCTGGCGACGGGCGTCGGCATCGGCCTCTTCCTCACCCTCATCGGCCTCACCTACAGCGAGGGCATCGGGCTCGTCGTCGGCGGCACCGCCACCCCGATGGAGCTCGCCGGCTGCTCGCCCGGCCGCCTCGCCGCCGGCGCGTGCCCCAACGGCGACAAGATGCGGCGCCCGGCCATGTGGATCGGCATCTTCTGCGGCGGCATCCTCACCGTCCTGCTGACCATGTACCGCGTCAAGGGCGCCATCATCGTCGGCATCCTCCTCGTCAGCATCATCTCGTGGCCCCGCGGCACCGCCGTCACCTCGTTCCCCTACACCGACGTCGGCGACAATGCCTTTGACTTCTTCCGCCGCGTCGTCAGCTTCCACCCGATCCAGCGCACCCTCGACGTCCAGCAGTGGAACGTGGCCGAGTACGGCGGCCAGTTCGGCCTCGCCCTCATCACCTTCCTGTACGTCGACATCCTCGACTGCACCGGCACCCTGTACGGCATGGCCCGCTTCGCCGGCCTCATGGACCCCGTCACGCAGGACTTTGAGGGCTCGTCGGTCGCCTACATGGTCGACGCCATCAGCATCTCCGTCGGCGCCATCCTCGGCATCCCCCCCGTCACGGCCTTTGTCGAGTCGGGCGCCGGCATCTCCGAGGGCGGCAAGACGGGCCTGACGGCCATGGTCACGGGCCTGTGCTTCCTCGTCGCCGTCTTCTTCGCCCCCATCTTCGCCTCCATCCCGCCCTGGGCCACGGGCTGCGTGCTCATCCTCGTCGGCTCCATGATGGTCAGCGCCGTCACCGAAATCAACTGGAAGTATATGGGCGACGCCATCCCGGCCTTTCTCGCCATCGCCATCATGCCCTTTACCTACTCGATTGCCAACGGCCTCATTGCCGGCATCTGCTCCTACATGCTCATCAACACCGTCGTCTGGCTTATCAAGGTCGCCTCCCGCGGCCGCGTCGTGCCCCCCAACATGGACGACAAGGAGCCCTGGACGTGGCGCATCCCCGGCGGCTTCTTCCCTCCGTGGCTCGTTCGCCTCTTTGGCGGCAAGAAGGACTTTTGGCGCTCAGACCTGTCCCCCGCCGCCGATCGGTCTGCGCATCAGGAGCCCAAACTCAGCTCTGACCCCGGCGCAGCCTCGGACACAGGACACGCTGCGGATACCCCCTCGGCCAAAGGCTAGAAGGGGCGTCGAGGTGGTCGGAGATGCGGCTTGGCCAGGCGAGGAAGCGAGGCCTGAGTGGCGGCTCCCGGCGGCGTCATGCGGAGCCCAGGGGATGAATACAAGGCGGCATATGGTGCAGTGGCAGACGATGTTACGTCTTTTCTTGGGTAGAGCCTTGCGCCTGCAACGGCCTTTTTGCTGAGGTGGCGAGTGGGATGTGCAAATTGGGCCTTAAGAGCATGGTTGGGAGTTAAACGAACGACAAGGACGCTCTCGAATATGAACAGAGATGGCAATAAGATATGCTTCTGGTCCTTGGGGTACAGTGGCACTCGTTACCAACATGGACCAAACACTCGTCGATGCGTCACAAGCACTCGAAGCGAGCACCTGTACTAACAGCAGCAAACCTCATCAACGTCCTCTTCATGTCGTCGCCACCGCTCGACTTCCCCTTTGGGAGCTGACGTCGTACACGGCACCGCGTCTCATACCATCAAGGCGATGTGCTTGAGCTCGCTTGCCGTGTTGAAGCATCGTCAGTGGCAGGTTTTCGCCTCGCACATGACCTCGAAGGCGGGAGGGAACGCAACTCACCCTTGGACTTGGTGGCCAACCTTGATGGGGGGATAAGCAGCCACGTCGCCCTCGTCGCGACCAATCTTGGCCTGCTCAGCCCTCAGCTCGCGCGCACGCTCCACCAGCTCGGGCACGGGATCCAGGTCAAAGTCGGAGTTGAGGTGCCAGAACAGGGTGCTGGAGATGCGGATCAGGGGCCGGTCAGGGAACTCTCGGGAGCGCCTCTCGACGGCGGCGATGGTGTCGTCGTTGACCACGACCTCGTGATAGCCGGCCTTGATGAGACTGCCGGTGATGTGCTCGAGCTGCTTGCCGGCCTGGACGAGCAGGTGGTTGCCGGGCGGGATCTTGACGGGGATGCGGTTGCCCGTGTTGCGCGCCCAGATGTTGAGCCCCGGGTAGCGCGAGCGGCCGTGGATGGTGAGGAAGTTGAGGTCGGTGTGGAAGCCGGCGAGGATGGTGTCCCTTTGACCGTACTTGGCCAGGTCCGAGGCGGTCGGGGCGAGGAGATGGGGCCTGGGAGGGCATGTAAGTCGGGAGACGGGAGCTCAGGCTTGCGAGACGAACCCGTATCGTCCAGCGTCGCTGAAGAAGTGGGCGGGGAGGCCCAGGCCGATGGCGACCATTTCCGAGAGCTTGGAGACGCTGTGGGTTTTAGACGTAGTCATGGTGACGAGACAGGGGCAAACTCACGCATTCTTCATCGACGTCCCCCACTGATCCATGCACGGGGCCCAACGGTCCTTGATGTGCGGCGCGTCGGGAACCACGTTGGGCGCATTCAGCCCCGGGAACTGCGTCTCGTACGGCGGCGGCTCGGCCATGCGCCAGAAGAAGCGACACTTGGGGTCGGGCGCGTGGGCCGAGATGTCGAGGGGCCGCTGGGACGGGTGCAGGCGCTGGATGACGTCGAGGCAGGGCTCGTCGACGGCGCACTTGGGCTTCTCCGTGTTCTCGAGCGTGACGCCGATCTGGTAGCTCAGGTCGGGCCGCTCGTCGCGGCGCAAGTCGGCCTCGGGCTGGGCAAAGTAGTCCTCGACGAGGTCGAGGAAGCGCTCGTTGTCGCGCTCGGCGACGCGCGAGTCGTGCAGCACCAGCGCGCCGTAGGTGATGAGGGCGTCGGCGGCCCGGCGGCACTCCTGCTGGACCGGGGGGGACGAGGCGCACGGATTGTCGAGGTAGACGTCGAGGTTGATGACGGGGAGCTTCATGTGCTCTTGCTCCATGGTGACTCGGGGGTGAGCTGGATTCTGCATGCACAGGAGGAAGAAGGGGGACAGCGGACAGCAGACAGCGGACAGTGGACAGTGGACAGCGGAGAACTTGATATGCCAAAAGGAAGCGAGGGAAACGGCCCAAGTTGCAAGTTGTGAGAGGAAAGGCGAGACTCGACTCTTCAATCATCCGCCTCTCCTGCCCTCTCCTGCCCTCTCCTGCCCTCTCCTGCCCTCTCTCTTCAACTCTTCATCATGCAATGCAACTTGAGCCGGCCAAAAGTCGCAAATCGAGCAAGAGCTCGGAGCCGGCCGACCTCGCAAAGGAGCCATGCCGTTCAAAGACTAGTGCTTGCCGCTGGCCGGCCCGTGATCGCAAACAGCTGCTGCTGACCTCGGAAAGGCCTCTTATTGGTGCCTTTTCCTCCCTCTCTCGCTGTGCTTTCCTACCGACGACTCGACATGCGTCTGTCCAAACCCCAGACAATCGACACGTAACGAAAGGCAAGCCAAAGACGGCGGGCGCTGTTGTCTTTGTTTCGCTGTTGCTTCGAGCTGAGGCAGGCCTAGGGTAGGGCAAATCAACCAACTCATCGCTCAATAAAAACCCGCCAAACCACAGACTCTCAGGCGCATAAAACCACTTCTCCTTTTCTACGACGGGAGTCAAACGATGTCGAGGCACACCTCACCACTAAATATACACGCCTTCTCCCTCACTGCCCCTTGCTCGTCCGCTCCGCCTCGAGCTCCCGCTCTGCTTGCTGGTAGTACTTTGCCGTGTCGACGCCGTGCTGGTTGTGGTTGACAAAGTTGAACCACGGGATCGCGCTGAAGAAGAGTGCCGAGTACCTGCTCTGCCGCGCTGCCACTCCCTGCAGGTACGGACTCAGCTTGCTCTCGCCGTACAGCGGCTGCCCGGCCTTGACCTTGTCCACCATCTCGCGCATGTCCATTTCCACTTCGCGAGCGTTTTCCGTCGCGCCGTAGAGCCGCACTAGAGTCATGCAGATAGTCCATGGTTAGCCCGTTGCTGTGCTTCTCTCTGCCAGCGCCTCGGCTCTTGCCATGCTCTCCAAATAGTGTGTTTTTCGGCTCCATGTATACTCGGCCGTATCGTAGCACTGGGAGAGAGAAACCGGGACTGGATCAAACGTACGGCACGATCGTTGGTAAAAATAGAGAAAACCGCCCGCCAGGCCGATGAAGCCGGCCAGGCGCATGGCCTTGGCGAACCCGCCCTTGCCCACGTGAGACGGCGCAAACCTCTCGAGGGTCAAGAGCGCCGCCGGGCCAAAGGCCGCCGCAGTGGCGCCGGCAACGTAGTCTGATGTCCGCGCATATCCCACGACACGCTTGAAATGGCTGCGGCAGCGTCAGCAACCTCACACCCCAGCCATCCATATCCTCCAATCTGCAGAAAAACCAGCAGCTCGTCATCCGTCGAGAAAGGGCCGAGCGAGGTTGTGCGAGCGGAGAAACGTACGGATCATTGTCGATGAGCTAGAGTGCCAAGGTCAGCCAAAGCATCCGATTGCGCCTGTGCATCGCCAGTCTTTTCGTACCGGATAGTCCGTCTCGACGACCTTGCTCACCCCGACGTAAGACGCCGGGTTCTGCTTCGTCGTGGTGTCGGCCATTGATGCGGCTGCTGTTTGCCCGAGGCGTTTCCTCCCGATTGCGTCGCCAGATGGGGAGGAGTCGAAGCTCAATGCCTTGGGTGGATGGCTCCAGAGACATCACGTGAGTATAATACCGTCCAGCACGTGACCAGGAGCATTTCGTCACGATACGTACCTTCCTGGCGTCACGTCGCGTTCCGCCAAGAGAAGACGCGTAGAGTGAGAGACGGAGTCATTCTCCCATCACCAACACCACGAAAACAGTACGCAGCACCACCCACCACAATGCCCTCGGCCGCAACCACAAACGCCCCTCCTCCCCGGCACGACGACCTAGACAACTACGGCGTCGACGCCCCCCTCTTCTCCGACGACGACGACGACCCCTTCGCCTCGCCGCCGCCCACCACCACCAAGTCCAGGAAACGCACCGAAGCCGACGCCGGCCTCGGCATCGACGAGCAAGTCGAGGTCCAGAAGCGCGCCCGCGTCCCCAACGTCAAGCTCGACGAGGACCGCCTGCTCGGCCCCGCCGGCGTCCCCAAGCTGCGCGAGCGCGCCCGCAACCTTCGCCTCAAGGGCAAGGGCCACGAGTTCTCGGACGCCTCGCGCCTGCTCTCCCTTTACCAGCTCTGGCTCGATGACCTCTTCCCCAAGGCCAGGTTTCTCGACGCCCTCGTCATGGTCGAGAAGACGGGCCACAAGAAGCGCGTCATGGCGGCGCGAAAGGACTGGATCGACGAGGGCAAGCCCAAGCCCGCCGAAAACGATCGTGACGAGGAGGAGGAAGAGGTCGCCAACGAAGACGCCCGGAACCCGCTGCAAGAGTCTACTGGCGGTCCAGCCGAGTCAAGTCCTCGGCCGCGCACGCCAGCGCCGGACCCGGGTGTTCCTGACGACGACGATCTATACGATGCCACACCCCGGGCGCCTGCTCGCAGCGCTGATATGCTCGACAACGCGGATGACCTCGACGCCCTCATCGGGGAGGCGGAACAAGCTGACAGTCATCCGCTCCCGCCACTGCGAGCACGGCCCTCGAATGCGGAATCCGAGGAGGATGATCTCGACGCCTTAATCGCCGAGGCAGAGGGACTCGATCACGGAGGTGGCAAACATTCAAGTATTCCGCCCGGTGACCGCCAGACCAATGACTTTGCCGATGAGGAGGCAATTATGGCGGAAATGGCAGGGTAGTGGTGAAAGACAGACCTGGGGAAGGCTCTCAAGGGGTTCAGGGCCGAAAGACAGGCATCCTATGGAGGGCTCTGAACGGACCAGGGATCCAAGAGGCGAGCAAGCGGTTGAGGAAGGGCTCACAAATAATCTACAGCAATGCACAGCTGCGACAAAGGAAAATTATCGAACGGAACATCATGAGTCACATGAACGACAGGGTTCAGGGACCACTGGGGTGGGCGAACCGGTTCACGTCTAACCAGTTGCGCATCGGGATGCAAATCGTATTGCACATAAAATAATACATTTGACGCCTCACCGGTTGCGAGTTGCTCGCACTCGTTTCCTCGTGATACTTGAACCGACTTGCGCCTATATACCTTCCCCTCTTGCCCCGTCCCATCCAAACAGTCACACAGATTTTTGGTCTTGGAAAAGAAAAAAAAGCTCTAGGCCAGGCGATAGCGCTTCTTTATACCATCACCGGCTCCACGCCCACTCCGAGACGTTTTTGAAATTTGGAGTACATATTTTCTGGTTGGCTGCTCCGTTGGGATGCCACGACCGGCTCCGAGTAGTGCCTCGCTCCTCCGCTTAAGCCTCTGCTCCTCGAGCCTGAGGGCCCAGAGCAGAGTCAGGAGAACTTCACGAGACGGCAAGTTTGCGCCTCTCAGACATTGTGTCAGCTGGGCATTCTCGCCGCGCGTCGCACAGGACTTGGTCCCCAAGTCCTCGACCCGGTCATCGCATCTCTCGGAGACCAACCGCAATGCCTCCATCGTCGCATCCATCAAGGGACGCGCCAGATTGGGGCTGCTGGATAGGATCTTCCTAAGAGACTTGAATCTCAGAGTCGTGGACTTGGGGCTCGAGGCCGTGGTCCGCAGCGGCGTCATCGCTCGCTGCCACAAAGTCTGAGGCGGCGTGGTTTGCCTCGTCGTTGAGGAAGTCGTCGATGTTGAAGAAGTCGAAGGCTGACTGGGCCGAGAGGTCGGCGGCAGAGTCACCAACCAGATAATCGTCGTCAAGAGTTGAGGAGATGGGAGAAGCGAGAAGCCCGCTTTCGAGGACATAGCGATCTGCACCAAGGGCCGATGACAGGCCGAGAGAATCGCCGAGGCTGAAAGGAGCATCATCCTGAGCTGCAAGGTCCAGGCCAGGAGTGGCGAGGTCCGAATCTGCGAGCCCGGCAACGACTGGGACACCTCCGCCGACGTATGACACCGCAGGTCGCACAACATCTCTGCAGGACGTTGTGTCAAGTCGGGGGAGGTGGCCGTGGTCTGTTGGCCGGGCTGCGCTTCTGTCTTGACAGGGGCGGACGTCGGGGCCAGGTCCGGGACGGGGGTAAGCTCGGGAGAGAGGGAGGCGGGGTTGACGGTGGGATTGGCAGACGACATCATCAGCTCGCCGAGGTTAGAGTGCTCAGGGGCGGGCTTGAGCTCGTCTTGGGAGCCAAAGAGCTGCTGCGACAGGGTGATGGGGTTGTCGCGGAGCGAGTCTAGAGGTGAAGAAGAGCGGGTGACGACACCCGAGTCGCGCCGGAAGCGGTTGAGCTCTTCGACGAGCATCAGGTTTGCCTTTCGGGCGTTGAGAAGTAAGTTCTCGAGCTCCTTGTTCCGGATCTCGAGAGCCTCAACCTCGAGCCTCTTGCGCTCACGAGAAGACTGGGCGGCGCGACGGTTGCGGAGAACGCGCTCGACACGCCGCTGCTCCTTTTCGTCCTCCGTCTTGGCTCGTTTCCTGCGAACATGGGTCAGGCAGGAGTCCGAAATGGGAAACGGAAGGCAACATACCTCGGAGGGAGGTTGGTTTTGGGCTCGGGTAAGACTTGGCCCCATGATTTTCGCTTCTTGGAAGACTTCTTTTCCGACGTGGGCCCAGGGGTCTCTGACTGATCCTCAGGAACTGAAGATAACCGCTGGTCGTCGGCTGTGGGCTCGGGCGTCATCATGTCCATGGGGTTCATCGTGGTGGGCGCGGGAGACGAAGGGCTGGGTGACCGGAAGAGGCCCTCGCTGGGAAGCGTCGAGATGAGCGGCTCGGTCGAGGCCTCAAGCTTGACGGTGGGCGAGGGTTGCTGAAGCGCCATGTTGGGGACTCTTTGTGGTGTTGAGCGGTGAGTTTGGCTTTGCTTGGGTGATGACGCTACAGGAGCCCGTTCCGTCAAAGACTGTTATACGTGGGCGGCATGGCAGGCGGCGAGTGAGTCAGCGGCCGGAGCGGGGCCTGGATAAAGCGAATGAGTGGGCGTCGGGTCAGGTGACGATGGATGAGGGAAGAGGACAGCGTGTCTTGATGTATTTGGCGTTGGGCCAGGTGCAATCCCGTAGCTGGACGGCGGGCTGTGGAGGGTCTTTATCTAGAGGACACAGTGGTAGGATCGGGGGTGGGATGGGAGGAAGGGGGGGGGGGGTGCCTCAGGCAGGCAAGGGCCGACACGGTACGTACTCCGTACTGACTACGGATACAGGACACGAAAAAAAGGGGGCCCCCGCCACCAAGGGCAGTTGCGGAGGGGAAGGGACGACGGAGGGGGCTGCGCCATGATTCCAGGGAGGAGGAGCGAGCGGATACCGCTTAGCTTCAGGGGAGTGGAGCGGGGGAAAAGTTTCCAAGTTGCGGGAGCACAGCTATTTTTCACGGCATGCGCTTGGCAGTAGGTATCCGTATCTCGCCAGGGGAAGGCAAGCACCGAGAGGGAAGTTGCGAGTAGCGCCTGCCCCAGGCATGGAGACGCTGTGCCTTGGCAACGCTCGGCGGCAGGCATGCTGAGTTGTGCCTGCCATCCCGAGCCTGGGAGGTTCGAATTCTATCCGCGCCTTCCGGAGGATACAGTGAACTAGTGTCTGTCTTGTCAAAAGCCGGCAGCCAAGAGAAGGGAGACGCGCAGATCACCACAAGCATGTTGGACGTACTCTACAGCACGGTATTCCCGTATGCTTCTCGTATACCCGTGGTACCAAGTAGCTGTGCCCCAGTCCATCCGCATAGCCGGTACTTCGTATTTGCTGAAAAGGAGCGGCTGGAATCGCCCACGCACCTCCCAAGGTTCTCGCCCCTATTATCTCTAATAAGCAAGTCGCACCTTCCTGTATACACACGAGCCAAAGCAATGAATGCTTTCCCTGGTTTTTGATGCAAGCTGCCGACTTGGACTCGCGTCCGTCCTGCTTGCTAAGCTTGCTCGCCGCTCAAAGGCAGGGAGCACTCCCTCCTCCAAGGGCCTGGATCGCCGAGGGAGACGGCCGAGACATTGGCCAATCTCGACCCTTTTCGCTCATTCACTGCATTACAAGGCCTGCGACATTCGCATCGACAGACGTTAAACCACCGGGCCTTGCTATTGTTCAGGGCTCTGATTCACATTACACAGGCTCGGCATTAAAACCAATGCTTCGGGGATCCAGATAGCTTTTCATGACCAATCCATGGCCAAAATAGTGCTCGACTGCTTCGAATCTGTCGACGCATCCCAAAGACGCCGCATCTAGAATAGCCCCCTACTCCCTTATTCATTAGCCCGACTCAGACGCGACCCACGAGCGTCTGAGCGGCAGGACTATTCGGATACACAGTAATTACGGATAGGCCCACGGGGAGACCAAGACGGCATATTCCCTTGCGCCCCTGTTCATCTCCTTTCTTCTTTTTCTTTTTTTCGTACCTGACTTGCATGTTGCACGTCTCCATGTCTCCATGTCTCGCCCTCTCTTGGCGGGCTTTCACAACCACCTTCGGCGGCGTAAGGGAGCGCCCGAAACGACGGGACGAGGGTTCGGCCCGCCGCCAATCGGGATGGAATCGAAAACCTCGGCCTCGCGCTCGCGCCAGAGACACAGCTAGAAAACAAAACACGATGAGAATGAATGCCAAAGGGAAAAGAAAAAACGACGGATGCATGGCATCGCGCTCGTGTGTGCCCCCTGCCTTGGGTAGGGTGAGTGATGGATCGTGGGCATTTCCGAACATGAGCAGAACCAAGTATCCGTGGCATCCATCCACCTGCAGACCCTTCAGCTATAGCTAACCCGACACGCGTACTCGGCAAAATGCCATGTAGTACGGGTGAATGCAGGCACACATACTGTACATTTCACTGGAATAAGTCCCCCGGCCTGAGTAATTAGCAAAGACGTCTTTGTCCAATGTCAGACCGAAACATCCCCCCCCCCCCTTCGACTGTCGACTGTCATGGCCGTGGCGCGCAACTTTTGGCCCGTCACGACTAGCTCGTCAAATAGCTTTTGTTGTCATCCGATGCTACCGTAGCTGCCCGTCACATTCTCTCGATGCTGTTTGTTTGCCTCCCTGCCGCATCGTCGCATGTCTCGCCTCGTCTCAGTCGAGCCTGTCTGTGCATACACTCACTCACTCTCCTGTTGCGGACATAAGAAATTGATTGACCCACCCATCTTCCACTACGCACAGTAGCCATACAGTGCAGTCAGTGTATCCGTATGTGTGCGTCCAACGGCTGGCTGTCTGCATGGCCCCTCGCCGCGGGCAACATGAATCGCATCCTGTCCACAGTCAAGGGTCAGGACTCGTACGACGGTAGCCTGATCTCTCTGCCTGTCCCGCGCGTGCATAAGTTACAGTATTACATGTGCATTACTTGCGGAGTAGCCACACATACAAAACACACACAATGCTGTCGTGCCGGACGCGGCTCTTCTAGAAGCCCAAACGCTCGTCCAAGCTTCCCAATATACCTCGCGTTTCAGCATCAGTCGGCACCGAGCGTGGGGCCATCGTGATGATTCGCAAGGGACCACCTCTCCTTCCGCTCTCCTGAGGATTACGAGCTCTCAGCGCCGGCCCAAACGACGCGATGCGTAAGCGCTTGCAAATGTCGTGCGTGGGACACATGGCGGCATGCCAGAGCCGTGGTTTGCTTCCACAGAAAAGGCTGGCTGGTTGTGTTGCTTCGCAGCCTTTTCCCGCCGGCCAGGCCAGGAAATATTGAAGTCAAACAGGACCATGCTTCATCGAGAAACCAACCTCGATGCTGTGAACGGCGGCCACAGAGTGAAATAACTCTGCTGCGCCAACCGCCAAGTGATAGGGAGGCTCTCGGCTCCTCCGTCGCCGGCCTCCACTGCGTGCATGTCTGTAACGTCGGGCCCTCCCACGGCGGAGCCCCTCTTCTTTGTCTGCACACAGTAGTAAGTACTGTACGCACACATTTACCAGTCTGACCAACATACGATGCTTCGTAGGGAGGGCCATATTAACGTAAGCCCAAGCGAAACGACCCAGGGATATCAATGCAGCGGCAAGTCAGTTGCGCTGCGTGTGCGCTCTCGCTTATTAGCCTCGAACACACAGATGCTAGGGCTTTATGCGAGCGTAACATATGACGAGCCGGGGTCCGACCTGGAGGGCGCGGGTCCTGCTTCGCTCCTCACTGGACCCGTCTGGCCTTTATCAGATCCTTGGCTGCCGTGACCTTTTGCCTTTGACCCGAGTGTCCCATCGCCGGCTGGCCAGATGGGCGGGCCGTTGGAGCCAAGAGCCCCCCAGTCTTGAAAAAGGCTCATGTGGCACTCTCCGAGATTGCATGCGATGGGCGTCCGATGCTTGGGGGGGGGGGGCCGAATCATCGGTAAGACGGGTGACGAATGGGCTGAAGAAGGATGCAGAAGCTCCGCGAGGGGGGCCAGGCAGCCACCAGCTCACCATCAGCATCCCCAAAGCAGCAACACTTCGGTCGAGCCATCATGCAAGTATCTTTTCGGGCAGGACGCTTTTGCAGAACAGGCAGGTAGCACAGGAAGAATCAGATGCCCTTGGAGCCGTGCCCCCTGGCTGCTGCCTCTTCCGTACCGCATGTCTGTACGACATCCATCCATCCGTAGTTGCGTACATAGCTTGTTGGTCCATCCACGCTTATACAGCCGAGGTGCTTCCTTTGCCCCGGCACAACCGGAGTAGATAATGGACATTGGGGGTCCCTTGGCTAGCCGTGTCTCGGTCGAGCAAAACCAACGACACTCGGGAACTTTAGCAGTCAATCACTTGATAAAAAGGGCCGGGCCGGGAAAAACGGTCGCAGGAGATCAGGGGCGAAGGCGGCGACTGCTCTTGCAACCACGATGAAGACGACGGCGACGATATCGACAGATTCAAACTCGAGGTCGGCGCCGGCCAAGTCGTCAAAGGCGGCGGCGGCAGCAGCAGTATCGGCACCTCCCTCGCCTCCCCTCACGCCATGCCGCGTCTCGGCCGATGATTTCGCCAAGCAGGCCTTTGACTTCCTCGTCATCGGCGGCGGCACCGCCGGGCTGGCCGTTGCCTCGCGGCTCGCGGCCGCCACGAGCCCCTCGCTGACCGTCGGCGTCATCGAGGCCGGCGGCGTCGTCGCCTCGTCGTCCCGCGACCATGTCGAGATCCCCGCCATGTACGGCCGCGCTCTCGGCGGATGCCATGACTGGGGCTTTGAGACGGCGCCGCAGGCCGGGCTCCGCGGCCGGAGCCTCCCCTGGCCCCGGGGCAAGGTGCTCGGCGGCACCAGCGCCCTCAACTTCATGACCTGGAACCGTGCCAGCCGGGCCGACTACGACGCCTGGGAGGCGCTTGGCAATGCCGGATGGGGCTGGGATGACTTGCTGTGAGTCGTTTCCTTTGCGCATCCCTTCTTCCCCCCCTTTCCCGTCTCCCTTGTCGTGGTGGGCGCGGCGTAACTGCACATGTCGTTCGTACATGCATGACCCGACCACCCTGTGTAACAGGAAGCCCTTTCTTGTCCAGGCGCCAGCCTCCATATGGCCGAGACCATGAATGGCCCGTCTCTCTGTATCTCGCACCGCCGCTGCGCCTGTCCCATGTGCATGTACAGCCACCCATCTGCATCCCTAAACTTGACTGACACAAAGTGCCGTCCTCCACCCTCTCTCCAGACCCTGCTTCAAGCAGTCGGAGACGTTTCACCCGCCGAGCAAGGCCCTCGCGGGCGAGCATGATGTCTCGCACGATCCGGGCCTCTTTGGCTCCTCGGGCCCCATCCAGGTATCCTACTCGACCGACTACTCCCCCTCTCACCGGCTGTGGCATCGCACCCTCCACGCCCTCGGCATTGCCACTAACCCAGCCCACGTCGGCGGCTCCAACGTGGGTGTCTGGACAAACGTCAACGCCGTCGACCCTCGCACCGCCAGCCGCTCTTACGCGACCAGCTACTGCGCCTCGTCGCCACCCAACCTGCACATATTGACCGATGCCACTGTCCATCGCATCATCCTCGCCCAGGATAGAGGCGAGTGCAGAGCAACGGGCGTGCGCTTCGCGTGCCAAGGCAGGGAGCATGTGGCACTCGCATCTCGCGAGGTTATCCTGTCGGCCGGAACCGTGAGCTCGCCGCAGATTCTCGAGCTATCCGGGATAGGCGACCCAGGGGTACTGTCTCGGGCCGGCGTGCCTGTCGTTGTCGAGAACCCGAGGGTTGGGGAGAACCTCCAGGACCACCTCAGTGAGTCTAGACACGAGTCTGGCAGACGCGTGGAAAGGTCTGCTAAGACGACGCCGTAGTGCTGCCCATGGTCTTTGAAGTCGACCCCGATCTCGAAAATCCGGACAAGCTCAAACAAGACGAGTCGATGGCGGCCGCTGCGATGGAAAGATACGTCAGGGACCGCAACGGGCCTCTCACGGTGCTGCCCTGCTCCATGGCCTATGTGCCGTTCAACCACTTCGTCTCGGACGAGAGGCTGGCTGCCATGTCGCGTCAGGCTGGGGAGCTGGCGGCCTTTGACGCCGACAAGCGACCCGTCTTGCAGCAGCGGCTCGACGGCACGGCCAACTTGGGCCAGGTCGAGTACATCTTCGACCTCGGCAACTGGAGCACACGCTTCCAGGGCACCGAGGGGAAGCAATACGGCACCATGCTGCTGATGCTGCAGTATCCCTTCTCCGTCGGCTCCATCCACATCCGTCCCGGGGCGACGCCCGAGGACCAACCCGTCATCGACCCGGGATACTACGCCGGAGCCCACGGCCAGCTCGATCTGCAGGCCATGAAAGAGGGCGCCCGGTTCGCGGCCAGAATCACTGCCACGGAGCCACTGGCCGGAATCATGCGCGGCGCGGCGTCGCCCCCGGCCTCGACAGTGAGCGACGAGCACCGACTGAAGGAGTGGATCGCGGACAACACGATGACGGACTGGCACCCCGTGGGCACCTGCGGCATGGGCGGCCGCGCAGGCATCGAAGGCGGCGTCGTCGACGAGCGGCTGCGCGTGTACGGCGTCAGGGGCCTGAGGGTGGTGGACGCGAGCGTCATGCCGCTGCAGATCAGCGCACATCTGCAGGCGACGGTTTACGCCATTGCCGAGAAGGCGGCTCGCATGATTCTTGACGATGTCGGCGAGGAAACGGAGGCCGGGGCAGCATCAATGGGCAAGGTGGAGGAGGGGATGAAGTGTTGACTCTGGGCGGGAACCACGCATTGTAGCCATAGTTTCGATTGCCCGGATAAAGACGTAGAGACTCGGAGATGGAGCGCAATAACTGTAGAGCTTACGGGGCGAAATAGAGAGTCGTACAGAGAAGGTTGCCTTAGTGTATGTAGATTATGCTTCTTGCTGGAGATGGTCGGGTAGCATTTCTTTACACCTACGGAGCACGGGAAAAGTTTAAGCCGCCGCGGATACAAATCTGCCTCCTCGTCACGTCGTTCATCATGATGTCGAGACAACCAATCCAATCCCCCGACGCCGTCGCAGTCAAAGAGAGAACAGCCCCCGTCCCACCGAATCGAGAGCCATCGTGAAGGAGGCAAAGAAAGAAAAGGAGAGCAGGGCCTGGACGGTGGTCCCGCATGGCTCCATCCTCAGCGGCCGACCAGCTTGAGCTCGAGGTGCCGCAGCGGCGCAAATGTGACGAGGGTAAAGCCGCATCCGATCCATAAGCCAACATCGGCCGTCGCCGCCAACTTGGCCAGCGGGCCGACATACCAGGCTTGGCTCATGCCGAGGACCGCGCCGACCCAGCCGAGCAGGAAGGCGGCGAGGGCGGCCCAGCCGGCGGGTAGATGAGCGCGGTCCTCGCAGCGAGACCAGTCAAAGGCCTCGGCGACGCGGCGGCGGCGGAAGAGGAGGTGCTCCTCGAGCACGATGACGACCATGATGACGACCCAGTAGCCCATGAGGGCGAGGAAGTTTTGGAAGATGAGGAACAGGTGCTCGCGGCCGGCGACGGCCAGCACCAGCTCGACAAGCACCAGCAGCGACGACCAGACCCAGCGCGGCACCGCCTTGCCGTAGCGGCCGAGCGTCTGGCAGCCGAGCGCGGCCGAGTAGGTGCTGGGAATCGAGTTTGCAATGACGCCCAGGGCGACGACGACGGAGCAGAAGCGCCCGAAGCCGCCAAGGGGCTCGTAGCCGGCGACAATGAGGGCGCCCGAGCTGACGCCGTTGGCGGCGGACCAGGCCGGCATGTTGGCGACGCCCGTGCCGAGGCCAATGGCGATGAGATAGACGAGGCAAAAGGCGGTCCAGAGGCCCACGAGCGTCAGGCAAAAGATCTTGAGGCGCGACGTCTTCTCCGGGTAGTAGACGTAAAAGTCGGACGCGGCGGCGGCCCACGAGTTAGGCACGTACAGGCAGATGTTGAAAAAGGACAGGCGCTGGGCGGCCAGCAGCGCGCCCTGGGCCTTGGACGTGGACGAGGCGTCAAAGTAGGGGCCCGCGACGCCGATGAGGACGAAGAGGGCGAGCACCTGGGGCAGCCACGAATAGCGCTCGTACCGGTGGAAGAGGGCCATTCCGAAGACGGCGACGACCCAGCACACGACGGAGACGACGACGATGCCGACGACGATGGTCATTCGGCCGCCGCTGACGGCCGACAGCACCTGACCGCCTATGATGCCGTCAATGGTGGCGTAGCCGACCATGAGGACCACGTTGAGGAAGCAGGGGATCTTGGAGGGCCAATATCCCATGAAGAAGCGCAGCACAACCTGTCAAGGCCGTGTTGGTCGGCCGACGAGTGAGAGAGGGACGAGGAGTGGACTGACCATGGTGCGGTTCCCGCTCTGCGGCCCCCAGATGCTCATGTAGGCCGTCGTCAGGCTGCCGACCAAGGCGCCCGAGACGGCCAGCAGGGCGCAGTCGAGGAATCCGAGGTTGAGTACCAGCGGACCGAGCATGGCGGCCGCCAGGTTGTTGAGCGAGATGTTTGCGCTGAACCACATGATGGCAACCTGCATATCGTCGGAAAGACTGGGCGGGCGGCGCTCCTCGGGCGGCACGCGGGCGATTCCGCGGGCCTCAAAGCCGGCCAGGCCCTCGATACGGGCATTGAACGCCCCGAGCCGAGACGGAACGGTGGCGGCCGGGCGGGCGACGCCATTGCGGCCGGGCGGCGAGACGGCCGACTCGGCATCCGTGGCCGAGGGTGCTGGGCTCAGGGCTGCGCCCTTTTCGTCGTCGAACAGCTCGGCCGTGCCCTTGGGCGATGCCGAGATCCGGCCCTGTGCCGTCATGGTTTTCGTCGTGGTGGGCTGGGAGGACCAACACACACACCTCCGCCCCCCCCTTTTTACCTCTTGCTCGAAGCCTTTGCTATGCAGCGGCCCTACCACGCCGCTTCCGTTCTGAGAAGCAAGACGGGACGCAAAGAGGGAAAATGGTGAATGGCGGAGACAGGTCGACGGGCAGATGACGATCTTGGTCGTGGTTGGTTGGTGGTGAGACAGACTGCTCTTGGTTCCTTAGCGTTAACACAGTGCCGGACAAGACAATCCAGAGCCTCTTCCAGCTCGGTCCTCGTCGGTGAAGAGTCCGATGGAAAGCTGCAATGGAACGCTCTCAGAGGAAGAGGGAGGGGGGGAAGAGGAGGAAGGGGAGAGAGTAGAGCGGGAGGCGCGGGGTGAGGAAGGATAGGGTTTATGCCTGGGAGAGCTGGAAGGGCTCTTGGGCAACGAAGAACAAGACCCAGCCTTGCGACGGACGGAGGGACGGAGGGACGGACGAGTAAGAAGGGGGATGACGGGCTTTTGACCCTCGATCCAACAACACATGGCGTGCATGCACACCACCATGTACGTCCATACATATATACGTGCGTTGCCTGACTTACATACATAGCCATGCCATATACATACATACAGCCGCCAGAGAGGGAAAAACCATGTTTGCTGCATGCATCATGGGTAGCATGTAGGTATGTGTGTGTGTATGTAATATGCATGTATGTAAGTGGACGCAGGCTTGGCCGCGTCTGGGTGGAGAAGAGGAGGCTCTCTCGAGACGACGCTCTCCCACTCCGCCCTGCCGAAGGATGCGACAAGCGGCGATGCGACAAGCGGCGTAACCAAGGTGGCCCGGCCGCGGCCGTTGCTCTGGGCCCCGGGTGGAGAGAGAGGGACGCCGCTGCCCCAGCGAACCTTGCCGAAGGAGCAAAACAAGCCTGGTGAGCCGCCGAGGTGCCCCGGGAGAGAGAGAGCGGGCGGGCGACGGGGCCATCGGGCAGCCCTGTCTCTCGTCGGGTTTGCCCCCTTCTCGCTCTGCCGCGCCCGTGGCCTGCCGCGAACCACGCCGCCGGGCCGTGAAACACGTTTGCCACCTCGACGGCGGGCCGGGAATCTGCGTGCGTCGCTCGCTGCCAGGCACGGTGCCGGCTTGGTCGTCAGCCGTGGAGGGCAGACATCAAAGACAGACAACGCGGTGAGAGTGAGAGTGCGCGTGAGAGAGGGAGGGGATGCGGCAACGACCAGCCCGTTCCGCCCCGTCGTCTCGCCTCCATCTGTCTCGCGCCCACCGCCGCAGAGACAGGAAAAGGAAGAAGGAAGAAGAAAGGGCCAAATGCGGGGTGCGCAGCAGCAGCATCTGGCGGGGGCGAGGGACGGGTAAGGTAGGGGAGGGGGGGTTCCAGAAGGAGTCGACATATTCCCACATAGCTCCATACATACACATATACAGTATGCATAGCGTTGTACAGCATGCGCTGTATGGATGGACCGCAGCTGGCCCCCGGTGAAACAAGCCCGCGCGGCTGACGAGAGGCGAAGGCGAGAAGAGGCGAGGCCGGACGTGGTGGATGGTCAATGGGCTGATGATGCCCGGCTTCTCTGCATGGACAAGGAAACAAGCCCATGCATACTCCGTATGTCGGACGCGTTTGCACCAACAGATTCGTCCATGGCCGTTTCGCCATTGCGCGCAGCGGCCGCAGGAGGCCGAGGACGGATGGCGAGGCCTGTTTGCGCACCGAGCACGTACACCACCACTATGCAATGCAGTGTAATTAATGCGCCGGATAGGTACAGCGGGCGTAACTCGTTCTGCATGTGCGGCCGGAGCATAAGCTCTATCGAGCCGTCTCGCGTTTCACCTACCGAGAGGATATTCCCATCCACCCTCCGCTGCAAGACCGAGGACGAGCGTCGACATCGGCCGTCGTTGCCGGCGGGAGCGCGGGAACACGAGGGGGGAAGAGGAGTGATTGATAGCATTTGGTTGTCAGAGGCGGACAGGGGGGGCCTTGGACTGGCAAAGAGAGCCAGAGAGAGAGAGAGTGTGTGTGTGTTGATGCAAGACGGGCGGGCGGATGCGCTGCGACGGGACGAGATGCTTCGGCGCGGCACTTTGATGCTCGAACTCGTATTTTCCGCCTCTCCCACCTGTCCCCGGCTCTGCTATCCGCATGCCGTATCCGTACACACGCAGCCGTCGTCTCTGCCTCGTCCCGTAGTTCAACCATCTGCCTTGGCGAGATAAGCTCGGCATCCATCCGTCTTACGGATACACACCGTTGGGCCAGCTCCGCAGGGCGGCGTTTTGCCTTTCGGTCCCTTGCTCGCGCAGCAGGACATTCAATGCCTCTTGGTCTGCTGCGTGGGGGGCATCGGGCCGGGTATTTCGACGCCGGCCGGCTGGAATGCAAGGGGGAGAGGGTGCTTGATGGCTTTTTGTGAGCTGGAGCCGTGTAAGCGAGCGAGCAACATGGCGAAATGGGGCAAGACGACACAGCCGGAGACGGGCATAAAAAGAAAAAAAAGAAAAAAAACTTGCATTGACACACGGTGGAGATGCGAGTCGCCTTGGCCCACCGCGGTCCGTGTCCTCCATGTCCGGCCCGGCCCGGCCTGTCTCTCCCTGGTCCCCCCCGCGCCGGCTTACTGTGCTGTATTAATTAATACTCCCAGTACGGATCCAGCCATGTTTCCTTTCCCTTTTCCCTCCTCCCCTTGTCCTGCTGTGTGTCCTGGGGCCACGGGTGCAAATGGCATTGCATGCTTCTGGCCGACGCCGTGGCTGTCCATGCATGGAGTCCATGTATGGACATACTTGTGCATGTGCGTACAGCAAGGAAATGCGCCCATCATCGCGACTGAATATATGGGGTATCAAAGGGACGCTGCAGCAGAGTCTTGTTTGGTTGCTCGCGTGCGTGCTGCGGCTGCTTGCATGCAGGCATCCCGTGAAGCCACGGCATGGGGAGCGAGGTGGCTGGCATCGCATCGCTCGACTGTCCCTTGCTCAGCCGCCCGCCCCGTCGAAGCCCTGCCATGGCTGCCAGATGCAGTAAACCACTCACAGCCTCGAGTCGACAGTCGCCTGCCCGTCGGATGCTTCGACCCATAAGCAGCCCCCTTCGACTGACCGTGGCTTGCCATACTCTCTCACGCCCACGACTGTCTCTCGTCTCTTCGCCGCCGCCGCCGCCGCCACCACCACACCCACCCCGTCTTTTCCCAGACGGGCAATCTTCTCGGTCGCGCGGGGGGAGCCAGACTGCCTCACTCGGCCCACGGATGGCCGCATTCGGCAGCTGACGACGTAGGTGCCCGTCATATTCTCGTCCACGCCTCCCATCCCGCCATCCATCATCTGCCGGCAACGTGCTCACAGCGCAGGCGGCATGTAAAACTCACATCCAATGTCACGACCCCCGCCAAGACCGGAGCGTAGCACTTCACATCATCAACATTGCATCCCCCCCTCCCCCCCGTGACGCATTGGCTGCTTCACATCCACGAGTACAAGACGTCTGCATGACAAAGGGAAATGCTTCTCAAGCCTGTGGGGAGTTTGGATGCCGCCGCCAGGCTCACACTTCTGGCCTACCAACGCACAGACCGTCGCACAACATGCCCCTCTCCTCCCAGGGTGCCCCGATGCCATCATCGCACGTCGTAGGGTTACGTCAAGCTCCAGGGATCTCGCTCGCTCGGGAGCAACCGCGTGCGCGCCAAGCGACCCTGCTCGCTCATCAGTCATGTCGATGCTGTCCATGTAAGCTCATCAGAGCAAACAATTCTTTCCGCCGAGCCTCACCCCCTTTTCCTTTGTCACCCTCCCTCCAAAGTCCAAGCTGGCTTTCGTGCCTGGCTGGCACGGCTTGTCACCGCGGCGACTCCGACGACACGTCCACCGTCGTAAACACCATGATCTTGTCGCCGCCGCCGCCGCTGCTCGTCGAGTCCGCCACCCGCGCCGGGCAAGGCTGCTGCATTTCAGGTTCCTCGCCTCTATCGGCACTCACAGCTGCGTGGTGGTGGTGATTGTGCGTGTGTCCCTGCAGCACCAGTTCGATCTGGCTCCCATGGTCCGAACCGACGGGCTGAGATGGCGACCCCTCGCTCGCCGCCCCGGCGCATTCTTGATCCTCGAGCTTGTCCCAGTTGGTACCCATGACGGTGGTGCCCATTGTGCCCAGCGGGTTCCTGGGCCGCTTCTTGCGGGCGCTGCCGCTGATGGTATCGCCGTGGTATGAAGGCGTTTTGGAGATCTCGGTGTTCCCCAGCGCCAGCCGCAGGATGGGCCAGCACAAGGGTAGGTTGCCGACCATGACGGCGATGCCGACCTCGGCGACATACCAGTACAAGAAGACGTACGAGTTTGGCGTGCTGAAGTTGTAGTAGCGGTTGAGGATCGAGGCAAGAATCTTCAGTGAGATGGCAAGTCAGCAGACAAGAGGGCGGAAAGGGGGGCCGCAAGAAACCATAGTATCCTCACGTTGAACACACCCAGGCCCAGAATACAGCAGAGAATAACCTTCCTAGTGCAGTAGTCAGCCAGCTGATTGGAACTAAGCCCGTGTTCCTTCATACCTCTTGACCGCCAAGCGTGTCTTGATGATGATGGGAATCGGAATAAAGAGAAGCAAGAGGTCGGACGAGATGTTGCAGGCCGTCGCGAATATCATGTGGTGGTAGTAGGTTGCGCATTGCACTGCATGCCTGTCAGCCATTCTTGTGCCTCTGCCTGGGCTTCGCACTGCCGCGTACTGATCTTGACGGGTACCGCCCAGTACTCGTGGGTCGGGCTGCACCAGAAGAAGATGAACATGAAGACAACGACCAGGTACGTGACGGCGCAGTACACGGCGGCAATCTTGACGAGTGTGTGCTGCCTTGTCAACGTGTTTCTCCTGGATAACTGGTCAGTATAGAGAGCAAGCCACGAGAATAGGACGAGGACGCACGTCAGTCGGGCGTAGAGAATCAAGAGGCAGGCCTTGACTGTCCAGATGGCGGTGAGGGTAAAGATTTCGAGGACAAAGGTCATGATGCTGCCGTAGACGGCTCTCTGGACTTCAGCCGGGGAGAGGACGGCGGCGGCCTTGGGAGGCATGTAGTTGCTGCCATTCTTGGCAACCTCGTTGATGGTGACGACGACGCCGGTGAAGTTGATCTGGATCCTGTTAGACGGATCGAGCGTTGACAGGGCAAGCTTGGACGAGTCTTGCCAGCGTCGGGCCAAGGGCCGACTCGACGTACTAGAGCAAAGATCATGAGATAGTCGTCAATCATGAGGGCTCTCCATTTGCCCAGCTTGATTCGGCGCGAGGCAATGCGGCAGCCGACCACGACGACGCCCAGAGAGAAGAGGACCCATGATTCGATGGCCAAAGAAGTGGTGTCCATGGTCGTAGCGGCGTCGGGTTCGTCATGAGCAAGAGGATGGGCTCAAGCAGGCGAAGCAAGCGGAGGAGAGGTCGGTGTGTCGTTGGAGCGTGCGAGATTCGGGTCGCCGGGCACCGAGTTGCCTTGCTCGCCCTCGAGCAGCCTCTGGAGCGACGCTGAACCAGCTGTCGTTCAAACGGTCGAGGCGGGTTCTGCAACGAGGACGGCATGAGCCGTACCTGAAGCGCAACCACCCAGCTATATTACATGGTGGTGGATTCGCACATGATAAACACGCCCCAGCCTTTCCGGGGTCGCAAGCAAGGAGGTAGGCCCACCGACGGCCGAGGGGAGCGGACCATCGGACCAGAGCGAATGTGACCGGTTTGGGGACCCCTGTTGCAAGGGAATGCGTTGACATGGCTTTTTGCTCGTCGTTTCTTTTCTTAGAGTGTGCTGGCGTGACGGGTGCTGGGGCAGCGGAGCACAAGGAGCATGGTGATATCGGCCCAGATATTTCGTCGGAGCCGTGGCGAATCACACACAGGCGTCCATCTGCCGGCAGCGGCGCGCCCCCTTGGCGTGCGGGTCGCGATCTGCGAGCTTTGGCACCCGCTTCATGCACTGCATTGGGTATCATCAGCCACACGCACAGAGGCTGCCACTGCGACATGCTGAGCCTGCCCTGGTCACTGCGACCCATACTGATACTGAACCTGTCCCGGGGACGTGTGCGCGAGCGAGACGGAGAGCAAGAGGCTTCGGGAGAGGGCGAGAGGAATAGCGAGAGGACGAGAGGGGGGCAAAGAGGCCAGCGACGGGGGAAGAGGGGGAGGCAGCGGGTGTTTGGATGGCACCGAGCACCGTTTGCACTGTACTACACTGTACAACGCCGTGTATCCGCTGGGCCATGGAAGATGGCCGAGCCCTAACTTACAGCGATTCCCCCCACTGAAGAGCCCGCTGAAGATTTCGATTCCCCTGCGACTGACAGTGCCACCACCAAGCATGGTCCCGAGCCGGAGCCTCCAAGAACAAGTCCGAGTGGCAGGACCGGCCGATACGCCGTCCAATGAATGGCCGGGTGCCAGCCGCGTCATGTATGCATGGACAAAGCCGTACTGTGTGCCGGCGAAATGGAGTCGACGCCGAGAAGCAGACCTTGACGAGTGTGGTGAAAACCTGCACGCAGATACGGACACCCTTCTCGCCATTCCTCCTGGCAATGGACGTCGTCTTGTGCAGTACTGGACGTTTCCATCCGTCCCTCTCTGTGACTGAGAGAATTGGCAACTTGGAGTTGCCGTCGCCTCGCCGCTCGTGCATACTACCAGCATCTTGTTTTACATAGACACTCCCAAGTATGTACTGTACAGCAAACTGTATGTATAGTATGTATGCTTCTCTGTCCCACCCGACTTCTGACAAAAGCCTCTCGTGCCATTAGCCGCTACCCTGTCCATGGACATGAATTGGCCCCCCTTTTTCTGTCGTCGGCTCTCCCTACCCGCGCCGCCAGCAACGAGACCCCCTTGTGGCAATACATACATGGGCGGTATATAATAACAAAGCGTGTCGCCTCCAGCCGACTTCACACCACAGGGTCAACGTTCCCTCGCCTGCCCTTGACGATGCCCTCGATATCAGACGTGACCCATCCGCCGTAGAAATCACCCGGCTGCGCCTCGACCCTCTCGCCGTCGACGAAGCACTCCCACGGCGGCCCAGCGTAAAAGGACAGGTAGCCGCGCAACGGCGCAAAGCCCGCCGTCGGCTCCTCGTACGACCAGATGCGGTCCGCCACCACCACGTCCCCCAGCGCCACCAGCCAGTACGTCGCCGCGCCCTTCCACTCGCACCCCGTCGAGCGCCCGGTGCGTGTCAGGGCCGGCCTGACCGACGACGGCGGGAGGTAGTATGCTGTGCCGCCGACTCGCACGCGATATATGCGTGCCGTATTGCAACAATCAGCTGCTGCCTTTTCTCTCTCTCTGTCTGTGCGACCAAGGACAGGAGTAGACGAGGAGGGGGAAAGGGAGGCCGGGGGAACGGGAACTGCCCTATCCTGCAGACTGCAAGTGCCCACTCATGTGGTACTACATGCAACTGCATGGGCATGACATGTATGTATATAAATAAGGGGGAGGCGGAGACGCACTCGGTGGGTGATGCGTCTCGAGCACCCAGTAGCCGTCTCTGGTATCGGCCACCTCTTGGCCCTGATATGTGATGCGAAGGTGTCGCGACGTCTTTTCCAGCAGCGGCGGCCGCGGGAAGCTCTGGACGTTGAGCCTGCTCGTCGTCGTCATGTTTCGCGCCGCTCGGCCAATTTGCGCGGGTAGATGCGACGTATCGACGGCTGAGTGTCGGTCTCGGAAAAGGAGGATGTCACCGGTAAGAAAGCCGATGCAGAGGAGGAAAAGGCGGCTTTGACTGTGCAAGCTGAATGAATGAAGCCGTCATTCGTCAAAGGCGGTGCGTGTGTACAGTAACGTATCTTGTTACTTTAGTCGACGTGGCTGGTGGCCCTCGAATCTGTGGCGGTGCAGAACGTGCGTCACCTCGTGGCGCCCCGCAACCCCCTCCACTCACATGACAATCTCCCCGCCCCAAGCCGCTCCGATCCGCCTGCTTCACACGCACGGCTGACAGCGAACCATCATCCCATCCATCGCAGCCTCACCTCAACGTGTTGCCGCAGCTCCCACCGGCCGCCTATTGAAACGATAAGCCGCCCGCACCCAGGCCGCCCCGTCCGCGCGCACTCACCACCACCCATCCGTCCATCGCCGCCGCCGCGCATACGACGAGCCTTCCGCAATGTCGAACCGCCAGCTCGCGCGCGACACGCAGGTCGAGTTCCAGGCCCGCTTCCAGGCCAAGCAGGCGCGGCGCGAGGCGCAAAAGGCGGCCAAGCAGGACCCCGTGCTGCGCAAGCAGATCCAGGACCTGCTGAAAAAGGGCGAGACGCAAAAGGCCTACCAAAAGGCAAAGATGCTCCTCTCCAAGCAGGCCCTCGCCCAGCAGATGGATCAGATGGCCGATATGGCCGAGCTTTCCGCCGCCCAGATCCAGGCAAACAATGCCATGAACCGCATGACGCACATGATGGGCCAGTCGTCGCGCACCATGAACGCTGCCCAGAGAAACACGAATCCCGAAAAGGTCGGCCCCCGTCACCGCCACCTCGCCCTCTCAAGGCTGAAATCGCTAACCAATCTTCTTCAGACCCTCGTCACTCTCGAGCAGTTCAAGCAGCAAAACGAAGAGTACGCCATGTCCAACGGCATCTACCAGGACGCCATCACCCAGTCCACCTCGGTCCAGGTCGGCGAGGACGCCGTGCACGAGCTCCTCGGCAAGCTCGCCGACGATGCCGGCATCGAGCTCAGCCGCGAGCTCAACAAGGCCACCCCGGCCGCCGCAGAGCCCCAGGCCGCCTCCGCCACCAGCGAGCCCACGGCCGAGGAAGAGGATAAGCTGCAGCAGAGACTGCGCGCACTGCGGGCTTAGACAAGTTTCCACAAGGGGTAAGATAAGAAACGGACACGTTAAAAAGACGGATGAGAAGTCAAGGAATGCGGGAGACCTGGAGTCGACTCGGTCCACGGAGGATGACGATGACTACTTCTGGTCAGTCGTTGAGCGCACGGCTGCTTGCCCTGGACTATAGGATTATTGTTTGGCGTTTGGGAGAGAGACTTGGGCCCGCCTGTCAACTTGCGTCGGACTGTACCTATTTGCTCTTGAATGCGATTTCTTTTGGGTACCATTGCTGAGCCGCCTCCCCAGTGACTCGCCTTTCGGCCCCCTTTTCTTTCCCTAGTTCATCAGCCATGATGCATGTATACCATATGTGCGTATACAGAGCCCCGCGAGCCATCAAATGCCCACGTTCAACATCGTCCCGTCCCGCTAGGTACACTGTCCTGTCAAACGACACAAGCAGCCCGCGCACCCCCGCCCTCACATGTATAGACTTGCCACGGCGGTGATGTCCCTCTTGATCAACTCCTGGGCCTGCTGCATCTTGAGGTATAGCTCCGGATCGCCGACGATGCGCGCCGCGTTCTTGACCTCGCGGCATGTCTCGTCGAGCCGCGTAATTGTCCTCACAATGGTGCCCTCGAGCACATCCGTCAGCGCCGTGATGTTCTTGAAGCTCATCCCCCGCGCCCACTCGTACACCACCTCCATGAGCCCGAAGCGCGCCCGCGACACAAAGTCGTTGGAATCGTCCGACGCCTGGATCACCTGCAGCCGCGTCTGCACGTCGTTGACTTTTTCCGAAATGGCGACAATGGTGTCACGCCCGCGCGACAGGTTGCCCGTCAGTGTCGGCTCGACCAGCGTCTTTTCCTGAAACACAAACGACGACAGCAGTGCCGCAATCTCGGCCGGGTCAAAGTCGGCCAGCACGTTGTCCAGGATAAGCTCAGTCAGCACCAGCTCGTCGCCCGAGTGCACCTCGCACGCCACCTTGCCCTTGAGCTGGATGCGCGTTGCGTCGTCGATGAAGTCAAGCTCCTTGAGCACCTGCACGCGCTGCTCGTAGTCGGGCAGCAGTTGCAGGTTCTGGCCCGAGAGCGACTGCTTGAGCTGCGAGATGTGCTCCTTGATGAGCCATTCGTCGTGGCACATGGCAAACTGTCCAATTTCTGTCAGCGCAACCTTGACCGACACAAGTTCGTTGCCAGACTCACATGCTTCAAGAAGCCCGGGCACGACGTCGCAGGCGAATTCGACATCGACTGCACCAGCTGCGCCCTCTTGTCCACAATCTCTTGCAGCTGCATGCTCTTGATCTTGCCCATGTCCTGCTCGTCCCACCTGTCGTCCCAAGCGTAGCAGATCTCTTGAAGCCGCTCCATCGCTTGTTGTCCGACCTGGCCGGGCTTGAAAATGTCGGGCACCGTGCCCCTGATGACCCATCTTGTCAAGCACTCGATATCACTCAGGGGCACATGCAGCGTCCTCGTCTGCATCCGTCGCTTGCCCTGAGGCAACCTGTGCAAGTACCTGCGGAACGCGGGGATAAAGGGAAGCTGGTCGGTGGCGTCGCGCCGTTCCCTCAGCGGCTTCACGGCGCACACTTGGATCACCGGCTCGTCCAAGGAGCCCCGGGGGCTCATGCCCTCGGAAACGAGCAAGCCGACGGTGCGTATGCCCTCCCAGCTGAACACCACGAGGCGTTGGGGAGAAAACATTCGGCGTCCAATCGTGATCCTCAGAAGCCCTTTGTAGAGCTCGTGCGTAAGCTGCTTAAAGTCCTGAGCGGCCTGGTGGCACTCGTCCATGGCGGTGTCGCACGTGTCGCACGAATCCCGCTTGACCTTGGCCAGATCCGCCTGCGCCAGCTTGACATCCTTTTCGTGCTCGGGCAGCAACTGCTGGGTGGCGTGTTCGGAGAAGCTACGCTTAATCATCTCCTCAATCTTCAACGCCTCAACCCGTAGCAGGTTAAGGATCATGTTGTACGTCAGGCGGAACTGGGACCGCAGCTTGGACGGCTCGCCGAGGATCATGTTGCGCAGTTCCCCCGCGGGAGGCACATCGTCCGAGCCTCCCGGAGGCACGACGATGACCGAGCCAACAGTGTCCAGGCCGCGCCGACCAGCACGGCCGGCCATCTGGGTGTACTCACCGGGCAGCAGGTTCCGGAACGAGTGGCCGTCGTGCTTGCGATAGCCAGAAAAGACCACCGTCCGGGTCGGGAGATTGAGGCCCATGGCAAATGTCTCCGTGGCAAAGAGCACCTTAACCAGCGTTTGGGCAAACAGAATCTCCACCAGCTCCTTGACAATGGGGAGTAGGCCACCGTGGTGAACGGCGATGCCTCGCCCCAAGAGCTCCCGGAGCCTGATGATTTGGGGCAGCACCCTGTCTTCGGGCTTTAATCGTGCAACCGACTTCTCAATAATCATGTGAATGTGGCTCTTTTCAGACGCCGTGCAAAAATCCTGGTTGCTCAGCGCGTCGGCGTTTTCCTCGCATCGCTTCTTGGAAAAGACAAAGATGCATGCCGGGAGCAGGCTCTGCCGGCGGAGAAACTGGACAAGATGAACCCACAAGTTCTTGTCCTGGGCAGCAGACGACATGCCGCCGGGACGCCCGGTTCGACCCATGTGGCCGGGGGCGTGGCTGGCACGAGGAGGGCCGCCGCGTCCTCTTTGCTGGCCACCCCCCACGCGCTGCTGCCCGCCCCCGCCCCGGCCTCCGCCGCGTTGTTGCCCGCTCCTCGGAGGGCCACCTCGCTGGCCTCCCCGGGGATTGCCGCCCCGGATGGCCATAGCGGCTTCCGCCGGCTTCTGCCTGTCCTTGCCCTGAGCGATGCCATGTGCGTCTTTCCAACCCTTTTCGACAAACTTCTTGTCGGCGTCGACAATCATGTGGATGTCTTTGCCAGCCCAGAGGTAGTGCTCCAGGGGCACCGGACGCTTGGAAGTTGAGATGACGTAGATGTCCTTTTGCTTGGTGCGGCCCACCCAGGACGCGAATTCGTGCGTGTTGGGGACCGTTGCCGAGAGCAGGATGAGAGAGACGTGCTCTGGAAGCATGATGATGACCTCTTCCCACACGACGCCCCGTTCAAAGTCGTTGACGTAGTGCACCTCGTCGAAAATGACAAACTCGACGTCTCGGATCAGGTCGGCCCCTCGGTAGAGCATGCTGCGCAGAATCTCCGTGGTCATGATGAGGCAACTAGCCTCGGGGTTGATCTGCACGTCGCCCGTGAGGATGCCGACGTCGTCAAAGTCGTTTCTGAAGTCGCGGAACTTTTGGTTGCTGAGGGCCTTGATGGGGGACGTGTAGATGGCTTTTGTCATGTGCTTGGCCGCCAGGGCGATGGCATACTCGGCCACGACCGTCTTGCCAGCCGAGGTGTGAGCGGCCACAAAGACCGAGTCACCGTTTTCGAGGTGGTAGACCGCTTCCTTTTGGAAGGTGTCGAGCTCAAAGGGCCACTCTCGCGCCATGTCGGGCACCAGCTCCCTAAAGTTGGGCATGTCGCTCGAGATGTCGACCATGTGTGCCCATTCACGGCCAGCCTTCCTAGCGCTGGAAGCTGCGAGCACGCCATGGGGTTCGAGGGAGGGGAACTCGACTGGCAAGATGTCGTCAATGTCGTCGCCGTCCTCTTGGCCGTTGAGAGCATCGTCTTGTGAGACATGGGGGGAGCCGTCGTTGTCATCCCGCTCTGCGCCGCCTGGATCCTCGGGGTCCTCCTCGAGCACCTGCTTGATGGCATTCGCATCCTCGTTGTCGTCAGATGCCGCTTTCTTGCTGAACTTTATGCCGCGCCTCATGCCCGGCGCGACCTCGAGCAAGCCTCCCTGGGCACCGAGTTGGATGACCCTCTCAAGCTTGTTTGCACGAGGGCCATCCTCGTCAGCCGTCCCGCCAGCGTGAACCTGATCCTCGAGAGCGGCCGTGGCCTCGATGCCGTCAAGGCCGCCCGGGGCGAAGGGAAAGAAGCCAGCGGCCCCCCTCACAAATTCGGCGCGGCTTGCGGGCTTGCGTAGCAGGCTGGTCGAGTTCTTTGCCGTGGCACTATTCATCGGCACCGTCACGTTTTCGTAGCCGGTAACCCTGCCCTCGAGGCCACGGCGCAGGAACCGGGTAACGGTGCGGGTCTGCGGGGGGGCAAGCTTGAAGAGCGAGGCATAATCGGCCTCGAATTCCCATCGCTGCTGCAGGCGGTTGAGCCATTCTGTCGAGAAGCAGGCCGAGGGCAACAGGAATTGGTTCTCGAGTTGGCGTTTCACTTGTTCTGTGTCGTCGGACTGGCGCCTGACAGACGCGGCAGCCAAGGCCTCGTCGTCGCCATCAGCCTGCGACAAAAGCAGGGCGTCGATGCCAACCATGTCAACAAATCGGGGCTCTCGTTGTCGCCGGCGGATGCGGCTGTCTGGGGATGAGATGAGCTTTCTGAAGTTGACTCTCTCTTTGGAAATCGAGGTGAGTGTGATGCAGGGCGAGGTACCTTTTTGCTGCAGAGGTACAAGCCCCACAGCGGGCCATTGACGAGAGGTTTGGGCAGCGCTGACATAGGTGGTGACGTCCGCTGTATTTTAGGTGCCCCTGTACGGATACATAGCTCCTTGACTCGTGGGTAACGCAGCTGACATTCTCCTCAAAGCGGCATACCGCAGAGCCAGATGGACCCGGCATCAAGAGGCCCAACACGTCAGAAGAGAGGCAGTCACAAGAGGCCCGAGGCAAGGGAAGAGGGTGTGTTACATGACCACGCAAACTAATAAAAGTACAATGCCCCTTACCCTTGGTCCGTCTATCAAAAGCATCTTGGAAATCGTTGGGAGTGTATAGGCTGGCCGCATCCCGAGCCTACAAGAGTTGTCACTCGTGCTTCTTCTGCCCAGAGTTCAAAGTCCTCGCCTCTCAGCCCCTCCCCTCTTTGCACGCTGGTCGCCGATCCATCGCTTGCGCCGTTGCCTCTCGTCGCCTCCTCTTGGACCCCTTAGACGCGCAGCAGCTTGGCGGCATAGTCCTCAATCAGCTGCTCCGTAGGGAAGCTCATCTCCTCGAGCTTCTGGGCATAGGGGGTCGGGACGTCGGCGCCCGTGACGCGCTGTGCCGGGGCGTCGAGGTAATCAAAGGCATACTCCATCGTCAGGGCGAGAACCTCTGCGCCGACGCCAAAGGCGGGGAAGCCCGACTCGACGGACAAGAGGCGGTGCGTCTTCTTGACCGACTTGACAATGGACTCGACGTCGAGGGGCTTGACGGATCGCAGGTTGATGACCTCGGCCTCGATGCCGTGCTTCTTCTTGAGGTTCTCGGCGGCGACCAGGGCCTGGCCAACGCAGCGGGAGAGAGTCACAATGGTCAGGTCCTTGCCGGAACGCTCGACCTTGGCCTTGCCAAAGGGCAGGACAAAGTCGTCCTTTTGAGCGGCCTCGGACATGGGGAAGGACTGGCCGTACATGAGCTCGTTTTCGAGGACGACGACGGGGTTGGGGTCGCGGATGGCGGCCTTGAGCAGGCCCTTGGCGTCCTCGGCGCTCCAGGGGGAGACGACCTTGAGGCCGGGTACGCTTCCGTACCAGGCCGAGTAGTCTTGGGAGTGCTGGGCGCCGACACCGGCAGCGAAGCCGTTGGGGCCGCGGAAGGTGATGTTGCAGGGCTGGATGCCGCCCGACATGTAGAGGGTCTTGCCGGCCGAGTTGACGATCTGGTCGATGGCCTGCATGGCAAAGTTGAAGGTCATGAATTCGCACTGCCAAGGGTAACATGTGAGCCAGAGAAGCCAATTGACAGGCTGCGGTGGGCGGAGAGGCCAAGGGCGAAGGTACTGACCACGGGGTGCAGGCCGCTCAGGGCAGCGCCAACGGCCAGGCCACAGAAGCCGCTCTCGGTTATGGGCGTGTCAATGACGCGCTTGTCGCCGAAGCGGTCCAGCAAGCCCTTTGTGACCTTGTAGGCGCCATTGTACTGGGCAACCTCCTCGCCGAGGACAAAAACCTTTGGGTTGGCCTCGAGCTCCTCGGCCAGGGCCTCGTTGAGCGCATCTCGGACTGTGTATTCCTTGGTGCCGGCGCCGCTCTCGGCGTACCGCCTGCTTTGCTGGGCGCCGAAGAAGCCGGGCGTGACAAAGGGGCGCTGGGAGAGGGCGAGGGAGGGCGCGGCGGGAGCCTTGACGGGAGCGCGCGTCGAAGCGGCCCAGCGAGCTGCCGGTCGGAGAAGTCGGGACATGGCTCGGAGACGGTCGGTCGGGGTCGGAGGGCAAAGGATGATGGACGAGGCGCGACGGCTACGGCTGAAGCCACACCAGCTCTGGGCGACGCAGCGGCGGGAGGCGGAGGAGGAGGCGTTGAAGGTTGGAGATCTGAGGCTGCAAGGGATCGCAACTGGTGGAGAGGCAAATTTCCTGACGAGCTTTTTCCCGCGCAGCTAGAGGTGATGCGATGTATCTTTTCGCGGGGTTTACTAGCACGTGGGACCTGCTCATGTCGCTGGCTTCTACGGATCTACCTGATGGGAGCTCACCCACTGGACCTCCCCTGCAGCGCCTTTTTTTCGGCGCCCCGTTGAATCGCGGCGGGCAATTGGCGCCGTTCTGTTGGGGACGGGTCTCTGAACCCATTACCTAAGCCGCCCGTCCGTCTCTTCCTCGTCTCACCACTCGCGTGATGGCTTCAATTGCCGTGCATGCTACCAAGCACATCCGACGCCTTCAGTTCCAGTGATGATGCGATTGCAAATCCCGCCTGCGAACGCCAATCATCAGAGACCGTACGTTGCGTCGACTCCGGAGGCCTTTCCCCTGAGGCCATGGCCGTGAATTGAGCACCACCGCCCAAGGGTCAATCCAGTCCCAGTTCACGGTGGCAAGTCTTACCCCAACTCGATCACTGTCGCCTGTTGATACACGCAATGGCGGGATGCCTTTGTCCCGGTGCCAGTTCAGTGTCAGCACCGGCCGGTCGTACCTTTTCGTAGAACACGCTCGTTGGTCCCTCTGCCCACGCCGGCATGCCACAAATGCAGATGCTGAAAAGCAGCGTCCACTTCCTGTGACGCGGCATGTAAATATATATTCCGTGTACAGACACCGTCATCGAGTAGACCAAGACCATCGCATCAAGGCCTGCAACGTACGTTGGCATGCTACGGGGCGTCTCGTGTGTTGGTGAAGCGGTTCCACCAAGCAATGGGTGACGGTGGGCATTCGGTCGAGTTCGATGGCAGTTCACGTCGCACACTCAGGCTCTTAGCCCATTGCTATCCCCTCTTCACTTTCCTCCTTGCAGACCAGTCACAGAGCATTCTTCTGTTCAACATGGATCACATCTGTTCTGTCCGCGTCATTGACCTATAGCTTTCCCTGTGTCTTGTTCAGCTCATCGTCAGGTTATAAAAGGGCCCGATCCCCTCGGGTCTCGGGCTACTCTTTTCTGTTCCTCGACAGGCTCTCTTTGATCAACTCATCTCAACCACCTGCCACGCGGCACTTTCTCGTGAGCATCTGTACTTCCATTCAAGGCACGCTTCCTGCCACCGACGTCAATCCCAGGATTACTGTTCTTAAACCACTCAACAATCGGCCGAGACCCAGACTTCACTATGACCCGGATATATCCCTCCGAGTGTGAGATTCTCGTCGTCGTTGGAAATGATGACACGATCGACAGCATGTGGGAGAAGTTGCAAGATCTCTTGCGCGTCAAGGGCATGGAGAACACGTACGCGGAGAAGGAACGTCGAACTGAAGAAGATTGGATCAAAATCGGCTTGGCCGACTCTTACTCTCCGCCGAATCCAATGCCCGAGCCGTGCAAAGAAATCCGCCACTATCTAAAAAAGCTGGGTTATAAAGAGGGACTGAACACTTCGGGTGGATTCCGTTTTGACCCCTGAAGGCTGCCGAAGTCAGGTGTTGACCTTTGCGTTACGCTCCCTGCGTCATTATGGACGGCTGGCTTTGTCGGGTCTCGCCGCCGTCCATTCAATTTACCATTCGATGCTGAGCACTAAACATCTCAGCCAACACCTGACAAAATCAAGGGACTGGGTGAACTTCTGACATGGTCTGGTCGAGGGTGCGTTTCAAGGACAGCACTGGGGACATTCCCGCATTTGAAGCCGATTTAGCTTGGCCTAGACTTGTCGTCTATGTAGTCTAGACTTCACTTCTCGCGGTGAATACAGTTGCTTTCTACTCATGCTCCTATTTGGTCTCTGCCTCTGTTGAGCGTGATGCCTGGTACAAACAAGTACCATCTTGCCTGGTGGTCTAGGAGTGAATCGGACTGGCAATGTGAAAATGTCGTTGAAATAAGCGGTCTTCTGTCGCCTGGAGTAGACTGCGACTCAAAACCTTGACCCCCCCATGCTACTTCAGAAGAAACGACGATTACTCTGACAAACAGAGCTTACCTGAAGCCTCCATGGAGGCTCAAGGTCCGAGAAAAGATACTAATCGGTCAGCGATGAAATATTGAAGATCAAATGCAAGAGTCGGCTGAAGCCGGGGAACGAGATGCGTCGGAAGTCTGCTATTGAAAACATGGATCGTTGCGTTTTTTTCTTTGAGAACATCACGAGAACATACGGCCGTCTTGTTTCTCAAATCCTGCTTGTCTTGCCCAATATGCACTACCGTCAGCGGTTTCGATCTGGTTTTCGCTCTGGCTACAGCTCCCAACTGCGACGATTACGTCGGGCCGCTACTCTTCGTACAGGAAACTACCCGGCTATTTCGCACCGGTGACTTATATAGCATTCTACCAAGCCGTTTCGGTCCCCGTCCCCTCTATACGTGTACCTTTTGTCTTGAGAAAATGTGACGACGTGACCTCTAGCCGGGTGATTCTCAATAAATGAAGGCATAGAACTCCCCCTGGCGTATCCTTTTTGACTTGCGACTAGTATAAGTCTTTCTTCGAGCCTTGAGTCAGAGCAACCAGGATATGGGCTGTCCCACATCACGAGGGCCCTCAGCCCTACAAATTTAGTGCCAGCACGCGTCTATACTTCGTCGGCACACGGACGTGCAACGGCCTCTTGTAATAACATGTTTATCAGCACTTGCCACACGAGACGCTCATGGAAAAATATCTGATGGAATGTCAGGCTGGTTGGACTAAGAGTGTCTGCAGAAAGCAAAGGTAGGGGGGGCAAAGAGGGACTAACTAACATGAATGCCATGATTTAGCTTACAGGGTACGAGTTTGAGGAGATCAGTGACATTGAGTACCGTCATGGTCAAATATACAAACCATGCTGTCAACACATAGCGACTCCGTTTAAGGACGATGGGGTAGAAACCACGAGCAAAAGGGCAGAGAAAGCATGAAGACGGCGACCCGAGAGACGGTAGATGCACGAAAAGATGACATTGAAGACGGGAAGGTCATCGAAAGCACAATGTTCCACGGCACATGACTTGCATGTAGAGTGCGATGATGCGCTTGAAATAGCTGTGACCTGGCATGCAGCAAGCGCGAACATAATCAAGCTGAAGTTGTTTCTAATTTGCGGTACATATACACTTGAAAGTTGAAACGGTAATGCACTCATGGCTCGTGAATCATGCTTACTTTGCGAATCAGGCGGAACCCGTCCTTGTTTTGTAGGGGCGGAAAAAGTGATCGTCTTTAACTGTCCTTTATATGAGGATCTATCTATTGGGAGCAAGTGGGCAATGCGACGAGAGCCGGGTTCTAAATCTAGATAACTCGTGCCAGGGAGATTGTCTCTCTGCTTCGTACTCATCATATCATGCTCGTCCCTCTTGGGAGCAATTTTCCCATCTTGGGTAGATGGAAACGGCGCCTCCGGCGCTTTACTTCTCATCAAGTCCCGGACCGTGTGTTGGTGGTTGGGGACGGGACGGGCTTCCAAGTATTCTGCGTGGCATCTAACATATATGCGGCCTTGGGCTCCTAATTCTAAGGCGAAAGCAAGCCAAGAATCAGCCCCAGTGGTCGTCGTCGGTATCTGATTCGAAATCGCACTCGGAACACTCTGCATCCTTCCTAGCTTTAGGCCGCTGCCTCTTTTGGAGGGTGTTGTAGCGCAGCTTCGGATTCGCCGGCCCAGACTGTGTCGGTGTCGGTGTCGGCGTCGACGCTGCAGCCATGATTGGCGCTGAGATGTGGACACAGCGCATCTCCTCTTTTTCCTGCCGCTTCCGTAGTGAGAAAGCGGATAAGATAGACGAGAGCTTGGATTTGCAAGGAGGCTGTGGAAAGTCGAAGACGTCGACAGACTGATCCTCGGGGCAGTAGTCCCTGACCATGATGCCGGACTTCGCCCCTGTTGGCCTAATGTTCGCCAAGAGATTTTTGGTGTTGCAGAAGAGGGCTTTCGAAGCAGAAGCTAGACGAGCGATGCGGCAAGCTGGGTTGCTGTGCTCTTTGAAGCCCGTGACGTCTTCGTGTATCATGTAACGTGTATATCCTCGGCACCGTCCAGAGGCTTGCGTCTCGCGTAGAGACTGGAAGTCAAGTGAATGTGGTGAGAGTACAAAAAGCTAAGAGGAATCAAACGAAGGTAAGTTTCTTCGCTTAGAGGAGATGTGTAATGTTGCAGGTGGTCCATGAAAAAGATGAAAAGGTGGCATGTCATCTCTTATATGGAGGAGCCCTCGGGTGCGCTTTCCGAGTTACGCTTCTTGCAGCGTTTAGCATGTTATCGCGTTAAAGACCCGGCTACTCTGAAACGACTTAAATCAAAGTCTAAGTTTCTGACAGAATAGCCTTTCAAGCGAGTAATGCTCTGCGGTGCTGTTGGCAGAAACGGACTAGAGCGGCCAGCGCAAGATGGAGTGTTTCAAGCAAGACCCTTGCGGGGCACCAGAATGTGTGCATGGCTGACTGCCTTCACGGGCAGTGGCGATGCAAATCTACGACGGGGGCTGACAGCTGCCACACCCTTTGGAGGCCTAGAGGGTAGAGTTCCTGCACAGCTGCGCCTGGAAACACGGACCTCAGTGGCATGTGTGGTGGTTGCCGGTTTGAGATGCGAGAGTTCAGTTTAAAGTGTCATCTTGACTCTTTCTCTTATGCTTCTTGAGTCGGCGAGTAGGCTCTTTCCGCACGACCAGGCTTCATACCGGGGGGCTGTTTGGACAAGTTTACGCTCAAGCTCAACCCCAGGCGCGGCTAATGTTGAGCTCAGAGAGTAAGACATGTGGTTTGCTTCTACTGGCAGACAATCAGTGAACAAGAACGTGACTGGTTCAGTACGTAGAGAGTTTTGGCTCGTCTTGACTGTCCACCCGAGTAGTCTACAAGACGATGTTGATCCGCCGCAGCTCGTCATTTTTTTAGAGACAATCCGCTGAGGCTAGAATTGTGCCATGCCGTGGCTCAAGAAGAGCCAAAAGAATGGGGTCAAAAGGGGGTAATTTCTTGTACGCGGTGGCCTAATTCCGTCGGAAGCTCGGAATTCAGCACGGTCTCCAGCGTTTGACCACTTGGAGTAAGAGCATTATCAGGTTGAGAAATCCATTCGTTTCAAGGGCTTAACGCAGATCACGCCTTCCTAGGAAATAATCGCTCTCTGCAACCTTATTTGTTGCCAAGGACATCGGACTGTTTCCCCACGCTCCTCCACAAGGACTAGCGCTGCAGGATGCCGGTCATGGCCAACGGATGTGCCAATACCGGCAGCACGTCCAACCTTGTGTGATTGCCTGAGTCGTGATCTGTTTTTGCCTCCGAGCTACGAGGCCGTCATTCTGCTTCTAGAAAGACTGGAGCAGGGAATCAGGCGTTAGTAAATGCCCGAATCTGGTCCGGCCTAGCACGGAAGTGGAAGTCGAAGCTCAGCGGCTGACTGTCTGTGTGTATCTGACGGGTTACTGTCCATGACATTACTCATAACCTTCACCATCTCCAGTACCAATGAAAGTTCAGGCTTCGCCTAATTCAGTAGTCTCGACAATTTCCTTCCCTTGCCCCGCTGGATAGATAGATATAGCAACTCACCGGAGGCGATGCTTCCGTCGGAGGCGCCGCCATCCGTCCGCATGCCCTACAAGCAGTAGGGAGTTGCAGTCCGTAGGGAGACGCGGTTTATAGGGCAGACACGCAGAGGACGTGTTTTATAATGCAGCTCACCTACTGACATTGTGTCCAGGCAACTTCGTCGTAATAACAACTCATAAGAGTCAGGCAAATCACCAAGAAGACGATGTCCTCGCCTTGTCATACAACCAGATTCCCAAGCTGCACATGCTGCTCCACCTTATTCATCTTTACTCGTGTGTCTTCAAGTCGTTATTCAACCTCTTCTCTGTGCGGCCTCTTCCTCGCATTTTACTCACGCGCCTACAATTCTCTATCGGGCTGTCAGCATGCATGCTGCGGCTCTTATATCCGTTACATTCTCGGCGGCTCTCGTAGTCGCACAAGGCACGCAAGATGCCCCTCAGACCAGTGGCAACCCTACCGGAGTCGTCTTCGAAGCCGCCCTTCCGGCCGAAGCCTTTTCTGGCAAGGACGCTCTCAACGGCAACATCAAGGGCTCCATCCGTGCCGAAGCACCCCCCGACGGCGTTGGTGTGAAATTCACCGTCCACTTTGAAAATTTGCCCAAAGAGGGTGGTCCCTTCGGTAGGCGACTCGCTGTGACTTTAGGACCTGTGCAGCGCAGCCTTACCTGGCCGAGCTAATGTTATTCGTCTTGTAGCATACCATCTCCATGCTGCGCCCGTTTCTCAAGACGGCAACTGCACAAACACGATGGGCCATTTAGACCCCTTCGGCCGAGGCGAGCAGCCTCCCTGTGATGGCTCAGCCCCACAAACTTGTCAAGTGGGCGACTTGGCCGGCAAGCATGGCAAGGTCACCCAGGACCCGTTCGACGCCGAATACGTCGACCCCTTTGCCTCCCTTAAGGAGGATGACCAGGCCTTTTTCGGCAGCCGATCCTTTGTCGTCCACTTTGGCAACACAACGCGCATCACTTGCGCCAATTTTGCCAAAAAGGACGCCCCAGTTTCGGAGGACTCTGACAACACTACGTCGGATACGGAGAGCATGGCTCGACTCCGGCGTCGTTCGTAGTCGCACTGGCGACTTGATGCTCTTGGTTAGCGGTGCTAATTCCAACGAGTTGTTATTCTCCTCAATTATAGACTTGGTAGCTTTAAGCCGCCATTGTCCGTGAACGTGTATTCTTGCCGAAACGTATGGCATCAAGGACTGAGAAGGCCAACAACCGCATGGCAGGAAGGCAACATGTGTGAGGCAGGGAGCGCCTCTGTTCAGCTCGAAACCTGCGGTGCATTCCGAGTGACGACGAGCAATGCTTCGTCTAGTTGAGTCATTACCCATGGTACACATTGGGCGATCATCCCGGTCTCCAACCTAGTTATATTCGTCCTCTGTTTAGATATTATTGTCAGGTATGCCGACTGGACTTCGTCAGGATACGTGTGTAAAGTCGGCCGTTGCAAATTCCCCGCCGCCCCCTACCGCCATTCGCTTTAGGCAAGCCCCTTCCCCTTTTGACCCGTCGCTGCATACGGGATTGCTATAAGAACACCTATACGCCCTACCCCCTTCCACTCGGTTCTCTTTTTCTTCCTCTCTCTCTTTCTCACCGTGATCCCTGTCGGCCGGCCATCTAACGCAACTGTGCTTGAAGCTGGGCAGCAGCGAGGGCGGTCTGGACTGCGGTCAGCACGAAGGAGATGACGCCAAAGATGAGCAGCGTCCAAAAGGCCCTCCACTCGACCTGGTTTGTGCGGTCTCGCCATCGATCGCGGATCTTGATCACTTCGTGGGCCTGCACAAACTCCTGTACCTTGGCCAGCTGAGGTCCCAGGGACGCGAAGTCGGCCGCCTCGTAGACCATCTTATCGCGCAAGCTCCGGGCTGTCACGAGGCTCTCGATGGGGGCTTCGTGCCCGCACAGCTGGTTCAGCAAGGGGTCCAGATACGCCGCGTCGTCGGGCTTGGTGGCTCGGTGCCGCTCGATGCGGTGGAAGAGCCGGCGGGCGGCCTTGACTTGACCGAAGAGGATTTGATGGCATAGGAGAACCTCGCGGTGGAAGCGTCCGGTTTATGCGGCGAGGAGGTGCGTAAGTAGGTCGTGGTCTCGGAGGACGCTTTTGTAAAGTTTCTGTTTGTCTGCGACGTCATGAAAATAAAGCCAAACCCGACAACTACTATAGTTAAGTAGGAGGTGAGTGTTCTGGGAACTGATATGTTAAAAAGGCTGGAGCCGCCGGACTCGAAGTATTGCAGGGCGCAAACCGACGGGAAGCGAAAGAGGGACAAGGTGCGGGAGTTTTCGTCGAAGTAGAGATGGCCTCTCAAGCCGTCGATCCACTTAATGGAGATCTGCCTGCCTTTGATTTTGAGGCAGAGCGATGAAGCGTTTAGCATGGAGACGGAGAGCTTAGTACCGGCATGTATTACTCCAGCACCACCAGTCAGTGCGCGGCGTCGGCATCAAGCGGCATACCCACGCCAAGCGATCTCAGAAGAGGCGCAAGCGGACGGCTGGCCTGCGAGATTTTTTGGGGACCAAGCAACGGTGTCCCAGTGCAGCAGGGTTGGGAGACAGCGCGGCGGTGAAGAAGCCGGTGAGGCAGCCGACGATGGCAAGCGTGGCCTGGCGCAGCGCGTTCTCCAGCTGCTGCTGGGCCCGACATTCGCCGAGTCCCGCGCGGCGGATGAGCTTTTCGACGATGTGGTCGATGCTGCTTCGCTGGAAAGCCGGGTCGCGGACCGTCTCGACAACCATGAAGGGTAGATGTGGCAGCCCCTATGCCAGCTCTCCAGTCTCGTTGGCAAGCATTTGGAGCAGATACGCCGTCTCTGGAAACTGGAGCGTGGCGAGTCGGGCTTCCGGGAAGCGCAGCGCTGCTGGCGAGTCGAAGTTGTAGTTCAGGAAGACGGAGCGTTGCGGATTGTCGAAGACGGCTTCGGCCTGACGCCTGAGTTGTTGCTCCCTGGAACTTCCGACTATGTCGAGTTCGACAGCCGGAGCCTGGTCGGTGCGAGACGGAAAGAGCCAAGTGAAGTCCCTTGAGTTGTTCTACATCGCCATGCATTTGGGTCCGAGTCGGTGACGGCGGTCGTGCTGGTTGCCTGGGCGAGAATGAAGGTGAGTGGCTTGGTCGCTGCCCCCTAATCGAGCACTAAGGGCTTAGCTTTCCCCTGATATAGCGTAGGCGGATTGTAATGGGACTGTGAGGTAATTAACATGGCGGTGTTGAATAAGTCGCAAGGACGTTGACTATCAAGGGTAGTATTTTTACGCTCAAGACACGGACGGACACGGCTAGGAATGATGCCTAACTTATGTTCATGGAGTGGTATATGCAGCGCAAGCACCAAGTCTAAGCTATAGTCTAACGGGTGCCTTATATATCTTGCCTGCTTAGCATGGCGGTCATTCAACATTCAAGATGCTCGCGGTACGGGTAGTGAACCATCTCGACTCCCGTGTCGCCATTCTCCGCCAGCCAATGAATATTCTCGGTGAATGGCGGCGTCTCCTTGCACTTGTAGTGGGCGTCGACGCTCTTCCAGCCGATAAAGGACGTGAAGCGACGGCTCGGCACGCCAGCATGGTCGAACTCGACCTGGCCCCAGCCAGCAACGAGCCCGCCATCTGCTTCGGGCGAATGCGTGCTGATGGCCTTCTGGAACTTGGAGAACCCGTGCTTTACCTTGTTCTTCCTGTCGTCGTCCATATTGGCCGTCGGGTGAATCCAGGAGACCAGTTCTACCACTTCAGCTCCGAGGACCGAGGCGGGATCTTCGGAGAAGAGCACGACGTCTTCGTAGACGGGACCGGCAGCCAGCGCTTTGATCTGCTTCTTGACCGCTTCTCCGGCAGTCGAGACCGCCCATGCTTTTTGGAGGTCGATGGATTTCCAGGCTGGAACAAACCGGTCAGCTCACGCTTCTCTTTGCGACGCCCAGAACCTCTCTGGCCCGGGACCAAGAAAAAGAGACAAGAAACACGGGGATCACCAACTTGCTGCAATGCCTATAATATTTGCGTCCTCATGCTGCAATCCCCACAGGGTTGCCAGATTGCCCTCTGCGCTGCGAAGATGGGACACGACACCTGCCAGTGGGGATGACGCGCCGCTGGCCCGCACAGGAACCTGGAGAAGCTGCAGGCACGACATAGCTGTATGTTTTCGCCACGGGTACTTCGGATGTGAGACAGTGTACCAGCGACAAGATTTGCAGTAAAAGAGGGTGGTATCCGTACGATGGTGGCGTACTGGCAACCGGCGAGTTCCTGGCCACGTACGGGACGGCACAGCCCGCACGGACCGGAGACACGTGCCAAGCGCAGATTGCTTTCCACATCATACTGTGCCCGTGGCGGGATCAAAGGGTTTTAGGGGTTTAAGTTGGCTCCTGCGAAGGCCGGAGCCTGGGCAGCTCCTTGTTGTCTTTCCAACTCTCCAGGATCGACATGGCATGTTGGATGAACATCTCACATTCAGGCCACCGCGAGCGGAGGAATCTGGCGGCTACGCGTTCGGGAAAAGCGCGGTAGAGTAGCAGTGTCGCGTAGTCGAAGAGCCGTTGGCGCTCATACTTGCTGATGTAGAAGGTGAACTCTTTCTGGACCAGCCGGCGTAGGGTCAGGGCCCGCCCTTTCTGACCCCTGGACTCTTTCTTCAAGCGCAGTGTCAAACCTAAGTCGACCGAGGTGCCTGCTTAGCACTAGGAATGGCATGGAGCGAAGCCTGATAGGATATGGTTTACTTGAAGGTGTCCTTGCAGAAGTCCAGGGAGGAGGGGTTGCCTTTCTTGTCATTAGCTTGGAAAGTGCCTGCGGAATGCCGTCTGGAACCAGAAAACTCGAGATTCCGAGGAGGGTGTGGGAGGAAGTTTCACGCACTCCCGTCAGAGCCTCCCGGAATACCGTTTTGATAAAGTACCTGTAATTTGAATCAATTTTTACCTAGTCTGTCAGACTGTGCAGGGTCTTTGTCGCTCCTTGTAGAAGTCCAGGCACGCGCTCAAGTCCCATCCTCAGGACGTGATGAGCCCTACCATCTGAGTCAGGGCCAGGGCCCGCCCTCCTGACATGGACTGACAGCTCTTCCGCTTGCTCCCGTGCATCGGGCGTGTCGACGTCTCGGTCAATGTCCTGTGTGGCGAACAGATGCAGTAGGAACACTGAAGCTCTTGATCTCGTATCCTGCCGAGCAAGGCACCCGGGAAAGGTTGACGATTCTCGTCGTCACCGAAATAGAGCCCCGGTCTGCCTTTGGGACCAGCCGGTTCAGAAACCCTCCTCCTTCAGCGTTGCCGTAGATCAAGAGCCACTTGGACGCTAACCAGGGCATCAAAGATCAGCCACAGTCCCAACGTGCGAGATGCCAACAATCATGGCGGAAGCACAATTGCTGCGGATAACGATGCTCCTATGCGGAAGCAGAGCACGGGGACGTTTGGTCGGCAACGAAGAGCGAAGCGACTTCCGGGCTCAGGGAGATGAGACATAACTCCAAGGAGACTTATGATGTGATAGCAATGTATGCGCAGCGATGGCTGCGGGGAGCGCTTGTAATTACTGACGTACATTTGTGGGTGAGGAGAAGGTGACAGCGGCATGTTGGTTTCCATGCCTCATTTTTCCTTCGCAGTGCTGCGGCGGCTACCTTGCCTTCGATGCCTTGAGTGGTGTGTCATGATGGGCCCGGGTCTCACAACTTCTCTAGACCGGAACATCAACGTTCAATGCGAATAATATGTCCGTAATTAAGGGTTCTGCATTGTCCGTGCGTGTATCCTTCAGCCTTGGTCCAAGAACCCTCACAGGCGCGCGAGCGTAGTAAGTCCCTGCTCGGGCACGTACATTCTCATGGTGTACGGGCCAAGCCCACCACCACCAAACGAAGGCCAGGGCGAGGTTCTACACAAAACAAAGGAGACCTTAATCCGACATCTTAATAATTCTTCGCCTACCCTTATCGTTGGTCCCCTCAAGCCTCCACCGCCCATCGGTTCCGGTGTTCTTTCGCGCCGCCGCTGGGAAAGACAAGCTCGAGAGGATTGTGTCTTGGTCGGCTTAACTGATTGTGCCTCGAGGCAATCGAACACCATATCTGCAATCATGGCCCCAGTCTTCACGCCATTTCTGAAGATGATTCGCCTCCTCTACAAGGTGACATGCTTCCATCCGCTCCACCTGTCTGCGATTCCGTCGCCGAGCAGGACCACAAGCCACGAGCTGATCTTTGTTTGCTCAGGATCAACACAAGCCGCCACAGCCAAACAGCGAGGCAGCTAAGCCTGACCCGTATTCTGACATTGAACCTCCGCATGGTGTCGAATGGCAAGCTGAGCAGCCAACTATTCTCCATCCCTACAAATCACCCTATTCCCTCTCTTTAGGTAATACAGTTATAGGTTATTATTAGACGAATCACTATATTAAGTAGGAGATCAGCTTAGAGCTATGCTCGCGGTAGACTAGGCCGGGATCTGGGAGAAGGAAACACGGGTTAATAGACAAAAGAAATCTAGCCATATAGACTGAGCTTATAACTCTTAAGTAGGAGCTTAAGAGTATAGTAGAAGGTATAAGGGCTTAAAAACGTAATTACGGTCGCCTATGGACGGAAGGACTGGAGGAGCCGTGGCTGAAAGTAATGGGCACATCTTCATCTAATGCCTCGCAACTTGATGTTTGAGGACCAACTCAGGGTTTCGCGAAGAGGCTAAGGCTTCGTCGACTCCTCGTTGTTTCAAACTCAGCTCGTTCATTGCACATGAGCTGCAGCCGTGGATTGTATCATCGATTTCGCAAAAGGCGGCCCTACAAACCATCTCCCCTGTCGACCAGGGCTCAAACAGTTTTAGTCTCTTGAGCCAGAGCCTTGAAATCATAATCCAGTTTCGCCTCCACCATTTCCAGACAAATACCATTCCGCTGGTCACCACGGTCTACGATCATCTCGCACCGCATGTCAAGTTCCACGAGGGCTTCCCCTTGCATGTTCTCGAGATGTTAAGCTTCAGTTCATTATGCCTTTCCCTATTCAGAAAGCTGCAGAACCACCGTTTTAATGTGTAGGGTGGGTAAACGCAAAGGAAAGAATAACCAAGCTTTCGGCTCATATCCCGTGCCCGAGTACACGTCTATAAAACGCGACTGACGAGATAGGGATACCCTCGTGCCATTTTGATTTCGAGATTAGCTTGACTCCAGCAGTTGACTCCGCCGACTACATGGTCCTCGAATCTACCAAGGCATCCGCGTATTCCTCGATATCGTCCCACGTCAGAGCGCTCCACTTGGCCGGGTTCTCAACGGCATCGACGAAATGCCTGATGGCGAGGATAAACTGATGCGCCCACCTCTCTGCACTCACGCGACCGACACCTGTGGCCATGGGAGTGATTAGGATGCTGCGGATCCCTGCGTCGTCGGCGCTCACGCCGCTTTGGCCAAGCGCGCGGTTGTGCCTATCGATGGCACAGAGGAGACTCCAGACGCACTCGTAGATGACCTCGCGGTCCCAGACCACCTCTTGCGGCGTGCGCATTGTAGGACAGAGAGCGAGATAGCGGGTGCCCCAGACGTTCTTGGACCGCTCTTTGAAGCGTTCGGGGATCCGGACAAGCGTACAGGTCCCAGGGGGCGCGAAACCGCGCCACTCCTTGTACAGCTCGGCTTGAGCAGCGTAGGTCAGCGCGTTGTAGTCGTCTCCGGGCGAAAAGGCGCGTGAGATGGCGTCATCGAAGCTGCCGTCTAGCCGACCGTACGAGTTTGCAGGGGACACGACGAGGTCAAACTTCGCCGACGGAGGGAGAAACTGTAGTGCCATGTTGTGGATCTCGACGGAGACGGATGACGGCAGGCTCCCCTTGTACGTCGCAAGAGCCGTGGTAAAGGCATCGCTGAAGCGCCCGTCCATGCAGAGGAGGTGGATGTGCGGGACAGCGCGGGTCGCCACGGCGGCGGCTAACATGGTCAGCCAGTTGGGATGAGACCCGGGAATGAAGGGAAGCAGGTCCTGCCGTCGAGGCGAGATTGATGGAGGTCTTTGACTTTCCGTGGGCAACGGCTTTAAAATAGATTGTCGGGGAACAGGGTCTATTAAGGCGGGGCGGGGCGGGGCGGCGATTTAATAAGTTGTAGCATAACAACGATCCTGCTAGTGGTCGACTTAGCATGAACTTCCCTAAATGACTCCTTATGACCGCCAGAGCTCTCTAGACTCAGCTTTCCGGGAAAACCCCTTTCCATCATAAGGTGGGTAAAATAGGCCAGGTCTTAGCGGTCTAGTAAGGTCGAGGCCGCTAGGAGCTACTTTATTACTCGAGTCTCTACGGTATTAAAATAATATAAAGCAGCGAGCGGATCCTATAGCCGCGTTATAGGATATAAACCCCTACGTATTATATTCCTTCTAATTATAATGCGACTTTAGTTAGTCTCGGACACTATTCTTATAAGGCGGGACTATTTAGCGCAATTATTTAGGCTAACTATCCGGTATATGCAAGCAGTATCCGCTTAAAGGCGGGCTATTTATATATTCTATTTATGGTCTCTACTCTTTAGAACTAGGCTTAAAGGGAGCACGTAAATGCGACGTGTAGCGTGTGGCAGTAGAGAAATCGCGGTGCTAGCGTCTCCCTTTAAACCATAGAGGTAGGCATAAGGTAGCTGTTAAGGAGAGTAGGCATAAGAGGCTATAGTTATCCCCTACGTTATAGTACTAAGAGCTACTACCGTACGCCGATATAGGGGGGGTAGGATACTATAAGCCTACCGAAGCTAGCTACGCGCTATCTTATATACCTTTACTCCTTAACTATAAGTACTTAAGTCTAGCTCCTAAAGCGCGGCCCCTATAAGAGTCTTTAACTATTATAGGTTATAGGCTTAAGCTACGGCCTAAGCTATATAGTTATATATAAAGGGCTAGATCCTATATATATATATATAGGCTAGCCGCGTATAAAAGAGCTCTATATAGCTTATTAATATTATTTTATAGATAGTACCTATATATACGCCTCTACTTACTCTATAATAGTATAAGCTATTAACTAATAGATCTAATAGATATCTCTCTAGAAAGGGTGCCGCTTCCTTAAATAAGTACTCCGCCCCCCCCTTAGATAGATAGGAAGTATCGTAGCTATCTTAGAAGCAATTAAAAGCGCGATAGCTAGTAAGAAAGATAAGGTTCTCGCTATATTAAGGGAGCTATCTATAAGACTAGCGTTAACCCCTATAACCTCTATAACGCTAGTTATAGCAGCGATATTACTAGCGTAAAAGCCGCTCTATTAGCTAACTTAGGATAGTAAGCTAAAGTCCTTTTACTTCTTTCTTAGCCGGCTATAAATAAAGTTTATAATTAATAAGAAATAAGGCTTAAATAGCTATTATAATATAGCGTAGTATTCGCTCCTTTATATATTACTAGAGCCTTAAATATAGCGGATCTTTAGATTCTAAGATAAGGGTAGCTTTAAAGGTAAACGTAACCTATAGGACTTCTTTTAATACCTTATATATATATTTAGTAATATATAAGAATAAGAGAAGGTATAAAATAAGCTATAGACCTTTAAGTAAAGAGATAGATAAACCTTTAGTAAATTCCTTTTTAATTTTAAAGAAACGCTCTTATAAGTAGTAAGGACTATAGTATAAAAAGATAGTATAAAGCTTATATAGCTATATAATTTAATTATACTAGCTTTATAAGAGCTACTTATCCTTATAATTATACTTATTAGCTATAGTAAGTATATAAGCTAGTTAATAAAGGTAGTATAAAGCTATAAATTATAAGGAATAGTGTTTTCCTATTATAAATAAAGCAGCTATACTATACTCTCCCGATTATATAAGCTAATAAGTAGTATATTAATTATAGATAAAATCCTATTATATAGAGTAAGAATCGCTCGTTATTTTATATATTATTATATATTAAACGGGGTGCCGGTTATTATATAATCGGGAATCGAAAGAATAGAGCTAGCTTAGAATGCTAGCTAAGACCTCTTAAGACCTCTTAAGAATACCGGCACGACTAACCTCCTTTAAACACGAATATTAGTAGAACTAAGACACTTCTAGATATACTCGAGGTATTACGGAATTCCTTAGTCTTAGGGCTATATAGCAGCCTAAATCTAGTCCCGAAAGGTTCTTCTATTTAGCTATAATTGTCTATATAAGACAGCATGTCCGCTAGTAGATAGAGATAGAATTATTAACTTTAATACCTCTTCTATATACTAATATACTACTAATAAATTCTATTAAAAATCCTACCTTATACTCCTTCTTCCCCTCTATTATATAGTCTTACGTAATTCCTTAATTTCCTAAAATTCTGCTTTTACTTATATACCTTAAGATAAATAAACGCTATATTTCTAAAAGCTTTATAAGTATATATTATATAGTAGCGATAAGATTACTACCTTTTTATAGGATAAATAGCTAGCTATTAATATTAATAAGGATACCTTAATTTTAGCTACTTATATAAACTAAGCTAAACGTAGTAGGAAAACGCTATTAACTACCCCTTATACCGCCCTATAATTAAAGTAGTAAGTAAAGTAAGTAATAAGTAAAGAAATTAAAAGGAGGAAGGCTAATAGCCGCTACTAATATTATAGTATATTTATATACTTTATATTAAAAAGCCTTTTCTTTTTAATTAAGTAGCTTATAGCGGTTTAAGTAGCGAAGATAGAACCGCTCCTTACCTTAGATAATAAGGAAGACTCTACTCCTTTAGGCCTTAAAGAAAAAAAGTAGCTCTAAAGTAAAGATAGGCTCTAAAGCTTTAATTATTAATATTAGTAAAAGAGAAAGAGGATTTATCTACCTATATAAAAAAGGAGCTTACTTTAATATAAGTTATAATTAATAACTCCTTATTAGTCGCTACTTTTATAAATAAGAGCTACTAGTACTATACTATAGTTAATAAGGCGCTTATATAAGAGATATAAGTACTAGTAGAAAGGATTATCTTAAGGTAAGTAAAGGGCGCTTTAAGCGTAATAAAAAGTATAGAAATTAAGGGTATTATGTTATAAAGGCCGATAGCTACTATAAGCTTATTATAGCCTATATAATCCCTTAACTAAAGTTTCCCTTAATTCTTAGGAAATCCTAGTTATTATATATAGAGTTATACTTAATTTTATATTAAAAGAAGCTATAGTTTAAGCCTATATAATAGTAGGTCTACTATAATAATAGTTTTATAAGTATAGGACTAAGTATATAAGTATTATACTTAGTATAAGAGGTCCTTACTTTTATCTTTATAGGAACTATATAATAATTAAAGTAAGAAGAAGGTTAAGTAGCGGCTAATATAGCGGTCTATATAGTTAGCTTAGTAAATATTTTAATAGGTAAGATCGTACTTTTATAGATATTAGCCTATTAAAGGGATAAGACCCTTAGCGCTTCCTATCTACCCCCTCCTAAGTATACTTAAAGGCTTTAAAAAAGCTTAGATTATTTAATTAAGTATCCTTTTTAATTATAGTTAATTTAAACGTTTATTTTTCCCTTTAAAGTAAAGGCTATTAGTTATATAAATTTAATAGAAATAAAGAAGTATAAAGTAAAGAAATCTCTAAGACTTATATTAATAACTTAAGACCCTTAGAGCTATATATAGGACTAATAATTAGATAATTACGCGGTTAATTACTTTATTAATCCTTAGCTATATACTATACGTGCTTTAAGTATATACCTTTATCCTTATTAAAACTAGTTTTTAGGGCGTAAACTTATTATTCTATTTTATTTATATAGTAATAAGTAGCTTTATAAAGCTAAGAATATTTAGAGGATAATAGTATTATTTAGAAAAAATAAATCTAGGGATTTAATAATTAAATTAGTAACTACCTTAATAGCTAGAGTTAAGAACTTAATAAAGTAATAGGCTTACTAAGAAATAAATAATTAGATAATGCCTTTATTAATAGTAAAGGAAAAGTAATAAGGTAATACTAAAAAACCCTAAGATCCTATTATTAGCCCTATAACCTTTAATACTAGCGACTTAGTTAAGAAACTATAATCCTTATATAATACTTTAAAAGATATAAATAACGATAATAGCGTAATTTAAGCTATTTTAAAACCTTACTAAGACCTCTTACTTAAATATATACTAATAATATTAATATAGGTATTAATAAGAGATACCTTAATAACCTTAACCTTAGCTCTCCTTTATATAGTAGCTTATAAAGAACGCTTACCTCCCTTTAATAAATAAGAAAGTAAGTAATAAGATAGTTATAATAAGATATCCTTTAACTTTAAAAGCTCTAACTTTAAATTTTATAACCTTATAATCTATAGGTATACTATATCTAGAAATACTAGCTATTAAAAGGGATTATTTAATCCTACTACTAGCGATATTAAAAATATTAAGGTAGATATTAATAAGATTATTAATAGACTTAAAGATATACTTACTAAAAGCTAAGATAACTTTATAAGAAGACTTTATTAACTATAACTCTTACTTATTAGTAAATTTAACGGTAAAAATATAACTAAATTCCTTAAGAAGTTTAAATAAAAGATATATATTAACTATATTTATTATTATAATAAAATAGACTAGCTTAAAGTTTATATTTCTTTTTTATAAGCCCTTACTATTAAAATTCTTATAAATAGACTTACTTAAGAAGAGGTAAAGAAAAGACTCCTTTAATACTACTATATATATATTATTAAATAACTAGAAACTATTAATAACCGCTTAAACTTTTATAATATTAAAAAGCCTAAGACTATTATAAAAGTTATAGAATAGCTTAGTCTTTACTTATATATATAGTATAAGGTATAACTTAATAGCTAGGAAGAATCTATAGTTTAGTTATATTTTATTTATTATATAATACTAAAGGAACTTATTATTAACGTTATAAAAAGAAATAAAAA